CAAAGGGCCAAGCGCCGGACTGAACTGGTGAGCGGGGCCTGTTGTATCCTACCCTAGTCGGTGTAAGATATCTCCACCGCTTCATCCTTGTACATGCGCCGAAGTTCTGTACATGTTCCGTGATACCAAGACTAAAGTACGTGAATAGTTCGAGACAGCCCAGCTGAGGAAAGATGAAACAACCGGTCTAGAAGATGTCAACCATGTGCCGGGTCTGTATGACGCATCTGGTCGTCTGACTGCGTTAATCAACGGACATCTGCAGGTTCAACACAGTTCGTCTAGGTCTGCCAGGCACTATCCCCCACGTGTCGAAGGATTGTTGCCACGTCGGACGAAGAGCAGGCTCCGAGTCTAGGTGTTATGTTGACCGCGACCTGCCTGAAGGATTGACTACCCTGTCACTCACCCGTTTAGTTGGCGAAGATCCTGTTGCGGGAACCATTGTATGGGCGGTAGATCAACCGTCTCCATGTATTATAGTGTATTCTCCGACAGAAACTCCCATGGCTATAATCTTTTGTGGCTTTCGCAGAACGAGGATAGATTAGCAGCAACGACAGTAGATAGATGTAACCGGGTTAATATTAACTTGTTATCTTGATCTGTTTATTACTAGCGAAACTCGGACTGTCATTGGCGTAAGGGACTCAAATGTCAGGAACCGTGGAAAGATGCGAAGCGGAGCGAGGCCAGAAATGGCAACCCGAGCAGTTGGTAATGTCAGACTGATATTATGTCCATCACTTCTTGTTCCGGACGCAGAGTCTGATGTTCTCCCCTATGGTAAACTGCATCCTATCCCCGCGTTAATAATAATCGTCTTCGTGGCAGTGCTATTGGAGTCGCTGCGATGTAGACGACGCTAATAACACCATCCACATTGAAGTGTGAAATCCAAAGACTGTTGAACATTGGTAATGAGTCAATGACAAATCCAAGGCAGAATGGCAACGAGCCTATCCATAATTAGCAGCAAGGACAAGGCGATTCTGGTGTGCAGGACTAAGTACTCAACTTGGTTGTCCAGGTGCGGCTGACCGGCGCTTAGAGCGCCCGCCTGATTGGATTCATCCTCCTCCAAGCTTCGACCGTTCAATACACATCACGACCCGTGGGACGTGCGGCAACGGCGTTGACGGGGAAATTGGAATCAATAATAACGATAATGAGTTTAGTGAAGTGGACTACGCTGGGGCGGGGTTGCGGTAGGACTGTGGTAAGATCAGGCCCTCTCCACCGTTCTCACAACAGGCCAAATTAACAAGCTTCATCACAGTCAAGATGGCTTGGTTTGACGGTTGACCGCGAGAATAATGATGCGACTGTCCTTGCCAGACCGATCAGGCCTCTCTGTCCACCAATGGACAGTGATCGTCACAACTGAATAACACTGCCGTCCTGCTATCTATTTTTGTACCTCGAACGACCAGTGCTCAGTTAGTGCACTGCCTCTGCGACGGGAAGCAGAATGTTGAAGCATCTAAATGGCATCTACACAGTTATCGCTATACCAGGATGCACTTCCAATAATGACGAGTCCGCGTTTGGAGTAGCTACAAGGTATTATTACCTGGCAACCACGCGTCGACTCGAAAGTTGAAACGAATCACTAACGCAAATTTGAAGTATCTAGTTCTCCTGTTAACTGAGGGTGAGACAGCAGTGTCTCTATTAGGTTATCCTAGATGATACCTCAATCCTGTTCTTGCTCAGCTTCGATATAGTTATAATATCAATATTACGGAAGAGGCACTGAATCGGAACGATTACCAGATTCGGAATCGTCTATGCAAGTCAGATTTCAGTTCCCAGTGGAAACAAGTGGTGCAGCGGTACAGTCTGCGTTGGTGAGTTCCAGGATTTGTCTTTTTGGCGGTCGGACTGTTTTCATAGGTGGAACTATAACTAACTAAACGGCGCAAGGAAGGCCTAGTCTAATAATACTAACACCAAGCTCTGTGCACCGGACAGCTGTTGGCTCCAGACTGGCACTCGCACGGACAAGATTGTTCGACCGAGAGTCCGATGGACAGTCAGGACTCAGGACTCAGTCGCGACTCTGTGTTGATTTGTCCAACCGATCGGGCATTGATCCGCATGCCAAAAGGTTATCTATTACAGTACATAGTTAGCAGGCGGTCCAAACATGATGATTTCCTCAGCCGCATCACTGCGACGCTGTCTATTGGATGAAGCGAGGGTATACAGACGACTTGTTGTAACAACGCATACATCGCTTACCCTACTCTTTCTGGAAAACGTTGTGAACCTACCGAGTTTCGACAACGCCGTCTTAGCTAGGATACACTGAACTGGCAATTGTAAGGCTTGGCACTGAAGCGAGCGCGGCGCCGTTTTCTGATTGCGATGAACAGGGCCTCGATTGACTCATCATTGGCCTTTTGAGTCTTGACAGGCTCGATCATCTGAACAACTTCGCGGAATCGCGGTAAGCCCAGCCGAGTTATACCTACAGTACTTGAACCTAGAGAATCAGAGCACGGTGTTCCTGGACTGGACGAACAGGAGGCCCAGTTCCTCGCCCAGCACCACGCTGTTGGTCCACGAAGCCAACGATCAATCTAATGATTATATTCCCAGGGCCGGATTATCAGCACTATGTTGACATCGTCAAGAGAGAATTTTGTCCTTTCACGTCTCCCTGGAAATGTAAGTATCGGGGCTAGATATCCGCAGCTTACATGACCACAGATCTGCGTCTTTATTTTCCTACACATGGATTGGTCACCATCGGTCTGTGACTCTGTGTAGATGGCGCTGGAGACCCGAATCTCCCCAACCAGTCTGGTGGAGCCACGGGGTCGGCGGGATCTCCAGGCCGGATCGAATTTGCGGCGCAGTTGCTAAACCTTCACACAAATTATTATTAACAAGACCTGATCGAGTTTGGCTTTCTCGAGGCTTGCTCGCCCGAAGGATCATCATCCTGGCCGGTGGAACTGCTTAATGCACGTGAATACCTTTGGCGGCTCTGTGCTGGTGGAGCGAACAGACGGACAATCCAATCCGCAATTCAAGTCCAGACAAGGCGCTTTTTTAGCTTCCCGACGCTTGGGACAGATACTGATAATAATAATGGCCTTCTTGAACACAAGCCAATGCGCAAACAGAAGCCAAGACACAGCCTGACCCAGTCTTTCTTTGCCTAATCCATGGGACCATGCCTTCCGAACCCCGCAGTGGCCATGGACTCTGGAGCTTGCGGGAGGATGACTATCTTTGTTCACTACTCGGCACTGGATCAGCATCGCGGAGAGAGCAAGCCATCCGGCGGCTTTTCTTAAAGTAGTCCTGCTTGATGGACCGTCGCTAAGAATCGGCGTGGGCTAGGCAGGTAATCTTATGTGACGGAATGCTCCGCACAACCTAGATGATCAAGCCTTGCCAAGCTCGTAAGAAATTATTATCCGTCGATCGTGGAAAGTAACCTCTTGAAAGCGTCCAGAGCTTGGAAAAGCGGTGGTGCCTGGGCTCTGCTTACGGCATATCGGGCGTCCTATACAACGAAGTCGTTGAAACAAACCAGCCTACCACTACTGCATCGAACGCATCGAAAAGCGCCATCGCAGCTTCCGGTTGTTGGGCCCGGACGGGTTCCGCGGGGATGGTATCGTCGCAGGGACTTCTGGGGAAGCGATACGCACTGTAACTACGGAGTACACCCGGACGTACGTTGGTTAGTCACTGTTAGACCAGGCCGGACTCTGTCCTTGCGTGAGGGCTCATCGGGACGGCGGGTCCTGAGGACTTGGCTCTACTCACTCTACTCTAGATAGGCAAGTTAGGCTCGCATTCCGATGGTTGGCTTCTGTTACGGTGATCTTATTCTGGTTATCACAACCATATGACGGGAGATGAAACCAGCAGTCGAGAAAAGCCGTTTATCAAAAAATACTATGGGGAGCCTGGTCAGTGATGGATCAATGCACGAAGGAATTGAACCCTGGATGTCCACTCGGTTCCCGTTCAATCAACGCAAGCCGTATTACACCCGTCAAAGCGTGAGGAAGTTCGAATGTCTGCTAGATCGGGGCCTGACGACTGTCCGGCAGGGGTCCGTCACAACCCTATCTCTGGGAAGTAATCCCTAGTTGACCCGGGACTCCCAGATTGCTAGCCTAGCTGGGTGCTTAAGCCTCTCCTTCTAAGCCATCCGTGCGGGTGTCTCTTTAGGTCGTTGTTAGTTCTGCGTCGTCACCCTTGGGCCTTCTTCTTGGCTATTATTCCCCTGGCCGTCGTTCGACTCGTGGCAGCGCTTAGTCCAACGGGGTCCCCCGACTCAGGAAGAGAGGCAGAGGCCATACTCGTGCAAAGCTATTTCGGGAAAAAGAACGATGGCCGCGGAGAGGGTTAACAGCAGAGCAAAGCATGGCTCCACCAACGACGACACGAGGAACAGAACCAACATCTCCTCTGCAGCCTATCCTCAATCAATACTGGTCCATTAGGGTCACCCGTCAGATTCGACGACTTGATAGGACCCTGGGCGACCCCCAGCATAGCCTTTTGCCCTGACCTGATGATCCATCCTCCTCCCGCACAGGTTTCCTATTCGGAATTCCGCTATGCTATCCATGCTGTCCATCGCGCCGGGGACAGCTCCAGCAGGCATGCGCCATGCTAACTTAATGGCCCAGGATCCACTGGATCATACAGCAGTGCTATTCACAGTATACACGCGGGACCGCTCTGACCGGTGGACTACGGGGGACATCACGTCTGCCCTGACCGTAATATTTCTCTACGAGACTCAGCCGCATCAGTCAAATCCTTCATGGTTTTAAGAACGACAATCCAGCCCCGCCGCCCACCCTGGACGCTGCCCCAGCTGGCTGTACCCTTCTAGTTTGAAGCTCGTCTTGGCGATTCTATCCAAACCTTGGATCCCTGAGAGGTCAGAATCAGATCTCCCAAACCATATCTAGTTGGACCGGTGCGCAGCGTTCTTAAGCGCCGCATTGTATAACATATCTGTCTCGTCCGCCCCCAATCTCCCATCATTCTAGATCCACTTCAGATCTATTCTTGTTTACGTTCTTATTCTTTAAATGACCGCTCCTGTTCCCCATACCCGTACACAAGTATACCTGCAGGATCAACAACGTTGAGCAAGGTTAGCACAGCCAACCGCGCAATTACATATAGATCGTCGCATCTCCCACACGGAATGGCCAAAGTCTCGACTCGACGAAGCAAATCAACGGAAGCAATCTTTACACCTACCAGTGTCACTTCTCAAACCAGCGTCGACCGCAAGAAGAGAGTAACCATGCGCCGCACTACCTCTACATCGGACATTCCGACTCCTATTACCTACACACCCACTACACATCGAATAAGCAAGGCGAAGAAGGGTAAACGGGTTCACGCATGCGGATTCCCTGGTTGCAACAAGGTGTGTTTCCTCCAGAGCTCTCTTCTTGAGTGTCGCTGACGGTAACACTAGGTTTTCACACGCGCAGAACACCGAAGGTACGCATACCGCAAGGGAGAGCAGAAGGACCCAAGAGCTGTTCCTAACCATTTGGCTGGTAGACGTCACGAATTGAACCACAACCCAGAAGCGTCATTTCCATGCAGATATGAAGGATGCCGAAAGGCCTTCCATCGCCCTGATCTACTTGCGAGGCATATGGAGCGACAGTGAGTACCCCACATTGTGCGGCTTTTTACGGGAGAGCCCCTGACAATGAGATGAATAGTGAGCTTGATGCACAATCTGGTGGTAATGCGAGCCGGCATTGGAAACAACCCAGTCAATCATCAGTCGTCTCTGATCCATCGAGCGTGGCGGATACCATACCTGCGTGTGCGACTCCAGATTCTCTTCCTGTGGTGAGCTCTGGTTCAATGTCAATTGGTTCTATTGTGGCGCCCGGAGTGCACCCTGATCTTGCAAGCGATTATTCGTTGCCCTGGAGTGGGATGGAGATCCCCATGGACCCTCGAGCTACACCATTCCCGAACCACATTCGAGAATCCGCAGGAGACAGCCCATTCTACTCTTCGCCCGATACCTGTGGCTCTCCCTTATCAGACGTGCCATCATTTCACCTTTCGCAGCCAAGGAGTGTTTCTTCTGCTCCGACTTCTGTGATCTTCAACCCGGAGCTGGTGCAATCGCCCCTGCAGATCGATGACGGCTGTGACTGGGACCCAATTGACTCTGCCAATATCGTACCATTCTCCCTGGAGGGTGATATGCTTCAACCAGTAGGTGAACCTTCCCTCGGGCCACAGCCCCTAAGAATCGCGACTGACAACCAGCAAGACTTTTCAATGCCAGTACCCCTCTCCAACTTGGATGGGGTTGAGTGGTTTGCCCTACGACGAGAGCTTACTTCCGCCCCCGGAGTCGTTTCAGGGGATGATGGGATGGAAATCATGGACACTATGAAATGGCAAGACTGTTTCGAGAGTTACTGGCGGCATTTTCATCCTTTATTCCCCATCGTGCATCGACCGACCTTTTTCGCAACAAAACCCAGTCCTTTACTAGCAGGAGCTATGGTTGCCATAGGCTCTCAATATGACAACCGACACAATGCTAAGGAATACTCACTTGCCTTGCTCGAGGCGTGTCTAAAGCTTTTGTCAAAGGTTTGTCAAAATCCAAGGTTAGCTCTAACCGTGGTCACTTTGCTGATGCTTGGATATAGAGGACTCCAATAACAAGCCGGTCCCGAATCACCGATATTCAAACGGTCTTTTTACTGGAATACCTGTCGAAGTTTAGATCCCGGAGAGCGGACGTCCAACTATCCCACCGTTTCCGGAGTCTGTATGGTAGCGTATGTTGATCAATGAGAAAAAAGCAAGTATCGGGAGAGTTTTGGCTGACACCTACTGATTTAGTACATGCATGATCGCCACTGGATCTCTCAGAATCCATTCGCTGTTTTGAACACACTCCCAGAAAATCCAAGTCAAGAAGCACTTACGAAGGCGTATAAGTTTTGGGTTGAACATGAAGCTCGGCGGAGGGTGTTGCAAGCTGCGTTCATTTTCGATGCACAGCAGTCTGCACTATTTGGTCAGCCACGGGTCTTATTGCAGCAGTCTGCTGTGAGTTCGCGCCTTAGGAAGTCGAGTGTTGGAACCACGGACTTGCCGTTCCCCTGCGATTCAAATCTGTGGGAGACTTGGCATCTGGAAGATTGGTTTCGAACGGCTAGGTCGCACAGATCATTGTCATTGCCTTCTATGGCCATGGCTTCAGGTCTACATGGACAACCCAGCTCGCGTCATCTGGATACTTTCCAGTGCACTCTCCTTCTCGTGCATAACCTGACCAGTCAGAGATCAGAGAACTACGAGGCATGGCTTGTCCCGAGTGAGGGATACGACCAATATGCACCTTCAAGCGCGCCCTCTCAGCCGTGCAGTCTTTTCACGTATCATGCGCTCAGTGCTGCCCGCCATACGCCTTTGCATGCCTTGTTGACTGTTAGCGGGGAGTCGTGGCTCTTTAACCGAAAGGTACCTCATGAAGAAGACTTTCGGAAGGCCAAAGACACATTACGGCGATGGGCGTCCGACACAGAAGACATTAGGAAAGCCGTCTGGCATGCAGTTCGGGTTTTGGAATGCGCCGTGTACAATGCGTATCCGAATGCCTTGCTTCGCGACAACGCCCGAACTACAGCGAACCAAGGACACAGAGCAACAGGGAGCAGGATCCCCAGATCATCGCCAGCTCTGAGTGCTCCCCTAATCCCGTTACTCGCAGGCGAAGAGGCGGGGACCTCATCTGCTGCTCGACCAGGCCCACTAGCTATGCTCCACGCGAACTGGGCTCTTTACATTTCGGCGCTCATCTGCTGGGCTTACGGGTTTGATCCTTCCACATCTACAATCTCCGCTTCCTACCCTTCGAATATGCTCTCTCGGTCACAAACAGCGATTGCCGCATCTGCACGTTCGTATATCTCGACAATGATCTCACTGGCGCCTACATGGCAACAACTCTCACACAATCGGATTCCTGTGACGGTCCGTTGCAATACACTTTCCTTACTTGGATTCATCCGCACTACCCGACTTCAAGAAGGCCGCATGGGCGGCCTGCTCAATGAAGGCGAAAGAGTCCTAGCTCGACTTACAGAGACAAGAGCAACCGTCAACGCCGAGGGCAGAAGCATGTGGGAATACCAACCGGTATCTTTCTAGTTGACTGGAGTTTTGAACAATTTCGTGATTCGTTTTATTTTCTTCGATTTCCTTCCCTTTGAGTTCAGCGTTTCATTTCACAGCATTTAGATCTGGGTCCTGGTTTCTTATCTCGCGAGTACAGGTATTAGAGGACGTTTTTGTTTTCAGATCAACATATAACTCTTAGACGGGCATATGAACTGGTGGTACAGGTGGGAATGTTTTTTTTTTCTTTCGTTTTGTCATCACATTTGAACCATTTCCTGGTTTTCTCGTTTATGCGATTTGCTCAGCATGATATCCTTTCCCTTTTTGTTAGTTTGTGGTCATTTGGTTTTTTTTCTTCACGACTGGAACGTTACGTATGTATGTATCTATCTACGTGTGTATCTATATACCCCCCAACTCCCTCATATGGAGTGTCTTTACTTACCAAACATTCAATCCAACTCATCTATATATATACATATACATATACTCTTTACGTGTGCTTGGCTTTTATCTCTCTCGAGTAAATATATACCTGTAGAGTAAATCAGTCGTATTATTTGATCACCCTTCCCTCTTCTTAACTACCTCCTTCCCTTCTCTTCTCCACTACGTACCACGCTACCTACATCATACGCAGAACCGTATATCTTCGGTCCTAAATGCCAAAGAATGAAATCATCTGATTATAAATAGCCAGTAGTAAGCCTTTCTCGATGAACGAGAAGTAATTATTAACTATTCCTCCGACGTGGGGATTAACTAACTCATCATATGGTATGGTATGGTCTAGTATGGGATAGATATACTACTAGCATAGCCTCACATACACGCGCACACACGTAGAGAGAGAGAGAGAGAGAGAGAGAGAGAGAGAGAGAGAGAGTCATGAATAGCAATAGGAGAGAATTGATCGATGATGGGTTATATGGTGTAAATGTGAGAGTGTATTTTGGGGAGAGAGGTTTTCCTTTCGGGCGGTTATGAACTTTATCTGGGTGATCATGTTTACAAACTCCGCTGGGAACAGCTTAAGACAGTTAGTTGGATTGAAACTAAACAAGCACGCCATTTTGGCGGGGAAGAGGAATAACGCATGATGGATGGCTGGAGCGTCCCCGAGTGTCGAGTTAGTAATTATCTCTAGATACGCTAGGATTTTCAAGACTGAGACAATTGAGATTATAGTAGAGTAGCTTATTTGATTTGGTACGGGTAAAGTCTCTATGTACGAGTTATGGTTCACTATTCATGTCACACCCTATGCGCAAGCCGGCTTCGAACAGATGTGCGTCCAAACGCTTCCAGATATTATCTCTGGTCATCCACGGCCATGCATTGAAACCTTTTCAGGTGTCAAGGCGGGCACTTCCGGTCGCACAAAGAGACAGAAAGGGTTAAAAAGAAAAAGAAGCCGGCTCGAAGATTAGATAATGTGACTCTCCAACAAGAGGAAAAAAGAGAAGAAAAATCAAGGCAGTGGGCTGGGAAACAATCACTCAAAGTTGACCAAAACAACGCCTTGTTAATACAAAAAGATGCCCGTCATGTTGATCGCTAACAACGTCCAGACTAGACCGGACTTTGGATAGTTTTACTCGACACCGAAAACCGCCGGTAGGCTCCCATCACGAAAACAACAGCAAGCTGGGTATGGATGGAAAGTCAATGGTTCGCACCACACAGAAGAATCTCACAAAGGAAAGCAAAAGGGACATATGGGGAATCGAGTTCGATCGTGCGTGGCTCAGCCGTCGCCGCTGCCTTTTAGCCCCTCTAGTAACACGGGTACTCCGCGGGTGGCATAGGAGCCCGTTCGGTATTCATCAAGTCTGGGCCGACAGAGCAGGCTGAAGACCACCAATAGTCGCCCGCATCATGTGCACCTCAGTCGTCATAACGCCGGTCAAGATAACCCGAGAACAGATCTTAGGATTCGGTTCAAGTAGATAAGAAAGGGTAAGAACATATGCAACGGAAGAGTGTCGTTCTCGACGATCAGTGGAGTATCACGGAAAATAGAACGAAAAGCCAATCGTGAAAAAGGTGATAGTGACATGGAGGGTATCCTCGATAGAGAAAACCTTTCTTTCCTTCGACGAAAGACATTGAGCAATTGAAATTTCTCCTAATTTACACTCCATCCGGGTTGGTGACCTGGCGGATCTGTCAGCGACTACAGACAATACAAGAAGATACGCTGAAAATAGACCAACCTTAAGGATCCTCCTCGAGAAGTCTTGGTCGTCGGCAATGCTACCGTTACTCTGGCGTCTCTGGGCCATGAAGTCACCGTCGAACCTGGAATCTGACATGGAACTGGAGGACATGGGCTTGCCTCCTCCGGCAACGAAGTTGTTGATGTCTGCGTTACGACGGTATTCGTTTTCAATGGCCTTTCTCTTCTTGTATCTGTAGAAGAAGAATGCTCCACCCATCAGGGAGGCCAGACCCACGACACCGACGACGACACCTGCGGCAATACCGGCTGTATTCGCTCCACTGCTCGAGCTGTTGTCTGCAGCGTCGGTTTGGCTCTGGGCTGTTACCACGATCGTCTGCCCAGCTTGTGTAATCACGTGCGGTTGTTCTGCAGAGGTCGAAGTCTGACCATCTGTGGACGTCGAGCTGGAGGAACTCGAGTATGCGGGAACGTTCTCTTCGGTACCAGTCAAGAAAACAGAGAAGGTATTGTCACCACCACCTGTCATCTCAAAGTTAGCATTTATGCAAACGAGCAGAAAGGGAGAAATGTGACCACATACACATGGCGGCGGGCCAACCGTCACAAGGCGTGTTGCAGTTACTGCTGTCTGTCTTGGCTGAAGTCGGGGGAAGGACGTTTCCGCAGAGACAGTTTGATCCCTGCGTCAGAGCCATGACGGAGAATCCCTTATTCGCACAGAGCTTCTGGCAGTAGCCGGTACTCTGGAAAGTGTAGGAGCCCTGGTCCTTCAGCGGTTCTGATGAACTGTAGCATCCTTCGTCGGTCATGGTCTTCAAGGCGACGTCCGGGTTCGCGTCGGGGTCTGCGGATGCGAAGCGGAGGGCGAGCAACAGTGTCGAGACCGTCATCGCGGTCCATGGTGAAAGGGACTTCATTTTGTGTGTTAAAGGCGTACGAAATTTATCGTCGAGATAGCAAGTAATTCAATCCAAGTGTAGTGTTCCAGCGCCAGCTTCCGATACGAGGGCGTTGTTCTGACTGTCAGGGAAAGAGGTTGGGACGTCCTGCGTGACCCTGAAGACCTTCTTCCCTTACGGTCGACGAGAATCTTCGTTCACGGTCGGCTTGCAGGCGTCTGTGTCATCAGCCCTTCCGCGATAGACTCTGGCAGGTCCGTCGAGATGGACGAGAGTCGTTTCCAGTCGAGTGACGGACACGATCGCGAATGTGCAGCCAGCAGGGGAAGCCAATGGTCGATGATGGCAGCGGGATGAGTCGATGGAAGATTGAAACCCGGTATACGTCCCACGGTGAGGGAGACAAGATGACGAGCCCTACCTAGGGGAGAAGATCGAAGCGTCGGTGGGGATGGGATTGGCAAGCGTTTCACCCCCTATCTCCTGTGACAACGAGCGACAAGGCGGCGTAATGATCAGCCCTCAACGTCGACAAGCAGCGGCTGGATGGCTGATATGGTGACTGCGAGTTCGAGGGAGAGGGTTCAAACGAGAGGAAGATGAGCAAAGGCCCTCAAAAAGTTCGGAATGGAGATTGGAAAAGAGCGTGGTGAATTTGGGGGAGGGGGGGAGAAGCGAGGGAGCGACGGGCACACGGCTTGGGGGAGGGTGAGGATGGACAAGCCTGAGTTAATTAGGTAGTTAGTCTAGTCTATCTATCCTAGCCTGTTTGGCGTTCAGAACGGAGGAAAAGGAAAATAACGCGGGAGCGGGTAAGGGAACGGTACGCAGGAACAATACCGTGGATGTGCTGTCACTACTGGGTGGTTCCTGGGGGTCCTTCTGGGCACACCCGTATGGTTCAGGTACCGGATACAGCTGGAGGGCAGGGAGCATTACCCAGTAGGGAAACAGGACGCCCGGGGATCCTCGCCTATTCGGGACATTGGAATGGGGCCGGCACGCGCTAGCAGAGAAAGCGGCCTAGCGCGGCTGCAGGGTGGTCGGCGGATGGAACTTCTCCTGCGCGTTCCTGGCGTCGGGCGTCGTTTGGTCACCACCATAATAATAATTACTCCTGGCTGTACAGCGTGTATGTATTATTGTCAGTATTGTCAGTAACGCGCATTTTACAGACAGCATCGAGAGGCATATCTAGTAATAACATCCCATTGTCTGGTCAAGTCGGTATGATTTACCTTCGATGGATAAGACGGCCAAGGACGGATAATCGATCGACGCGATCGCTGGTCTACTCTGCGTGAAGCGAGATGATGAGCCTTTTGCACCGGAGCAGTTAGATTGATGTTCTGTGCTTCCGTGCTCGATAATAATAATAACAATAATACCGTACGGAGGACAGCGCCCCTGGGCTAGCAGACAAAACTGTTTGCTGGCGGTATGCAGGTGTTGGGCATCCCACACGGGCCATGTTTCTTCATTTGTTTTCTTCTGGACGGGAAGACAGCATTCCCTGCAGCAAGACAAAGGAATTATTATTATTATAATTATTATTTCATAGACGATGCACTGATAAATATCCTGGAGTACGCGTTCTCTGTACCATACTCGGTGCGTGCGTTAGGAACCGAGGCCGACCGTCACGACTAGAAAAGATTGCTGCTGGTGTCGCGCCCTCGCGATGGACCTGCGATGATCTGTCGCCATCGCTACTAACTATCTATGGTCCTTTGAACAATAACAATAATACCATCCACACAACACACAGGACAGACGAGGCGCAGAGGATTGCCAAGTATGACAACCTCATCCTGTCACACCCAGTGATCGATCTCCTTTGACTGTCTGTCAAGACCCGATTGGATAGAGAGTGTTTCGTGATGCTATTGGGTCGTATTATTATTTAATATTATTTTCTCTCGTCGACAAGAGGTCCCTTCATGTTAGTCAGGTACGGAAAGGAAGCTGTGGTTACAGGACCAACAGCCTAGTCCTCAATGAGTCTGGAGTTTGGTCCCTGAGCCACCACCGGCTCAATAGTGGCACAGCCATGTTTCATCCGGGCCGCACTCATGAATCATTTTTGTATGGTAACTTATGTCTGTCTTTCAGCAAAGTGGAAAGGATCGTATGAAGGAGCGATCCTATTCTGGATGGCTTCCATGGGATAGTGAAGACAAAACTTACGTCTAGAAACAGTGGCCGACCTTGACTTTACTCGCAACCCTCGGACCTTCACAGCAAAACGTGATTTATCTATAGCATACATTTTCGCCACCTGCTCCAAGAGGGTTTCTGAGGCATTATGACCGACGGCGACGGGAGTTTACCAGCCTTGACAAGGAGCCGACTGCGACTGTCATCTAAGTAGGCCACGTTATGAATGCTCGTGGGGCATTGATCTTCGATTCTTTTCGCATTAATTGCTTCGATTTCCTTACTTCCTGGAGAAAGGATACATTCCAACGGTATTCCGCCCCGCGATACCTAGATGTACAAACTTTCTTTCCTTTTCACGTCGGATACAGCCGTTCGTTTTCCGGGGTTCCTTCACATTAGGGTCCCGCAAACTACGCAAACTGATTCTACTGGATTATTTATTATTATTTGGCCCCTGACCCAATCTATCATGGAGTCTGGCTCTGGGACTCACTTCCGCTGGCAGGGCTTCGAGATCCAGAAGGTGGTCGAGAACGTCCTGCGGAGGGTGCACGGATCCAACGCCAGCAGAGGGCGAGACAACGTTAGTTAAATACGCGGTCCAGACCGAGACGATATTCATGGTGTTAAACTAGGATTGAGAGGAGTTATAGCAGAGTATGTTCAAGCTCTCTCCGAATACAATAATCATCACAATGCCACGCTCCAGAAAGCGCTGTGTGTGGAAGAAAGATCGTATCCCGTCCTCATAAGTAATCGTGTTTTCTTCCCGCGCACCATGGTCCATATCCGCACTCTCGTGCCTGAAAAGAAAAACATCCAAAATCCACCGTTCCACACGTCCTATTCCTCATCTGGCTGCTAGGAATCATTCCCGAGGTCTTTTTTTTTACTGTTGTTTCCATTCCGGCGGACAGGGCTGCCTGTTTCGACGTACGGAAAGATCGGGAGTCCGTCTGTTTTTTTCCGCGTTCTAGAACACCAGTCACATTTTCGTGAGGCTGATCCTAAAAAAAAGGATAAACAACCATTAGTTACTTACTACGGAGTAATAATAATAATAATACTTCACAGTACGAGACATAGTTAAGCGAAGGACGTAATGGTTAGTTAGTCAAGGACGGGCACTCTAAATAATAGCATCATTGTCTCGAGTCCGTGTGGAACAAACCACTATCCCACTTCTACGTGTTCAACATCAGACATGTAGCGTGGTCACTGTCGCTCTACAGGTGCCTAAGGTGATAAAAAATACCAATAATGTAGAGTAAAGCCGAAGCAAAAGTATACCACTTAATTACCAACCAAATTATCGCCAGAAGAGAGATGCTCAGATATATTAATAATAATTACCCCGACAGCAGCCCTCAGACTAACTAGCTGTCCTAGGGTACAGTTAGGTAACTACGGAGTATTATTACCTAGCACTTTCCTCTATCTATCTATCTAGAGTCCGATCATCTTCGAACTAGAGTAAAAACTAAACTAAGATCTATCTATCTATCTATCTATCGTTCTAAATTTATCATTCTATGTCTTTCTTCTTCACTGTCAATTTCTTCCCACATAAATCACTCTAATAACTAATAACTAGTCTAATAGTTAACCAATCGATAATCGATAATCCAACGAAATATTTCCTCGAAAGAAATCTATCAGATTACGTATTCAAATAAGGGCCATTGGGATCGTTTTGTTCACGATTATCATATTAACATGAAGGTTCGTGCCAAGAAGGTAGGTAGGAGCAAGTTAACTACCATATGTCTCGAGCCTTGTTTCGGATCAGTCAACGATGTAATAGTCTAGCGGGACTTCCAAGTTATTCATTATTATTCATGAGTTTGGTTTGAAGTATCGATGGCTTGGCCTAATACTACGTCATATTGCTGCTGGAAAGAGCATATCCAGATATCTAACTAGATACGATCAAGTTATGGTAAATAGAGTATGGTTGAGATCATCTTATGGTGTATTGAAGACATCTTGGCTATTGAAGCGCTGATTGAATCCAGTGGGGATACTTGTGGCGGTGATGCAATCCATCAGAAGATCCCTACGCAGACTCGTAGAGTATGAACTGTCGGCGAGATTGGAAGCTGGACGCTACTCGAGATCCTTGCTGATCACAACGTCATCGGATCTCAACCCTGCTGCAATAGCGCCACTTCATCATGTATCTGCTCTACCGTAGTCTAGGTAGAGTTACGGCTATGGGCAGCGATTCTACGTTGGATGAACGCTAACTATATCGAAGCTTTAAGCCTTTGAACACTGTTATTCTATTCTATACCAGTAATTACAAAACTTAATCATCAATCATCCTGCCACGCCGTGTATTGGCGTCTCAAACTTTTGACTCTTGGCGTCTAATACCCTTAGAACCCGTATCTTACTTTCTTCCATGTGCGATTTCCACCACTGCGTGAGTGTGCCGTGTAAAAACGATCCTATACAGGTAGACGCAATTCGACTCTCTTCCTGTGGGACGGAGCCCTGCTCAAAGGGATACGTCTATGGCTTAGGGATTTTGATGGTCTTGCTGACCATGAGACAGCCACTGACAGCGAAGAGCAGTGCGATCGGGTGGAACTCAAAAGGTGTGCCTTCAGCCACGAGGCCCAAAGGTAGGTCATCGAGAATCCAACCCTGGGAGACCCAGTAGGCCATGATAGATGCAATAGACAGAGTTGTCGGGATCGGAGTTCCTTCAAAGTACCTGGACTTGCCAGTCTTGTCTTTGGGCAAGACGGCAACGGTCACATTGAACCGCGCAAGTCTAGTGAGACCGCAGAGAACGAAGAAGGCAAGGATCAAGTGGTCGACCGGGGTGCGGATTCCAAGAGCGAAGGCCGCGGCAGCGGGCGAAACACCGAATGAAATCTAGAAGTTGAAAGAATCTATCAGCATACGTTGGAACGTCTTGCCGCACGGATAGAAAATGCCTACCAGGTCGGCCAGCGAGTCGAGTTCCTGGCCCATCAGAGATGACTTTCTCCTCCATCTCGCGACCTTTCCGTCCATGAAATCAAAGAATAGACCAAAGGGCATGAATGCCAGGGCCGCCCAGATAGCGCCGTATTCGTGAGAGTCTCCTAGGCAGTAACGCATCGACGAAAAGACCGACATCACTGCAGAGACGTGTCAGCTCAGCCTCGTAGGGGTCGTATAGAAATGGAGAACTTGCCTCCGCAGAATCCTAACAATCGTAATCAGCATGTCTGTCACTATCTAATGGGGAGCTGCAATATTCGTACCATTGAGCTCAGTGATGAGATCAGCAAGGTGTAGAGCCCTGGCAACGAAGTCTCAATCAGCATACCGATCTCGTCGACGGGCAATCGTAATAACCAACCTGACCAAGCTAAAGTGGCCTGTTTCCTGAGATAGAAGCATCTTCTGCTTCTCTTGCCCTGCGCGTGTCGGTCAGCTCCTCAACTTCATATGGGAGATTCTCGTCCACATACCGCCGTCCGAGCCCGGCGCAGCGCCGGTACTGGAATCAGACACAGAAGAAACGGGAGTCCTCCTCGACATTATAAATGCAAATGACTGATTTGTATCCTATAGATGCCAGTGTGAAATAAAGAGTGGAGAAATAAAGCAATCGATTAGACCGTGAGGGACTCCGGAAGGATGGAAGGGCCAGCAGGCAGTTAAATCATTGACTGGGCAGACAATTTCACGGCCGTGTCAACCTGGCCCAAGCCACAGTGCCGACCGCCCGGCCAGACGTCATTGTCTGGAGAAGATCAGCCCGAGCTCAGCCACAACTCGCTCGAATTTGTTGGCCGATGAGGCTATCTACAGTCAAATAATCACTCAACTATGGTAGACACTGCTAGATTTTCTAAACACGGAAACAAAACTGGGCGCTGGCAGAAGACCTGCATTGAGCTGCTACAACGAGATCGACTCGATGGGTAGTCAGGTGATATTCTACAGTCTCTGCTGAGACAAAAGCGATAACTGTTTTTAGGAACATAATAAGATATTCAGGCACATAATCCCGTCAAAGAGCTCCCGTTTTCCCGAACGCCGTAAGAAGACAAAAGGGCAACTTAGAGGAAGGCACCTAGAAACGGCCCCGGCCTCCACGAGGGGCTCCTCTTCCGCCTCCCCTGGAGAAACCACCGCCGCGACCTCCAGCTCCTCCCCGGGAGAATCCACCACGGCCTCTGGGGGCACCTCCTCTTCCGCCACGGGAGAATCCTCCTCTAGGGGCTCCTCTGCCACCACGGGCGCCGCCGCGACCGGCTCCAGCGGGCTTCTTGGCTTTCGTGACACCTATATCATGTTAATAAACCGTATACAGAAGATATTCGGAGAAAGAGCCATCTACCTGTAGGCTTGGGCTTTGGCAGGAACCTGGTTTGGATAGTCAGTAAAGTCATTCTTGCTAGACGATCTAGGTGATGAATAACATACTTCTCAAGCGGAAGAAGCTTGTCTCCTCCAATGTAGAACTTGTCGCCGGTCTTGAAAGAAGTGGCGACGATTCCCTCCTGGGGCTTGATGGTGAAGTAAACCTGGTTGATCGGGCCCAAAACTTCATCAACCTTTCCAACCGGAGTCTGGCGCAGACGGGTTAGCACAGCCCTTGCTGATTATCACCATATAGCCGGACATACTTTGTTCTCGAGGTAGATCGGGGCGTTGAAGTAGGGGATCTTCGGGTTGATCGATTCGCAGACCATCTCTCCCTCGCAAGCGTGCATGAAAGTACCCATTTCTATAGAAGAACAGACATCAGAATGTGTAATAGCGACCGGATCTTCGAGTATATTTACCTAGCACTTGCGCTGGTGGGCCGACAGGCTGCTGGAAACCTCCGCGTCCTGTAGCAAGAAAAATTTCGTTAGTTTCGCGAATCCCATCTCAGGCATCGCATCGGCTTCATTCTGCTTACCACCACGCGATCCGAAGCCTCCCCTGTTAGCGCCTGTGGCAAAGCCACGGCCACGACCACCTCCGCGGAAAGACATGCTGCGTAAATTGATGATATCGTGATGGTCAAGGGAGGCTGGCTTGAGGAGTTTTCGATGTGGGAAGCTTAAAGCGGTAAAGTGTCGCTAGCGAGCCAAAGCTTGATAGCATCACGTGACTCACCGCCTTCCGTCCCTCACTCTCCATTTATCGCGGGACTGGTGGGATATCCCGCGAGGAGTCATTATCGACGCTGATCTGCCTCTCCCCACGGATACAGAACCTTGACCGTTCCTGTGCAGGCTTCGTCTTGGGATAAACATGGCTTCTGAAGGTCCCAAGGACCTCCCCACCAGGCCGGCCGAGGCTGCCCCTGCTGCGGACTCCTCCGCACAAGCCCCGCCAAAGCCTGCGTCCAAAAAGGCTCCTGCTCCCGCCGACAATCTCCCCGATTTCATTATTGAGCGCAACAAGCTCTTCGAGGAGCTCTGGCAGGAGTATCTGCAGGAGCTCAAGAACAAGCCCCACCCAGATGTGAACATCACGATCGATCTCGGCGATGGCAAGACGTCCACCGTCACTGCAAAGGCCTTCGAGACCACTCCTGCCCAATTGCTGAAGGATGTCCCGAAGGAGTTGAGCGCCAACGTTGTTGTTTCCAAAGTCAACGGCGAGCTTTGGGACCTGAACCGGCCATTTGAGCAGGATGCGAAGGTGTCTTACGTTCCTTTCGATTCTCCCGAAGGCAAGGAAGTTTTCTGGCACTCCAGCGCTCACTGCTTGGGTGAGGCCTGTGAGTGCGAATATGGATGTCTGCTTTCCCACGGACCCCCAACGCCTCAGGGTTTCTTCTACGATATGGCAATGCCAGACGGGTATGTTATCTGCTTCGCTTCTCTCGTCCAAGATCATAGGCTAATTGGATGGGTTTTTATTTTAGACGTGTTGTCAAAGAGACCGACTGGCCTGTCCTGGACTCCAGAGCGAACCGAGTCTTCAAGGAGAAGCAGAGTTTCGACCGCCTCGAAGTTTCGAAGGAGAACCTCCGCAAGATGTTCGCATACAGCAAGTACAAGCTGCACTACATTGATAAGCTGGTGACAGGAGAGAAGAGCACTGTCTACCGCTGTGGTACACTGGTGGATCTGTGCCGTGGCCCGCACATTCAGAACACTGGCAAGATAAAGACTTTCAAGATTATGCAGGTATGTAGTGCATTCCAAGGTACCTGTCCTCCGGATGCTGACTAGATACGCAGAACTCTTCGGCCTATTTCCTCGGAGACCAGTCCAACGACTCCCTGCAGCGTATCCGTGGTGTCGCATTCCCCGACAAGAAGCAGATGCAGGAGCACCTGAAGTTCCTGGAAGAGGCAGAGAAGCGCAATCACCTGAAGATCGGCAAGGAACAGGAGCTTTTCTTCTTTGACGAAGTCTCCCCCGGATGTCCTTTCTTGCTTCCTAACGGAACCAAGATATTCAATGCCTTGCAGAAGCTGCTTCGCTCAGAGTACCGGAAGCGTGGCTACCAGGAAGTCCAGACGCCAAACATGTACGATGTGGGCATCTGGAAAACCTCTGGTCACTGGGCCCATTACAAGGATGACATGTTCAAACTGGATGTTGAGAAGAGAGAGTGGGCCCTTAAGCCTATGAACTGCCCTGGTCATTTCATGCTCTTCGGTCACCGTGAGAGGAGTTACAGGGAACTTCCTCTGAGAATTGCGGACTTTGGAGTCTTGCACAGAAACGAGGCCTCGGGCGCTCTCAGCGGTCTCACGCGTGTACGGAAGTTCCAGCAGGATGATACCCACATCTTCTGTACCGCCGACCAGGTATGCTAATCTCCGAATACCACGCCTTGTGCGATATCTAACTTGATCCAGATTACCTCGGAAATCGAAGGTCTCTTTGACTTCCTCAAGTCTATCTACGGACTCTTCGGCTTCACATTCAAGCTGAACCTGTCCACCCGCCCCGAAAAATACTTGGGTGATATTGAGACCTGGAACTACGCTGAGAAGCAACTCCAGGAAGCCATGACCAGGTTCGTCGGTAACGACTGGGTTCTCAACGAGGGTGACGGTGCCTTCTATGGCCCGAAGATCGACATCACGATTGCCGATGCCTTGAAGCGAGAGTTCCAGTGTGCCACCATTCAGCTTGATTACCAGGCTCCCATCAACTTCAAGCTCGAATACATGACAAATGAGACGGGCAAAGCTCCTGCGGAGGAGGCGAAGAAGGAAGGAGAAGCCAAGCCTAACGAGCCCGGTCCTGGTCGTGCTCGTCCCATCGTCATCCACCGTGCCATTATTGGAAGTTTCGAGCGATTCCTCGGAATCCTCATTGAGCACTTTGGTGGCAAGTGGCCATTCTGGCTCAGTCCGCGCCAGATTCTGATCGTGCCTGTGATGCCTGCTGTCAACGACTACGTCGAAGAGCTGCAGACGATCCTGCGCGGGGACAAGCTCAATGTCGACATCGACATTAGCGGCAACACCATGCAGAAGAAGATCCGTACTGGACAACTAGCTCAGTACAACTTTATCTTCGGTATGTAGTCTATTTGCCGTGGTCTATATAGCATGTCAGACGCTAACACTCTTACAGTTGTTGGTGCCCAGGAGAAGGAGTCACGCTCCGTCAACATCCGTAACCGCGACGACCCGGCCACTCAGGCGAAGGGTGTTATGGTCCCTCTGGAAGAGGCCCGCGTCAAGCTACGAGCTCTGAGAAAGGAGAGGAGATTGGTCAACGCCCTTTAAGAGAGGTGGCCTGTTCGACGATCGAGGAAATACGTTGTTATTTTCGGTTGATAATGCATCTCAGCGCGGAGTTGTGCCAGAAGAGGTTGACTTTCTGAGCATATAAGGTGAATATAGTGAGTCTATGAGCGATGTATGTGTTGGCGTCGATGATTATGAGAATCCCAAAATGGAAACCCTGGGGTCTGTCTTGAGCAGTATCTACGGTGAAGACATTTTCCGAGATCGAGATCTCATTCTCATACCACATATATTACCTTATAACGGCCTGACGAGGTAGCTACAGGCCCACGAGTAGTTCAAAAAAGAGAATAGGAGCATGTGCCCAGTGAATAAACTGAGTTGTCATTACGTGTATACTCTTCCCACGTAATGCCGTCTCTGTTTCAATCTAAACTGCTCGATTGGAGAACTTGGTAATTAATATGTTATTCTATCATAACCCCAAGACTGTGTATGATCTTAAAAGGAAGGAACTCACGAGACCTCAAGACCAGCGACGTAGCCTTGGCGAACAGCATGTCATTTCTCTCGAGTATTCGAAAGGGATCGAGATGCTTTCCGGCCCTGAAGCATGGCTGGATGAAAACCGCAGCGCAATTTGGCGGCACGACCCGCGTGGCTGCGGGAGCAGGATCAACGATCTTAGATACGGCCGGGACGCTTGGTGATGGAGAAGGACTGTTCTAACTTCTCACCATCGGACGCCTCGGGCCATGGCAGGCTGGTGGATTGTTTCATCTGGCGCCGAGACAAAAAAGAAGGGTCGGCGGTGGATAAGTTGGTTACTGTATGGTAGATAGTAGTCCCGCCGCCGGAGTTATTATTATTATTATCGAATGAATGCTGGTTTATTTATTTTATTATTATTAACTATTCAGTTGGTATTTTTCTATTTTAATTAATTGATTAATCGATTGATTATTATTATTAATTTACTATGAATTAATACTGACTCTTCAAGTGGACCACCACATCTTCAGCCCCTCCGCCCACCAAGACAAAACAACGGGACGATCCCGGCGTCACCTCTTCTTTCTCTCTCTCACTTCAACTTCAACTTCCTCGAGTCTCACTTGCTCTCTTTGTTCACGTTGGACCATCCATCAGTTCTCTAGTGCAACTACTCTTTCTCTTTTCTTCTTCTTCTTTTATTTCTTTTTGTTTTCATCTGTGACATCTTTGTTGTGCTCTTGTTTCTTTCCTGTCCTGTGCTGGGTCACTTGCATCTTCCTCGATAACGAACGGGCGATTGCGCGTGCACCAGCGATCCACTAATCAACCACCACTCACTACTAACGGTGACCGGCAGCAGCAACTGCGTCTTTGGCCTGAGCCCGAACGCCCAATTACTTGACTGTTTCTGCCTCTGCCCCTCGTTTCCTCTGCGGCCACTATCCCAGAACCTTCGTCTCTTGCATCGAGTCGCTGTTCTTCTCGTGAAGACTCGCCTTCCCACCCGACCCCCCTGATATCGCCTATCCGCAACGGTCTGCGGGGCCATTGATCTTTGCCTCGCCCTAGACGGTCCATTACGCCGACCAGAAGCTTTTTTTTGGCTCATCGTCAGGCGCCCTCAAGTCTGTCGCGACTGCCGAGACAAAGAATAAGTCCGATTTGGGGGGTTTTTTTATTTTTCTTTTTGAAAGCCCGTCTTGTCGAAGTTCCCCCGTTGGGAATTCTCCATCTACAGCTCTCATAGTCGAAACCTCCCCCCGCGGCGGTTTTCCCCACGTTGCAGACAAGTCCACGAGAAGCGGTCTGGCAGGCATCGATCTATACTGCAGCCATGGGTGATTTACAAGGACGCAAGGTCTTCAAGGTGTTTAACCAGGACTTTATCGTTGATGAGCGGTACACTGTCACCAAGGAACTGGGTCAGGGTGCATATGGTATTGTCTGGTATGTGGAAGGCGCGCTTGCATCATAATCCAGATTCCGGTTCCTATAATGATGGTCGCTATTATCTATTCTTGGAGACCCCTGGGGGTGTTTTTTTTTTTTCTCTCGTTTTCTCACCCGATCCCCGCGGGAACCAGCATGCTGACAACATGACTCTATATGCAGTGCCGCTACCAACACGCAGACGGGTGAGGGCGTCGCCATCAAGAAGGTTACCAATGTGTTTAGCAAGAAGATTCTGGCCAAGCGGGCTTTGAGAGAGATCAAGCTGTTGCAGCACTTCAGAGGTCACCGCAACGTGCGTCCTGCCGATCGCGTTATCCCCGTAGGGCTGGTAGGGCTGACGAAGCGTTCCAGATCACATGTCTATACGACATGGATATCCCCAGACCCGACAACTTCAACGAGACTTACCTCTACGAAGGTACGAGATACCGTACTCTGATTCTACTTGAGGAACCGTCGATGCTGATTGTCACACAGAATTGATGGAATGTGATCTGGCGGCTATTATTCGTTCGGGTCAGCCTTTGACGGATGCGCACTTCCAGTCTTTCATCTACCAGATCCTCTGCGGTTTGAAGTATATCCATTCCGCCAACGTCCTGCACCGAGATCTGAAACCCGGCAACCTACTGGTCAACGCCGACTGTGAACTGAAGATCTGTGACTTTGGATTGGCTCGAGGCTTCTCGATAGATCCAGAAGAAAATGCGGGATACATGACTGAATACGTGGCAACCAGATGGTACCGTGCTCCCGAGATCATGCTCAGCTTCCAGAGCTACACTAAAGCTAGTACGTTCTCGCCCTCTGCCACGGGAAAAATTGACCAAACGTTTGCATGCTGACGTTTCTTTTCTAGTTGACGTCTGGTCCGTCGGGTGTATCTTGGCTGAGCTCCTGGGTGGCCGTCCATTCTTCAAGGGTCGCGACTACGTCGACCAGCTGAACCAGATTCTTCACTACCTGGGAACCCCGAATGAAGAGACCCTGTCCCGCATTGGCTCTCCCCGTGCGCAGGAGTATGTCCGGAACCTTCCGTTGATGCCCAAGGTTCCCTTCCAGCGTCTTTTCCCGAACGCCAACCCGGATGCCCTTGATCTCCTCGACCGCATGCTTGCGTTCGACCCGTCTTCACGTATCTCCGTGGAGGACGCTCTTGAGCACCGCTACCTGCACATCTGGCACGATGCCTCGGACGAGCCCACGTGCCCGACGACCTTTGACTTCCACTTCGAGGTCGTCGAGGACGTACAGGAAATGCGCAACATGATCCTTGACGAAGTCATCCGATTCCGTGCTCATGTCCGACAGCAGTCCCAGGCGCAGGCCGCCGCTGCTGCTCAGCAACAACTAGCCCAACAGACCAACGTCCCCATTCCCGAAAACCAGCAGGGTGTCTGGAAACAGGAAGAACCAAGACCTCAGGAGGCGATTGCCGCAGGCGGCCCGCATCCTAATGACCTCGAAGCGTCGCTGCAGCGGGGTATGGATGTGCATTAAATAACGTAGCCGTTTTCTTCTCTTTCTCGGCGCGGTCGTTGTTTTTGATTCCCTTCCAGAAGAATATTTGATGTAGCAAGAAGTTATTGGAACACCCCCCCCCAAAGAATCGAGGACAATTATTTTGATGTACAACCCTTACTGTCTCATTATCATTCATGAGACTAGCCGAACTCCCTTCATACTTTATACATCTCGTCACTGTTTATACGTACGTACGGTACAAGCACGGTGGAAACTACCGTTCCAGAGTAATCTATCTTCAATCTCCGCCTGAGGGACTAGCTAGCCTCTGATATAGACTTGAAAGAGGATCGGCCACTCGCTGGAAATGAAAGACAGTATTTTTTTCATTTTCTTTTGAAAAGGATAATATGAGCGGTACTACAGGTACTAGTATAGAAAGTACAGAATGGAGATTTGGATAACTTAATAAGAGTATGATCTAGAATCTAGATAGATGACAGCGATACATCGGGATCGCTAAACCAAAAGATAATAATAATAGTAGTAGTAGTAATAAATACTAATAATCCAATATCGCGAAGATTGAGCCGATCTATATGGTATATTTTCCAAGATTCCAAGCAAACAAACATGGTACATAAAACAACAACAAACGAAAAAAGCAAAGTCATAGTTCGTATCATTCGATGAAATTCGCTTCAAGAAAAAAAAAAAAAAGAAAGGACAAAAGAAAAAGAGGTGTGTGTGCTATGCATGGTAATACGCGCGCCACCAGACGCCCATACAAGCTGCAATGAGGAGATCGAGCATTTTAAGCCCTTCGTCTTCGATGATGAGTTTTCCAAGCTTGGCGTCCTTTCCGTCGAGGCCGCCTCCGGCTCGCTCGCGAGCTAGAGAGAGATCGAAACGATCCTCGTCGTCGATGTCACGATCAGGAGTGTCTGGTGGGGGTTTCTCGTCTGTGTCGGTGCTGCTGTTGGATTGGGACCTGCCGCGTGGGAATTTTGGGAGGAGAGCGTCGGAGCCGAGAGAGCGAGAATGGGGTCGGTAGGTGTTCGGGTTGAGGAGGAGAGCAAGCGAGCTCCGTTTACCTTCTCGTTGAGAGAGAGCTGCTAGCTGGCTGAGAGAGAAGGGGGATTGTTGGTTGGGTTGAAGATGGTGATGTGGGTGTGTTAGAGGGATGTTGAATCGTATCTCCGCGACGGTTGTTGCTGGGTTCTCTGCTGCTGCAGGTCCTGGAATCATGTGCTTGCACTTGAGACTTCGACCGTTGAGGCTGGTGGAAAACGTGCAGGTGCCATTCCAGGGGGAAGTGAACGTATAGTAGCCGCTCTTTAACTTTGATGGTCCGGACGACTTTGGTGGACTTCCACTGCCATTATTTGGAGATTCCATAGATCCTCCCGAGTTTTCGCGGTTATGTCGGAATTTATTTACTGGCGGCGTTGAGACGTAGAGTTTCCGAAGGAACGCTTTGGAGCCGTTTCGGCCTTGAGATGCGTTGTGTCGGTCCTCGGCCATAGATGATAGAGAAGAGCCTCTCTGTCGGTTCGCAGAAGGGACGTTAAAGCCCAATGCTTCGAGGGATAACGGTTCGTTATGTCCCGCGAACCTACCATATCCAGGAGTCGATATCTCAAGGTCGATCGTACTGTTGTCCTCAACGGAGCTCGAGATACTTCCAACGTTCCATTGTACCCCATGGGTCGGATCACGTCTTATGAGGGTGATGTGGAAGCTGGGAGTTGGCCTATCTTCAGGAGTCTCGGAGCTACCTCTAGGAGGAGACAGTCGAGGCCATCTCGAAGGAAACGCTCTTCGCCTTTGCGAGGGTCTACTCTGGACGGCCGGACGTGAAGCATCCAAGCTGTACCGCCCACCTAGCGAGTTGTCATAATGTTCTTTGCATGCGGTTGGAGTCCGCCCATGAAGGTGGTCCGGCTGTGCACTCCATCTCTTCGGGTTCCCGGGGACGTCACCTATTGTTGTAGGCCTCGACGACGCATCGTTTCCTGGCAGTGAAGGAACTGGCCGCCGTCGGATGGTATAAACAGAATCGCTGCGTCCAGGGAACCCTGGGGCTCTTTCCTCGTCAAACATCTGAGGGAATAGCTCTGCTCCTCCCAGCCCACTATCCACTGCGGATGTTTGGAGCGGTCGAGGCGGTAACGGAGGTCCAGCTGTCTCCTCTGGAGCTGTCGATACTTGTTCCCGATGCGGCGGAGGCACAGGCGGTGGAGGACTCTGACTTGAGGCGCCTCCCACAGGCTTTCTCTTCACGTTATTTAGCCTCATGAATTCCTCCGGTTGAGCGGGATTTTGGGCATTTCCGTGGTCGCCATTGTCCTCCGCGGGGTTCTGCTGTGTTTTCGACCCATGTTCCTGCTCAAGACTCTGAAGTACAAGCTCATCGTCCGGCGACGACACATGCAGATAGTACAGAGAAGAGTTGATAGCCTCTGCGGAAACGCTGGATTTGGTGGGAGGTTTAAGAGGGGTCAGGAACACATCTGGTCCAGGCGCAACAATGGCACGTTAGCAACGTTTTGACACATCCACGCGAGAACAGCGTAGAGCCATGGAAAACGATCAGACTCGTACCTCGACTTCCTGGCACCCTAAGAATATACAGCACCAGAGGCCCCAGTGATTCCTGCGTTGGGTTCCGGGGATAAGCGGGCGGATTTGCAGCTAATGCGGTGATGGCTGCCAGTGATCTCGCTTCGACAGGGCCCTGAAACTGGACCGGATCGTTCGCCATCGGTGGAAGACGAACGGCAATTCATGCGTGAGAAGTGAAAACTGCCTCTCCACGTTGAATTTGGCCTGTAATATGAGCAGTTTGCACCGTCCCTCCGGTGGGCTGAAGATGCCCTGGCGGAGCGAGCGGGTACAGTAGTTAGTCGTAGAATAGTACAGTACTAGGGCAGGTAAACAGCAGTGGGGAATCGATGCAATGCGCAGATCAAGCCTCCCCCGCAGTCCTGATGGACCTGGCTGATAACTTATAAGAGACAGCAGATATCAAAAGAGAAGACAGAATAACTGAGAGAAACAACGGCAAAAAGAGATGAAATAATGCAGCCTGCCCGATCGCGACCATCCGATTGACTCGCGACGCTACGACGAGAGCGGACACGTGTGGCCGGAAACAACAGCATCACAGGATGGACGATCCTGCAAACTGTAGGCCATCCCAAGAGCCTCGTCGTGCACTCGCCACAGCATTCGTACGCTTATTCCCCTTAAGGTGTGCTGGTCGAGCAGACGAGCGTTGCCGAACCCGGGTGGAGCGAAGAGACGCAACCGCCTACGTAGGCCACAGGGCTGAGCCATCCCAGTGCCTATCACGAACTAATAATACCTGTACTACACTACACTGGATTTACTTAAGACGGCGGAATCCCTACCGCGCCTGCAAGCCATGGACACAGATGAAACCAGAGAATAGCCGGCCATATATACAGCTTGGTATCTTAGAAGGAAATACGTACAATGATGACCATGGCACACTAGACACAAGGAAAACTGGGATTATCTGTCCCTATCCCGACCAGGGATGTATCAACCAAACGAAAAAGGAAACTCCATACTCCATCGGGAAATCCATATTATTCCTGGGGAATTCAAAGACCTCTTCAAACAACAGTCTCTGCCCTCTCGCCTTCCGCAATGACCGGGACACTCAGACCGCGATCCGGGCTCTGCAGGACGAGCTGCTCGTGGCGACGGGCTCGTAGGAAATCAGAGATGGCTCGAATGAGGATGAACCAGCCGACGATCATAAGAATATAAGAGATCCATTCGCTTGTTGTAATGGCGGATATAGCGCTGCTCGAGCTCTGCTCAGCACCGACTGCTGCCGCAGCATTATCCCCCACGGAATTCGGGTTGAAATCATGGCTATTGGGATCCGGTGGCGTAGTGTATTGCTCTCCGGATTCAGGGCCCCTAGCCTCGCTGCTGCCCTTCATGTAGAAACCGTACTGAACCAACGTGAGGCCGAGACCAGCTCTGCTGCCATTTTTCGCTGCGTGGGTGGTGTGCAAGAGATATGTAAGCAAGAAACCGACTAGCTGGAAGGACATGGAAATCATGCCGTTCCAGACAAAAGAGAACACAGATCCGACCGGGAGACCGTCGACATAGACTTCGTCTGACGAAAGCCCCGGTGCCATAATGGTCGTCTCCCAATACGGAGGCGCGGCATCAGCTGCAGCTTGTTCGTAAGACTATATACTTGTCAGTAAACAGAATCTTCTGGCCAAAAGACGAAACGGAAATGATTGCTTACAGGAGGCAGATCCTCATTCTTCTCTCCTCTCTCCGGCTTCGCGTTCAAATTCGCAAACACACCATCGTTCGTGTGATGAATCCCGCCGACAACGCGGCCGGATGCCGTCGGAGTAGCGAAAGATGGAAGCAACGTATCCCTTCTCTGAGGCGAAGGACCCCGCTGTCCATCTTGTGCCGCTGATTCAGACGATGAAGCATCCACGATGCCGTTTCCGGGCTGTGTCTGAGGTTCGGGGTTTGCTCGCATTAGCCGCTGGCGAGCATCGGGCTCCTCGTCGTCATCCGATTCATCGTCGTCGCCAAAGGTATCAGCTAGGGTCTGATCCGCCTCGTTTCGCACAGGATCATCATGGAGGAGCCGTCGCGACGACGGAGAAGACGAGCGGGAATGGAAAGACGGAGGAGGCGAAGAGGGGCGGGTTTCAGTAGAGGGCAATGGAGGAAATGATTCGGTGTCACCATCATCTCCGTCATCATGGGCATTCACCTAGGTATCGCAAGTTAGTTTACTATCTCTTCCAAGTAGTCATCGATGCCTGCTGTGTCTGGAAGAACCAGAAAAAGGGTACAGAGAGGAGACCAGCAGATGCCTTACCCTTTGATAACGCTGCGAGCTCATGACGAGCTGAACGACAATGTAGAAGATAGGAAAACCAACGAAGAGAACGACAGGTCACAAGAAGATGAGGAGAAACACAAGAAACAAAACAAGAAGGATATGGAGACGCTCTGGATGAGAGAGGCGTCGTGAGGGCACGTTGGCGATGAAGGGAATGGAAGGGGATCGAGGAGATGACGAGACGAAGCGAGGCGATGCGGCGACCTCCACACCTCAGGCAGCCAACAGTCTGGAGTTCCAGTCGGAGATGCTCGATTTCTTTGCGGATCGTCGAGAAAACGCTCTGGCTCGACTCTGTGCGCCCCAGTACTAGGTCTTCTTTTCCTTATTTTATTTTTGATCTTTCCTGGTTCCGATACCCTTCCTTAATTCGAGTTCCTTGTGCACGCATTCGCAAGAGGATTCCGCTGTCCATTCAGCGTTCGCCATCTCCAGAAGTCCGTCCCGTGCTCGGTTCATTCCTCCGTACAGAATCAAATCAACGCAGGTTATTCACAATGTCCAAACCGGTAAGATTCATATACTTTCTCCAAAAGAATATATAGTCCTTATATCGTACATCCATTGCTAACCCTCTAATCACACTAGTCGCTCCGTCCGCAATCAATCCAGTCCCGGATAACTCACATCATCAACCACTGGCCCTCCGACCCCGTTCGCCCCGCGTCAGTCTCCGTTCAGAACTACCTACAGAGCAAGCTCGCCCAGGCCTCACCAGACAAGGGCTCACAAGCTGCCCCGATCTCCCACTCATCCCTTGATGCGCTTTCATCCCTGCTCGAGGACCGTTATGCGAGGCGGTATCCGCTACCAGCGAAACTGCGCCGGCCGGCCAGCGACCCCGACCATTACGACAAGGTAGTGCAGGAATTCGAGATGGCACCGCGCAGAGACTGGTGGGGACGAGTGACGACGAAGATGAGAGGACTTTTTAGGTTCCAGTAAAGAAACGGACCTCGGAAGTTGCGAATTAAGAAAATGAGCAGAATCTGGTGACAGGAGAGGGATATCGAAGGGGAATGGGAGTTTTCCGAAATTTTTACTTTTCCCAGGGATGTAAAATGGGTTTGGTTCATGCATGCAATGCTCTCTGTTTTTATTTTGTATACTATGACTGCTACTGCCCTGTACCACCACTACCCAAAGGGGGATAGGCGTTTTCATACGCAAAGAGATATCTGGCATTGAATATTGCTTCACGCATCGATGCGCACTAAATTAACTATTTCTTAGTACTTACTAATATAGCTAGGGGATGCTGGGTTTATATTATCTATAAGGGCCTATCCATCATCGTCTACTGCTGCCTTACTGACATACTACTTGCCGTGGACAACCCATCAAGAGCAAAGGAACATAAATCATCTATGGAACACATTTTAAAAGGGGGTATTTATAGCATTGGCTTCAAGTCATCTGCCACCTTGAACGGAGCCTCAGTCTTAGCCCGCACCTCGTCAACCGTAACACCGTCCGCAATCTCCACCAGCGTCAGTCCATCGGTGAAATCAACGTCAAAGACACCCAGTTCTGTGATTATGCGGCTGACGCAGGCTCTGCCCGTCAGCGGAAACTCGCACTGCTTGAGAATCTTGGGGTTTCCTTTCTTATCCGTATGCTCCATGGTCACTACGACCTTCGTTGCGGCTGGGTTGGAGACAAGGTCCATCGCTCCACCAAAGCCCTTGATTTTTCCGGGAAGCATCCCTGAGAAGAACAGTTAGATATCACTTCCTTCAGACATGATAACGAGGGGATATACTTACAGTTGGCCAGGTCACCCTTGGCGCTAACCTGCATGGCACCCAGGATGGTGAGATCGATTCTTCCTGCGCGGATCATGCCAAAGGACTCATCGCTGCCAAAGCATGCGGCACCTGGGAGCAGCGTCACAGTCTCCTTTCCAGCGTTGATCAGATCAGGGTCCTCCTGGCCTTTCTTCGGGTAGGGGCCGAGACCCAGGATTCCGTTCTCCGACTGCAACATCACCTGCACGGACGGATCCACGAAGTTGGGCGCCAACATAGGCATACCAATCCCCAGGTTGGCGTACATGCCGTTCTTGAACTCCTTGGCTGCTCGACGGACAATGCGCTCACGCTTGTTGGCAGTGTCTCCCTTACCCAGGGCGGACATATCGGCGCCGTCTTCCTTCGCAAAGGTATACTTTTCGATATTCTTCGCCTCCGTGCTCTGGATGACACGCTTGACATAGATACCGGGAAGGTGTACCGCCGCAGGCTCTATCTCACCCACTTCAACGATGTGCTCTGCCTCGACGATGGTCATTTTCGCATTGCGACCCATGGCCCCGTTGAAGTTGGCGGCGGCATATCGGAACTGGCAGTTACCAAGCTTGTCCGCTTTCCAGGCCTTCACAAAGGCGTAGTCTCCTTTGATTGACTCTTCCATGACATAGCTCTTCCCGTCGAAGACTTTGACATCTCGTGGTTGACTGTAGAGGGCGACGGTACCATCGCTGTTGTGTTTCAGAGGCAGATCGCCAGTCTGCACGACAGTGCCGAACGCAGCAGGCGTGTAGAAAGCAGGAATTCCAGCTCCTCCGGCACGGCACCTCTCAGCTAGTGTCCCCTGGGGTGTCAACTCCAATTCAATCTCGCCGGTCAGGTACATGCGTTCGAAGGTCTTGTTTTCTCCGACGTAGCTGGCGATCATCTTCTTGATCTGCTTGCTCTGCAGGAGCAGACCTAGGCCTGAACCGTCCACACCCGCATTATTACTGACGGCCGTCAGGCCGGTGATGCGTGGGTTTTCTCTAACAGCATTGATCAGTGTATCTGGGACACCACAGAGACCGAACCCGCCCGCCAGAAGAGTCGAATTTGACTTCATATCTTTGATGGCCTCTGCAGCCGAGGGCAAGACTTTGTTGATCTCATTCCGCCGGAGAGTAGTGGAGAATGCTCGAGCGAGAAATCGCTGATGCTGCGAGAACAGAACTGTCAGAATGGATCGCCAGGTGGGCAAGGTACTGTTCACCCTACCTTGTTGACATCGGACGAAAACTGCCTGGCAAGCCGTAGGCACGTTGCTACTTGAGACGGCATTGTGATTGAAATCTGATCACCTCGAGACTGTGACGATTCTCTAAACTCCCTTTTTGCCCCCGTAGAGCAGTTCAATATGAAATAGATAACTACTCCTGCACTTCTGTGAGGGCGGAATTGGTCCGTCAGTGATTCGGAGCGTGTTCCGCAACCTGGTTGTTCCCCACGGCCAATAATTTCCGGGGAAAAAAAGAAAAGAGACCAAAAGAAAAAATTGTCTACGACAGCAAAGTAGAAAAGAGAGAGCTCTCTAGCTGGCTGGCGGGTGCTTAATATAAAGGATAGAATTCTTGTCTGTCCCGTCTGTGTATACTAAGTATGCTTTACCCCGGTTTTTCCATCCCCGCACGCGGCTTTCATCGGCTGCCACATCAAACATTCCCGAGATCCTCTCCACATGGAATGCACTTGATCGCTGAGATAGGCACTGGCAAGTATTATAAAATGATTACAACGAGTTTTCTCTCTATCTAAAAGACACCATACCCCAAAGATCTATGAAGCACATCCTGCACATCATTGTAGAGGGCATTAGCGTCCTGACGCCCTGATAACGTACGCTTAGCCGCGGGTATTTCTCACTCCACCTTTCAGGCACCTCTCTTCTGATATGGACATTAAAATGAAAAATCGCCATCCCGAGCAGGGTCACTTCTGCAGACAATACCAGGGACACTCAAGTGTTGTCACAGGCCTTTCCAAGTTCCGCCTCGGCCGCGATATACTTATTATTGGTACCGGCAGAGCCCTTATCCGATAGACGGATCTTAGATCAGGAACGCGATCTAGATACGTGGCAGTAACTATGGTTACTCTACGACTGCGTTGACCTCACTACCATAGCTAACTACAACGACCGCCATCCATCACTGCTCGAAAACTTGCATGCATCGGTGCTAGCATCAAGTTCCTCTCTTCGGATTTCATGGCATGAGAGGTACTATTCGTGATTACACCTTCTCTATTGGAGATGGGAGCTCATGGACAGTGCAGTTCTCAAAGAGCCCGTGCTGCCTCTTGAAGACTGCAGAGCTTCTCGTCTCTTGAAGACGGTCGAAAGAAACGTCTACGCAAGCCTACTTATTCTCTACTGCCTATGTTCCTTCTCGATCAGGCAAATGAAAAGAAGGAGGTTTCGCTATCTATCAACATAGCTTATCTCAGTCCCATTGCTCCCACTTCTGTCTTATCCTTGGCTAATTGTACAGGTCACTCCCCCCTCAATGATCACGTTGAGCGCGCATGGTTTCGAGTTCCCATCTCCATCTCCATGATAAGTCCTACTCACGTTTCTCGACAGATAGCCATCATAACTACGCCAACCATCATACCGCATCTGTCATACTGATCTCCTCATGGTCTGTGCGCGGATATCCATCCGAAAACGGCAACCCCCACAGCTCCGCTCAAAAAATTTCCGCCATGTCCACCCAAAACGGAAATAGTACCACTATGCATTCATTATTATTCGACTCGCACAATTATTATTATCAATCGGGTCTACGAAGGGCAAAAGAAAAAGAACCTCTCCCGGTCTGATTGTTCCATGACAGACGACCCCTTCACCAACAAAAAAAACATAGCTTGTTTGACGCCACTCAAGCTCGTTTACCTCATAAAAATTTCTTTCGGAGGCAAAAAGATATCAGCCGAAGAAGTTGTTCGGAATTGAGCCGAACGCGGGGGTCGAACCCGCAGCCTTGCGGTAACCTGGATGCAGTTATTTTACTAACTGCTGGTAAGAGCCGCACGCTCTACCGATTGAGCTAGCCCGGCGGCTGTTGTTGAAGTGCGATGCTGAATAGTGACTATTCTACCATGCGAAGCGGATGTTTCTCTTTCATGCGGATCAGTGCAGGTTGTCTGTTCAACGCCTATGTCGTGGAAGGAGGGGAGGGTCGTGGAGGGAGAATGTGTGTGTATGGGCATGTGGGTGTCTACTCGATTCCAATTTACAGATCTTATGCATTCCCTTCGCATAGGATATTGCTGCCCATCCAGGGATCCGAAAGCAACAACTCGACACATCGCTATATATATGTGTGTTGGTCTTCATGAAAGATAGGCATATACGCTCACAATCGCCAGAAACGATAAACCAGACGAGTAGCACGACTGACCCGGTCCTATGCTATACAGATCAAGACTGGTCAATAAGAAGCTCAGATAGCGGTTACATCGTCGACCACGCAGAATGATTAATCCAAGCAACTAACCACAGTCCTCCCTTTCAAAGAAGTAGACTGAAACAGAAAGCTTTTGAAAGTATGTTTTTATTGCCTAGTGCGTTGCCCATTGCGGCAACTGCAGGAGACGATAGTTGAGCCGCATGTAATTACATTCTCGAAAAGTCTTTCTTTGCGAAACCACATAAATGCTACTTGAGTATGAAGTGCAGGTATCGCACATACGAACATGCAAAGACAGATAAAATACGACGACTCCTGGACAAATGCTATAAATGAGAAAGGCGGAGATGGGCGGTATCATAATGCAAAAAGGAAATTCTGCTCAGAAACATCATACATGGTATTGCAGCGTTGGAAGGGCTAATAGGCAAGTGAGAACTCAAAGATAGAGATCCAATGAGGAAGGCATGAGATGAAAAGAGAAACATGTTCATTTCGAACGTGAATGCGGAAATATCCTGCTGTCCTGTTCAGTCCCCTCGAATCGCCAACCCCCCCTTTTTTTTTCCCCGTACACCTCCGCTCATTCATTCGATGGATACATGAACAAAAGAAATAATCAGACGGGGAAATTCCCGCATCTAGACGTGACGTATATCCCCTCATCCAAGTTTGCGCAGCCGCGTAATCTGGACATATCGACATTTGTAGGAAAGAACAGCAGGTGATTCTCATCCAGAGAGTATGGGGAATCGTAAGAAGTCAAGGCATTTAGACGGAATTCGGGTGACCATGACTGGTTTCAAGGGAATCGTCTACTCCCTTGCGTTTTGAGGGGACTGTGGAAATATTCGTAGAAGGGCCTACCATTCCACGTTTTGTGCGTCAGCTTCATTATTGAACGACCAGGTTCCGGCTGCATCGCTGCCTCCCGTATCGGTTTTTCTCTTCTCATCTAGAGTAGAAGCGTCTGCCGTACCTGCCGGGCCACTGTCAGTCCATGCTTCATCGTACGCGGGTGGATCCATATCCACATCTTCGCTCGTCGTTACAGTATCCTCGCCCTGGGCAGCGGCTGGAATCGTTGCCTGAGCGGCTGTATCTTCTGCTGTGGAAGCAGAATTCTCAGCGATTTCTCGGCACACCGGTTGGACGAGGCGGTCTTTCATGCGCTCATTTACATAGACCAGGAAGTACGGCGTCGGAGGATTTCGGCCCTGGCTCTCGAATATTTCTGCCCGATTATGCACCTCCGTAATATCGCTGTCGTTGTATTTGCGCCAGACGTCCTTCTTGAAATCGTAGATGTAGATGTAATAATGCCCGAATTCGACAGACCCATGGTGCACAAACACAGCGTACAGGCGGTAAGGGAGGTGCTTGTAATCAGCAAATTGGCTCGAAATCATCGCCTGCGTGTCCCTGATCTCCTGCTCCACGACTTTGAAGACCATCAGTATCGCAGACAATTAAGACGACAGTGCAGACTTACACGCTAGCTCTGTCTTGGTTATCTGGGACAGCTGGTCGAGTTCTGTAATTGTCTGCGGGTCTATCTCGATAGCATCGTCCGCGGTTTCTTCATCGTCTTTCATGGCGTCAAGATCTTCGAGCACACGTTTTGCATTATCAAACAGAGCAGGCATGTCTTGACGATCGTTCTCCTGTGGTTACAGTCAGTCATGAGATTGCATCGCTTCTTTGAAAATGTGTAGTAACGTACCTCTTTGCGGAGAAGCTCCTCTCTGCGAGCCTCGAGCACCCTCAGCGTGTCCTTCCATGCCCAGCATTGTCGTCGACGATTCATGAGCTCCTCTTGCTGCGTATCCATATATCTATCGAGGTAGATTGTTTCCTTCAACTCAAGGTGGTGAGTTGACTTATATGAAGTCTTCTTGACGGGGTCGAACTGGACACGTTGGACTTGGATCTGGAGGATTGGGGGCAACTTGCTGATGGATCCGAATTGCTCTGCTATTTCTCCATCGACATGGACCTTCTGTGCATCAAAAGCCCCATCAATGGCGGCGTAGATGTCACGAGACCCAGATGCTACGTCGACTTTGATATCGCACCACAGCTCCTCCTTTGAGCGCACACCGCGTTCAGCAGTGATATAGGACTGCGTTCTTCCGTAAAACAAGCTGGATTGGACGTCAGTGAGATTTTTCTCATGTTTATGCTTCTGTCACTTACTCTTTAACCTGATCCAGCTGCTCACCATCTGGAGCAATGGCTCGAGGTTTAATGGCACATTGGCTTTGGAAGAGAACATTGTTGATGACCTCTGTCACATCTTGCTGTGCTCCGATCTCCACCTCTTCGAGTAATTGCCTCTGTCGTTCCGCATCCGACGATGGTCGTGGAGGCACAGGTGGAGGCCGATTTGGCGGCCCTATAGGGCCGGGAGTCGCCTGAGAGTCTGTAGCAATCGCATCCTTTTCTTCTTCAGAGGTTGGCTTGATATCCTGCTCTGAGGCGTCATTTCCCAAAGGAGGTTGGTTCTCCTTATTGTCCGCAGGCGGTCCAGGTGTCTCATTTCGGCTGCTATCGACAAGCGTCGCGTCGCTATCAACGTCGCTTGTCGTTGACTCTTTCGATACATATGTCTCCGCGGTGACAGGAGCGGCCGTTGCTGTCTGCTCTGCACTTTCATCGCTTGTGCCTGTCTTTGGCGGCCCCAAAGGGCCCATCACTGCCACCCCGTTTATCTCCCCTAAACCACCCGGCCTTGGACCGGAGATTGTCGACTTGCAACGTATGGCTGCTTCATTCGTTGAACTAATCAGGGTCAATCTAGCCAACTCCGGAGATGGTGTAACAGAAGAAGAAGGAGAAGTGATCATATTCTGAAACAGTGTCCGAAGCTCTCTCAAGACTGTTGTCAATTAGCGTTTAGTGGAGGTACACAGGGTAAAGAGGTCTTACATCTCTGAGAACGCTCAACTTCATTTTTTGTGACTTTACGCGATCCAACTTGCTTCTGACTCAAGTTCTCCTCTCCCATGTCCATCTTATGATTTTCGAAATCAAGGACCATCTCGCGATAGGGGCGCACAGTAAAGTAGAACTGCAGTAAGCTATTAAGGTAGCAAGTGTTGCCGATATTCTGCAGGCCCACCGGCCACTCCGATAACTTGCGATCGGATTGAGCAGTAGAGCCGGAGACGAGGTTTCCGAGGATGGCGCTATCCTTATCCTTTGCGATGATACTGAGAGCACGGTTGTAGGTCTCTATCTGACCTGGGGCCTCGTCGACGCAAATAGTGTAGGCCGCCATTATAGCCGCATCGTCAACAGTTCGATCCGGTATTTGAAGCAGCCGGTATGCGTCTCCGACATCCATCTCGCCGAGTCCGGTCTCACCTGTCTTGAGAAAATGGCTCAGAGTTTCGGACTTCCGTGCTTCTGCAATAATCTCAACAGCACGGCGTGCAAGATCTTTGCTTGCGGGGCTGTCGGTTATCTGGTTTTCATGTTAGTCCGTCTGGTATTGTGATAGGTGTTACCGCACAAGAAACGGTCTGTCTGGCTTGCAAATCCGCAAGATGCGCGAGGAGTAATACCTTCGCCGTGTACATCGTGACAATGAAATCGTCGGGTGTTTTCTCATCCACCCCAAGGAATACCAAAGCTTGCTCGGGCGTTGAAACCCCTGCAGAAAGGTCAGTGCATGATTACGGTCAAGCTTCAGGCCATTGAAACTAACTTTCTTCAGCAGCTGCCTTGATGTGCTCGCTTCGCCTGCTGTCTCCTATCCTCCACAACTGTTTACGTGTCTCAGCTTCGTGGGTGGTGGCGCTTAAGAATGCGTAGAATTTCCCAATGATGCTGTCTTCAGTGAGGGTGGGATCTTCATGGCTAAGGCCGAAATACTTGTACGCCTTGACGACGTCTTCTTCGGTATATTGACCCTCAGAATATGCCACCATGACGGCTTGATCGATGACCTCACGCTCCGATCCATCTCTTAAACTGGCTACTGTTTTGAGGTTCTGAAGATAAAATGGTGCTCGCGATGGATCGACGCTGATCTGCCGATTATATGCTTCCACGACTAGAGCGGAAGACATATCCTCCACAGCCCCCAAGTCTTCGTAGCACCTAGTATCTCCACGTTAGATTTCGATTGACCACACAGAAAAAGGTAGATGGGAAGACGAACGGTGTCCCTGGCATTTGGAACTCTCTCCAACCCACGGCCCTTGGGTCTATCGTGTGATCAGCATAGGTCATCGGCATCCAAGAAGAGAGAGGGAAACCAACAGTTCAGGGCCCCAAGAGCATATAAGATATCGTTCTGTGCGAGTGCTGGCTGGTCTATTTGGTGCCCCTTCCTCTCAGTAGGTGGTCGTTGCTCTATCAGCGCCGATAGCTCATGCACAACGTCATCTAGGAAAACATTAAAGGGGTCATGATAAGGTGGGGCTTCAGTAGCCTGGGGGCGCGGGGGCTCCCAGAAGCCTTCATTCTGAATTGAACGGTTGGAGTTAGCTATTTACTGGTGGATCGCACGTGGTCAAAGAGAACCAAGCAAAGGTACATACCTCGTTGTGGAACTCGAGAAACCGTAGAAGGTCTTGACAGGGAATTCCTTCAACCCCAAAACAGACCATGAATCTTTTATTCACAGCAGATATTGATTTGCTCCTTTGCCGGTCATGAAGAAGAGCATTGCTGATATATGTGCGCAGGTTTTCCAAGACGTTGATGGGAAGCGGGTGACCAACTCCCTCTAAGCGATCTGGGTGAGCATTGATGGCTTCATCAGCCCGGTTTTTGAGCAGTTCTGGGTCCGTTAGAAGTTGCACCCACTGAGGGCCGAGCAGCGGAGAAGCGATGCGCAGAGATGCGACTGCTGAGCACGTTAAATATGAACATTCGTAATGAAATGTCTCCACGTGCTGCCCCTTAGGGGTTATCTCCTCCGTAGATTGCCCGCCTGCCTGTCTACCAGACTTGTACACAAAATGGTGGATATGATCTGCTTGATTCTGACTGATCTGGCCCACATCCTTTGTATATGTTACGACCAGCTGCAGATGGTACCTGCATTTGGAACAGACAGCTGCAACTCTGTATGTCGTGCCAGCTCCGCGTCTTTGTGTCTGTGGTGGGAGGATGGTCTGGTTCGTCTTGGTGGTATAGATATGCTGGCAAGCGGCCGGCGAAATCCACTGCTGGATTCCATTGTATCCTTCTGGAAACACAGGAGGCACTTGCGAAAGTAGGTTTCTGCCCGAACTCGGTGGGTTTTGAGGGTCGTATAGATTAATGTCGGCTGCTAAACGCGGAGCAGTCTTGCCTATATATTCGTATCGGTTAGCAGGTAACGTTGGGGATTGCCTCAGTTACTACCATGACACGGCTTACAGACCTGCTCTCCCTGGGGGAGACATAGGTGGCTGTATTTGCACCAGCGATGGTCGCAAACTTGACACCAAGGAGTCCAGCCCCGAAACTTATGGGTGTTGAGCCTAGAGCTAGCAGTTACTAGACCAAGAGCTCTCTGCAGACGGATTGGAGCTTCCTATAGCACAATCCCCTAAGATGCAACTAATCAGATCATAGCCATGCTAAAAGTACATTAGTTGGCCTTACCCCCGGCTATGCACAGATCACAGGTTAAGAGATCTCAAGAGATCAAACAGCGCAGGCAGAAAGTGACGCCAGGCGAGCGGAGGGGCAAACGGCCAGACAAGCTTGGAACGGACAGCTCCCATTGACGGCGGAAGCGCCTGCAGCCCAACTCTGAGCAGCCTATCAAAAAGGAAATAGATGAGACGAGAAGACCTCCAGCTTGAAACCCATGGAAGAGTCTTTGTCAGATTATGCGACTGTCCTCATGCTCTCAGACGTGCCGCGGAGCTTCCTGGTTGATGCCAAGGAAGGCGGTATCAGACGGCAAAATTCACTCCATATCCAAAATCGCTCCAACCGACGACGACCGCCCTATCCAAGAGCCGCTCATTCTCGTCTGTATCAGCCAACATGGCGTCGACTACGGAAGAGAACTCCTACCATCCTAAGGATGCCATTGCGGCGGCCAGCAAGACCACCCTACTGACCGGTGGAATTGGTCTGTTCGCCTCGGCCGTCCAGAACACTCTGGTGAAGAAGAATGTCGGACCGTGGGGTGTGTTTACGAGAACCGGCGGCACCATTGGTATTTTCGGTGAGTCGCACTATCTGGGGTGATATATCTGATTTATTTGAATCAATTGATGCTGACTGTGGGTGATTTTTCAGCGGCGATGGGTGGTACATATGAGTTCGTGAAGACCGCTTCCGCCAACCTGCGTGAGAAGGAAGACCCCTGGAACGTTGCTCTAGGAGGCTTCTTCTCCGGCTCAGTTCTCGGCCTTCGAGGTTTGTCCTGTCGTTGAGGATGCTACGAGGCTACGATCTTCGCTAACCGTCATCCAGCCCGTACCTTCCCCGCCGTCTTCGGATACGGCGCTGCCCTGGCGGCGGCACTGTATGCCTTTGAGTACACCGGAGGTTCTCTGCGAGGCTACGAGAAGGACCGCAGCGTGGACGAATTTGAGAGACTGGAGAAGCTGAGGAAGGCATACAGAACACCGGCAGAGGAGACTTTCGCTGAATTGGGCGAAGGAAGAGGTATGTGGCTAGATTGGGATCGCACGACTTCTTACGTTCTCGCTAACAAGCCCCCAGGTATCTACGCCCCTGGCTACGCTGAACGCCGTCGGGAGCGTATCAAGCAGGCATACGGCATCGATGTTCCCGCAACTGCTGCTCCCGCGTCTTGAGATTGGCATCCTCTGGACTGGCCCAGTTTGTTGCGTCAAAACGTCTTCATGTAATATACCTGCACACATACCAGGGTGTCAAGAGAGCTCACCCAGCTTACAACACGATTTCTTTTCTGTTTGCGACCTGTTTATTTCCCGTTACGATTGGCAGTAGGATCGCACAGGACACAGCGTCCTTGATACGAGTAGCATCAACAATGGGCCCCCTGCCTGTTGATGCGACCCATCTAGCATGCCAGTTTCTGTAGATTTTTTAGCGTTCAGATTCAGATTAGGTCACGGTCCTGGTATGAAGTCGTTCTGCGTAATGGTGCTCTCGACCGTCAGCGGTGACGCTTGCCCGAAGCTTCCCGTCATGACGGGTTGACCGATGCCGATCGGATTTGATGAGGTCGAGCTTTTTCCTCTTTAAACTTCTGATCTACAACACCAGACCTTTGTTTCTGTCCTTCTGTTTCTTTTGACATGGACCAAAGATCTCTGGTTTGGTTTACGTCCTTGCCGCTGCCGTCCGTCCAGTTGGAGGTACTACTGCTGTCACCCTCCGGCAATGGTCCATGGCTGGGCGCCAGGGCAGAGACGGGTGATTTCAGGTGTACACCATGGAAACCAGTTTTAGAGTAGCCAGTGCACCCCGCCTTGACTCCCATTAGGCGCCAGAGGCAATATTACATTTTTCTCGTGAGGACCGTCTGTCAGTATTACGCCTGTGTCCCTAGGATAACAGCCGAGATGCCCGATCGGCAGATTGACACTTGCCACAAGTTCCCTTGCACCGCCATGTTTCCCGACGAGCTGTCAGATCCATGTTGTCGGACCAGTAGGGCTGCTGCTGGCCTGTCAGCGCTTGTCAGCTGTATGTCTACAGGCGCAGAACGGAGCGCCCTTCGGTGGCTCGAAACTAGCAGTGCGGCCGCCGGGGGAACCGAACAGAGGGTGGAGCTGGCGCAACGTGCCCGCTTCTCCATGTCTGCTTGCTCCATGACTCCATGAGTCCATGTGCGGGAAAGGCAGTGAGTCGTTGACGCCACTGTAGAGTAGACAGCCCTGTGGCTATCTCGACGGCAAGTGGACCAGCGCGAAAAGGGAACACGATTCGAACCCGAGACTGACTGCCGGGATCCATGCCCGTCGACTCGAGTCGAAATAGATAGAGAGCAAGTCAAAATGAATAATAACCATACTCGAGTCCAAGTAAGTTAGACTGTCTTCCGCCCTTCCGCTGGCGCCGTGTCCAGATGAACATTCGATGACGTTTAGTCGAAGGGAGATAATAGGCTTTTGTAGCTTCCAGCTTGTGATTGTGGTCGTTTCTTCCCAATCGGGTCGTGACCGTCATGAGAAAGATACGAATCATCACATTTTCCTGTCAGAATCTCCTAGCTTGAGCGTTGGACAGGACGAGTGCGTATTCTCGAGTTGCCGGTTTCGTCGTTACAGTGCCAATGAACCCCCCCGCGCCTTGACCACCGCCACTCTGCGGCATCTTTAGTGTACTCGTTGTGCCCAAAAACGATGAGGCAGTGAAAAACAACACTTGCGTTAGTCGATGGCTGAGGGGATCTAGGCAAGCTCAGCTGCGCTGTGCTGATGGAGCAGATGTACCCGTACCGTTCGGAGGACCGAAGCGCGACTACTACTGCAAGACGACGGATTACTCTGCGCTTCGTAAGTCAGTCAGTCAGTAACTTAGTATCCAAGAATTCACCAGGTGGAACGAGGTCTCATCATGATCCAAGGCTCAAGCCTCAGGGATTCTCCGCCTAGAGTCCGATAGGCTTTGACGCTGGTCCCGCCAGGCTCCGTCAGTCCGTCTGGAGAGTTTCCCCTGGAGTTGATTATTATCGTGCGCTGCTAGGATAGAGTTACGAACTGGTGCGGACGGCTTGAGGCTGGACAGGGCGCTGGATGCTTCCCCGGCGAGGCCGACCGTCGTCGCTGTTCATGTTCAGTTCATGGCAGATGTTCGCAGAGTCGACAAGACGTCATCCGCATCCGTCACGATCGTGGTCTGTAACTACTCTAAACCCGTCCGACAGCACCTCCTCCTCCCTCCTCTTTCTCTTCCTCTTCCTCTTCTTCTTCTTCTTCTTCTTCTTCTTCTTTCTCTCCTCTCATCCTCTCTTTCGCAATTCTCCCTCTACATGGCGCTGTTCTCTTCAGCCGTTGTTTCAATAGTCCCGTGCTAATGGTGGGGCTTTATCCGTTAAGCTGATCATCTACGCAACCATCGCCGACTCCCCGCAAACAGTTCGCTCTAGATCTGAGCCGACTCTTCGCCAGGGAAGCTCTAGGGACAAAGTCGCCTTCTCGACTGTGTCTCGAACAATTCCACGTCCAACACCAGATTCACTACTATCTCTGCAATCTTGACGCAGAACAACCCGCCGGTGCGCTCGATCAATCACTCTCCACCATGGCCATGGCCGCGCGGCCGGATATACCTGCGCAAGACGGGTACGGCTCGGTCCCGCACCCCACGGATCCAACGCACCTGAGCAAAGGCTATGGGGTCGGTTCGGGGTCAAGACCGGCTTCTTATGTCGCTAGTTCGGACTACAATGCTGCCCATGGTGCTCTGGAGCCGTCGCATCTGGCACACCCGACTCGATTTCACGAAGAACTCGATAACAACAACGACGACTACAACCAGCGCAATTCCACCGTGATGGATGGTTCCTCTGCAGGCGGTTTGCACCGATCCGATTCGCATTCATCGCATGCGCAGTCGGTATCTCTCTCGAGAGGCGGAACGCTGAGGAAGAAGGGATCGCTAAGCAAGAGGGCGAGTCTGAGACGCAGCGGAAGCCGGAAGAGTCTCCGTGCTGGCAGTGTTAGGAGTCTACATCTAGGCGATAAGGAGAAATATGGTGTTGACGGGGCCGATAATATGAACAGTCCTTTTTTTGTGCCGATCCCTACAAATGGAAGCCCGACGGATGTCCTAGCGAATCGGTTTCAGGGTATGTGGCTTGTGATCTTACCGTTCCGGATCGACGATACTGACTGAACTGCAGCTTGGCGCAAGGTTTTAAAAGATCTCATCGTTTTTTTCAAGGATCTCCAGAAGTCGCATGAGACCAGATCAAAGCTATTCCTATCGGCTTCGAACATCGTCAACAACGCTTCACTTCCGCCAACGTTTCTGGAATCGGGTGGTCTGGCGGATGCCACGGAGATCCTGCGAGACTACCACAAGCAGGGTCTTGCTGAGGCTGCTAGGGCAAAGGAAATCGACAACGAGGTGGTCCTGCAATTGACGGGTCTCAGGAGTGACCTTCAACAGAAAACTAAGGAGATTAAGAGTCTATCTGGGGACTTCAAGAACACGGTTGATAAGGAGGTCGAGGGGACCCGGAAGGCCGTTCGGAATTTGCAGGAGGCATTGGGGCTCGTCGATCTGGATCCTGCTGCTACATCAGGCAAAGGTGATCCGTTCATCGTGAGATTACACGTGGACAGACAGATCGAGAAACAAATTGAGGAGGAAAACTATCTTCACAGGGTGAGTGCAAACGACTCGTTACTCCAAAAGCGGAGAGCTAACCTTCCTCCAGGCATTTTTAAACCTCGAGAGCTCGGGTAGAGAGCTTGAGTCCATAGTTGTTGGGGAAATCCAAAAGGCATACAATGCATATGCCAACATCCTCAAACGGGAGGCAGAGCAAGCCTTGGATACAGCGGAGAAGCTCCGAGCTGGCCCGGTCTCGATGCCCAGAGATCACGAATGGAACAGTTTCATTGCGAACGAGGATCAGCTAGTGGACCCGAAGACCCCGATCCGCAGCGTGGAGAGTATCTCTTATCCCGGAAAGGACCATCCCGCCGCTGCAGAAGTCAGATCGGGGATGCTGGAAAGGAAGAGCAAATACTTAAAGAGTTATACGCCTGGATGGTAAGTCGGTTTTTCCATATTGTTTGTCGTATCTACTAAGATATCCTAGGTATGTGTTATCTCCAACCCACCTCCACGAATTTAAATCACCAGATCGGGTCTCCTGGCAGACTCCTGTCATGTCACTGTATCTGCCGGAGCAGAAACTAGGCTCCCATTCACAGCCTGGTTCAACATCCCACAAATTTATGCTCAAAGGACGCCAGACGGGAGCAATGCACCGTGGTCATGCTTGGGTGTTCCGCGCAGAGTCTCATGAAACAATGATGGCGTGGTATGAGGATATCGAGAATCTGATCGAAAAGACTGGAGAGGCACGAAATGCGTTCGTTAGGCGGCATATGCGAAGCCTAAGCGGTGGAAGCTGGAGAGCCAGCTCGATCAGCAGCGACGGTGCGATGGAGGAAGACGAGGCCGATCGAACACCCTACTCTGCCGAATCTGTGATGATGAACCAAGAAGCCCCAGAAACAGAATCGCAAGGGCCACGTCCTCAGCCAGGTGGAAGGTTCGGCAGTGACGTGCAGATCGACCGGCATATAAATGAACCTCTGTCGCCATCCAGCGGAGAAAGTCTAGCTGATAGGGCGCCATGGGCAGCAGCCGCAGGAGTACCGTTATCGCATGCTAGCCAGCCTCCTCAGGGACAAGAATACTACGAGGACCGTGTCGATTACGGACAACAAGAGAGGATGCTACCAAATGGCACCTCTGGTCAGTCGGGCCCAGTTCGCCCAGAGAGACACAGCAGCTACTATGGAGACTGGATAGGACCGGTTGCTGCTACCACTACCTCCAGTCCAACTAGAAACAATGAGCAGTTGCAGCAACGACCGGCCACGGCTTACCAATACCACCAACTCCTGGATGAACACCCTGATCTTGCGCGACAACGAAGTAACAATTCAAGCGTACCTGTCGCTACGTCGCCATCAATCAATGCACGGGATATGTCTTACGAGCCGCAGGCGAACCGGTATGAGAGCGCATCAACCGTTCCCACCACTACCAATGTTACTAGTCGCTCCAACAACACTGCTCAAACGTCACTAGACGCTGCTGCGGGTGTGGCTCCAGCTGCTGTCGTCGCAGGAACGCACCGTGACTTAAAACGCCAGGACTCTGAACGCTCACGAAGAGATACATCTTCCTCCCCAGGGCCAACGTCGACTCTTGCTTCCAGTGCGACGTCCCCTTTATCGAGCAACGGGATTATATACGCGAGTATGAACCCGCAACTACAACAACAGCAACAGGATGCGACCCGTCCGTCTGCCACGTCGAAGGATAGCGCAACTTCGCTTGAACTACGGATACCGGGTCGATATCCGCCCGCAGCTACGGCGTGAACAATCTACCATCTAAAGTTTGATGACCAATTCGATCTTGAAAAGGCAGGCTCCTTCAGAACCGAAAAGACGACATGGCGTGGCTATCTATCTATGGGGATGAAAATTGATGGCATTAACCCTTGCAGCTCCGAGAACACTGTGTGTACCAACGAGCAAGAACATTCCCAAGGGACACCGTCAAATCATCCTTCACATGAATTGACCGAAGAACCCCTCATGTGGCGTTTTATTTGACCTTTTTCCCCCCTCCGCATATATCATCTGTGTTGGTTGGTTAGTTGTCTATTTGTTTCTGCCTTTTAGTCGTTTCCTTTGAAGTTTTGTTATCGATCGACCTCGAGCTTTACCCCTCACGAATTTCGGGTAGGAATCCCATGTTAGGAATTTAGGATTTTCATCAACTAGGATTAAGGATAGGTTATGTAAGGTTCACAGGTCTCTTGTTTTATTTTCTGTTTGTTGTCTTCTCTCCGGAGGGATTCACCATCATCAAATAAATGACTACTACGTTCTTTTCTTAAACCAATCCTACTTAGCCTCCTGTCCTTGAAATCTATCGAGCTGCTGAGTAGCAGTACTAGCAACTTAGAACATCTTCTACGACACACGAAACCATAACAATAATGACGGATCTATGAATCCAGATTCTAGAGCTGGCTAGCATACATATATCTGACGTTCCATCCTCTATTTTACTCTTGCTTTGTGCCAGGAAGCTCTTAAGCTTGGCACTTATCGTCAAAAGACGAAGCTTATTCGTGATTGGCGGGGAATTCACGCATACTACACTACCTTCCTTACCTGCCCTTCTTCCAAGTTCCCAGGTAACCTCAATATTATTAAGTTATCTTCGGAGAAACCGTGACGGATCGACGGAAGTATTATCGCAAGCCATCATCTGAGGAACAGCTTGAAACACTCGGGACAAAGACTCCACCATGTCCAAAGCAGACCGTAGATAATTGATACTCAGGTGGAATGGAGAAGGAACTCCGCGACATACGGCACGTACGGATTACATTTTTGCGTCATGTTGACTTGATAAGAAGCTAACTCGAAGGCCTGCAGTCCGGTAAAGACTGAAACTATGATAAAAGCAATAGGGGGGTAAAGGGGAAAGAAGTTGCGCGAAATGGATCTATCCGTCGAGCCAGCTAGGGGGGTGCCAAGCAAACCAAACCATCAAATCACGGATCGCTTTTTGTTGTGTCGGTCCATAAGGAAGCGAAGAAGAGATAATGAGAAGAGAAAGGATGCAGACTATCCGGATGAACATAGGGAGCCTTAGGAACCATTCAGTGTAGTACATCGTAAACTTTCCGGGGGATATCTCTCGACTCGTTGAAAAGCGTACGGTAATGTTGTTACATGATCTGATCCTGAGTGATTCCGGACGTAGGTTCAGTACCGTCCATTGCATCTCCTTGCGGTCCCGCATTCAGATACTTGACGAAAGTAATGCCGAGAGGACGACCACCGTACTGGTAGCCCGTGAATTTGGCTAAAAAATATAAGTTAGCAACAAGGGGTTCTATCTGCGCGCAGGGTTTCATTTCGTGGCCTACCAATCGCAGTCTCTGCAGTTTCAGCGTTGTCAAATTCGACCACACCGGTACCGCGAGAGCGACCGTTGGGTTCATACTGGATCTCGGCGCGCTCCACCTTTCCAATTGTGGAAAACAGGTCGACGAGATCTTCATTGCAGGTCGACCACGGCAGCTGAGAGGGTACGTTAGTAAATGTGACGCTAAAAAGAGACCAGCCAAAGCAGCAGCACCTACATTGCGGACATAGATGACGGGGCTCTTCTCTCCTCCAGATGTCGCATAGTCAGTGAAGGGGTTTGGCGGCACAGAAGCACCAGGTTCACCAGCACCACCACCAAAGCCACCACCAGCACCTCCGCCAAAGCCGCCGCCATAACCACCTCGGCCGCCAAAACCACCGAAGCCACCGCGACCGCCGAAGCCACCACGGCCAAAGCCGCCGCGACCAAAACCACCACCAAAGCCACCACGGCCGCCGAAGCCAGGTCCACCACCGGCATACCTGTCCTCACGGACCTCAAGGGTCCTTCCCTGCCAGTCGTAGCCGTTGAACTGCTGGATGGCGGTACGAGCGTCTTCAGGGGACTCGAAAGCGACAATGCCAGATCCCTTCGGGCGGCCGCTGGGGTCCGTGTGAACATCAGCACGGATCACCGCGCCATGCTGGGCTAGATATTTGATTTTTGTCAATCATGATATTCCACTCACGTAGATAGGAGGCTACAGGTTGGCTTGTGCAGCTCAGAACTTACCGGCTTGGCGGAACAGATCCTTCAGGTCTTGCCAGCCAACGTTGAAAGGGAGCTAGAAAGAAAACCCTAGTCAATATGGATTCGTTCCACGATGTTAGATCAATAATAAGAGGGGACAAACGTTAGAAACGTAAATCTGGCGTCCACCGCCTCCTCCACCGCCGCCAAAGCCTCCGAACCCGCCTCTGCCAGGGCCTCCTCCGAAGTCACCACGACCGGGAGGGCCGGTGAAACGAGGCTCAGCTTCGCGGTCCTGCAGTCAAACAAGAGTCTCGGATCAGTTCCATGCTGGCTGGCTCGAGAGAAAGGATAGGAAAAATACCTCGCGAACGTAAACGAGTCGTCCCATGAGATTCTGGTTGCTGAGCGTGTTGACTGCTTGCTGAGCTTGCTCCCTCGTTGCGTATTCCACAATCCTGTATTTCATCTCGTGAGACCTCTTGCCATCCAACGGTCGTTCTCATCAGCACTTACCCGCATCCCTACAGTAGTCCGTACGGCCAAGCCCAACCCGTCAATCCAACAGTCCATCAAAAATAACCAAGGAAAAACCGGGAAAACCAGCCACACTACGCATTGGCGCCCACCTTCGACATTCCATTCGGAAGTAGTAACACATCGGCGAAGAGAACCTCTCCAGCTATAACACACATCCCGCTGTCAGCTTTGTCCCACCTAGCTGGTGCGCATTTCACCGGCCAGGATATGACCCTGCTCACCCTGTCTCATAAAGTCTTTCAAGTGATGCCATTTCACATCGTAAGATAGATTGCCCACATAGACCCGGCGGTCTTGCTGGGACGATTCGCGTACAGACTGCATCATCTGTTCTTTGGCAACCGCGCGATCCTCGTACGATCGACCAGACGCAAAACCACCACGTCCTCCGTAGCCTGAACCCGAATGTCCTCCAGACGCGCCAGCTGCACCACTCATAGGAGATCTGGATCTGCGGTCACTGCGGCGGTAATCGTCACGGCTGCGAGAGCGGCTACGCGGCGAGTACGAACGACGGCTGCGACGAGGACTGCGTGAACGGCGACGAGGAGAACGAGATCTCTCACGCTGCGCGTGGTCAGTAACTGTTGGGAAGGACGGCATTGAAAGTAGTAGTGCGCGGGGGTGGACGAAGGGATGAGGAGGTTTCCGAGGGAGAGGGCGAAATTCACTCGAAGAGGAACGGGGATGCAGAGGACCCGGGCGGTCAGGTGACGCAAGCTGAGCAGCGGGAAACAACGAGCGACAATGAGGCAGGAGCGAGAGAGCGCGAGAGAGAGAGAAGAGAGAGGAGAGAATCAAGCAGCACAACTCTTTTCATCTCGCACTCGCGATGCTGCGCATCCATCTCTGCGTCTCTGATTCTTTTTTCCCCATCATTTCGCTCGGGCCCCAAGGTCATGCGCTCAGATGCGCACCATTGGACCTAGGACTCGGCCTCAGGCGCGCAACGGATGCCATCTATCACGACCATCCTGCTTGCCTGCCAGTGTGCTTCTGCCCGATCTTCAACCTAAGCAGACCGGCTGGAGGCATTTGCCCAGTCCCTGAAAGCCACCAGCCCTACGGATCGACGCAGGACACGCTGGGATCTGCGAATGGTACAACAGAGGAAAGAGAAAGCTCAACTTACTTGATGCGGTCGATAGACGTCAGCTGTATCTAGGACGGATCAATGCCAAAGCGTGAGCCGCAAGTTTATATCAAAAAGACAAGACGAGGGGAACCAAGGACTGATAAAGAACAACGCGGGGCAAGGCGAGGGACTCGACAGATCGAGACTAAGAGGGGGTCCCTTAACAGAAAGAGAAAGGGAAGGAAGAGTGCGTGGAGAAGGGAAGATGATGGTATGTTAGGCGGATGGCCGGCGATGCTGCGGCTGCGGCAGCAATCTAACAGGCCTTCTACACCGTAGCCAAGACAAGGGGTGGGTGGCGGGCCAGAACTGGGGCAGAACAAGAGCAACAAGCACCAGAGAAGTACAGATGGGGGAGGGGAGGGGAAAGATGCGGCTCGAGCCGGAGCCAGAGAGGACGAAAGCAACTGAGATTCAATTTGGGGGGGGTAGGCGGACGACGGGAGACAAGAGACGCAAAAAACAACCCACCCATGATTGTTGGAAGAGCCGGGAGAGGACGCAAGTCGTCTGGTTCCTCTCTCCGTTCAGGCGTGAAAGGGAAGGTAAGGTGTGAAAGCAAAAAGGCTGCACGAGCGAGGCAGATGGGGGGTTAGGGTGGGCGGCGAGAGTCTAGCACGCTCGACTGGCGGATGTACGACGGACCCGGCGCGCAGGGATTCTGGTGGTTCGAGCGAAACTGTCTTTGAGGATCATGGACGTCGTCAGCGGCAGAGATAATAGTGGACACTGGGCTGGGATATGAAGGATTCCTGTCTCGGGGCAGCGCGCGGGATAGCAACGGGAACACGCACAGATGGGATCGAGTCAGGGCGACTCAGCGCGACTGTACGCAATAGGAAAACGGGAACCCGACTGGTAAACCTTGGGAAAATCTGGATCGCCTGGCGAGAGACGATGCGCGGATAGCAGAAGCGTGAATCGGCGCGGTGCTTTGCTTAGGCGTCTGGGTTTTTTGTTTTTTTCTAGGGGTCGGATCTTTTAGTCACTGGACTGCCGACTAACTAGCCATACTACTCTTCTCCCCCCAGCACACACCTTTTTGATGTCCCAGCACAATGAGCTGATCTCGACGGCACTGGTTCGAGCACCCCTTTTCGCTCGAGGATTCCGTGTGAAGATGCAGTTGAATCAGATCGAGTCCGGCGCCGAGACGACAACGCGGCTGCCGTAGATGGTGGAACTTAGTTTCACTGGTGCGCAGATGTCGATTGACATGGGAGAAACTAGCTAGCACGAGGAGGAGCTTTGGGGGAAGGGCGGGGAATGCAGGTCGTGCCCGGGTATGCGAAAGACAGACAGCGTCCTGGATCTGGATTGATGATTTTACGCGTGGGTTTGCCAAAACTCAAGTTGTCCTTCGGCTAATTCAACTAGCGCTGTATAGTATCAGGCACATGCAACCCATCGACTCGTCCGGGCATGTCCTTCATCACTTCTTCCTCCAGCAGGGCTGCAAGGGCTTTCCCAGTTACCCTGCAGGCGCACATATATCAATTATATACCGGGGCCTCAAGGCAACCTGTTACGCGGCTGACACGACTTACGGTGGAGGATCGGTTGCTCCATGAAATTCGTTCAGGAGAACACTACGACTCTCGACTCTTGAGACGCTGTCACTACGTATTGCGATTTCGACGGCCCTCAGTATACCTGAAACATCATCATCATCGGTGGTCCGTATGAATTCCCCGTGAGGGCCGAGGACCTGCGTGTCCAACCAGTCCCGCGTTTTAACTATGGGGTTCTTCGATCCAAAGTTAACAGTGTCGACTTCCTTTTCTGGCTGACTACTATCGTTCAAAAACCCCCATCAGGATATTGTCTGGACTTCGGAGGATGCAAAAGCCTGCCATATTCGGTCCCTCGTACCCAGACTCGTCCCCCAGTCCTAGAGTCGTACATAGAAGTACATATTACTGCTAAGCGGGGACAGACCACATTTGATTCATCGCAGATGACCATTTACACAGTATAAGGATTGTTGGGACATAATTATCACACATTGCACATAGTCGACCGCTCAACTACCGAGGGAATTCCTATGCCTTTGAAAGGATATAATATTTCCCGACGTGAACGGCCTTATCGTCTATCAATATTCCTCATCGGTGTGGATCACAAGGTCGAAGCTACGGTGGAACCGACGATAGGGCAGGTGGATCTGAGCAACTTAGCTGGTACATAATTACTTAGTTTGCACGCCCTCAAGGTAGACTACCCTTTTTTTTGTCAGCTTGTGCTGAACCGTTGCAACCAGTCCTCTAGCGTCAACTCTCGGATCATCCTCAGCACGATCTGGACTCTGGCCGCTGAGGAACTACTAGAGTAAGTTTCTTAACTATTATTATTATTATTCTTATCATTGCCCAGATTTGGCTCTGCGCCAATTGATTTCTGGATCCGACCCCAGACGGTTTGATCTGACTTCTGATAGCAGTCAGTTGCCCGCTTACAGCAGGTACGATCAAGATCGTCTTCTATCCGTTGCTCACTTCTCATTTTGCTTCCCATGGTTCCTGGCAGCATATGCTCAGAAGCACCCGCTGGGATTAGCCATGTATGCAGGACATGCGTTAAAAGGAGACCGTCTCTTTCAGCACACCCAACCAGCTCGGATTGTGCTCGACGCGGCTGCAGGTCGGGTCCAACCACGGCATCTGCCTGGATCGGATAACCTTCTTTCTTCCATCACTGGTTAAAGAACCCAATGACTGCTAGAGCCCATGTCCCGACGTCGGTTTCAATCCACCAGTGGCCATCTCGAGATCAAGTCCCCGGGTCGCATCTAGATCGATTTCTACAGTGAAAGGCGCAGACCGATATGCGGCGAGGAGGCTTTATGAGAATCCTCCGGGTTGTTCGTGATGGCCAGCGGCATGGTTGATGAGCCAAGAACGCTCTAAGCTCAGCCACCGGACATTGCGGCATCTCTTCCGCGCCCAAATCACTCACTTAGTGAGATGCCGAAGGGGATGATCAGCCTACCTGCGTGTCACTAAACCACGATGCCGCATGGTGCGCTATGGGCACCGCTGCTAGTTATCAGATACACACACACTGCCTACTACCATCGAGCGTACGGCGAAGACAACTCAACCACTTCAGTAACCTGTGTGAGCATTCTTCAACTTGCTCGCAGCGTCCCATACAAGTAAGTAGCCCACCACTGTCTGTCGATACCGGCAATCCTACGATATGTTTGTTTGGTCCCTTCTACGTTCAATTTCAATCGTCTTCAGGAAGCAAGCACTCCTCATATGCAAAGGGACGGATCGCCTGTACCTGACGCTCCCTTACATCGGACTGTCCCCTGGTTCAGTAACAATTCCTTTCCCCTGGAATTGAGTCCATTGCTGCCAGCAAATCACGAACGAGAATCTGCTTCGTGACTGCTGATGGGCACTGCAGAGCCTCAAGGCATCAGTCTCTGATTTAGTGCTTGTGACGGGCAATATCCTTACATCGTAGCACATATGCAAATGAACATTTACGGCGACTTGATGATGTCGACAGTCTCCGACTACCCAGCACTCACGGATGCCCCCTTCCCTCCAAACCACTCGAACTTGCCGTTACCAGCCATTTGGGTCTAATCAAGCCAGCATATTTGAGGTTTCTTGCCAAAGCTGGCCATAGACTAGGCCGAATTCCCACGAACGATGCATCCAAATCAATAAGCCCTTCTTAGTGCGTGTTTATTGATGGTTTAGCGGCCGCAATCTTATGCATACAGAATAATACTTCATCAGGAAATTTCTTGCTAGCCCTTGTGGCCCCTGTGACTCGAAGAGGTTGGCGCGTTGCTTTCGGGAATCTCCACTGTATATGGGAAGGAGCTACTACTATCTAAAAGCCCAGGTGGCCTGCAGCCGTATGAAGCAGTGAAATATGGCCTTGGTCCTGACCTCTTTCTGCAGCAAGACTCGAAAATACATTACTGGTCACCCCCACTGGCAGCATTTCTGTTTTGCAACGCCACCTATATCGTGGACAATACATACAGTTCAAATTTTTACATGGCCGCTTACCTTTTGATCGATATATGGCTCGGAGCAGGGACCTCCATGTGAGCGCCGAGTGTTTTCCCGGTTTCAAACAGCGAGGTGACTACAGATGGCCGTTGCAACCTACGACCGCTTTTCTATTCATCATCTTGGGCATCACTGACAGACGCTTGCATAAGGCGACCTCTAAGAGCAAGAGATTGGTTTATTTCTGCTAAACCTGTGTTTTAGTGGCTGTACAGATGGAGTCAGACATCAGTTACGCTATTCCCCGTCGGTCGACCAGAATTCGGAGGTCTAGATCTGCGGGTTCACTGTGCGATATGGACAAGACGACCCTGCGCCTCCTTACAAGAACCCAAACAGATCATGCGACTTCGGAGATCCACCAGCTTCACGATTTGTATCGCAACGTGCTTACGAACTTGCCGCAGTTGCCATGCGCCTCCTTAGGTAGCCTTGAAGGGACCGGTTGCTATTGCCGAATCAACAAGAAAAGGATCGTTGAAAATCTTCGACATATTCAATGTGACGCTCTTGTCCCGATAGCGAATATCACCGTATTTTACTCTACCGTACCATATTCGAGACGAACGGGTACCTGGTCGTCGGCAACGATAGGGCAACCAGGCTCGGCTGCGAGTAGGATTGAAGACAAAGCTCGTTTGACGGGTCCTCTCTTAGACCATCATGTCGCCTCCAGCAGGCTCTGCTGCTTCCTGGCAACTGGAATGCAGACCATCATACTAGCAGGTCACCCTTACTCGTGCTACACACCTCAGCTCGTCGAGCAGCAGCGCCGATTGGCATCAGCTCCCTGCTCCCTTGTGCATATAGTGTTATATTGTTCTCAGGATGGCGCGGTGATTGGAGAACCGAAGTTTGGTCACAAATCGGCTATCTTTCTACCCACTCCAATCGGAGGCCCATGCGGCAGTTTGTACAGTAGGTCTTCGGCTAAAGCAGGCTTTCGAGGGATTGAGCCTTTTCCTGGGTCCGTCCCTCCGAATAGATCGAGGCATGGCAAGTTCGGTGTGCACTGGTGGCCAGTCACTGCGTGACAGTGGCTTGTTCCATCTTAATCCCAGGCATCCAGGGGCTGATCCTTCCATGTGCAGGACTCCCTGATGCACTTTAATACTTGAGGATCGTGGACTGCCTCTATTGGACGCTTACCTCGTAAAATCGTGGATTCCAATGCCTGCTCTGACTCAGCCGTCTTCATTTGTCTTACTGTTTGCCTTCCGCACCGAGTGTCCCTCGCATACATTCTCACACCGCTGATCTTGAAGGACTGCAGTGTCCCTGCCATGCGAGCTGCCCATCCCGCCAGCGGCCGTGGCCTTATGCTTTTCGAGGCATCCTTTTTTGTACAGAGACCAGTTCGGATCACTTCTTTCGCAGGAATCCTTCTCCGAATTTATTCTCTCTGACGGAGGTTTGAATCCACCAAGAGACAAGGCACTGAACATTACACAGGCACAATCGATATGGTATCACTAACTACTGATTCGCCAATCTGGGGTTGTCTGCAGAGTCATAGACCGCTCGAGAAGCATCAACCGCCGTGTTGTGAATCCTTAACCATTAACCCTCCTATACAATGCGATCTCTACACAATAAAAGCAACGCTGGCGGGCAAGGCTATATTTGATACGCGATATTTGGGCTTTGTCTGGCGAGGGGTTAGCGAAACCGGCATCAGATAACGACGCTATTCTGTGATGGAGATACCCGACAGAGATCATTCAAACTAGGGAGCTGCATGTTAGAGTCCTTTTTGACCTGTAGGTCTCTTGGGTGAATTAGCTGCCGCATTGCTCGGGGGAGCGACCTGTCTATGCTTCATTTCAACGCCAGTAAGTTCATCGGGCGATGTTTCCCTAGATGTCCCAGCATAGGCCATCTCCGCCATAGAGAGGATAAGACTTGGACAAGCTGTGATGAAATGGTACACTTCTTTCACCATGATTCTTAGTGATTCATGGTAATTCGACCAGTATTCCTGGAGGATGTCCTACGTTGAATCATCGTCATGCTCAGCGTCAGCGTACACGTACAACTGTATATATGTCGTTATTATATACATCAATCTAGACACGACATGGTTATATGACAGGCGTTTTGGGCACTTGGTAAACAAACAAATCCTTCTAGATTCTATAATTGACATACAAATCTCAAAATTCTCACGAATCCAAAATACTCTAATCCATATACCATAGTCATTGCTGGTGTAAGAGTCAGACGCGGTGTTTTACCATATAGAGTAGAGTAGGTTGGTTCGTTATGGGCCCACCGCCCGCCGACTTCTCCGAAGCTCGAACACCTCCAACTCCGCAGACAGCGAATCTGACTCCATTGATTATTGTTCACACCGCGCATCTCTAGAAGGAGATCCATAGAAGGACAGCTTCTTCGTTAATGCTATAATACAATAGCGGTACATCAGACACTTCTACCAGACTAGCAATTCGATCCAAGCTCGATCTCAGATTGATCAGATCGAAATCATCATGGCTCAGCCATTTTCGCACGCCAGACGCCCTATCGCGGCAGCAGTCACAGCTTCATGGTCTAATGCACCATTGACCTGCTCATCCTCATCTGCCCGCCCACTCTTTCTGCGAAGCCAGCAGCTCATTTCTCGCCAATTCCACCAGCAGAACGTACGATCGCAACGACGCTTCCAGTCCCTCACTAGATGCACGGCACCTTCTATCAGATCCTCTGTTACTCGACACTATCACTCTCAATTCCACCCAGCCCTTCCTACGCATGAGTATACCAATTCCCAAGCGACCATTCTCTCCGCCGCTCTCGAACACGTTCCACAGCACGGTTTCACACTCGATGCACTAAGGCTCGGAGCGCGCGATGCAGGGTTCCTGGATGTCTCGATCCAGCTTCTTCCGCGCGGCGAGATGGACCTGGTCATGTTCTGGTTGGCGAGTCGAAGGGGTCTGTTGAGAGCCAAGGTCGAGACTGGATTGTTTGAGAAGAGCAATGTTGCAGAAGGACAGAAGAAGGTGCTCTCCGTTGAGGAAAAGGTGAAGATTCTGGTTATGGAACGGTTGAGGATGAATGAGTCGATTATACATAAGTGGCAGGATGTGAGTCTTCCCCCTCCCTCATTTTTTATATATATATATATACCGAGTCGGTTCAGATCCATCCAACTTGGTGATATTCATGATTTATATATATTTATATACGATGTCTAACACGGTGCGATCTTACCTACAGGCTCTCGCCCTCATGTCATACCCGTCAAATATCCCCATTTCTCTCTCCGAACTACATGCCCTCTCCTCTGATATCCTCAACCTGGCCGGCGACAAGTCCGTCGACGCCTCGTGGTACACGAAGCGTCTTTCTCTATCTGCCATTTACGCCAGCTCGGAAGTTGTCATGACCCAAGATACCAGCTCGGGATTCCGCTCTACAGAAGCATTCGTCAACCGTCGTGTTGAAGATAACCAATATATCGGCCAGAAGGTCTGTGATATTACGCAGTATCTGGGCTTCATGGCTAGTACGGCTGTGGGGCTAGGTAGGAGCTGGGGAATGAAGATTTAAGCCCTTGAGACAGGAAGATTCAAGGGTGATGGGATGTGTCAACTAGTTGGTTGCAGAGTGGTAAATGTATAACCAGAGATGCTGGGAGATAGCGGACGTACTCTCTGCATGTGGAAGATTTTACCGTGTAGGAGGGGAAGGCTGATCTTATACATTCCAAACTCTTCAGTTCTAACTATGTACAGTACTATACTTTTCGTGTTTGTTTCATTCCATGTATTCCTTCTGCAGTGAAGCGGTGAGATCTCTATAAAATGTACAAGGGGTATAGTAGTATATACATAGGTCATACAAGATCATCCATGTAATAAGATCGGTGAAGAGGCATATGGACATCCGACGAGTATCGAGCTATGAGGAAGCTCCGGATTAGATTAGATCAGTCAGCCTTATTGACTGATACTAATCCACCGGGAGTTTCCGAACGGGGGCCGTGAAATCCGTATGGGGAGGTGTTGTGTTCTCCTCATTCTCCATTCTCTGTCGCTCGTTTACCTCAAACAGGCGCGACTTTAGATGCTGGAGCCATCCAGGCTTATTCTTCTTTCCTGCAAGCTGTCTCAGGGCTCTCTGATTAGGTTCTGTCTCAAACCACTCTTCTTTCCGGACAGCATCATCGCCGAACTCCCGCATCCGTCTACGATGGGCTTGCTTCTCGTCGGCGCGGGTGCGGATAATCTTCTTGACAAGAGAGTAGGTCCAAAGATTTGGCTCGACACCCGTGCTGTCCATCTCCTTGAGGAGTGAGACTACCGTTGGAAGGTCGTCATAGACTCGCCAGTAGTATTCCATCAGCTCGTTGTAGAGTCTTGTCGATGCACCAAGGACAACTGAGGTTCTGCCGTAGGATTTAACTGTAGGTAGAAACTGTCCTATCAGAGGCGAATCGGGGAAGTGAGTCTTGAGGAGACTCAATGCGGTGAAAAGCATGCTTGGGTACAGAGCGGATACGACGGGGTAAACAGGAACAAAAGGAGGAATCTCCAATGGCCCGGCATGTTGCTTTGTTTCTGCCTTGTCCGATGACAAGCTCTGAGATGGTTCAGGAGGACCGAGTATGGTGATGTCGTCAGGCTGGTTGTGCTGAGCATCACTCGCATTCTTCTCCGTCCCATCGTATATATCCAGATGTCGTAACATGCCAAATACCCGCTCCTCGCAGACTTCCCATAGCTCAAGATCGCCCTTCCCCTGATCAATTGCAGTACGAAGCGCGGCCTCGATCTTTTCAGATTCGATCCCCACAACCAGCTCCACGACTCTGTCGATTGTGATTGTTCGCGCTCGGTCAGAGAGATCCACATCACTGTATTTGAACCGTCGGATCCGTTCAAACATCGTTGAAATACGCTGCAGTTCCACGTCTATATTCGGAATGTGTCGCTCGAGCATTGGATGGGCTTTGCGTTCTTCGAACTCTGAGCCTGTTTGCTCTTGCTCACCAGGGGCACCCTCACTTCGTGCTTTGGCATCATTAACCGCTTCTTCGAAGATCTGAGTCACCTCAGATAGCTCCTGCTTCTCAGAAGCACTCAAATGTTTCGGCTTATCCTCCGCGTTTTTCATTTTCCGCGGTTCCTTCACAGGCAGTGTCTCTTCCTTCTCCTTTTCTTCTGGCTGAGATGGAAGCCCAGTGCCAAATTGTCCATAGAGTCTATCGAGGATATCTTTCTCCGCGCGTGTCATTGTAGAACGGTTCTTGCGACCCCGCGTTGGCGGGGCTGTGCTCTTGCTCCGTGTTGCGGCGATTGCTCGCTTCTTCAAATAATTCTGCGGCTTGGAGGGGGCCTCTTCGAACTTCGATGATATGGCGGGCTGCTCCGGAGAAGGGCTTTCTGCTGTTTGTGACCCATTATCTGATGGCTTGTCGGAAGGTGCGTTGTCCGTAGAGTAAGGACGACATCGTTGGGGTCGAATCAGTTTCCGATATAGGTGAGATTGCGAGGCCGTGAGTGTACGAGTCTGGTATAAAAACGGGAGGAGAGGATTTTCAGCCTTAAAGAGTGTAAGACTGCGACCTATGTTCGCAGCCATTAGACGTTGGGGCATCGCACTCCAAGTGCTTTCGGAGATAAAAGGTTTCGTCGGAGGTTTGGCCTCAGCGGGAATGTTCGAGCTGCTATTTTCGCAGCATATCAGTCCAGGGAGATGGAGAAGAATAACTCGTGCGATAATAGGTAGAAATGGATAAATAAATAAATAACTGACGAAGAGATAGAGCAACGGGAAAAGTTGGCGGTATTGAAAGATAGCAAAGACGTTGCAACAAAGAATTGCAGCTCTAGAATAGCTGCATTTCGGAAGCCGTAGTATTGAGTATCACGTGACGGCGCGCGACCTGCTCCCACTTTACGCGTCTCTCTCATCGCTGCGACAGCGACGTCAGGATCTAGACGCAGACAGACCTCCCAATTGCTGAGTGGAAGAGCCATTCAAGCCAGCGGGCCCATTAAAACATGCCTCCGAAGAAGAATGAACCCGCGAACGAGCTGTCAGAGTTTGAGCGGCAGCGTCTGGCTAATATCGCGGAGCGCGATGCGCTGTTGAAGAAGCTGACCCTCGACGCACAGGCTTCTGGCCTCTTTTCAAAACCGTCGCCAAAGAGCTCGTCTGGAGATGGCAAGTCGAAAAAGAAGCCCCCCGCGAAGAGAGTCAAAAAGGAGGAGGAATCCCCGGTGCCACGTCGCATGTCCTCCAGACTAAGAGGGCTCACGGCAGATAGCGAGGTCGCGAAACGAAAAGCAGACGAACAGTATGAGGCGGCACAGGAAGCGGAGCGCGCAAAGAGGTTGCGCAAGTCGGACTCATATAGTCTCAACGATATGTTTGTCTCAGGCCAGAAGCTTAGTGGGGACAGTCTCATCGGGGTTGATGTTATTACCAAGGGTGTTGCGAAGCCTTATGAACGGACGTTCGGCGAAGATGATATCAAGGAGACGACGGACAAGGATCTGAAAGCATTGAGAGAGCAAATGAGTGGCCTGCGACTCTGGGGGGCCTGGGAACCCAACAGTAAGCTTCTCCCATTCGATTTACCTTCTTGGAGTAGTAATGATACTAACAAACGATGTATAGGAATCAAGCTCACACCCGAAAGAATTTACACTATGGCCTTCCATCCGACCGAAACGAAGCCATTGATATTTGCTGGAGACAAAATGGGTCATATCGGAATTCTGGACGCTTCGCAGGAATATCCCGTCTCCGCAGTCAAGCATGAAGACGACGACGAGGAGGAGGATGACCCAGACCCAGTTATGACCACCCTCAAGCCGCACACCCGCACCATAAGTGGGATGCATATACACCCACTGAAACCTACGCACCTCTATACCGCGAGCTACGACAGTTCCATTCGAGAACTCGATCTCCAGACGGCCAGTTCCTCCGAGAAGTATGCTCCTGAATCCACTTCCACGGACGAGGCACTTTCTGGTGTGGACATGGCTGCAGAAGATCCAAATTGCCTGTACTGGACAACTCTAGACGGCGCTTTTGGACGGCGCGACCTTCGCGCAAAGGACAACACGGTGGAGCGTTGGCAGCTCTCCGAGAAGAAGATCGGAGGATTTTCTCTTTACCCGTCTCAGTCTCACTACTTTGCTACCGCAAGCTTGGATAGGTTCATGCGACTCTGGGATATGCGGAAGTTGTCACACGATAATCCTGTGCCCGTAGGCGAGCACGAGAGCAGATTGTCGGTATCCCATGCGGCCTTCAACAGCGCCGGCCAAATAGCGACATCATCCTATGACGATACCATTAAAATCTACGATTTCGCCGCCAAGGGAATATCCTCCTGGCAACCGGGCCATAAGGTCTCAGATGAGGATATGAAACCCGACACCATTGTTAGGCATAACTGCCAGACAGGTCGTTGGGTTACCATGTACGTATTTTCGTCCCCTTATTTCACCCTCCGTTGTTCCCAGCACTTCCTCCTGCTATACCATATTTTTAATAATAACCACGAATTCCAACCCGTAACTGACACAACTAACAGTCTCCGTCCCCAATGGCAACTAAACCCGCAATCCCACATTCAGCGATTCTGCATTGGAAATATGAACCGCTTTGTCGATGTCTACAGCGCCTCTGGAGACCAGCTCGCCCAGCTAGATGGCGAAGGCATCACTGCTGTGCCTGCCGTAGCTGTCTTCCACCGAAGTATGGACTGGGTTGTCGGTGGTACGGCGAGCGGTAAGATCTGTTTGTGGATGTAAATGTGTGTGGATTGATGGTACGAGAAGTGACATTAAAAAGCGTCCACGATTCTGCGGAGGACTATTGTACTGTATCTTTGTTGTGTGATATTTTGTAAGAGTTTGGGATTCACTGGGAATCGGCGTCTGTATTGCATGCAATAAGGTCATCCTGTGTTAGACTCATTGTATTTTCTGGCTTGGCCATCATTTTGTGGCGAGTTCGTTGGAGGATCAAAAGTGACTATTACTCACCATAACAGTAGCGAAGTAGTAGTAGTAGTAACCAATGCAAAATGTACAATATCAACTACATGTTTTCTCAAGCACCCATTAGACCAGTCTGTGTTTCTAATTCGGAATTCTAGAATATGATAAGTTCTGAGTGTCAAATGAGGCGGTAGGGTATCATTCAAGATCGACCAGATCATATATCGAAGGATTATTCCCAAATATGCTCGTTTAAATCGCCGCGCGATCCCAAAATGTATCCCAGAAGAACAAAAAATGGCCAATTCCATATGTGCAATATGCGCAGAAAATATTCATGGTATCATGCGTAAATGACAGTCATACTGTGAGTGCGAATCTCATCTCACTGCTCGTCATCGCTGTCCAAAACAACATATCTGCTCGTCCTTCGTCTCTTCTGAGATCTGGACGTGCTAACTCTAACCTCATGAAGACGTTTCCGACTGCTTTCCAGCATTCGTTCGCTTTCGTGTTCGGAATTGATCACGGTACTGCTGGAATCCGACAATATTGACGGTGTGGCATCTCCGGATCCGAGGAAGCGGTCCGTTATCGTCGTGGTTACCCTGTGGATCGTCTCCTGGGTGGATGTTTCAGAGCGTAGGATTCGTCGTCGTCTTGATTGTTTCTCGGACGGAAACGCATCTTGTGAGGCTGGGATGGGAGCTGAACTATCTCTGCGGTCGATGAGGTTGTCTTCATACTTGTTGATGATAGATTTCGTGGGATTGTCGGAGGTAACGACATTGGAGGTGGCTGCGGTCATTCGCTCGTTTTCTAGACAGGCCTCTCTCAACGTCATTCCGAGAGACAGTGCGACCTGTCTCGCGACGCTGTTCCCTATGATCTTCCACTGCTTCGTGGCACTGCCGATGAGAATTTCATCATCTGGGATGCCTTGCGCTCGTCTTGCTTCCTTGACCGTCAACAGTCTATCTTCCTCCCAGTGCACGATCCTCCCGGTAAATGCGCATGCAGGATTGACTCTCGTAACGATTGTCGGAAATAGTCCGTTTGGATGGACGCGGCCGTAAGAACTGGCCTCTTTTTTAGCCCACGCCCTTCTCCTCTTGCAAAAAGCTTCAGTCTGTGGTTTAGCCATCCAACCTCTCAAAACTGAAGTCTCCAGACCTTGTGTCCAGGGAGCCTTTGGAACGAGCTCAATCAAGGTTTGTTCGTAGCAAGTTGGTTTCTGTGCTGTCCTCATATCCGGGTCGGATATTGTCATGCACTTCGCCGTAGCTAGACGAGGAAGGTCTCTTGTCCCCTCTGCGGCCGTGACGAAATCGAAGACGGGTGTTTCGAATCTTCTGCGGCCGAATGGAAGTCCGTTCGCAGCCTCTCCCAGTGATCTGTTCGTGGTCCTTGGAGGATGTGAGTGAGTAAGCGCAGGGTGCTCTGGCAGCTTTAGGCCTGGAGCAGCCACAAAGATAAATAGCCTCGACCTGCTCTGAGGTGCACCGAAGCTCCATGCGTCCAGATTCAGTATGCGAGCTTGATAGCCCATGCCAATCAAGGCACAAAGCATCTGCGACAAGGGGTTCTTCTCACTCCTTTTGGCCATGGCGGTGACGTTCTCCAGGACAGCATATTTTGGCCGGAGATGATCAATAAAAGCAGCCACAGAGGCGATCATTGAGCAGTTACGGAGTGCTGTCTGATTTTGCTTGAAGTTGTTAGTCAAGGCATACCCCTGACAGGGACTCCCTGCAGAAATGAAGTCGACTTCTCCCACTCTGGCAACGATATTGCTTTCCTTTCCTTTCAGGGACTGGTCAAGAAAGTCGTCCACAGAGCCCCAAAACAATTTGGCCCCTGGGTGTCTCAAGTTGGCACGATATGTGAGCATGGCTTCCTTGCTCCATTCGACAGCCCACTCGTTCATCACAGCTCCGCCTTCTTCTAGGCCCCTGTCGAAACTGCCACCACCGCTGAAGATGCTGAGAGCTCGTAGTTGTACGACTGGTGCCTTAGGATCAAAACCCTGCGTGAGAGAGGCAGGTAAAGATGAGATTTCGAGCGGCTGTAAGGAGCTGATGCCTTCTGGAGACGTCACTTCACGGCAGATAATGAAAAAGGCATCTCCATTTCCTTGACGGCAATACGGAGGAGGGATCAAGCCATTATTTCTCTCATATTCGCTGTAGAAGCGGACATGACATCGTCGTTGGACATGACCAATGTGACTGCTTCGAGTACGGTCAGTATATACCAGCTCGTTTCGGTCACCTCCCTTTCTCTGCAGAAGCTCCCTCACTCGCAAGTTCTTGCCGGAACAACTGATGATTTCTACCGGCTCCAGCTTGCTTCCAGTATCTACCAAAACAGTATCACCAGGATGATATGTTTCTCGGCCGCTGTCACCCAAGCCCGAATATTTTTTTCGGTGAGAACAGTAGAAATCTTCCTCTTTCAAGGTCAGAAAGACCTCGTCATCCGTATGATAGGTCTGACGCACAAAGAATGGTGCCCCTTCTCTGGCCACAGACGAGAAAAACCTTACATCGACCTTCCCCACGACTTCGGTATTTCGGATCTTATGGTCTCCGCAGTTGCAGTGGTCGGACATGAAGAGCTCGTTCAGATGGGGGTATGTCATGTTGGCACAGACAGTATCACTGGGTCGGTACAGCCAAATGACATCAAGCCAGATCGTCCCATTCTGATGCTGCCTGATACCTTGTACAAAGGAATACCAAAGATCATCGTTGGAACTGGTCTTCCATACAGTCTGCTCATCCCTCTCCACAGAGATAACATCGCCGGGGCGAACTTCAAATGCCTTGTGCGGTACGGGAGCTGAGTAGAGACCGCCTCCGCATGGCTTGAACTTGAAATCGGGCTTTGATGATTCGAAACCAAGCTCCCGCATGCGTTCTTGCTGTTTTAGAAGAACGGTTGGTGTTGGCTGCGACACCTGCAATTGTTCACCCCACTCCATGTTTTGAAAACAGCGGTAGACATATGGAGTAACGACAGTCCCTTTCGCTCGTTGAGACTGTTCTTTGATAATTGGCTCCGTGAGGCCAATCTCCTGCCACAATATGGAATTCTCGTATTTCCTATCGATGTCCACGGCTTGTTTGAAGAGATACTCTCCATAGGCAATCACAGCTGACCTAAAGTCAGGCTTTCCAAATTGACAAAACCAGTTCTGAAAGGAAGTGTCCGAACTGTGCACTTGCTGTAACCAGTCTGCAAAGCCACTTTTGAAGTCGTTAAGGGTAACCGTGTCATGCTCGGCCAGGAAGTCCAGAAGATGCTTGCCAAGATCCGTTAACCATAGAAAGATCTCGTAGTATGGTCTGTATTCCGGGGACGGCCCGGAAAGATGGTACCAGATATCTCCTTTCCTTTTGCCGTGAACAGACTGGATCCAGATATCGGACCCAACTGTATGCTGCTCAACCTTCTCATAGCCACCAATGGAAACGTATTCAAATGGTACGCGTCTTAGAAACATCCGCCTTTCTCCTTTGAGGTTTAAGATCCCATCGAAGAAGAACTTCGTGTTGCCTTGTCTGAGAGCAACCTCGTGCAGAGAGGTCAGTTCATCTCCACCGAAATAATTCGAATCACGATACACACTGAACTGGTCGAGGTCGACAGATAGAAATTCGTCACCTCCGTAGGTTTCCTTCTTGGTGGAAGAGTCTCCCAGGAGGATGTTCAGGGCGTCTGTCTCTTCGATCAGGGGTAAAGGTGGTCCCCATCCCACATACTGCGAAAGTGGAAACGAAATCGGCGGCAGGTTGATTCCCCTGAGGACCTCATAACGAGAATTTCCTTCCCGAAACCGCTGGGAGTATCCTTCAGTGTCATCTGCAGATTCATCGGCATTCATCTTATCAAGAGCAGATGTTATCGCTGGTGAGAGAGGAATGCTATCTGAGGCAGAGCTGGGAGCGTGGCATGGAGCAAGACAAAGAGGGGAAACATAGGGACAGCAAGTATCACGCACTAACACAAAAGAAAGCTTCCAGAAAATGCTTCCCCAATAAAGAGCCCAATTTTTTAAATAGTGAATTCAACAAAAAAGAACAGGGTTCCTAAACACATAAACTTAGTACCAATACTGGGAGAAGAATGAAGTCCACGACGCGCTCAATGAAAGATAAGGAATTTTTAAAGCAATACAACAATTGAAAACTACATACATAAAAAATCCAGACTTAAAGGCCGTATTTTCACAAAGAAAATGGAGTACAAGCGAAGAATAGATATGGTCGCAAGTACTGTACATCTGCGATACATGTATTTGGTCGTTTAATTAGTGCGAATTGTGAGTCACATGACTGAATCAGTACATAGATGAGATAATTAATTGGGTCTTATAATTATAAAAATGCAGAAGTGATGAGGACCAGACCATTTGCGCCAAGAAAGCTGATGTGAAATTATATATATTGGATTGGGCTGCAAGAGATGTCACTCTTTACTTCCCATCTATGCGCGTGTTAAGCAATGAAAACAAGACAGTATACGCGCTGGAATGTCTACTCGGATGAAAATTGAACTTTGCCCATAAGAAACATTTCGATGACTAGTATATAGAGGATACCCAAGTATTTATGCGTCGTAGGGTGAAGGTAAAGTGAAAATAAGCCGAAGACAACCAGAATGTAGCGCACAGCGTAAAGAGCTTCGAACGCGTTATATACCAGCACCAGAAAAGCAATATTATGATCTTTTTTTCCTTTTGCGGAGTAGGCTCCAAAATGACAACGGGAGAAATAGGGTATCGAACACCATGATAAATGCTTTCCAATGAACGGTCAGAGCAGCTAAGTCATGAGCAACAAATCCGCACGCGCCTGGCTCTGGAGAGCCAAACGACAGGACCTCCCACAATGTACAGCACTTGTTTCCGCTCCATAGCGAATTCCAAGCTCCCATGCCTTCCCTCATGTAAGTAGAAAAAACCTCAACTCCGCCGACTCTAGAAGCCGGTGGGAACGGGCACATGTAGACGTTACTCTGTACGATGAAAGACGTTCAAGCGCTTACACCAACCAAATGCATAGAACAGATCCAAGGACCGAAAGAAAAACAGAATCGCACAGAGATCTGAACGTAGATATTCAAACACAGACCATATTCGTCGTCATTAAAACTCATTTCGTGGTTCCTCTCGTGGTTGTAGCTGCTGCTGATGGGACCCGTCCCGATCTTTTGCTTTCCGCCTCGATGGCGCTGGAACTAAGTCTTGGATCGAACTCAAGAAGCGGTATTTGCCCGATGATTCACGTGAAATGCTAGATCGCCGTCCTCCTTTGGAGGTCTCAGAGAAGTCAAGCGAATATGTAGATGAATTTTTTGAGCTACTAGCACCTTCACGCGGCTCAGACCAACGTGGCGTAGAGAAGGGTAGTCGGCTCGGATCCCACGTAGCGGATGAAGAGCTTGGGGGCGTATAATCGTCCCCATCATCAGCATTATCCGTAGATCTGCGCGGCAAGGCCGGCCGCGGGGAGAAGTAGCCTATGGAGTTCCTTTTACTCCCAATTAGAGAGGCGGGCCCAGTCATCGGGGTCTCTGTAGCCGGCGTATTGGGCTTGCTTGAACTCTCATCGTAGAAAGTGGCGGATTTCTCTATGGATTCAACAAGCTCTTCCCATTTCACTTCCAAGTTCCCGTTTGGTCGTTCGGCTTGTTCGGCCTTGCTCAAGCATTCTTTGGTTCGCTGGCTCAGCTCCAGGGCTAAATTGTGGAACTTCTCAAGATTGACGTCGATCTCCTCCAGCTCCTCTAGCCTCGCCGGGGCACTTTCAAGCCACAGGCTAGTTAGCGCCGCAAAACTCCTGGCATGGTCGATGAGAAAAGGCAAACTAGGAAAGCCTTCCCGAGAGGTAGGAGGGAGACGGCCAAGAATCTGGATTGGAGTCGCGTAGGACGGGGACACGGTTTGCGCTGGCCGCTCCGCAGGTATCGAACATATGCGATCCACATATTCTTTGAACTCTCCACGATGACTGACCAAGAACCTATTCATAGGCTCCATCCAAGGTTCTTTGTTGCCAAAAGAAGTCATGTTTGCCAGACCTTGCAATGCTTTGGCGATAAGAGTCAAGGTACGCTGGGCACGCGGCCGAGGGTGCTCTGTCAAGTATATTAGACACTTGTTCAGTCATGACGGGCTCGAGGAATACATACCTTTCAGGAGCCCAAAAAGTTTGGGGTTCAGAATTGCAGGGCAAAAGAAGCGCAAGAACAGGAAACCAGAAACACTGCTGTAAGTGACCGAACGGAGGAAGTCTCCGTAGCGATCCTCAGCACATGCTCTGATGTGCCGGAATATGAGTCGTAGTTCATCTGGACATTTTGTAGCGGAACGGGAAATAGAACTCCACACCCTGCTGGTCAAATCTATAAGATTCCTCCAGTTGCGTTCAAGGTCTTCCTCGCGTTGCACGCGAACAGGATCAACCTCACAGTCGGGGTCACTCTGGTCGATGCGGCGAAGCTGCTCACCAATGGTCTCTTGAAGATATTCTTTTCCAAGCCGGCGCATATGTAGATCAAGGGCCTTGGTCAGGAGGGAGTTACCACGAAAAAGAAGGTTAGCTTCGACTGTAGCCGACCGCCCCAGGTCTCTCACAAGCACCTCCCGCTCTTGCGCAGACGACTCCCTAGAGTCATTCGAGTGTAGCCTAGTCGTGTACCTCAATCTGGTCATCGTCGACTCCTTATGGACTCCATCGATTTCGTCCTCAATGAGCGCCGAGATCCATTCAACTACCTGGCCTGACACCTGATAGATATTGAGCAGGGTCTCCGCTAGTAGCGCTAACTCAGCTGACAAAATTTGAGAGATATTTACGGTAAGGCTGTTAGGAAAGTTGTGTAAAAGTTGTGACATAGGCTCATATTCGTGGGACATCAGAACGATCGTCTCCTCCAATCGTGCTCTCATGAAAATCTCACCCACAGGCTGATCCCTGTCGTCCAGGATCGGCCACCATTTTTCGACGTTGGTACCAGTCTCAAGTTCATCGAGCCTCAAATCGACGCGGCCGAAAGTAGCATCGTGCGACGCGATTTCAAGATCATCCAACATGTTCATTGGGTTGGCTTCGCCGTTCAGGTTGTACGGCGTACGCGAAATGAGAGTCCAGTCCTTTTGGCTTGGATTGAGAGTCTTCAGGAGAATCGAGGCATTGGAGAGAACGGGAGGAAGGTCACTGAATACGAATTCTTCTCGCCAGAAAGGTGTTGACGTGTTATACTTCACTGCGGTCTTCGCTCTGACTTCACTATCAAGAAGGACTTCAACATAGTAGTCACTCACTGCCCTGCTAGCCGAAGCCTGAGATCTTGACATTTTTCTGTTCCTTGGTAGTTCTTCTTCCTTTGTATTCAGGAGCTTCGCCTCAGTGACTCGTATCGACAGCATACGTTCGATTCGGAACATGTCCGCTGTTGAGGTTGGAGCAGGACCGGTCAGGCTCTGCCGACGGCTCGAATCTCCGCTTGCTACTGACTCGGGTCCATAAAGTTCAGGGATGGTAAATGCGCGTAATAAAACGAACCAAACCTCAAATAGCACCCGGGATTCCAAGGAGAGAAAGATTGGACGATTGATCGCCGGTTGGGATCCGGAATGTGCTGCATACTGTGGGTAAATGGCGATGCAGAACTCGTCATCCAGCACTGAAGACTCTAACTGTTGGATTGCGCACCGGGAGAGCTGGGACAACTGGATGCACGATACGAGTGTCACATCCGCTTCCGTATAAAGCTTGAAGTAGCCGTTCTCTTGCAGAGTACAGCTGACTTTCTGCCAAGATGTGGAATAAGACCTTTGCTGCCGGTCGGCTGACGCCCTGCGTCCGGAGGAAGGCCGTGGCCCGGAGGTGCCCTGTTTGTCCCAAAGCAGCATCTTGCCAACCTTGATGACTGCCGCTTCTTTCTGCACGTTAGTTTCGGAGTTTCGTCTACGATCCCCCAGACGTCGCTCGCCCATTGAAACTGACTGGGGCTTGGTCATTTTGTTCTGCACACCCTTCGGTCGTATCGGTTGCCAACACAGTAAGGCGGCCAGCCATGAATCAAAGGTCTCATGCACGTGCGGCCTCAGTTGGATCCCCATCCCTGATGAGAAAGTTGACACGCTCAGATAGGTACATTGGAGCTCTGTATCGAACAAGGTCCGGACGTGACAGCCACGCAAGTCCGGAATCAAAGTCTTAGCGAGTGAGGGTTCTCCCTTGGCTTGGTATATTAGACTTCCCGTGGCCACATTGATAGCGCAGTATCCGGACGTCCATGAGGCGGTGGAAGCGGTCCGAAAGGAAAGAATACCATGCATCCTTCCACAGGTCGTCTTCATCAGCTGCAGTATCTTCGTCGCATCTGCGTTAGACAGGGGTGACGCGAGAGCTGGGGGATTCCGGATTATCCCAGTCGACGTTGTCGCTGCCGGAGGAGATTTCGTTAGACGTTGACGAGCACCTGCATAGTTGAAGAAAGTCGGGGATTGGATGATTGAAGGAAAGCCTATGGAGTGTTCTTCCGGCGCCTTCAGAGTCGATGCCGTATTGATGGACCCGAGACGATTCCGAGTCCTTGATAGAAAGGAATTGGGGGATATCTCGCTTCTCTGGTCATCCAACGTTGTAGTTCGGGACCGCGCTCTCTGGCTTCTAGACTCCGAGATATCGTCCTCATCACCGGCGGAATAATACGGTGCGAACTCCCGCCGACGATCGCGGTCTCGTGGTCTTGGTCTGATCGTGGACCGTGGTGATGCAGCACTGCTAGCGGAGAGGAACTCCGCTTCAGATATGGGGGAGTGATTGCCCGTGTCAGACATCGAATCAGGCGTCACCGTCCGAATGCTGGTCTCTCTGAAGTTATCTGGGTACACCATGCCGTGGCGGTCCTCCGATGACGATTTCTTGCTAGGCCGCCGCTCAAATGGGCGACTGTAAATCCCTTGCTGCCCTGAGCTTCTCTTGAATCCGTTGCGACGTTCCGACTCCATGTCGCCAGGTCTTGTGCACTTCTCCGTCAGTGGCAGTCGACAATATCGACGGTATCACTATCCGCTTGCCCGGGAGACCGGTTGCAGCCCGCTGGCGACAGCGTATGCCGCGCAACGTCCTCGAATGATCAGGAGGCGTCTCTTGTCCAGTGCACTGCTATCTGAACGCATCGAGCTCGCACACCGGGATGTAGGGGATATCGCACATCGGTCGAAGCGGGGGAGGAACGCGGTTCGAGAATACTGTTTGAAAGAGAATTTAGTGTGCAGCAGGCGACGTGGGACGAACGACCAATTCTCCAACAAGCGGCCAATCGTGGAGAGGTCGTGACTAGAAGGCGGCAACAGGGTCAGTCAAGAGCATTGGAATAGGAAACCAGCACGCGATCCGAACGGCCACGGGGTCTCAATGGCTTATGGTGGTGTTTTCGGGATAGAGGAAGAGAGGCGAAGAAGCAGCCCAGCTCTCTCCACCCGTTCTTTTTTTCTTTCCTTTTTTTCTTTTCTCCTCTTGTACCTTTTTAGTTTCTAGGACTCTGGATTCCGGACGGCATGCATAGACCAGGGGAAGCAAGCAGGGGCGTCGGAAGGCGTCTGCACAGAGACGTGACGGGGCCTCGGGGGAGGCAGTCGATGGGATGCGAAGAGTCAACTGAGAAATCTTTGATGAGGATGATAATGATGATGATGATGGATGGAATGTCGAATGTTCGAAGCGAGAAAGCGCCTGTCGGAGTAGGGCTCCGTGCTGCCTCAGGGCACCAATTGAAGGTCGATGGGGAGAGGAAGAGGCACAAGGTGCAGCGGTGGGATGCAGTCGGCGAGCGACGAAGTGGCCTTCCAGCCAGACGGTGCTCGCTACCGTTCGCTTCTTACTCTAGCTAGCAGCAAGTTAGACTACCTAATCCGTAGAGTAGTAATACTGCGTTGCGCTGCGATAACCCGCAAAGTCAATAATAATAATCATTAATTAATTCATTCCCTTCCTTCTAGCCAAATGCGATTTCGGAACGCTAATAATACGACGACCTCCTGAGGGCGATCTGGTGCCAGGTCCACTGTCTGCTAACTAACTATGTATTATTGTTATTATTTAACTACTTGTTGGAATAATAATAAGGATAATATCCAGCCTGTCCTTTCCCCCTCTTCCATAAAGGGGATCTTACAGGGCCCCCAGTAAACCCAGCTGCGCTCCCACTATCCTCCTACTGGCAGCGTTCGTTTCCGCTATGATCTCAACAACTGATACGTTCCCTCGCCACGGGGCAAAGGGAGAGGGCCCCTAGCCTGCAGGGCCTCGCACTAAACGATCCAATGCTGGGAGTGGCTTTCATCACGACCTGGTCCATCCGGTGGCGGGGAACGCGAGAGGGACGAGACCGTTCATGAGATCTTCCTCGTGCTGGACGGACATGAGCCACGAGGGTACGAGTCGAATGTGCCGTTCTCCTCATCCTGAGCACTGCAGCCTCGTTAATAATAATGTTATCGCGAGGATGGAGAGGCCTCCGAGGACGGCACGGATCACTGGCACGAACAACCGCGGGAGCCTAGTTAAAGTTAAAAAAGCCATCTATGGATCATGCTAAAGGGCACTTTAAGGGCTCAAGGACAGATCGAGTCTTTTTTGACACTTCTTCGCTTCCCCATTCCCTCGGTTCTTTGCCATCATCGTCCAGGCCACGGCATCGGAGGGGAACGATGGCTTTTGCCACTAGTGACCTTTTCTTCTGCTGCGGTGTGGATACATCGTCGCAGGGGGTAAACTCAGAGCCTTTCCCACGAGGCATCTCCCCTTTTTCTTAATACCTGCTTGGTCTATCGTGTCAAGTGATAGGCATTGATAGGACTGTGCTGACTCGAGAGCTGTCCTTTGCAAGAGCGCTAAGAGGAAAAAACGGCTGCACTGACCACCCGAGCAAGGGCCGAGGAGAGCCCTCTCCGCCGCGTTGACTATCTATCATTTCTACGGGTAATTCCCTTTTTAGGTGCGATTATCAGTACGGAGTATAATATTATTAAATTATTATTATCCACTGCCACTAGCAGATGAGACTAGTCGAGTAGTTAGTCAAAGGAACTACCTAGGTAGCCAGTTAGCTTAATTAACTAGATACTCTCGTTCCTTCTAGGAGGTTAACTTAGTTTGTTAGGGGAAGTCGATGAGATAAGCAGAAGCCTTGAAAGCATCTCGGGGTTTTGTTCTTCCGGAAATCAACATCACGCGTATCACGTGCCCCATGACGCGCCAGGCATCCAGTGCCGTCATGGCCGCAGCGAACCGAGAGAGATAACTACCTAGTACCTATCATGCATCACGAGGGGACGACACAATAATACTGGTCATCCTGACCTCTCCTTCCTGAGAGTGACCTCCCCTCATATGAGGACTGCAGCGTTTTTGTTGTCCTTGTTGATGTCGGACATGTTCAACTGCAATGCCTGGCGTCTTCGTGCTTGATTCATCAACGGACCTTACTGACTTGAAGAGTGTTTGTGTGCTAGGGCGGCTGGAATGACTACAGCTTGCCGTCATTGTTACTGATAGTATCGCTTGTCTGCAGTTCACAGCGGTGCGTCTGATCTGACTGCTGGGCCAGCATGATTGCCTCCAATTTACTGTCTCGCCTACTGCCGCCTACGGGGTCGCCTTCGGTCTACGAGGCCATACGCCAGAACGACGTGGAGTCCGACGCCTCTGATGTTGAAGAACGTGCGGGAATGGCCCTCGATGAAGAGAACCTGCGAGAACGTTTCGATCATGATGGACTCGAAGAGGCACTGGCCAATGCGACGGACAGCCAGATGACAACGCACAGCACGGCCTTCCTGGGCCAGGACCGTCCACGGGCGACGTCCGGAGACCGGCTGGACGCCCGGAGACCTACAAGGAGGAAGCTGTCTCGTCCCCGGTGGATGCAGACGTCCCAGAGAGAGCTGGAGGCAGACGAGGGCGATGAGGATGTCCCCGCGTCGTTGCTGGTCGAAGGGGGCGATGATGACTTCTCCAGATCTCCTGGACCTCCGCCTCCTCATTCTATGATGGATCATGGACCTCCCGTCCCAGGGCCGTCGTCAAGAGATGACATAAACAAGTGGGAACGCGCCAGAGCGCAGCAACCGTTGCATCCCCCTTCACGGCATACCGCTTCTTCTGATAGATCTGCACCTGGACCGTATCCGAATCTAGCCTTGGTAGACCCAAAGCAAAAGGCGCTGTGGAGATGGGCGAACGTGGAGAACCTGGACAACTTTCTCGAAGACGTCTACGTATACTTTTTAGGAAATGGTATCTGGTGTATCATGCTGAGTCGGGCCCTCAATCTTCTGTAGGTCTACATGAGACCCTCGACACGCGTAGAAGCCACAAGCATGCTGACTCGTAATAGTACGCTCGGATTCGTCGTCGGTTTCACCACATTTCTGACTAGCTGTATCAACTACCACGACATCCGCGGCGCTAGGAAGTTGGACGATATCCTGGTCAAGAAATGCATGGTGAACATGTCCTCATCCAAAACTCTTTTGCTATGGCTGTTCACTTTCTTCTGGATAGGGAAGCTGTTCCAGTATGTGCTGGATATCAGAAGGCTCCGCCACCTGCAAGATTTCTACTACTATCTGCTGGGGATCTCCGACGAAGATATTCAGACGATCTCTTGGCAGGAGGTCGTCAGTCGACTGATGGCGTTGAGGGACTCGAATCCCTCTACTGCGGGTGCGGTGTCTGCAAAGCACCGTAAGTTCATGGGGAGTCAGTCTAAGCAGAGGATGGATGCGCACGACATCGCCAACCGATTAATGCGCAAGGAGAACTACCTCATTGCTCTGTTCAATAAAGATATCCTAGATCTAACACTGCCTATTCCGTTCCTTAGGAACAGGCAGCTGTTTTCACGCACGCTCGAATGGAATATCAACCTCTGCATTATGGATTATGTGTTTAACGAACAAGGCCAAGTGCGGCCCCTCTTCTTGAAAGATACGCATCGCAGGGCTCTTAGCGATGGATTACGACGGCGTTTTCTCTTTGCGGGAATTATGAATATCTTTGTTTCTCCTTTTCTTGTCTTCTTTTTCCTGATGCATTACTTCTTCCGCTATTTTAACGAGTATCAGAAGAACCCCTCGCAGATTGGATCCCGCCAGTATACGCCTCTCGCTGAATGGAAGTTCCGCGAATTTAATGAGCTGTGGCATCTATTTCAGCGTCGGATCAACATGTCCTACCCCTTCGCTAATCGATATATCGACCAATTCCCGAAAGAGAAGACCGTCCAGTTAGCCCGCTTCGTCGCCTTCATCGCGGGAGCCTTGGCTTCGGTTCTTGCTCTGGCTTCTGTGGTGGATCCAGAGCTCTTTCTGGGTTTTGAGATCACCCATGATCGGACTGTATTGTTTTACCTCGGGCTTTTTGGGTCTATCTGGGCTGTGGCTCGTGGTATGGTCCCAGAGGACACGGACGTCTTCGATCCGGAGTTTGCCCTCCGTGAAGTTATCAACTTCACGCACTACTTCCCCAGCCATTGGAATGGACGCCTTCATAGTGACGAAGTGAGGAAAGAGTTTGCGACTCTTTATCAGATGAAGATCGTTATTTTCCTCGAGGAGATCCTGAGCATGATCTTTACGCCTTTCGTATTGTGGTTCAGCCTGCCGAAGTGCAGCGACCGCCTGATTGACTTCTTCAGGGAGTTCACCGTGCATGTGGATGGACTGGGTTACGTCTGCTCGTTCGCCGTGTTCGACTTCAAGAAAGGCACCAATGCCATCTCGCAGGGTCGTGTCCCTCGACGAGAAGGTACTCAGGATCTACGAGATGATTACTTCTCCACCAAGGATGGGAAGATGCTTGCATCGTATTACGGCTTCTTGGACAACTACGGCGCAAATCCACGAGCGGCAGCACATGGCCCTTCGAAAGCGCGACGGCCATTTCACCCCCCACCGTCATTTCCGACTCTTACATCGCCTCCGGGCGTTGAAGCGACCCCGCGCCCTGGCCGATGGGATCCTGCGCAGAACCGACAGTCACCTGTCAACGGTCCTGGCTATCAATCGATAATGCGTGGGTCCCGCTTCGGACCTGGTCCTGGCGCTGCTGATCCCAACTCACCAATGCCATCGATGCTTCTTGACCCTCATCATCAGCCTTCCGCTTCAGGCTTCCGATCTGTCAATCGTATGGCGCACTCGCGATATCGGCCATCCCGTCCATCTCACCCGGCAGCGGATCCTATCGATGATGAGGATGAACCGTCTAGTGAAGGGTATGGGAACCCGGCGACAACGCAAGCAGGACAGCCTACCGTGGCATCGAGCGGCGGAGTGGGAACCAGTGAGGGCAATCTCGAAGGGTCCTGGAAAACGCACTTGGCAGCCGAACCAGAAGACAGTGATGGGCCAGAGGAAGGAGAGAATGTTGATGCCATTGTGGGTGGTGCTGGAGTTCTTGGCCTGATCCATCAGTTCCAGAAAGTCACTAACGAAGGTCGCGGTGGGAAAACTGTCGGCATTTGAGCCTTTGCGAAAGGAACTTAGTCTCGTCATCAACACTAGATAGCTATGACATTACCCTTATGCCTTACGATTGGACTCGGATAGGGATCGGAGATCGTCGATATTTCCAGTGAGTATCTAGGAGTCTAGGAGTTAGGGGCCTTGGTCGTATTTATAGAATATAGTCCCAAGTGATACGTTTACTGGGTAGTTATTGGAGCAATATATGATACTTCAGATCCTAGGATATGCAAGACCAATATGAACCTCGTATATACTCTGGAAATACACTGATTGTAGCTTATAACCCAATCACAGTAAGTGTAGTCTTAAGGCAGCAGCCTCGGATTTATGAACAGGACGTAAGGACTAAAGCCGAACGACATCAAGAACTATATAAACTTCATGCCATCAACTTTACTTTTTCGCGATTTTTGAATTTCTATTCGCAATATCCTGGATATAGTCTCAAATCAAGGGATTTATCTAATCCGGTTCACTGCTCATTCGTAGGCAAGAACATTCTGCTTATACTCTACAGACAGCTTCTTCTGTCGCAACCATGCTACCCTTGATCACTCTCGAAGAGCACTACGTCTCTTCCAAAGTGCGCGAGGCCGAAACAGAAGACCACTACGCCGGCTTTCCCAGACATATCGTGACCAAATTACAATCACTCGACGATGAGCGCATACAAGATCTAGACAATGGAAACGTTTCCCTTCAAGTCATCTCGCACGGTCCGGGCGATAGACCCCCGCATCTCTGCGTCTTAGCGAACGACGATCTTGCCTCTGCTATTTCCAGACATCCGACTCGACTAGCAGGTTTCGCAATGCTGCCTATGAGCGAGCCAGTCGCAGCGGCAAAGGAGCTGGAACGCTGTGTGCGCGAGCTCGGCTTCGTAGGCGCATTGATCGATAACACTGCGAGCGGAGTATTTTACGACGATGAACGATTCTGGACCGTCTTCGAGAAAGCGCAGGAGTTAGATGTGCCAATTTATATCCACCCTACTTTCGCGGCTGATGGTGCCATGGAGCATTATCGGGGTAACTATGACGAGTCTATCGCTCTCGCTTTGAGCGCATACGGCTGGGGCTGGCATTCGGAAACGGCACTGCATATCCTCAAGCTATACGCCAGCGGACTCTTCGATCGCTTCCCCAATATCAAGGTCGTAATCGGTCACATGGGCGAAATGCTGCCGTTCAAGCTCGAGAGAGTAATCACCATCTCTCAGCGATGGGGGAGGGAAAGAGGACTACGGGAGGTATGGAGGGACAATATCTGGATCACGACGAGTGGGATGTTTGCGCTGCCGCCGTTGGCGTGTCTGTTGCAGACGACTTCGATTGAGCATGTGTTGTATAGTGTAGACTACCCGTTCTCGATGAATGAGAAGGGATTCCAGTTCTTTGAGGAGATTAGGAAAAGTGGACTGATTGCGGGGGAGGATTTGGAGAAATTTGCCTTTCGGAATGCGGAGAATTTACTCCATGTTAAAGCCAGTAGATAGTAGAGATGAGTGATTTGGACATTTCTTGGAAGACTGTGTTGCTGGGACTGGAGTACTATACCCGCTAATCAATATCAATGTCTTGCTGTTGCGATCTACTCCCCATAGACTTGATATCTTGGTTCCTAAGGCAGCAGATAACTTGCAGGCTTTGAGCCTACTTGAAATCCTTGGCCCTAGAGATATAGCTGTTAAGGAGTATAGTGAGTGGCAGGTGTCGAATGTCGACAATGATACACTCAAAACTACAGCTTAAGAAGTGTGTGATTGATGTTCGAGAACGGTCTTGACCTTGAGCAAGTGTATAAGGACCAAGACCCAAATCTCTTCATTGAGAAAGGGAATAAGATCTTATATAGGCATCGCTCGACGTTTTGTAGACGATATCGGAAAGTGGGTTAAGAACGGGAAGAGACCGATTCCTGTTTATGAAATTCTTTAGACTGAACGATATTAATACCTAAGCATCGCCTATTCTTTGAGGAGGGTATTGAAACCACGCTCATACTAGATAATGTGGCTCTCGATTTTTGTGACGAACAAATCCATCGCGCATTGGTATTCGTATTTTGTCAAAGATATCTGGCGTAGTGTTGAACTTAATCGTCATTTCGAGGCCTTTGAGTAGGACAGGCGCCAGTCCGGTCAGCTCTCCCCGGTGTCATAAGATTCGTGAAGCCATACTTTTCAACATTGATAAGGGACTCTCGGAAGGAGACAATCTCATCATCCAAGGTATTTCCGGCCAGTTCGATATCAAGGCGCCTTGTCTTTCCGTGATATAGATGAAATGCTTTTGCAAGTAAAGGGTTCCGTTTCTCTGTTTCCATCAAATAAAGCTGGAAGAGAGTTGATTTAAGAATCTGTTGCTTGATTTGGGCATGCTTCTCGAGGGTGCGGTGCGGATGGACCCAGTTATCTAGGTGGCTCTTTAAGAATATCTCATAGCATGTAAGGCGCCACTTGCGTCCTGCATGGAACCTCTAATTCGGTCTTTTCTTTGCTTCTTCATTCTCAATTGCAGCCCAGACAAGCTCTGCAATGTCATGGACTAGCATGTCTTCAGTCATAACGAAATCACTTTCTCCTTCTCCTGGTTCGGTCAAAAACAAAGATTTGAATGGGATGACTAAATCCCCTCCTGTGATAGTCGGTTCTTGGCCATTCTTGCCTTTTTTGATCAGAATCCTTTGTGTAATCTGGGGCGGTGATTGAGTATTGCAACGCCTATCTACAACTTGGCGTTGGTGCATAGTGATGTAGATATGTTGTGGAACTGGCTCTGTAACCCAAGATTTTATTTCAATATTTCCCGAGCCTCGTTTTATATCAATCGTGATACCCATTTTCACGCGTCCTTTTGATGCATGTAGCCACCAAGTGATATCCTTTTCCAGCTTCGCAGCTGTCTCTGGATAGCCAACTTCTAAAGCCACCGTCGGAAACTGTCCTCCTTGCCTTACTGGCATCCATGCGCGATCCGCTTGTTTTTTTCGATCTTTACCATCAACACGGGTAGCTCCTAGATAATGTAGTCGACGGAAAACTTTCATTTGAGTGGCTAGGACCGTCAGCACTCCTTCAAATTTACCGGCGGCTTCTTCATGTGGTTGGCTAGGTATTTTCAAAATAAGAGTTTGAAGTTGTGAAGAGTAATCCAGACGGCCGGGCAATTGTTCGTCAAGTTCGTCAATCACTTCTGATGGAAATGCTTTGATGACAACAAAACAGTCGTACGGTGATATAGGAGGCAAGAGACTTTCCAGACTGCATTGTGGATCGTAGCGAAAGACGGGCGTGTTAGGAGGAAGGTGCGAGAGAAACTCATTCTCTGCGTCCGACATGATACTCTCGTTTCCATATACAGGCGACATTTTCCGTGCGTTGCTTTTCGCTTCAAGTTTTCTTGATAGTTTCAAATCAATGGGATCAGCCAAATACTTCAAAGAAGCAAAAAGAATAAAAAAGTCGCCACGAAACTTCGGAAATCCACATCTCAGTGACATCACGATATATAGGCGGTGAGGAATCTGTATGTATACCTATTCCGCAAACTCTCTGCGAAGTGTTGAAGCTGTACCACATTTCTGGCCACTGCGCGACGGCAATCTGTTGACCGTAAGTGGTTGGCGTGGTACATAAGCCATTCGTTTGTGATTCTCAGGTACCATGTCAGGATATCGTTTGGGCAAGGTAAGTTACCTAACTAGGTAGTAAGAGTGTGGAGGTATAACTGATTTCAAAGTTTCTTTGTTGTCATGTGTGTTTGGGTGATGACTTGCAGGTGTATAACTAGTTAACTACTCCGTATGTATTATTAAACAATAGCCTGATTACTACTACTAGGAGTGCTATAACTATTATTGTATATCAAGGGGGTATCGGGCGAGTCAGTTGGAGGAGGACGCTTTAGTCTTCGCATGGGCCGTAAATGAAGAATTTCGAACATCTAAGGTAGAGAGCTTCGCATAGCAAAGAGTAGGGACGATCTCGCCAGCAAGTATCCGCCATCATTCAAGTAGTAAAACTCCTGGAAAACCCCAAATCGTCAGAGTCTACGGTTGTTCAAATTCTTGAGTCAGGAAGACGCTGCTTACAGTTACAGCTGACTCGGATGTTGTTTCCCACCCTACATGTCAGCCCGACAAGTACATCTTGGCTTCATGTTAGAGCGTAAATATATGACCAATTCCAGGTAATCCCAGGCGGTTAAGGAAAGCAAGAATCCAGGGCGTTTCAATTCCATCTGTTAGTCCGACATTCTCGTTTGTTTGGGCTGCTCTTATCTCTTGGCAGATCTTGAGCAATGTCGGTCTAACTGGCCTTTTATGGTGAGACTTGTTTCGACTCCTGTTGTTGGCGCCTGGAATAAGAGATGACTATGTAGTTAACTTCACGCATAACTACTAGTACTCCGTGGCCCATGGTCTCGAACAATGCTGGTATCACGAATAGAAGAAGAGTACAACGTTATCTGCTGCGATACATTCTTGCCAAGAGGTTGAAACACTCGCGGTCCGAGGTATGTCAGTAAATAAATCCCCGCGTTAAGGCAATGTGTTTCTGCAATTTCCCATTTCCCCTCTTTTTGGGTTAAGCTAACCATATGTCTGGACATTATGAAGTCTGCTGGAACCGAACCATATTATTATCGGTGAGAGAGTCGTTTATTTTTTTGTTTATGTTTTATTTTATATTTTTTCTTTGGTTCGGAAGAGCGGTATTAGACATTGAGAAAAGCGCAACTCCTGGTGCTTAGACCTGCAACTGTCATGCGTTTCGGCTTTTGCTGTAGTAGTGAAAGGATGTCTGGTTATTATTATTATTTAGGACGGCAGCATTGTATAAATCCACAAGAGGCTTGGCCTTGATTGATCAGCCAAAGCCAGCAAGCCACGAGGAGAAAAAATAGTAAACGTAGCCGCTGTTGCACTGCTTTTGGCGCAGTTTGTCCCACCACGGATCTCGGTAGTATAGCCAAGGGACCAGTATGGGCTAATAATAATAATAACGGGTTAAAGGGGAGAGCGAGTGGGACTGCTAAGGAGGCCGGTGCCTGATCTGGTTTTCGCTCATCGAGACATCTGGGACTCTGGGGCACGCGACCTGTCGGAGGCGTACTCTAAAGCTCGTAGAGGCTTCTTCAGGGATGCGACCTGTCCAAGGGATGCTGGCTGGAGTGCGGAGATACTGATTGCTGACCCGGCTGGACTGTCTTGGCTCTTCTTGGGTGTCTGTATCGGTGTATCCAAACGACCACCACATCTCGCTGTGCTGGCTTTTTCTTCGTTTCCTGCCAGAGTCATAATTATTAATATGACCTGAGAGTTCCTGCGGTGTTCTTGCTCCCGGTCATTATTGGATGATCGACGGGCTGTGAATGTGTCGTCGCAGGCAACTTGTTCGTGACATCGTTCTGCACGACACGCCCTTGCCTGCGTGGAGAGCAAAGGGTTGACCGTGGCGGTTAAGGAGAGGGCACATCCCCCCAAGTCTCTCATTTTCCCTTCGCCGTCTACCCACCGACTGTGCCTGTCATGCTGCGGATCCGACGGTATAGGGTCTTTGTGGCCTTCACCATCATCTTTGTTCTCACAGTCTTCCATTTCGCTCGATCGCGCGACTGGTCGCCCGCTGCCGAGTCCGCCCCGCTGGTCGATCTGGCGGAATCGAACGGGCCTCCTGCCAGTGCTCCTGACCATGATTCTACCTCTTCTCAACATGGATTTGTCCCTGAAAGTCCGCCTCAGATTGCGAAACCTGAAGCAAAGAAACCTGAGCCGGAGGCCGTTGGTGGTGCAGGTGCCGCAGGTGCTACAGACTCAAAGCTAGATACGCCGCCCAAGACGCCCCCGAAAGACACTTCTCATATCAGCAAACCTGACAAGATCGACTCGACCGTTCAGTATGGCAATTCTATACCTGGAATCCTGGGCCCAGACTTCGGCCCTCAGGGTCAGGGCAGGCTAGAGGTTACGCTGCCAGATGCTCCAGGCAGGCCTGAACCTCACTGGCGCAAGTTCCCAGAGCATTTCCCCGTACCTTCGGAGAAGCTCATTAAGTTGCCCACCGGCCAACCGAATAAGATACCGAAACTACAAGCACAATTCGCGGAGGAGTCGGCTGTGGAACAAGTGGCTCGCAACCAGAAGTTGGCGACTATCAAGGAAGCTTTCGAGCATGCATGGAAGGGATACAAATCAAACGCCATGGGCCATGACGAGCTACGCCCGGTTGAGGGTGGCTACCGCGATCCATTCTTGGGTTGGGGTGCTACCTTGGTCGATTCTCTGGATAGTCTGTGGATAATGGGTATGGAGGACGAGTTTGTGGCCGCGATGGAAGAGATCAAGAAGATCGACTTTACAACCAGTAGCAGAAAGGATATTCCAGTTTTTGAGACGGTCATTCGCTACCTGGGTGGTCTCCTCGGTGCCTACGATATCTCCGGGCAGAAGTATCGTGTGCTCTTGGACAAGGCTATTGAGCTAGCCGAGATTTTGATTGGAGCCTTTGACACGCCTAATCGCATGCCAGTGATGTACTATAACTGGGCACCGTATGTCGAATCCTTTGCGTATTATATTGCCCGCCCCTGTGTCCATTACTGACCCGATTCTCTTTAGCGACTACGTTTCTCAGCCCCATCGCGCGAACACTCGGGTCGTCCTCGCGGAGATCGGTTCCCTCTCGATGGAATTCACGCGCCTGGCCCAATTGACCAAGGAAGACAGATATTACGACGCCATTGCACGAATCACGAACGAACTCGAGAAGATGCAAGATAACACCAGGCTTCCAGGAATGTGGCCCATCCAAGTTGATGCTTCTGGATGTAAAAAGGCTCATCGGAAGTCGGCTCAGCTGCCACCACTCGGCAAACCTGAAGAGGCCCAGGGGGCTAACGTTCCTTCGCCTCCTATGCCCATGAGAGCGCCAACAGATGTTGAGAGCTACATGAACTATATCAGTCCGTCGCATCAGAAACGGGATGCGGAAAGTTTCGTGCACGAAGATACAGAGCCTGCTGTCTACGACGCTGTTCCAACGCAAACGCCAGTAGCCAGAGCTCCTGTGATCAACGAGGCCGGCAAATCCTACTGCGAGGAGCAAGGCCTTGCATCCCCACCTTACTCCTCGAGCGACAGGTTCGGACTGGGTGGTCAGTCGGATTCTACCTACGAATATCTTCCGAAGGAATACATGCTTCTGGGTGGGTTGGTTGATCAGTATCGGAAAATGTACCAGCGTTCCATGGAAGTCGTTCGCGATTATATCCTCTTCAGACCGATGATCAAGGATGACCGGGATCTCCGCTTCGCGGCCACTGTGACCTCAACACGGCCGCCTGCCGGCAAAGACGATTTCGATTCGTTGAGCTATCAATACGAAGGCACTCATCTTACCTGCTTTGCTGGTGGTATGTTCGCAGTGGGTGCCAAAATTTTCGATATACCATCTGATATGAGTCTTGCCGCGAAATTCACCGACGGCTGTGTCTGGTCTTACGAAGCCACTGCTACCGGCATTATGCCAGAAGGCTTTGAAGTCCTCTCGTGCGAGAACGCGGCTTCTTGTCCATGGAATGAGACCCGATACAACGAAGTCCTGGATCCTCATCCTGAATATCGAGTCAAACAGGCGGAGCTGGTCTACGAGAAAAAGGTCAAGTCGGCTAAACAAGCACAGAAAGATCTGGAGAAACCCGCGAAGGCTCCTTCCCACGACCAGGAGAACCAAGTCGCCAAGCGCGGCGTGAAGTTCCATGGGAGCGAAGAAACGACTACGCCATCCAAGACAGTTGAAGATAGCGCCGAACCGCACGCTTCAGGCGTCGCTATGCCGGACAAGCCAAGTGTGCTTTCTCATGAGGACTTTGTTAAAGCTCGCATTCAGGATGAGCGTCTGCCTGCGGGTTTCACAAAGATCTCTTCCCGCAAATACATTCTTCGACCGGAAGCCATCGAGTCGGTCTTCATCATGTACCGACTAACTGGCGACAACTATTGGCGAGAGAAGGGGTGGAAGATGTACGAGGCGGTCAGCGCTTACACACGCACAGAGCTGGCCCATTCTGCCATCCACGACGTTACGAGCGGAGCTCCTCTATTTCTGGATTCCATGGAGTCATTCTGGCTTGCAGAGACTCTGAAGTATTTCTACCTGCTGTTCAGCGATCCCAGTGTGGTTAGCTTGGATGAATATGTTCTGTGAGTAATGATTCCCTTGCGTGCTCTCGAGAGCTGCGATCTTCTAACATGGACGTTTTCAGGAACACCGAGGCGCATCCTTTCAAGCGCCCGACGTAATCACGAAATGGACACTGCCTCGCCAATTGCTTTTCTTCGTTTCGCTTGTATAAATATGGATACCACAACAACATTACCAAGTAGCTGCTAATTCTGTCAACATGCATGTATAATGTGTACCGTTCTCCTTTTTCGGGATATTCTGGTATGGTCATTATTCTATGGTGGTTTGGAGGTACAGGAGACACCGCATAGGTAATGGCTAGATGGCACAAAAGTAAGCTTTGAATAGATATGGCAATACCAATAATATCATATCAAATACCTTCTAACCCCGCGCCACCATTCGGGAGCAGGATGACGTTATGAGCCACGCGTAGTGAAGAGGTTCTTAGACCAGATTCTCTGCAGTATATGGTATGTAGACTATCATTATGTATTATTTACCAATTGGTTTTTGGCTGCATGTCAAGTGTCACAACGGCAGATCATAGGATGCCTGTTCCTGCAGCGCAAGAGCCGTTTAACTTGAACCCCCCTTTCGTGGAGAGTGAGCCCGTGATCATCTGATGTCTCTAGAGAATTAAGAGTCAAGTCGACTATCGAGTTATCGACAGTTAGGCCCGGCCTTGTTTTATTTCTCGCGGCTAGTTATTATTATTATTATTATCACTACTCGGTACTATTCTTGGCCCGGCCGGACGGCTCATCCGCTACTTATCCTTGGACCAGAACGAGCCTACTCCAAGCTTCCCCCCACCTGCCACTCGACTTGGCCGCAAAGCACTTAAACTAGGTCTTGACCCTCACAACTCAACAGAAAAGCCCCGAGAAACGGTGACGAACGGGGGGCGCTTATCGGACGGGATGATTGGAGTGACAAGGCTGGGTCGACCAAGAAGATCGAGCTGTAGGAAATGGAGTTGGACATCTCCTACAGCCTTGATAATGCGCAGCAATTCTGGGATGGTGAGTCGCTCTTTTTTCGGACATCCCGATCTCGGGAGCAAGCTGGGATGTTGCAGCGGTCGTGTACTCCAAGCGAGTGCTGGTTCCTGGAATGCGAAGTCTCTATTGTTCAAAGCTAACTGGGAGTCTTTATCGGAACAGAGCTCGAAGAGATCGTCTCTGCTCAATGCGACTCCGAAGGTCTTATCGACAGCGCGCTGCGGACTTACCTGAGCTTTACCACCAGATATAAAGGTTGGTTATACCTTGGCATCAGCGACAGAAATCACACGTCTGCAATCTCCCGGGTCCAAATCGATGGTGTTATTCTGCGGTGATGGGTGCATTGGCATCATTGGGACCGGGGAGATACTTCATTCAGAGGAGATGTGCTGACGACGTTTCCGCATCCTTGCGGGGTTATAAATAGATGAGTACCTCACTTCTGACTACGACATCTTGCGATGCTCGTACAAGCTCTTCTCTTCGAGTATCTTCGCCGCCCACGCGGACTATGTCCGAAGACAGATTGTTTATTGCTTGCTTCAGGTGCGCTATCCCTGGTTTGATGGAGAGTCATCGTGTATACGATTGGTACTGACCTTCTCTACCTTCGATGTACAGGAAGATGACCTTAATACCCTACACCTAATTGTCTCCTTCCTTCTCTTCGATGGCCGCCAGAATGAGGTTACATTTCAGATGATGAACGATGAGGGCTCGTTCCCGCGCCTGGTGGAACTCATACAGCTGCCCAGGAAGGACGAGAACGTTGAACCCGGTCTTCACCGGTTACTCATGGACCTTTTCTACGAGATGTCCCGCATCCAGCGAGTCAAGGTCGAGGATCTCGGTGAGTTGCATACGCTGGTCAGGACTTGGGAGTGCGCGAACAATCGGCTGATGCGTGATGCGGTCACGATCTATAGTTCAAGTGGACGATGACTTCGTGAGATACCTCTTTGAGATCATCGAAGAGCTCTCCTACGATGCCAACGATCCGTATCATTACCCTGTCATTCGCGTGGTGGTACGTGTCTTGTGTTGAAAACTCACCATACAGGATTGAGCTGACAGTCGACCTAGCTTATTCTTAATGAGCAATTCATGGTATCAGAGCACGATCCGACAGTCGAGTCGGCCATTGCACACCGTCTGACCAACCGTGTAATCAAAGTTCTCTCCATGCATGGCTACGCTTACAAGACGTTTGGCGAAAACATCATTCTTTTGCTCAACAGAGAGGGTATGGTATTCTCTGTGCTTGTTTCCAGAAGAAGATCTTCTAACCTCACTAGATGAGACGTCGTTGCAACTCTTGACACTAAAACTCCTCTACCTTATATTTACGACTCCACCGACTTACGAGTATTTCTATACTAATGACCTTCGCGTCCTGGTTGACATTCTTATACGGAACCTCTTGGATCTTCCCGAGGAAGCAGCGGCACTGCGGCATACCTACCTGCGAGTTCTTTATCCGCTTCTAGCCCACACGCAGTTGAGGTATCCGCCGTATTACAAGAGAGAGGAGGTGAGGCGGATGCTCAGTATACTTGTCCCTCAAGGCGATGAGGCAGATCCTGAGAGGATACTCCATTTCAACGATGTCGACGATACGACCAAAAGGCTTGTGGCCAGGTGTAGCAAGGTTGAATGGCTACAGGATCCGGAGCCGGAGCCGGAGCCGCAGCTCACTGAATCCCCTACTGCCGTTTCTTCAGACACACATCGGCCTTCATTTGTGGAACAATCCCCCGAGACAGTCGTGGGAGAGCAACTGGAGGCGACAACGTCTGTCGTATCTACAAACACGGATCTTAGCTCTACTGCCAATTCGTCGCCAACGAGGCCGGTTGAGAGAACTCCGTCAGACACGAGCTCAATTGCGGGTTTCAAGCTGGGAGTGCCTTCTGGACCTTATCTAGAGGCATCTCGTTCATCTTCACTTAGTGCCGTGGAGGTTGCAATGCACCAGGAACAGCCTGGTGTCATCACGCCAAGTGTCAAGGATGCTCTGACTGGTGGAAGCCTTGCGGCACAAGGCGCCTCACTCAAGCCTAAAATCAAACCAGAACCACCCATGGCGAGGCGGTCGCGTGGTAGACGCCCCCGGGATGAAAATGACAGCGGCTGCAGGACTCCAGGAGGTGTAGACTTGAGTGGTTACGAACTGAGGAAACCATCTGTTGGAGAACATAATGCAACTCCGCTCCCACCTCCCGCACGTCGATCAGCTTCACATCCTCCGCCTGCTGTGCCTCCGCCACGACGGTCATCCCATTCTGTCCATCCGCATACCCCGACTTCAAGCAATGGATCTCTTCCGATTGTAGCGGGTATGGCAGTGAGTCCACACAGACACGGCCAGAAGCCTGAACCGCCAAAGACACGCCGATCTGGACGTACAAAACATCTCCAGCCCGAAATGCCTGTAGAGGAGCCAAAACCAGAATTGGAATCGAAGGACCCGATCGTGATCATTTCTACGCAGTCGGGAGAGGTCCAAGAATCGCCTGTCAGCATCGAAGAGGTCATGCAGAAGGTCAGCATCGGATAAACCGCACAGTATCGTATGGCATGTACAGTATATAAGTAATAAATAACATTGAGCATGGTATAAACCTGCCGTACTCATAGCACCACTCACTCATAACGACTCGGTAAAGAGAGCGCTCGTGTCTCCATTGCTACCCGAATAACGGTTTGGAGTCAAACTTGCGTTACATATTTCTCAAATATACCGTGACTTACACGCGCTTGGCGTCATTTGTTTTCCACCATTCCCTCCACGCACTGCTCCGATCTTGATAAGGTACAAGTTACATTTCGATTCCTTGGTGCTATCAAACAGTCAGCAAAGCTGCACTCATTGGCATACACCTCTCCTATTCGGCAACCAGCAGTGATTAGAGGTAAGCTTACTGGCTACTGATCAATGATCTCTGCTCACGCGACAATAAAATATTATCTGTCCCACTAGGACCTGCGATTGGTCCTCATGGAAGAATCACGATGGTAGCACTACTACCGGCTACAGACATAAATCAATTTGTCCAAACCCTCAGGCTGGGTGTCGCGGGTGATGTCTTCCATACTTTATAGATTGGTTTCAGGGCAGACAGGACTCGAGTCTCTCTTTTTTTCTTTTTTTCTTTTTTTCTTTTTTTCTTTTTTTTGGACAAGGATATCATCTCACGTATCTTCTTTGATAGTTAGAACCGGATGCATTCATATCTCGTTTCCCGCTTACTTATGCAATTTATACAATCTTCATCATTTCCTTGTTCCTTCTTTCCCAGCTTCGGGCCCCTCCGTAGAATTCCAGTCCCTCATAGATCGCAACTTCCGTTGGCGAAACCAGACAAGACAAGACAAGACGGAAATGACCGAACAAAATCGAGAGTCTACCCAAAGACACCAACAACAGAAAGTTACACTCGTTTCCTCATTGATATCCGCATTATCTAGAGCATCATCATATCATCAGTATCAATATCAGAATCAGAATCAGAGATTATAACCAAAGAAGAAAAAGAAGGAACAGGGAAGCCGAAAATGCCTATCCCAGACGTTTGTGTCGTGGGAGCCGGCATCGCGGGCTTGAGATGCGCCGCTGTGTTGCTGGAGAAAGGGGCTCGTGTGACGATATTTGAGGCGAGAGACAGGATTGGTGGAAGGGTAAGTAGTTCTCGTTTATTGGTTTTTCTGGCTACCTTTGGAGATTGTTTGTGGTGAGGTTCGTTACTGATTTTGGGGGATGTTCTTATTGGAAATAGATCTGCCAGAGTGATGAAATTGGGAGAGAGGTCGACTTGTAGGTGCTTCTCTGCTCTTTTGATTCTGCTTTTTAGATATTCTGATACGGAATTTTTTATGTGGCTAACTATTTCTCAGGGGAGCGCAATGGATACATACGCTCGAGAATAATCCTCTTCTTGAGATTGCCATCGACGAAGATGTCGCCCTTCATCGATGGGGCAGTGACGTTCAGGTCTATGATTCTGGCCGGAACCTCATTGATAACAGCAGAGCTACGTACATCTCTGAGCGAAGAAGGGCGATCATCCGGGATGCTATCGAGTACAGCAAGAAACACAAAGACAAGATTCCGACATCAACTAGTCTGCTCGATTTCTTCCTCGAGAGAGCGGCACAGGAACAGTTTCCAGATAACGTGCACGATCGGAAACTTCTTCTGGAAATGGCTGAACTTTGGGGTGGGTTCATTGGCGGCGATGTGAGCAAGCAGAGCCTGAGGTCTATGTGGATGGAGGAATGCGCAGTTGGAGGTAAGTTATTTTATTGCGTGATTTATTGAGTATATCAGCTTGGTCTTGGTTTGCATAATTACAATCTTTCTGGAAACTAATTACATGAAATCATCACCAGAGGACCTGTTCGTCTCAACTACATATCGCGAGATTGTGGATAATGTCGCCCTCATAGCGCGCAGATATCGTGCTATCCACTTGGGGATGAAAGTGACTGGGATCAAAAGCATTACCAGAAGGGCTCCACGTGAGAAGGGTGGAGTGGTGGTCACAGTTGAAGATGGACGCAGCTTTCCCTTTGACGAAGTCGTGGTTACCACGCCGTTGGGATGGTTAAAACGCCATCAAGATGTCTTCAGCCCTCCATTAGAAGCAAGATTGACGAAGGCAATAGGACGAATCGGATATGGGAATTTGGAAAAGGTGAGCCCACTTCCTCCATCGGTTTCTATACGAGGTTATATACTGAATATTTTGGGTCAAAACGAAAAGATATATATAAAATTTCCTCGCGCCTTTTGGAGAGAGACTCCGAGTCAGAAGCAAAAGTACGGGAATGGAGATCCCGCCAACGCATCCTCTCCGATTGGATATCTTAATTTCCTCTCTCCATGCTACGCACCAGTCACGAATCCCTCGCAGTGCCCTCTTGAAGCGTACGATCTGTCCTGTCTGCCCGTTCAGTATGCCTCTCCAACTCTACTGTTCTTTATATGGGGCCCGTCTGCCGTTCGCCTTACAGCCGCTGTCCGGAGTCTCATCCCCAGCAAGCAATTTGAGTATCTCAAGACGTATTTCAAACCATACTACAGTCTCCTGCCGCATTACAGCGCGGGCCACGAAGACTGCCAACCACAAGTGATCCTTTCTACGGATTGGGCCGGCGACGAATTTGCGGGAAATGGTAGCTACACAAACTTTCCCACGGGAGTGGAGGATGCGAGCCGAGACGTTGACGCGTTGAGATATGGCTCTCCGGACAGGGCAGTGTGGTTTGCCGGTGAGCATACAGCGCCATCCTTACATATGGGAACTGCAACGGGAGCGTACATCGCAGGCGAAGAGGTGGCAAAGAGAATTATCGAACTGTACGGGATGGAAAGGTGCCGCCTCTAGACGATATACGACTACTTTGGTGTCTTCTGGGTAGAATGGTTTTCAGAGATATTCATATGCTCTATTCTTCTTGGTTTTGTGTGGGTCCCACTGGGTTTTCTTATTGATTTAGAATAGAAATCTCAAACTGATATGCAGCGAGACCACTCTGTCCCGCTAGAGACCTACTTGGCCCGTATCATACCTTGGTAGTGGGTGGCTTCGGTGGACTAGAAGGTATTGCATCCTCTACGGTCTTCTTGGGGCCAGTAAACCAATGCATTCCTCCAAGCCCAAAGGGAAGAATCCATCCCACAAGACTGACAATCGTGACGATGCCAATGCAGATTGGCGCGTAATTGAGGGATTCCTGAGGCCTGTCAGCTTCTCATCATTTATGCATAAAGTATACGTAGATGCGTGTATCTCTTACCGCCGTAACAGGATAAACTTGCGGTAGCAACAGCACCGCGAACAAGAGCATGATATACCCTCCCGCAATAAAGGCAAGGAAGGGTCCATACCGGCCCAGATTCCACGCAGCAGGCTCAAAGTACTTTCGGCCAATAGTGTATCGGGCCACGATAGGAATCAGGTATGAAAAGTTCGTTGCGATCGTAGCTCTATATGAAACACCCAGTTTATTAGTTAAAAGGGAAAAAAGAGAGAGATGTAAGGAGAGAAGAGGTCACTTGAAACCCCGTCTCCTCTCATACAGAAAAATCTCCGACGAAAGAAAGAAAGAAAATACATCAAACATACGTCGCAGTAATAGCCGAAAAAGCCACCTCGGACCCAATCACGGCACATGTAATAGCGATACTAAGGACGCAGACGAGAATGGCCGCGTTGACAGGGACTTTTCTACTGTTGAGTTTGCGGAATAATCGAGAAAACGGGAGGACGCCATCGCGGGATATGGCGAATGTGACGCGCTGGAAAGGTTATATAGTTGGTTTTTTTTTTTTTTTTTTTTTTTTTTTTTTTATTAGGTTTGTGTGTCTCTCCTTGGGGTATGTATGTGTGTGTGTGTGTATGTGATGTTGTTACGGTGTGGGGAGGGATATTCGTTACCTGAGCAGACATGAAGCATGATGCTGTGGCGCACTGTATACAGTTGATGGGTTAGTTCTGGGTTTTAAATTTTGCATATACTGTATCCAGAAGTGATAGAATTAAGCTAAGCAAAAGAAGAGATACCCACAGTCGAATCAACCCATAAAAGAGCCAATATACCAACGGCACCATTCGGGCCAACGATCTGAAGGAGATATTCGGCGAAACTGTTTGTATATGATGCTATAAATAAGGCAAGAAACAAGAAAAGCCGATCAAAATTAATTAGTCGTCTTTCCTTTTAGTTCAAATTGATAGTTGTTAGTTAAGAGAAAAGAAAAGATTTCATCCTCACAATTGATAATCGCGTTGAAATCCTGCATACAGAAAAGCATAATTATGAGAGTTGGAACGGAGCCGAGCCCTGTGTTTTTTTTTTTCGTTTTTGGTCCTGTTAGTTTCTTCTATTTCATCAGGATTTTGCGGTGGGTGGGTTTTTCTTTCTTTTTTGGGGGGGGGAGGTTTGGGAAGTGTATGTATGTATGTACTCACAGGCACAAAATGTCGACAACCACATTCCTCTTGCGACAACGATGCTATTATGATCGATTGATGAGTCAACAATTAGTTCTGACCTTTTTAATAGAGAGGTACCCCGGGGGGTTGATATATTTTCCCACCTTGCATTCTGCGTCTCTTCTGCTAAATGTGCGGATGTATCTGTAGAAGGTTAAGTAACTAATTCGACACTCGTCAGCTCGCAATAGACCGTACCATATCCGTAAAAGACCCTATGAAGTCCAAGTGTTAGATCTCGGACCTTCATATGTGGGGACTCATCCCTATCAACGGACGAGCATGCAGGGAATATCAACATCACTTACCATGCTCCGAAGAGGATACCGATAATCCAACAATACGAATCGGAAGCCTGTTTCTTGGGACCCTCGTTGATGCCGTTGTAGAATTTATTAAATACTACTTCCCGGCTTTGGAAGTGGCCGGATGCCTGATTAGAATTGTGCAGGTCGTTAGCATATAGTTACTCGTTGAGTGGTAAATAACAATATGTATGTATTGTACCTTTGCGGGAAGCCATGTCCAGTATATAATAAAAAGTGAAAAGAAGATAATAATCGCGAAGCGGAAGTATAGTTTTCTGAGGTAGATTAGCTGCTATAGAGGGAACAGAAGGGAAACAAAACCAAACCAGACAACGTACAAAATCCGCTGAGATGTGACGGTTGGTATCATGGCGACCAACAACCCGATTGCACTACATAAGTCTCATCAGTTCTCAAATCCAGATAGGTAGTTACGTTAAGAAACGCAATTCATCTTACGTCATGAGCCATGAAAGCCATCCCTGTTCCAGAACAGAAGCATTGGGATACTTGATCTCAAGTGCAGAGAGCAGAAAATTCGTTGCTCCTTGTTGAACACCGGGAACGACGCAAATCCATCCGACCCAATTCCACCACTAGAAATGGATATGGTCAGACCTGCCAAAATTTCTCATCTATTATGTTAGATGGAATTCGAAATCCACGCGTCTTACCGCAGTCATCCAACTCAGAAATGGTCCCCATTTAGGCCCTCCTAGTCTATAACTCCAGAAATATATCCCACCCGCAGTTGGCAGCGCGGCCGCAATCTCTGCCATGACCAGCGAGACAACAGAAGAGAAACCACCAACCATGGTCCAGTTTGCGAATGCGGATTTCGGTCCTAGTAAGGTTATTGTGTAAGTCGAGGCTCTACCATGCGAAACAGTCCTGCAAACAGTCCGGTATCTATATTGACGTACCGCCAGAGACCATAATGAAGGAGAACAGGACAGGAATGCCAGAGACAAAGTTCATTGACTTGATTAGGTGTCAGTATAGCAACCACAATAGGCCTTTGGAACGAAAGCACTAACGGAGAAAGTAGCTGCCCAGCTCTCGAAGAAGCCTAGACGTCGCAGTAATTCTATATCCAAATCTGGATTAACGATCGAAGCCACACCGAGAAGCTTGCAATGGCGCAAAGCAGACGCTCACCCTGCTTGTATCCTAATTGTGCCAGTCGATATTCATCTTGGTCAAGGACTCTTCCCCCGGAGATATCTGTCACGGGTTGCTCCTGCGATATTGCCTGGTCTTTGGATATTTCCTCCATCGTGCCTAGATGCATGCTATGGGCCGCAACGACCTTGTAATAACAATTCCTAGAATGAAATCGGTTGCGTGTTCAACAAGGTGCAATGCGACTCAAGAGGGTCTTGAAACAAGGCAGTAACGTAGAATGAAGAGGGCTAACTAGCTAGCCATAGCTTTTATCTCGAGTCGCTCAGTTACACGAGCGGCAGATAGAGTGATACTAGTATACGATGCCTGCCGATTCCGATAAGGAATTCTGGGGTTGTTGTTCAGCTCCCTTGCCTTCTTATCAGGCCTATACGTCAACCTCCCTCTTCTTCACCAGTATATGCCATTAATAATTATTCATTATTATTAGTGGTGGGTAAGTGCGTGTCATTGTTTAGAAATATCTAATTTCTGTAGTTATACCTTACCTGCATAGGTAAATGTTTCTATTAAGCGAGAGCTGATCGTGGGTAGAAAAATTGGTAAGACTTTTATTTCCCTCGGAAAAAACTTCTCTCTATCCACGCCGAGTTGTTTGTATGGCTACGGGGGATAATCAGCAATCTACACGACAGAAGGCGCTGAGAACTCATCTGTAACCACGAGCTCACTCCATGCTCGCACGAGCGCGATAGCTGTCGGCTTCTCCGCCTCTCTGATGCAGAGGGTTATGCACGGTCCCTGGCATGCTGGTTCCCGAGCCGTCTGGGTGATGAACAGGGGAAATACTATGAAAAATGGACACTGACTTGAACATTGGCCATTTCGAGTTATTCATGGAGTCTCTGGTAGTATTTTACATCCAGACGGCGATGTACAAGATTCAACAAGGTACAGTACATTTTAATTCCTCCCTTATGCCTTGAAATATTATGTACTGTACAGTAGAACACATCCTTATCTTGTTTTCACTAAGCTTTGGCCGTGATAACGGTAGCAACAGACCAACCGAAACCCATCAATCTAGTGTACTCTCCGGGTTCGATATACCCTATAGAGTAAACTAACACGCCTATCTTCACGCAGTTCCTTCGACGAATCCTTGTGCGGAGAATTATCAATAGCAGGTTCTGGTGTGCCACTAGAAAGGACCGAGTATGGATCTCCAAAAGAAGGGGCGACTTCCAGGTCTGTTGATTCGTGAGACGGAGTTCATCAGGCTTTATGAAGATATGGGGGGAGAAATGAAGATCCATCAACCTCCAGGCCTCCATCGTAGAAGTCAAAGGCATTATCTGAGAGACCCTAATGGCAATGGATATAAAACTTCTGGATAATTAAAGAACATATCCCTCGCGTACTCCGCTTAGCCATTGAATCGTTTACCACGATAGCGGGACAGGACAGGAGTCTAATCCTCACGGCAATTATGATCCAAATAAGGGTGTAGATGAAGAAGGAAACCCTCAGGATACACAAAGCAGGGCAGTGTGCAATATCCCGAATAAACATCTGTAGGCGGGAGATCAGTCTATTCGTTTAGAAAATGTTCTAGAATAATTGGACCATGTTTTCTAGATCGGACACTTTAATGTGGTTAGGTTGAGCTGTTAACTCGCTGATTGCATAAGTATGCATGCGGGGAACGAAAGGAGGAAAGGCCGACAAGGAATGAGGGTTCCTAAGAATAATGATCAATACCATCCCTTCTTCTCTACGCAGCATTGAAGACCATTATTTAATGATAGGAAAAGTTCAACATGATAGAAATCATTTGAAGTTGAAGATAATAATAAAATATCCTATGTTGATACACAATAGAAGTGAATGTAGACTGAGCAATTCACACATTGCCCCCTCGATTCCTTCGAAAAGATAATCGTAAAGCGTTTCCGAAAGTAATTTCAAAATGTACATCATAGGAAGACGTATGAGAGAAGTCATCATAAGTCTGTTAGTTAGTTAAAAGATAGATCTCGCTTCATGCAATCTTGTTGCCATGAGGTTTCAAGTTCAGGATGGTGATAATGGAGGTTTCACAGGATGCCCCAGAACTGCTCCGCGCCATAGGTCCAGCGATTGTTCTGCTTCCACTTGTCATCAAAGGCCGTGAACAAGATTATGCCGCCATCAGAGAAGCTTTTCTTCAAGCTGTCGATTGCAAGTCGCTGGTTCTCCTTCGAAGGTACCGCGGCTCCATTGGCCTGGCCTGAGTTAGGCCAGCCTGACTCCGTGATGACGGTTCGTTTTCCACCAGCAGCTTTTGACACCTGTTCAGCTTGCTGCTTGACATAAGGGCCCGCTCCTGCTGCAGTCATGTCCGAGTCGTAAAACGCATGGCAGTTTGCTGCGCAATAATCAGAGGCATGGCAGAGCTCGGGATGCTTGATCATGATATCAAATGTGTCGACAGTGACAACTGGGCCCTTGTAGCCGGCCGCACGAAGTGTCTGACGGGCCGTGTTTACACCATTAATGACATCGCCAGGAGAGTTCTGTCCGCTGTTAACCAGCTCATTTCCGATAGAAATGGTGTCGAAGGGTGACCAGTCCCCATTAACAGCCTCAGTCAGTGTCTTCAGACTGCCAGGAAGGTCAGTCAAATCATTGATTCCAGCAAACAGCTTCATGTTGTGTCTTTTGGCAGCATTCGTGACGGTGGTGATTTGATTGCAGTCAACACCGTAGATTCGGACAAGGGGGTAGCCGGTCATCTTCTCGAAGTCACTGTTGACCTCATCCTGGGTCTTGCAGCTACTGTCATCGTTGTAGGGCGAATAAGAGATCCCGATCTGGTTTGACGGGACATAATCAGGTCCTGGGACAAACTCTGGAGGATGAGACATCTGGTGAGCACCATGAGAGAATGATGGCGTCTGCAATTTGCTTTCAGACGTAGGGATCGCAGCAGAAGGGACCGAAACTAGGGAAAAGGAAGCTGATGACGAAGGAACCCGGGCCTCCTCAGTAGTAGCATCCACACCGAAGACGGAAGTCGAAGACGGCGAAGGAATCACAGTAGGCATAGCCTGAGTCTTTTCCACAGTGAGTAATCTGCACCTTTCAATCTACACGACCGCATCTCTAGTAACTCACCTCAACTGGCTTCGTCACAATACATCCATTAGTCTCCACACGAATGGTGCTACCATACTGGTTCACCCAGACGACATATTCACTTGGAACAGTAATGTACTCCACATCAGCATCACGCTTAATGGGATTGAATTTACTGCCTGCCCCTGTTGCTGCTGTTAATATCTGTTGATAGACAATGAAGAGACACAATGCGTATGCGTACCATGGGGTATCGCAATTGCTCCCTGCAGAAGCGTAATGGCACTAAGCCAAGAGATAAGATCTTTCATCATGAAGAAGGATCAAACTGAATGAATATTCGTAAGTCGTGAGTCGTGAGTTTAGATAGGAGCTTAGAACGCGTCCTGACAGCAGCTATCTGAAAGAGTGACAGTTCTAGTCTTAGTTAGATGATGCTGAGTTTATCTTAGCGAGTGACGCGTACTGTTTTAAGGAGCGTAACGTCTTCCAACAAAAGGCAGAGAAGCAAACAACAGAGTATGATAAGGAGGGTATGATGAAAGAGAGCTGCAGAGCACTAGATAAGAGTCTCCTCCTTCCTGCGGGGAACAAAACAACACTGCCAGGACAACGCTCACCAGAAGCAGCACTTAGTAGCACATATGCATATTCTCTATTCTGGAATAGCTGAGTTAATGCTCATCCACTAGCTTATCGAAGTTCTGTTGTCGCGGAATGCTTGTATCTAGTATGTTGTTGAGTTGATCTCTGGAATGCTGGGAAAACAAATCAAAAGCACACTGGTAATTTCGGCTATCCCCCTAAGAATGAAAACAATAAGTAACCCGTAAGACCTGGATCATCCTATTGGATGACAAAATGGCCATAGTTCTCAAAGCCATTATTGAGGAATTCACCGCCCGTATTCCAGTGCCACCACGTTTCTATAGAGTCGTTGATGCATTCTTTGGGACTACCGCCAGCCCTCTTGAAGTTATTAAGCTGTCATATCCATCATACCAGCAGGTTCTCCAAAAGCTGCCATAGTATGTGATTTGATGTGTTTTTTGCCCTCGTTGCCAGGTCTTCAAACCTTCAGATCCTCTCAATAGCCTTATCTAAAGGGCAACAAACGAAATAGGTAGCTATAGATGGATTATGGGGAGGCAACCCAAGTTAATACATGTTCTCGAGCTCGAGCAGTCAAACTGTCTCAGTAGAAGGGCGAGAACGGATCTGTGTCATTAAAGATGTCTATTAATACCGTTAATTGATATCTCTAGTCTCCGTGGAGAAAGATAAGGACAATGACAGCGACTCCGCCAGGAAACGAAGAATGGATCCCCTTCCATGCTATCCGGGCCCTAGCCTGTAGCATATCCGGGGAATTCCAGCAACCAGGCCCACTGAAAAAGTACTATAGACCTCCCCATGTTCCGGTAAGATTGTACAGTCAGCGCATTGTTGGAGAGAAAAGGCGGAGCCGAAAGAAACGAAATTAAAGTACAGTGGACCGGGAATTGTTCATTACGCGTAGGTAAAGGGTAAACGATAAAGGTTGTAGGCGGATGTCGTAAAGTGCATTCACAGGAATGACACTAGAAGTAGGAGCTTATTTCTTCTTGTTGAAAACCTTCGTGATGGCATGACGAATAATCGTACCCGTCTTCTCGATTTCCTTTTTCGTTAGGCCCGTCGTTACGCAGACCTTCAATGCCGGGGGAACAGCCTGCTTCGGTTCGGCACCGTCTGAGAGAGTCTTGAGACGAGTGATAAGCACACCATTCGCGAGCGCCTGTATCACGGCATTAGCATCGAAAGCTCTGTAGCTAACATGACAACCTATCCGAATCTGACTGTTTACTGACCTCATCAACTATGTCCTGTAACAAAAACTGCTGATCCTCAATCGACAAGCGCTTAGCAGCCACGACCTCACGCTTGATGACGAGCAGCATGATCGGGTTCTCCGGCGCGCTGGTACAATACATCCAGTCGCTCCGCGGATCCAGCTGCGACCACATAACCTTTATATTCTCCCGCAACTGTTTGATAATCTCTGGTGTTGTTTGGAGGATATTGATCGTCTCACTGGCGGTGGTAGCCAGCAGCGCAGGAAGAGCAGCGGAGAAGGTGTATGCGGCAGCGGAAATGCGCTGGTGGTGAACAATCTCTTCCGACCCAGCGCAAAAACCGCCTCCAGCGATGAGCGGACCTGCGAGGGATCCAATGATCATATCGACTTCAGCAGCATCGACATTTTGATGTTCTGTGACACCACGTCCAGTCCTTCCCAGGACGCCAAAGGACCAGGTCTCGTCGAGGATGAGTCGGAATTTGTACCGGAGCTTGAGCTCAATCTAGCAGTAGCAACTCAAATTAGCCGGCCCATCGATACCACGAGCGTTGCAGCAAAAGAGAGACCTACAATCTTTGGCAGGTCAACCATGTCGCCGTATGACTCGAACAGACCCTCAGTAATGATGAAGCGCCTCGTCAGAGGCTTTCTGGCCTGCTCCTTGGTGACTTTCGCCAGGACCCTCTCCAGATCTTCCATGTCACCGTGCTCATACCATCTCACTGTACTACGGGAGATCTGGATACCCTTTCGGATAGCGTAGCTCACGCCCTTATCGGCTACGATTATGTCACCACGTTTCGAGAAGGCCGGAATCACGCTGGATATCGTAGAAAACGCCTGCGCATAGATGATGCACGCTGCAGTACCCAAGAAGGAAGCGACATCTGCCTCCGTCTTCATGTGTACATCCTGAGTACCGTAGAAACCCGGGGGTCCGCAAGGTCCGACACCATAGTTACGTAAAGTCTGGATCGCCTTTTCCTTAAGTGCCTCATTGCCGTTAAAGTTGTAAAAGTTGTAGGATGCGAGATTCGTAACCGTTCGGCCATTCGACAACTTCGACTTGGGCCCCGTGGGACTAGAGTACAAAAGGAGCAAGTCAGCAAAGATTTCCGCCAGGGGATTGTAGCAGCAACCGAGTCCATACCCGACAAGCACTGTACGTTTCTCAACCTCAGCCGCTTCCAGCGCAGATGGAGGTCCAACGAGCGGTTCAGGGGTCCAGTCTTCTACTAGGTCATCGATTTCCTCTTCAGAAAGCTGGACGATGCCGGGCTTCGTCGAGTATTTCGGCGCAAGCAGATACCGAACTGCGAACAAGAACAGAAAGAGTTCCACAGCCGATCGCACCGGATCATTCTGGTAGCTAGATTTCACGTAACGAATAAAGATTGCAGAACCCGGGACGCGATGGAACTGATTCGCAAGCTCCTGGAGGTAGACGGAGAAGAGACGTTGGGTTTCTTGGAGATCCATCATGGCATTATTTGGTCTATTCACCGCAGCATCACCAGTGGGAACGAAGGGATTTATAAGAGGGACTAAAACGAAAGAAAAGGAGAAGTAATCATGCGTGAAGATCGGTGTCGACTCTTGCTGCCTGGATCCCTCGGAATTCCGAGAAGGGGGAATTACGGTCCACGTGATTGGCGCCTCAGGCGGCTAAGGAATGGTGAAAAGACCACCATCGTCACTTCCAAGACACACAGATTATTATTATTACACTTGTTGCTACAGACAATTGACAGAGGGAAGTCTGGCCTACAAGGCTTTGCCACCGATATTCTTGATCAATAATAAGTATGACAGAAAACTTTATTTCGAGACTAATAACTAGTAGTAAAAAGAGAGAAGCAGTGTAGGTAAAAGAACTTTCACGCCTCACTATTGTGCACATGAAAAAAAGACAAAACCGCGTCAACACCTGAAAGTACAAGGAAACGATGTGAAAGATCGAGGTCATTCATTAAGGTTGGTGACAATAGAAATGATACAGACGAGCCAAAGGGAACCCTTAGTATACCACTCCATAGAAATTATTCATTCCAGACACCTCTGTACAGTCAATTTCCAAGTGAGAGAGGCAGGATACCGCTTCAGCAGTCTCGCACTTAGAACGCCATCATTCTAACCATCTTGAGAGAACTACCCGATGTGGACGCCGCGGAACCACCGCTAGTGGGCGTGGCAGGAGCGTTCTTTCCACCAGGAAGGTTGTTACCTGTGTACGCACTCGATGTGTCGTTGTTGTCCTGGTTGATCGGCTGCATAAGCTGCATGATGTCAATGTTGAATTTCATATTCATGTTGTGGATAACGAGAGGCGCTGCAATGAGGACAATGAAAAGGATCAGCACGGTAAAGTACAGAATGGCGAAGCGGATGACTCTCCTCTTGCGGAGCTTCGACTGTTTCAGGGAGTAGATTGGTGGGCGGATTTGCCGGCTGTCAACAAATTAGTAAGGGACGTTAATTGTGTATTGGAGTTCAGAGAATCTTACCTAGGACGCAGCCAGAAGAGGATGACAGAGTGGAACTTGTCCACGTACGGAACACAAAGAGCGGGGAGCATGACGAACAGCAGAAGATGGCCGAGGACGAAGTCGGCAGCAAAGTATCCGAGTTCGGTAATCTTGCAAAGGAATTCACGGCCAGGCTGAGAAATGGAGTGCCAACCCATGCTGTACCACTTTCCGGTCCACCAGGCAATGTTGGATTGATCATTCTTGAATTCTCTTGTGAGGGCAAGACAGATGATGAGCTTGTAGACGAAGCGCTGAATGGCAGCCATGGAGATCATTCCAAGCAGACATCTAGGGAATGAGAAGCCCTCGAGGAAGAACATCACCTCGAAAATGGCCAAGAGAACGATGACAGCGATACAGTGAGCAATAGCGGCAAGGACCGAACCGAACTTCTTACAGCACATGCTGAAGAGGGGGCCCATACAGCAAGCCATCATGAAGAGACCACCAGCGACACCCGCGTTAACGCCAATTGGTGCGAAAGCAACAATGGCAACACGGATGAGGGAGTTCGTAGGAGTGGCGTTCTTGACACCAGTTTGCGCGTTGATGTAGAGGTAGGGGATGAAAGTTGCAGCAACGAGCACCAAAGGTCCGACGATCTCACTGAAGAAGACGTTGGTGATACGGGCCCGAGGGACATCTCCCGACATCTTCTCAGAAGGAACACCGAGGAGCTTGCGCTTGTAACCAGTAATCCGAGTTCGGGACAGACGGCAGAAGGCGATCCATGAAGATGCGTGCGAGCGAGAGTTACCACGCGAAAGCCATCTGAGGTAGTCACGGTAGTCGATGAAGAAATCGTGCCAGGAAAACTGGTGTGGGTTAAACAGGAATGGCGAGATGCAGAGAGCCAGCAAGGAGACCCAGAACCAGATGAGGGCAGGCGTCCACACGGTCGTCGTGGCGAACAGCAGCATCAGCAATGAGCGAGCACCGAGGTAGATGGAAGGACTGGCGAAACGCGAGTACAGGACTCCAAAAGGAATACGGGCAGTGGCGAAACCACGACCAGTACCGATATAACGGGCACCACCGAACGCAAGATCCTGGTGCACAGCATTCGCGTAGATCTGGCACACAAACACCTCAAACATGAAGGAGAACGAGCCGAAGTGCTTAGCGAGACGCGTGGCCATGCGCCAAAGTCCTCTCTCCGTAAGTTCCTGGACAGCCAGAGGCACGAACGAAATGAAGAACACAATGAAGATAGAGACGATACAGCGGTTGACCCAGTTGGTGACGGGAGTAAGGTTGGCACATCCAGTGGGCATCAATGGATCAGTGATCGGAACATTGGGGTTGAAGCGACAGAGAATGGTCTCATGCCTCAAGGCTCCCAGGTTGATCAACACGATCATGAACATTTGCACCGACAACATGATGAACATGTTGTTGATGTGGAAACCAGGATGGGCATAGTAGAAGGACAAGAACCGATCGAGAGGCAGCTGGGTACCAAGGTAGTAGTACTCTCGAGAAAGCATCTGCTCACCCATACCAGTTCCGATCTTGGTTGTGAAGTTAAGAATGGAACCAAAACCCAAATCACGTCCCTTACCACACTGGTAGTACTCGCAGTGCTTGATACGACCTCCACGGAGCATAGCGTTCATACCGGCGTAGATATCCTCGTTCAGGTGAAGTCCCTTCTGAGCCTTGGAGACACCACCGCGAGTTGTCATGAAGATACCGTTCAGGAAATCGGGGTGACCATAGTGCAGCTTTCCACCGATCTGAGCAAGCGTACGTGCGAACAGGGTACCGAACGTTTGTTCCTTTCCGGCGGCAACATCACCCAGAATACCAATGTTTTCCGAGAAAATGTACTCACGAGCACCAAGAATAGCTACAGGGTCGAACTTGTTGGACGGGAGACCAGGGGTATAGGGGGACACGTTGTCTGTGGTCATCTCCTCAAACTCAGCCAGGACACTGCGGATCTTCAAGCACTCTTCAAGATAGTTGTCCTGGTTAGCATCGATAAGCTGGATGTATTCGCCACGGTAGAAGATGATCGAGTGGTTCTGGTTGTCAGACTTTCCGTCTCCGAGAATGGGGTTTCCGGACAGCTGGATTCTGAACTTGGGCTTTCTCATTCCGTTGTCAAGGAGCTCACAATGACCATCAATCAGGGCGGAGTACAGTCTCGGCTCATCGCCTTCATTCAGGGGTGCTTCCTCGTCCAGGTACGCGATTTGCAGATCAGGGTACGCACGAAGGAGGAACTCAGTGTTCTCCCGTTCCTCCTTGTTGAACTTCGCGTAACGCTGCATAGAAACACAGATCTTGAACTTGCGGCGAGCCATTCTCTCGAGTTCGCGCTCCAATTTATCAGAGTTTCCGCCGAACATCTGAACGACCTCCGGGTTCTCAACACGGTAGAGGAGCTTGATTGCACGGCTGTAGTTCATGAAACCAGAGATAGTACGGTACAGGGTCTGGGAGCGAAGTGACGCCCAGATACGCGTACGGAGAGTGTACTCAGGAGCGGCACTCTTGAAACCAATGCAGTAGAACGGCAGATCATCGATCTTGCTCTTGGCAGCATCCTTCTCGTTCTTTTCGTAATCGCCATTGAACTGTGAAGTCTCATCGGCCAGAATCTTGGTGTCTTTGACGAAGCAATCCCACTCGTGAGGGTGAAGCTGTTTCAAGTACTCAAGCAGCGTAACACGGGAGTAGGGCTCATCCTCACGAATAATTTCACGCAGAGACAGAAGGATCTTCTCACTGTAGTGGGGAATCAAAACAGTAAAGGTAGGCATGTTGTCCACAGGCACCGGCTCCGGAATAGGAGTCGAGAGCGACTGCGCGAAGAAAGAAATACGGCGCTCAGCCTCACTCTGCGCAGGGAAGAATTCTGTCTTGAACGAGTGGTCTTCCTGAGAAACGAAGAAAGTAGGCGCACGGAGAGTCCGCTTGCCCTCCTGCTCGGAAGGAACCTGGTGGTACAGAAGCTTCTGGACGTGGTCGATAGCCAAAAGATGCTCTCGGTACATAGAGATCACGATAGCGTTCCATACCTGTGAAATGAGAACCTTCGGCTTGTACTTGATCTCCATGTCAGTAGTGGCGAGGACCTTAGAGTATATACGCTTCGGGAGACGGGAGAAGATATTCCTCCACGGCGTCCAGATAGAAACACCGAGGTAGAATGACCGTGAGACGGAGAACACCGTATTCAAGATAATGTACCAGAGATAACTGTCCAGGAAGAAGAGCGTCAAGTCCATGAAGAACATGAGACCGAGCAGGATCTGGGGCTGGCATTTGCAGAGAACATTCGGAATGATCTTGTCTCCTGCACAACGACGGATTTTCATCGGCGAGAGGATACGGATAGGGTCCTTCAGCGACAGGGTCAGGAAGAAGTACGATTCGACCAACTTAGCCGCAAAAACGCAGACCCATAGACCGTATGACATCCACATGTCGTTACCGTGAAGACGGGGCCAGCTTGCCGTAAATGTCTGACTGGCCACATACTGGCGGCTCTTCTTCTTGTTCATGTAGCTGCCGAAGAGTCCGCCAAGAGGCATGACAGAGAAGAAGAAAAATGTAGCCAGGGCGATGAAGAACTGCACGATACCCAAAACGAGAGCAGGCTTGTCCTTGCCTTCCTTAGAGACACCAAACACGTAGACACTGGGTCCGAAGTTGATGCAAAACATGAGGATCAGGAACCAAAGACGCTTGCTGAGGTGCTGCGCGCCGGCCCATCTGCGGGGAACATAGAGCCATTCAGCAAAAGTCGCAAAGATTTGAATCAAACAACAGAGTGCACCACCAAGACCCACAGCAGACCACGAGTATGATCCCGGGGGCTTATTGTTAACCTGCTGCTGATAGTTCTTCGTGTAGATGGTAGGTGAGTTGTAAGCAGTGAAAAACCAGAAAGCACCAAGGTGGATAACCCAGATACGGTTGAAGTTGGTGATCATGTGGAACCAGGATCGGGTCTCCTTGTAGGTCTTGAAGAACACCTTCTTCCAGTTGACCTCCTTGAGCTTGTTCCAGCGCTCGGCAGGGGGTATATCGACCAAGCGCGTCTTGTCCTCCAGGACAATACGCTCGATACCCTCGGGATACCAGAAGAGCTGGTTGATGTCATCATAACCGATGATCTGGTTGTGGTCACGCTCACGTCGTACGTACTTGCCATCGAGGATCTCGTAACCCTGGTCTCTGCAGTACTGGTAGAGCGGAGTAACGACGTCGTTCAGATAGGTCAGTTCCTCAACCGGCTCGACGCGGTTCTGGCACTCGGGAGAGCTGTAGTAGTCGTCCGCGCACTTGAAGATGAAGCAGAGACATTCAGGCATGAATCGAACCTGGTTAGCCTCACCCCAGCAAAGCAGGTAGAGAGCGAGTTGTCGGGCACGGTCGTGCTGAGACATGCGGTTCATGCGCGTCTTCCACCTGTATTCAGCAGCCTCCAAGCTATTGTCGCCCTCCAGGGCTTCCAGGGTCTCCTGCTCGTTCTCCGGGTTCTGCTCGGCCTTCTTCGCGGCGGCCTTACGTGCCTTGCGAGTCTTGCGGTCTGCTTTACCCAGCTTCATGTTCGCAAAACCGACGGCATCATCGAGGTCTAGATGAGCTGCGAAGTACCAACGGCGGTAGTTTGCATTGTCTCCGCCAATGTAGTCGGCGTGCAGAGATAGGAGGGCTTGGTTGGGGGTCATACGAGAAGCACGGGAATCCAGAAGAGTCATCATATGGTCGTACATGTTTCGCATGCTATCACGCTGGAAACCGAACTTGTTCACGAGGTCGATAAAGATATCCTCGATCTCCTCCTTCGAAAGCGGGATCTGACCATCCGACGTCCAGGCCGGGTACGGCTCTCTCGAGCGTTGACCTGGTGGCAGGGCATTGTTATAATCCATACCGTACACCGGGGTAGATGCACCAGACGATCGGTTGCCACCGTAGGAGATCTGGGAAGACGGAGGCCGGTATCCGTAACCTCGACCGCCCATCTGGCTGTCGTTGTAGCTGTTGTACCGTTCATCGCCGCGGCCATAGTAGTCCATGTCTGCGGCGCGGGCCGTCTCCGATCTCATGGTAAAGTCGCTGAAGGTCTCTGAATCATCCTCAGAATCCTGACCACGGCGTCTGCCGCGACCTCCATAGCTTTGGTGGCCATTGTTACCCTGGTCGTAATACTGGTCGTTGTAGTACTCATCCTGGTAACCCTGCTGACCGCCGCCCTCATAATAGCCGTCCTGGTAACCGTGGTGACCCTCAGCGTTATGACCATCATAAGCACTGGTTCCATTTGTTAGTCAAATTCACGGGCGCAAATAGTCAGATAGACCATATTGTGGACTTACGATTGGTCATAGTACGCGTCACCGTGCTGAGAGTAGTCGTGCTGGTCGTAGTAGGCTTGACTATGCTCATCCTGATAGTAGGAATCGCCGTGGCCGCCCTGGGCATAGCCGCCTTCGTCGTAGTGGCCTTGTTGATAGCCCGACATGGCGAGGTAAGTTGCGGCTACCGTTCAATACGCAACACTGCCTAAGATCAATGAGAATTGACCTCTTGTCTGGTTGTCACGAGGGAATTGGGTCGTGAAGTGACTTGAGACCGGTTCCCGCGGTGGAGTGATCACTCACGTCAATATCTGCTCATTCAGTCGAGATCTGAGCGTGAAACCAAACTGTAGAGCTCGAGCGGATTGCGAAAAAAACAGGAACAGGGCTCGATCGATATTAAATTGCCATAGACCGGCGATGGTAGCGAATATAAAGAGAAAGGTGTATTCGTCCCTAAGCGAAAGTTTCCCTGGGACGCAACGGAGAGAACACGGGCTTGCAAGCTCTTCAAGAGCGGCAAGGGTTCTGTCTCGACAACTAACACCTCGTTCGACGATTGCGAAGAGTGGTGTACAACGCAGACACTGATGGCCGCGTTGAACTTCCGAGTTTTGTTGTGAAACGAGCGAAGGGGTGTGGAAAAACAAGCGGTTGCTGAGCCAAACTATCCAAGTACCGGGGCCGGTCGCTGAGTACTGGGCGTCCAGCCGTACGAAGGCGACCCACTCCTACAGTCCTGCTTTCCTCAAAACGAATGCGAGAAAAAGAAGGAAAGGAGTACGGTCAAACGGCGTCAGCAAGATGGTTTGGAAGCAAAAGAGTGTAGGAAATATCAAAAGAAAAAGAAAGAGAAGATGGAGGGACGATCGCCTTGTTGGAGATGGAAGAGAAAGGGATTCATTGCCGGTGGAGTAGGGAAATTGTTGGCATTGGCAGGTTTACGGGACTGTGGTTTATTTTGGGCGCAGTATCTACGAAAAAGCACACGTAGTGGCTGGACCGGTTCCAGAACGGTATCGTGACACGTACTAGTATTAGCGTTGGGTACCGCTCCTGTTACTGTATTATTTACTTATTTACACCGTCCCCCGATCACCTCCTCCCCCCTCTTATTCCAGACGCGCCTTTTGCCAGTACCATAGGTGTCTGGGCCCCTTACACCTCCCAACCTGTGTGGACGAAATACCGCCCCGGGAACAGACTGAGATCACACTCATCTGATGGTTGCGAAGCACGAACGGAGCAACAGCCTTCTGTCCTTGACAGTGCGTGCCATTGGTATGTCCCCCGTATGGTCCACGATCCGTACAACTTGTATCTATCAGATAATAATAACTAATACTATTCCGCGAGATGCGGCTTCCCAAGCCACCGCGACATGCGGTTGGTCCGAGTCTAAAGTGGAATAGGGGCAGCAACAAGTCTCACCAATAAGGGTCCCCCATATGCCTGAATTCCCTGGTCTGACGAGGCCACCACAGAACGACCCCTGAAACCGGGCCCACTGTCTGACAGCCAAGGATCGCAACAGGAAAATCAAGCGGGTCCCGTTTTCTCCTGTATGGGACAGTAATCTTACGCATCATTACCGGCCGGTATGAAGGGATCACATTGCTGTCGACCGCTCCGGTTGCACCGCCCCAGCAATGTGGAATGGACTTTGAGGTTGAGAGCGATGGAACAAGCATCACTCCATCTCTTAGCCGCCTGTAAGCCCCGCAGAGGTTGGCTGCTAGTTATGATTATTGTACCAGTAGTTAGCTTACTCGAGTCTTTCTCAATGATCGCTACTAGTACTCTTATGTAGGTCGCCTCCAGATGTGCGCGCACTAGTTCACTATCCTGCTTTATCTCCCACCTCTTCAAGTATCCCTGGCCAACCGTACCAATCATGCGGTGCATTTGCAGCTGCATCCTCTAGAGTAGCTGCAGCGTAGATAGATAACGCAACAGGCGCATATACTGAGGGGAAATAATAGACCACAGCAGCCAGAAGATGCTTATTATCACAGCCCATATCAGGCTATCAGCAATGGTATCGTCCACGGTCACCGGTGGATGCCACTCACCTCCCAACTAGACGATTTTTCCACCTCGAGCAGTGGATGTACCCACCCATTCTACTGAAGTCTGATAGATAATCTGCGAGTGGGCTAGTTAACTATCCTCTCCATCGAGATTTGTCGCTATCTTGGTACATACATCTACCTTTCAGCAGCAATGCGGATGACAGTTTCCAATGTCGCCAATAATTGTGAGCATGCCTCTTCTAATGACAGAACCGGTTTGCAGTCTGCTTGCTGCTTCCGTGCACAACCGAAGCATACTGTAGTAATAAATATTTAATCACAGATCACCACCACGACAACCAATACTTTTTGTCCTCGTTTGGCAGCCAATTATTAGAAGTTGCTGCGTCGGCTTCAATCGTTAGAATACAACGCCGAGGCCTAGACTATACTAAGGATTGTAGTTCGGTACAGCGGTATTATTATTACTGACCTGGTCGTCCTGGAATTATTACAGTGGTGGCTTTCGCATCCACGATCCGGCCGCTATTCCGGACGACGGTCTCAGACATGAACCACGCCAATCCTCCCCTATCTGGCCAGCTGTGACAAGGGTCCACCGATGGCCTCAACTTTCATTTCTTTTCCTGTCAGAGAAGACCCCGTCTGATGGTTTGAGGGAGAAGCATTGAAAAAGAGTTGCCACGGCCTCAGACGTGCCCCACGAGCATGTCCCTGCGAAACCCCCGAGTACGGAGTAAGGGAGGATGGGAACGCTCTCTGAAGGGCCCAGGTCCCTGAACATTGTTATGGTAATTCGGGTGACAGCCACCCCGGGACATCGTGACCCGCGACGTGGATGTTGTCGATTCACCTTATCGTCGAACAAGCTCTCTAGAGGAGACTAACTAATGTCTCTCTAACTGACAATGCAGACAGAGATGGCTGGGCAAATAATGCTCTAGAGTATTCTTCTAGAGTCTAGAGACTTAGAGAGTACACTTCTGTTTTTCGTTTCCTCCCGACTTGAACAAACTGGGAACCAGTGCCGTATCCTGGATTTGCCTCCCGGCCGGATGACCCCTCGTTTAGTGGCTCAGGGAGTCAGGGTAGGCCGGAACGACCAACTGCCAGTGGTGTTCTAATGATAGCAGCTGCCCGCCTGCCAGCATCTCAATAATGGTTTCCCCGCGAACGGTTATTATGTATTATTGACCAAACTTTAGTCTCAGCCGTGCATTGACGACCTGCTGCAGTCAAGGTCTGAATCATCGTTCTCAGTCTGATCGTTCTCGTACTCTAAAGTATGTTAGGTTAGACGTGTGGTTAGACGATGCTGGATCCGACAATCATCAATGCCTTTCTGTCCCACGGGTTGCATGTGCAGGACAAGTCGCCCCGTGGCTGAAACCATTCATCAGAATCATATTATTTTCACATCCGCTGTGGCCCTGGTAATCTATCAGAACTCAATCGCGGCGTCAGAACCATTCAGAGCGGCGTCCTTACCAGCAACACAGTGGCGACTCGCGACGCCTTCGGTCGCTGGCCGTCCCGCGACCCGCTGGCTTCGAGCCAATGAACGTACATTGAAAAGGGGCACATCCAGATTCAGGACCTGAAGCCATCCTTTCCTAGCAGGGGCAGCCATTCCCAGCTGTCCTGTCGAGTCGTTAAGACACAATAATCAATAGTACTAATAATAATCATAATGTAAAATAAGAATAGTAACTACTATACCATACGATCGATAACTTACAGACCGTACTAGTCAATTTAACGATGGCTTGAACGTCTCAGGGCTTCATCCTGGAACGTCCAGAATATTCTGGCGCTGAAGATCTGGTTATCAAGGCGCCAGCCTCCTGGTAACTCGGACGTATCGTATCGCCGGGCCGAAGAGGTTAAATCCACAGGGGCCGAAATAATAATGTCTTCGCTGGCTTTGGAAATCTAGAGTAGACTATGGAATGCGTATCTAGGATGTATGGATCTCTGGGCTCTTACCAGGGCAAGAAGGTGATCAAACTTAACAAGCCATGAGGACGTCTTGTTAGACGCAAAGCTTAGCCGTCTCGTTTAGCATGACAAGCTTGGGAGATCCTCACATTAGGAACAAGTTACAACGGTCTTGAGCAGACTAGCAGTCCTCCCAGCCCTACGAGGACAAATGTTCACAGAAAACTCTGGGGTGTCAATAATAACGATTCTCGCCTTCCGCATCCATACGCGGCTCCTCGCATCCATTGATCTCTCTGTTCGTGGAGACATGCAATAGAGCATGGAGTGCTTTCACTGGAATCTCGAGGTTGGTCTAGTGATCGACTGTTTCCACACTGGGTTCCCGCGTTGCTAGAAGCTTTGAGAAAGTATCTACTATCTATCTAGATACTCGAATATTCCGCCCGACCATATGGTACGGAGTAATAGCGAGTGATGGGTCCTTGCCAAGCGAGCTTCGTCCTTGCTTGTCGCAAGCGTAGGTAAAAGTAGGTACGTACTGGTACTCTAAATCTGATCAGCAACTGGATGGAAGAGTGGGCTAATTGGAAATTTGCTAATAATAGTCATTCATGTATATTGGGATTCGACGGTCCAGATCCGGGATCTTTATATACTCATAGTCTCATACAGAGAAGCCAGCAGAAGCCAGCTCAGATCTGACGACTCGACAACGCAGCCAACGATTCTCACTACACCATCGCCAACGTGCTGCTGATCAGTTGCGGTACCGTGGAGAACAAGTTGCGTGCTGGACTCGGAGCTGTGGCACGACCAACTGTGCGGCCCTCTCTCTCTCCTGAAATCAAACGGATGAACCCCGGATAAACTGCTTGGGTTACCCCATATGGAAGGCCTTGTGGCCTGAGGCATTCGATTTCCCATTGACAGCCTCTGGTCTGCGCGCAACCACCGCGTCGTGATGTCAAGAGACGGCCGCTGAAGTGATGATAAGCAACGCAGGCCGCAACCATTGCGTGTCGCGAGAAGATCCAAATCGAGCATGCCTGGGAGACATCGGGGCAGTGCGCCGATCAAGCGGGAGAGCAGAGCAGAGAGGGCCAGAGAGAAGACCAAACAACAACCCAAGAGAGAAACGACAGTCCAGGAACGTCGCAGGGAGGCTCCGCGACAGACCCGCGTTCCCCTGGGATGAACGCCCAAGGAGGAAAGGAATTGCCCTCTCGGCGGCGATCTGGGGACTCACATTGGCGAGGAACTCTGGGGGCAGCTCCGCCCGCCAAGCCATGGGCCGTGATCTTCTGGATAATCTTGGAGTCTTGGACCCTGAACATTCAATAAGATGTTCTGATGAAGCGATCTGACCGACCAGCCAAGAGGCTGTAGGGTCTTGGGAGTTGAAAGAGACACTCCTATCCCCCCAATCCCTCTGGGAGACTGAGACAAGAACCATCGCTTGCTTCCAGTCTCCTCTTTTTCTCTCTCGCTCTTGGCCCTGCCTCGCCTTTCTTCACATTCCCTTGCCACGTTCTTTTTCTCGACATTCTTTCAGCAGATCCATCGTATATTCAATCCCTACGTCCTTCCTTGGTCTGTCGACCGGTCACTCTCTCTTCATTCGCATCTTCTGCATCGCATTCGCTCATTCCCCCGTTCTCAGACGCCAAAGTGGTGAGACTAGGAATCTTCCAGCTACTGTCTGCACATTCGTTTTCTCTTGCTTCATTAGATATCAGCAGTAGTCCATCATGAAGCTCTCTACCGTCCTCGCGGGCGCGTCGCTCTTCGCCAGCGCCGCCCTCGCAGACGTGGACCCTATCATCATCAAGGTACGTGAGCAGATAGGCCTCCTGATCAGACCGGTTCCACCGAACGCTAACGAAATCACTGTAGGGCTCCAAATTCTTCTACAGTAGCAACGACACCCAGTTCTACATTCGTGGTGTTGCCTACCAGCAGGAGTACACTGGTGGCGGAGCCGATGGCAGCGGCTCCAGTTCGAACAACTACAAGGATCCGCTGGCCGACGCTGCGAGTTGCAAGCGTGATGTTCCCATCTTGCAGCAACTCAACACCAACACTATCCGTGTGTATGCGGTCAACCCCCAGGCCGACCACACGGAGTGCATGCAGCTGCTGAGCGATGCTGGCATCTATGTCATTGCCGATCTGTCTTCGCCAGGCGAGTCCATCAACCGGGCTTCTCCCACCTGGAACGATGATCTGTACAACCGTTACACCAGCGTGGTCGACGACCTGTCTCAATACAAAAATGTCATCGGATTCTTTGCCGGTAACGAGGTCTCGAACAACAAGTCCAACACCGACGCCAGTGCTTTCGTCAAGGCGGCCGTGCGTGACATGAAGGCATACATCAAGCAGAAGAACTACCGTCCCATGGGAGTCGGCTATGCGACTAACGACGACTCGTCCATCCGTGAGGACATGGCTGACTACTTCGCCTGCGGCACCGAGGACGACAGCATCGACTTCTGGGGCTACAACATCTACTCCTGGTGCGGTGACTCCAGCATCCAGAAGTCTGGCTACGACGTCCGAACCAAGGAATTCTCCACGTTTGCTGTCCCCGTCTTCTTCGCCGAGTACGGCTGTAACGCGGTCCAGCCTCGCAAGTTCACCGAGGTCGACGCCCTGTTCGGTCCTGAGATGAACGATGTCTGGTCCGGTGGTATTGTCTACATGTACTTCCAGGAAGCCAACGACTACGGTCTCGTTAGTATCTCCGGCAACTCCGTCAGCAAGCTCCCTGACTTCACCTCCTACTCGAGCCACATCGCCAAGGCCACCCCGACCGGTGTGAAGAAGTCCGAGTACAAGCCCACCAACACCGCCCTCCAGTCTTGCCCGGCTGTCAACGGCAATTGGCAGGCCAAGGCGACTCCTCTGCCCCCTTCTCCTAACCCCGAGCTCTGCCAGTGCATGACTGCTTCCCTGACCTGCGTTGCCAAGGACACCATTAGCGACAAGGATCTTGGCAAGACCTTCGGTGTTGTCTGCGGATACGAGGGCGTCTGCGATGGAATCGCCGCCAATGCCACGACCGGTGACTATGGCGCGTACAGCATGTGCGAGGCCAAGGAGCAGCTCTCCTTCGTCATGGACCGCTACTACCAGGAGCAGAAGGCCAAGGGCAACGGTGCTTCCGCTTGCGACTTTGGCGGTGCTGCCTCTACCAAGTCGCCCGAGCAGCCCACCGGCTCGTGCGAGAACCTGATCAAGCAGGCCGGCTCTGCTGGCACTGGCACCGTGACCTCCGCCCCGACTGCCTCTGGCAAGACTTCAAGCGACGGCAGCGCTGTCTCCTCTTCCTCCGCCGGTGCTGCTCCCCACATGGCCGGCCCCGCCAGCCTGGGCTTTGGCGCCTTCCAGCTTGGCGCCTACATCGCCACCGCCATGGTCGCCGGGGCTGGTATGATCCTCCTGTAAAATCTTTGACCGGAAAGGCATCGCACGGTGTTTGCTTTTTTTGAATCATAATTCCCCTGATCTCGTGTACATGTCTTAATTATAACCTTTCCGGTGCCCAACTCTTTCTTCTACCCCGTTCAAGTTAGCAGTATCTTGGCTACGACGACCCAGCGCGCATTGTTTACTCTTTTTCCCCTACCGATGTGACAACTGAAAAAGTTTGGGGACCAGAACCGGATACTGGTAGCGATTTGAAGCGAAATTTTGATATAATCAAGAATAGACGCGCCTGTTTCTTTTTTGTTTGTAGTATCGTGTTAGTAGAGCGGGTGATCCACGCGTAATTTGGCTTTTAACATTCTTACTACGGTAGCTCGCGTTGACTTGGCATCCTACGTAGGGTAGCTACTCTCGTCTTGAAGAACAGTGTATCATTGAGAATTTATGCATGGCTTCGATATCATACCTTTAGCGTCCATTAGATTGGTTTTCGTGGCTTTTTTTTAATTCGGACCGTGATCAAGCCGGAGGTGTTGCAGCATTACGCGACACAAGACAGAAATATATAATATAATTACTTCCCGTCACACGTTGGGTGACCACTCATATATATATATATATATATATACCTGTAAATGCCGTGGAATCGACCAACACCCAATCTTGTTATACTACACGGCGAGAAATAATAAGCATTCCCCCCGAGACAGGCAGCGACAGCTCTAGGGAATTACCTTGGAGTAAGCTAAGAGGTTCTTGTCCTCGGTTTTTACCCCCTAGGACTTGCCCACCCACACCAAACGCGGGGAAAGAAAAGAAGCGGACTTAGTTGTCATACTTAGCGTTTTTTCCATAACGTACGACTCTTCGGAGAGAAGCTATAGAGTAATTATAGAATCGACTACTTAGCTATAAGATGAAGAAATAATCTAAGCATAATAAATACCATAGTCTTTGAACTTAATGGATAAACTAGTTAGTAGTAGCTCTACATAGTTATAAGTTAACACAAATTACTTAGAGGAGTAGAGTACACTATACCACTCTACTGCTAGTATCATTGTTCACTACAGTTTAAACCATAAGGATGATAATAATTAGCTCAGTAGCCTAAACGACTACAAACCTTAACCCTCTAGGGCTGAAACAAGTCCTCGTCATTTTTATCATAAATAATAATATTATACAGCAAGAATTACCTTACCTTTCCTGTATGAGTCGTAAAGTAAGTAAGTAAGTAATTAAAAACACTCCGCAACGTAGACCACAGGGTTGGGGGTTTACTGGTATTTGCCGATTTGCCTCTGTTGCCACAGTCTAAGTTATTTATCTATCTAGTAGTCTAGCTAGTTTTTATTACCATAGGGTAACTAAATGGATTTGGTAAGAAGATCGCTTTCTCGTCTGGGTGCGTAAGGATAACCTATCTATGGTGAGTAGATCATCGATGATCGGCTATGAAAGCTTGAACGTGTGTAATATGTATCTACGTAGTGGGATTGCGGTTCGAGCTGATTTGCCTTTGTAGTTAGGTACTATTACTATAGACTCGGTTAAATTGGTTCTAGATATAGTTATCATTGTGAATATCGACGGGGGTTAGCAGTTTATCTATTAGATAGACAGAAAGTCAGATAGTTGCAATTAGGCTGGTCTAAACCGCTGGGGAAGATTATACAGCAGTGTAACTATCTGCGTATTTATCCATTAGTTTCTTCCTAACGTGATTAATCAGAAAACTCCAACAGTCTTTCCTTTTCCGCTTAATTAATTACTATACTCTACGGAGTAGTTACGAAAAACCTGAATCTCACTCCTGCAGGGAAGAGGAGAAAGTGGAGGGATTGGAGTAGGGAACTGACAGCCGAGGACAAATAATATGTGCGGATTTATAAATAACACCGAATCTCTAGTAGTGTACGAGACTACGAGTACTCTGTAGAAAATTCCGTCGAGTAATATATCGAATATTCGAAGTCGTAGGTCCATTCTAAGTTAACTGCAGGGCCTAAGATCGTCAGTGTCAGTGAGTTAATAATACTCTGAGAAGTTCGAACAGTAATTCTCCGACGGGCTAGTGAGGTCAAAAAGCGTTGCACTCCAACCCTTTTCCGTGTATCTATGGCTTTTCTGACCAGCTTTATAGTACAGGGCAAGGGTTTCTCTTTTCTGCTTTTCATTTTGCACTCCCAAGTCTCACTCCTTTAATGCAGGTACAGGTAAAATACACTTCCTCTCCCCCGCCCAATTCATCTAACGTGCATATGGTACATGACTGTATTATATTCATATATGATAGGTATGATACACATTACTACACGTAATATTTCCCGCGTTGGCTATATTAATAATTCCAAAAGATTGGGTTGTCTGCGTATTATTTCCAGGCGAGGAAAGTATGGTACATGTAATAGACTAGGTAATAATAATAATACTGAATATTAATTAACTGTGCCGAGACTGACGGCAGGAGTTTATTGGTTGGACGGGACGCGCGGTCGGAAATGAACAAGTTGGGTAGGCCGTTACGGTCGTGGATTGTGGTGGTTGGTAAGGTTACTCTTCCCCTACGAGTACAATCGAATCTACTAGATCCTCTGTGAATTCCGAACTTTGGGACGAGACTGTAAACACCAAGCTGAACAGCATACTTCACTATCCTACTATTCGTGATTCAATATGGATCCTGCTACTACTACTGCTGCTGCTGTTCCTAATCGATTTTAGATCCCTCTTGAATATCCCGCCAGGATTCAAACTCGAATGAACACGCCCCTCATCTGACCCGCGATCAACGCCGCGATATTCAATTTATGCGAAGACCAGGCTATACTTATGAGCACATCTCCCGTGAGCTGGGTGTCACTATGCGTCAAGTCCAGTACAATATACATACATACCAGCTAGAACATCCTACTCCGCAGAAAGCTCCTGGACGTTCTCTTACATTATCAAATATCTGTACAGATAAGAATGAAGTTTTTACCACTAGCTCTAGAAAGGGGCGTCGCATGACAGTATAAACAGCTAATTAGAATAGTTTCCATTTAGATAGCCAAGAAGATGTCCTCGCTCGAGCATTAAAACAGAGTGAATATCCCCGTTACTTCGCATGTTGCAAATTACTCATTTTTGAGAAGAATCGTCAGTTTTGCTTAGCGAATATCTGAACTGGTCTCTTGAGCAGTGGTATAATATCTTGTGGACTGGTGAGATATAGGTTGCTTCTGGAGGGTAATAGAATCTTGGTGACTAGATGTCTTCGTGAGGTTCTAGATTACTTGTATCGTGGAGTATTATCCAACGTACAAGAATTGGATGTTCTTAGTTCCTTTCATGGAAATACCTTGCCTCTTGGGGAGAAGGACTGGACCGGCGTAAGAGGGAGTCCTATTGCCAAAGAATAGTTAGTACCTCTAATTAAGGACTATTCAAAATCAAATCCCCATCTGATTGTAATCCAGAACAGTGCTCCAGGTATGACTGGGAAGGAGCTAGCACGCTGTGGGATTCAACCTATTTGCTAGCCACCTTATTCGCCAGATCTGAGTCCTATCGAAACAGTACGAGATGAGATGAAGGATTGGCTAGATGAACACTACTGTCCTATGCTAGGCTCCAACAGGCAGTTCAGCAGACATGAGATAGCATAGGATTCGAACGGCTTCATAGATTCTTTTTAGCGGAGATGCATGATCGCTGCTGGGCAGTTATTGAGGCGGAAGGGAGATACACCTGCTATTCGATGTATTTAAATCTAGATCATGATAAATCACTATAAAATCAGCGATAGGCAAGCTAGAGTAGTAGAACTACAGTAGAGGTTGGGATCCTCTCCACTAACTAAACTAGGCGTACTAAATTGGGCTTTACGGCCCTGGAAAACCGACTGTGACTACTCAGCATTGGACCCCTTCGCTACGGTTGACAAATTAAGCTCCTATCACGGCGATGCCATGTATTCGTTTGTTCATTCTATGCGCCAGATAGTCTCATAACATGCAGCGAGTGGTTATGTTGAATCTGGAAGCGATTGAATTGAATCACTGATTCGTGCTCTCTATGGACCCACGAAAAAACACCTAGCTAATAATTGCGCCGCAAAACCCATGTATCCCTATGAACCGTTGATTCTCCGGCGGAAACCGAAAAGAAAAAAAAGAACCACACTGGAGCCTATGCCGTGGCTGAAACGGGCAGTGGAAGGCCTAGGATGTTCCAGCAGACTGAAACGTCTGTTAGTACTGTACAATGCGGGAGACAAGAGATATGTGCCATATGAGATAACTAGCATGGATGGCTGGAACTTACTTGATAGGCCCAGGTCTGTTCCAAACGAGGTCTTATATGCCTCTGCTCCACCCGACACACCCATGTCAGGGTGGTATGTCACAGCAGTGCTGCCCAGAGCGAGCGCCATCATAGGCGGCACTTCCGGATAATCGTAGAGATCGAACTTTTCTCCCTCCTTTCGCTGCTTCGAGGCGGCTGCCATGAGCTGCAGAATGTTTACAGCGGCGCACTGGCCCATCGAGAGGGCGCGTCCGACTCGCTTGATCCCGGACCAAGCAGTGATATCACCGACGGCGAAGTGGTCGGTGTTATTAGGGATAGTCGGAGAAAATTGCAGACTAGATAGAAACCAACAATGTCAGTCAATGTCTGCGTCTGCGTGATGAAATAGGGATATGTTCGATATGTCTTGCGGAAACTTACGTGGGCAATACGTTGACATATCCATCCTCTGTCACTGCTTCTCGAGGAAGGAATTCTGTTCTCGGGAGATGACGGCTTGTTGCCCAGACTGTGTGTCCAGCCACTAGATCCTCTCCGTTCGATAGCTTAAGGGTTGTCCTTTGAGGGTTACCTTCACTCGCAGGCTCAGATGTCTCGCCGGTCACTCTAGTTTCGAGAAGCACCTCTACGCCATCTTGGCGCAGAGTCTTCAGGGTGTTCTCCTTGAATTCTTCCGGGAGAGGCTCGTTAGAAAGAAGAGTTCCTCGAGAGTGGATGAGTACTACGCGCTGCTCTGGGTGGTGATGCTTGATCTCCGCTGCAAACTCCGTTCCCACGGCTCCTATTCATCGAACAAAGAATAATTAGCCCTGCAGTCCCCATGATATTTAGAGATGTGCATGCGACATACCGCCTCCAACAACGACAATTGGCTTGTCCAGGGAGCCCTTCAGCGCGTTGATATGCTTCATCGCATCATCCAGGTATTCCTGTCTGTTCTGGGATTTAGGCAGGACGGGCCAGTCGCGATGAAGCCCGGTGGCTGCGATGAGATAGTCATACTGAATCACGCGATCGGTTTCGTCTTCCGGTGTCTTGGTACTCCGCCACCATGCCGTCTTCTTCAGAGGGTCGATCTCGACTATTCTTCCTTGCAGAATATCCACATTCGGTCTCTTCAAGGCGGGGATGTCGCGGTAGCTGATCCAGGCATGGTCGGTCACGCTGTCATACACATGCACCAACGGTGTACCCATTGTGTGGACTGCGTATCATCGAATTGATTAGCCGCTGCAGCACCTGTGATTTATGCATGCTTATGATCGTGATCCTTACAGACTCCATCTCTTTCGTCGAGGATGGTAATGTGTGGTATAACATCAGGCACGCGCGCCTCTGCAAGCTTTAGGACAGAAGGAAAATGGGGCTTTCCATCGCAGACATTCAGCAGATTGAGAGCCGCGTACAGCCCGCTGTAGGCGGCACCGACAATAAGGATCCGTGGCGGAGAGGACTGAGACATGTCGATCAGGAGGGCGAGGGGTAAGTCGCGAGAACGGGAGGACGATATCAAGACCGAGGAAAGCAAGCAAGCAAGCAAGCACAGTAGTTGTTGGTGCAAAGATGAGATCTGAAATTATTTTCACGTCCAGTCTTCCAGAAGTCGTCACTGAACCAGCCCGCTCAAGATCTGCAAAAAAGACTGCTGGGTGAAAGCCCTTATATTATTCCGGCACGAGAACGCCATGGTGGGATTTTTGTAAGAGCTGGGCGACTCCACCACCCCTCAATATAATACTGGTAACTACCTAGGTAACTACGTACTACAGTAGGTCCTAAACCGCCCGCAAGATCCGACGGTCGTCCACCTTTCACCGGAACCTGTGCTGTGTGGGCTCGGTCTACCTTGGCAAGTTGGTGGGCAGTCCGTCCAGTTCATGCCCCATCTAATCAGATCATCTTATCAGATCCATGGCCGCTTGTTGGACCGTGTACAGACTTTTCGTTGGTGTAGAGCCTTGAACCAAGTGGGGGAGCCCATCCGATACCGGGCCTTTCTGTGATTTTCATACGGAGGATAGAAGAAAGAAATTAAAGGGCTTTTGTTAGACTGATAAGTTTGCCTCGTGATCCAGGACCCTGAAGTTTGAATCCGGTTATGCTGTCAATCCGAGCCTAATCCAGGGACTAGCTCCTTCAACGCCTATCAGACTGCAGTAGTGACAGATCTAAGCTTATCAGAATCGACTTTCAAACAACAATCCCACGCTGAATGCTGGACCTGTGTGAACGGCAGTGACAAATCCTATCACATCCGAGTTACGGAGTGTAACATTAAAAAAAAAAAAAAGAAAAGAAAAGAAAAAGAAAAAGAAAAAGACGCGAAAGTGGTTTTATTGTTTAATTATTATTATCCAACCGTTTCCTACGCTCTAGGAGCCCGCGGGTTCCGAGCGGAAGAAGCCGCCGACAAGGTCGGATATATTATGTATTATGGTACAGTGTGGAGTGAAACCACCTCTATCTAGCTGGGCTCCTTTTCGTTTTTCCGAGCAGATATTTCAATGCTATTCTGTCTCTTTGAGCATCAGTGAACCATGACTCGATGTCTTATACTCTGGACCTATTCAATTAAGCTACGTAGGATCTGCCTGCCCCGCACCCCAAGTTGCAATGCCGGCTTATAGCGGAGAAAAGGTTGTACAGTTACTACAATTATCAATACAATGTTGATCTGAAGACGATCACTTAACCAGCTAGGAGCAGAAAGGCGCGCAATGGTTCTTTCAGTCTCCCCGTTACACAATTGATTAGTAACACATAGACTGACTGACTACTTAACTAACTAACTATCCGGGATAGCAATATATGCTGACTGAAGTGACTTCTCATTTCGAGACCCTGAACATTTGGAACTGCCAATTCACTTGACACCCCGCATGATTCTTCGACCCAGATAAAAACAATGTGTCTTCTTTTCTGACAAGGTGTCAGACAACGGCTGCTTTTCCAGAATCACAGGGTCCTGGCGTTGACTGGACTCTTATCGGTCTCGCGACGGGTGGTAGTTCTGGTAACTCTAACATCACCTGATAGATTTGATTGCCTTTCTAGATCACTCCCCGCACTGCTTATCCTCAATGATCTCCTGATGAACGCCGTATGCGTCATGATTTCGTTTGGGCAAACCTATAATTGGAGAGTTACTGGAACACAATCATGCTATACAGCCTGCAAAAGAGATACCCCTCCCGATCATGCCATCAATGATTTCTCATAAGAGGAGAGAGTCGAACAACGTCTCTTCTGCCGATTTAGCAGATGAGTTGTTACTTCATATACTCTATAAACAAACAATTTTGATCAAAGCAAGGATACCCCAGCATGAGCGACCGTCCAAATCGATTACAGGCTAGACGTCAGGATGGAGAGCCAATTGACATCTGGATCATCGGCGGTGGAGTTGCGTCCCTAGCTGCTGCGGTTTTTCTGATCAAGGACGCCAATGTTCTCCCGACTCATATACACATCTTCGATGTCCATCCCGCCCTGGGAGGCGGCCTTACGAGATACGGTGACCCCGAGAAGGGGTATGTGCTCCATCCGGGGCAGACTATCTCCTACCACGACAGCTGCGTTGAGAAGCTCCTCTTGCAGGTCCCGTCGACTCATCCAGGACCGACGCCATGGGATAAACAGTTGGTCCAAAAGGGAGAGGACAGACGGCACGCGCGTCGTTTGACTCGTGCCATCGCCGTAGGTCCGTCAGGTCCTGAGAGATTGGACTCACAGAGACTTGGCCTCAACCTCCAAGACAGACTCGGCCTCATCCGGATCATGCTGGAAAACGAGCAAGCTCTCAGCGGGAAGCGGATCTGGGAGCTTTTCGATGGAGACTTCTTTAACACCAAGTTCTGGATGATCTGGTCGACGACGTGAGTCATCCCAACAACGTCAAGTCCGACGAGCACCGCTAACCCGGTTCTTCAGATTCACTTTTACGCCTCATCATAGTGCAGTTGAATTCCGACGTTATCTTCGCAAGTATCTCCACGATCTTGGAAATGGTGGAAAGTTGAGCGGACCAGACGAGATCCGCAACTCACAATACGAATCGATCATACGGCCCGTCTCGAAATATCTCCAAGAAGAAGGCGTCGACTTCCGCCTCGGAGAACAGGTGGTCGATGTCTTGACCTACCCGGATAGCGACCCAACTACTGTCTCAGAAATCAAGTTCCAGGGGGAAGATGGATCCGAAAAGATGGTCACCCTGGACCCATGCGACCTGGTCTTTGTGGCTCTGGGCTCGATTGGCTCTGGCTCTGTCATGGGAAATAACGACGCTGCTCCTGGACAACCATCTGTCAAAACCTCCGCAAACGAATGGTCCCTGTGGGATAAGCTTGCTGGAAGATCGATCAAGTTCGGCAATCCATCCAATTTCTGTACTAACCCTGCCTATTCAACAGTGGGAAAATTTACCGTGACCTTATATGATCCTGAATTCTTTGATCTGATCGCGGAGACCACGGGACTGGCGCCAGGATCTCAACCGGTCTTGTCATTGCCTAGAAGCAACTGGGATATCAGCCTGAATATCCCACTACAGCCAGTAATCAGTAGCCAGCCTGATACGGTCAAGGTATTCTCAGGATGGGCTTTACACCCGGAAAAGAATGGAAATCATATCAAAAAGCCTATGATGCAGTGTTCAGGTGCCGAAGTGTTGCAGGAAATACTCAAACACCTCAATTTCCCCGACACTATCCTCTCGCATGCAGTAACGATTCCCTGCATCAGTCCACTTGCCACATCGGCATTGCTGCCCCGTTCTCACAACGAGCGCCCCGAAATCATTCCTCGTGATACAACCAACCTCGCACTGTTGGGTCAATTTGTGGAAATCCCCGACGAACCATCGCTGACGATGGAATACAGTGTCCAGAGCGCGCAGTTGGCCGTGGACCATTTCATGGGCGTGAAAAAGGAGATTCGTAGGTCCTGGCGTAATCACTTTGTGGAAATGTTGGATTTGCTTACTTGAGCCTTGAATATTGTTGTTGCCTTGGGTTGCGCGAGTTTGGCTTCAATCCAGGTGGAAAGGCCCACTCTGCTCACATGAAAGGGGACCATGATATCATATTGTTCTTAATGTCTACTACGGAGCTATCAATGTGTTTGCTATGATATGATAAGTATGAATGTTGTAACTAATCGAAAACAATGGGTTTTGCTTGCCGATGATGCCCTTCCTGGACAAGGTCAACAAATTCCCCGGAAACCACTAGAACGAGAGAACACAGGGTCTCCAGAAGCCCCCTGAAGTCATGATGCTTCTAGCCCAGAATTCCTTAGGACCCTTTGCGCGAAATACCAATCAGTCATGTTTATGGATTGAAGATAGATAAACCCCTCGTCTCGATTCTCATGATCGCCGCCATGGCCCTTATTGGTCGCTCACCGACAAAGCGACTAATAACAAGCTTATCCGCCGAAAAGAAACGAACAAACCAGACACTTGAATACTTATGACAGCTTCACGCAGGGCGTACCCCAATCAAAAATACAAGGCTAGTTAGGGCCTGAGTCGATTGCCGTCGTTTCAAATGATATATGGATCCCTGTCTACGTGGATGCGCGGGACTCGTTGCATGAAAATGCCCCGTTTTTCGCCAATACCGCCTTTCCATCTGGTTCATCTGGACCGTTGGACTGCAAAGGGTTGATGAAACGCCCGGACCAACATGTGCTGTGACTCGTACGGTGGCTTGCTCGTATTTAGGAATGTTTTATCATCGCTGCGCTGCTTCTTGGTGGTTGAATAGTTGTTTATTTGCTGTGATCAGTAAATAAAATCATTGTTAATTACCTCTTTTTTCCATCATATGCTTTGCGTACCGAAGTGATTGATCTACACAATTTGATTTATTTCGGGCTTTTTCAATGCCTCCGACAACGGTGTCGACGTCGACGAGATCGTCCAAGTCCGGTCAATCGTCAAAATCTACTCATCATTCGGTGTCGCGCTACCAGATTCCGACGTTGGAGGTCAAGCAGGTTTATCAGAGAGTCAAGGATGAGGATGATAAGAAGAATACAACTATAATTGCCGTCTTTCGGGACAAGGCAGGTGTCGAGCGCATGGAAGAGAAGTGTCAGCCGAAATGGTGGAAGCTGGAATCTTGTAAGTGTGTTTGTTTCCAGGGACTAGAAGCACGAGTCCTATGATGCAGTTTTACTGACGTAGAAATATTTCTAGCTGCCAAAATCATTCCCATCACCAGCGACAAGCTAGCCAGCACCATCGGTGATGTCTGTCGTATTAAGCAACGAAAACGAATCTCCCTCCTAGTCAGCCCATATGTACCGGAGATCTCATTCCACGTGCCATCCTCCATCCGGAGACTCATCATCACCCGATGTGGGAAGAAAGCTCAATGTGATGCCGACAAGGAGGATCACTTGATCATCTCTCGTTCGTCTACATTCTGTGGTGTGATGCTCAACAGATGGCAAGACCGCGACGAACAATATGACCGGCACGAGATCATGTTCAGAGGTGGAGTGTACCTCCGGCTCGATATTCTCGACACCAGTAACGGTGGGAAGAACGGCCAAGGATGGTCGCTATCGAACAAAGACCGAACGTCCATCTTGAGACAGATGGAGGAGCTTCTGGGCCCTCTTCAGCAGGATGATATTTCATGGTGGGATAAGTGGAAAAATATCATCACCACGATCATCAGCCTCATGGCTGGGATATCAAAGCTCACTTCAAACTTGAAGGTGGGCGCAGCAGGCATCTACGTGACGCATTTTACAGGAATCAAGGTCTTCGCAGGCGCTTTTGGAGCCTCAAGCGTCGTGTCCACAGCAGCCCCGGTCGCTGCCATTGCCTTTGGCACGGCCCTGGCGGTCTACTTTATCCCGTGGGACGATCTCCTTACGTGGATCAAACGCACCCTTTTCAACCTGTGGGATGTGATCTGGCAGGCGTGGAACTGGGTGAAGGAGAAGCTCCAGACGATCGCAAGCAAGCATATCCACGACGACCCGCCTCCTCCCTATACTCATAGACCAAAGCGGGTCCGAATGTAGGCCTGCTGTATGCTAGGGACAGCGGGACTTCCCTATGGTATGGAGAGATGAACCGGACGGTCGCCAATATGATAAACTTGGAGGACGGGAGATTGTCAGTGAGCGAGAGCGGATTATTCGTATCATTTCACCTCTCGAGGGCCAAGAGTCCTGAATTTGTTATCTCAATCGCATAATCTTCTGGAGGCTATCGTCTTGACCTCACTATTATGTTTTTTCAACGTTTGAACACGAATATGCAGAAATATACCACTTTTATTTTGTGACACCGTGAGGCCTGCCTGGTGTGCTTGAAGCATGACACATAGCCTCCTTCCCACTGGACGAGTCCCATTCTCTTTCTTTCCCTCCTGCTGTTTATGGGTATGAGAGATGCTATAATGGAGTGGATTCCATTCTCTGTACCGTAACTTGGAATTGCGTGGATTGCATGTATATAATTCCTTGACGCAAGACATGGATGGCAAATTTGTTTCATTTTATTCGCAGGGTGCTGGAGCACCTCTTAATCGCTTATATCTATTCTATCATAATAAATAATTTACTTCTTTAAAATGACCACATGGCAATTATTATGAATATCCCAACATCGCGTCCCTCTCAGAATCTCAAAGGGAAAGGGGGATGTCATGTGATCATCGGAGATAAGTTTCCCACCTTTGCCAACTGGCGTCCTTTACCATACCCGGCAATTAGTGGGCTGTTTGGGCGATCCCCGAGAACATGTTGCCCTGCCAACCATCGTTTACCAAGTGACCTCAAGCCCGAAGATCTGATGTCCAGGTTCTTATAACCAACTTCAGCTCGACTTTACTGTGATTATTATTCCGTACACTCATATTTTCTCAGAGCACATTCATCGCTCGTATTTACTCAAGGAGGACATTGGGATAGTTGCGCGAAGCAATCCCACCGCGTAAGAGAAAGAGAAAGAGAAGATTGCTTTCGACCCGGCTGGCCGATTTACGACAGTGATCAGGAAAAGATGGTCAGGCTTGCCTTCTCCAACCTGAGTATTCATGATACTCCACGCATTGGAAACAAGCAGCGTGATGTCGAACCAAAGACCGTTCAGCGAACCGCCCGTTCCAAGAAAGAACCAAAGCATCTATTCGAAGATTCCGAGAACAGCGACGACGAAGGAACCAGGACGGCGCGAAAGCTGTGGACGAAGACCAGCACCAATAATCTGAAGATCCGCTCTCCTACTAAGACTCCACGACCTCCGAAGCCTGTCGCTGGTTCTGACTTTGAGATTTTCGACGATGGCGATTCGGGAAGCGAGGACGGTGATGCGGAATTGTCCTCGATTACGACCATCTCCAATGGCGTGACGACAAGACTGCCACTGAGTCTTGCTCCAGTCAACTCATTCCTCCTCCCTCCCCCGAAAACAGTGCAGAGAAGACAGCCACGAGCACGAAAGGGAGATAGTGATGACTACGATAAGGAGAATGATGTCTTCGAAGGCGAAAGCTTTGAGCTGGAGGTGAGGGGTCGGGCTTCTCCAATCCGACGGGCGCACTCCAGACCACTCTCGCAACGGCCTGGAAAAGGCAATGGAAAGGGCAAGCAATTCACAAGCTACAGAGAGCCCTCGAATGAAACCGACGACAGCGAAGCAGAGACTGCGAGCAAGTTGGGGGAGGATACATTTGACTCCCTGGCAGATTTCATTGTTGGCACTGATGAGGAGCCCAGTGTTCATGAAAGTGTTGATGAAAGCATCAGCAGAGATATAGAGGCTGGGACCCAGAAGACGCGGAAAAGACTAATTAGAGGAAGGAGACCCAACACAGAAGCTCAAATGAAGCAGTATCTGGCTGGCGGTGAAACCTTTGACACCCTTCGCCTGGAGCCTTCACTGCCAACACAAATCGATCTGGGTTCTCCTTCTAAGCCCCAGCTGAAGCCTTCATGTTTGCCTCAGCAAGATCTCAGGAGCCCTAGCAAAATGAAGGACTTCATCAAAGAGGAGTCTTTCCAGCAAGACTCTAGTGACATGGGGTAAGGACCCTAATACCTAATAATCATCCAGCCCTGATCTTGATGCTAACAACACCAGATCATTGTTGGATTCTGAATCGACGAGCAAAGCCCAGTCCGAAGAACCTGAAGAACCAGCGACACCAGCAACACCGCCAAAGACTCCCGCGAAGGTGCGCCTCTTATCACCGTCCAAGCCTAGAGGGAGAATTCCAGAGTCCCCGCATCGAGAGAGCAGCGATGCGTTCTGGAGCCAGGAAGTGATCGCCGAATGGAACGACCAGAATTCCCCCAAAAAGGAGGAGACACCTGGTCGCGCCATGCAGCGTCTCCTCCGTGCTCTCGGAGAACCAGTTGTCGAAGAAGGCAGCCCCTTGACATCTTCTCCCGGGAAGAACGGCCCAAAGAGCCCAAGTAAGACGGCTCTCAAGAAGGCGGAAGCAGAGCAGAGGAGAGCCGTTCTGCAGAGGAAAAAGGACTTTGACAATAAGAAGGCTTCCCTTGCCGAAGACTTCTTCAAGGTCTTGGATGACACCGTGTCCGACGGTCAAATCCAGAAACTTGCAGAGGAAACCGGTGGAGTCAAGATCATTTGGAGCAAGACTTTGCAGACCACTGCTGGAAGAGCCAACTGGAAGAGAGAAAAGCTCAGCGGAGCTGCGTCTGAAGAGCAACCGACGACCAAGCATCATGCATCCATCGAGCTGGCGGAAAGGGTCATCGACTCCGAAGACCGCCTCCTCAACACGCTGGCACATGAATACTGTCATCTCGCCAACTTCATGATCTCCAACGTTCGCAACAACCCCCACGGTGCCAGCTTCAAGGAATGGGGCCACAAGTGCACCACCCTGCTCAAAGATCACCCGGTCTATGGTGGAAAAGTCGAGGTCACTACGAAACACAGCTACAAGATCAACTACAAGTACGTCTGGATGTGTGTCGACTGCGGCCAGGACTACGGACGTCACTCCAAGAGCATTGATCCGTCGAAGTCGAGATGCGGACACTGCAAAGGTGTCCTTCAGCAAATCAAGCCGAAGCCGAGAAACGTCACGAAGAAGAAGACTACCGAGTCCAGCGAGTCCGTTGATGAAGTAGTGAAGGGGGTGGAACAGGTCAGCCTGTAGAATTTTGACCTGTCTGAGCATCTTGCCGTATCTAGGGAGAGGCGTGTGGAGATGTGTTGACCTGCAGATAGAACTTTTGCACTGAAGGTGTTTGGGATTCTACTATTGGAGTTACTTGGGGGCGTTTTTGATTTTTGTAGCATACAAGCATTGCATGGTAGATATTGTGAGCTATTCATCAATGTTGAATTGTCCTCTGATCATACTCTTCCCCTTGGCGTTGAAGATTGGTTAACTAAGCATCTTGTTCTGTATTAACTATTATTATATTATTATTATTAAAACTTCGAGCAGCTGCTGCCTCCGCGTCTCCCCACCAATCAGACGCATCTCCGCTGCCCGTCAACATCGACGGCCTGGGGACGTCATTGGGCGGCGGAACACTCCATGCCGACAGCAGTTCAACAATACTATGATTTAATATTGTCTCTATCATCCCTCTCACAGCCTTGATTTCATTTGAATCATCCTGCTGCAGTCAGGGTTACTGCTGCGATTTCAAGGGGAAGAGAATACAACTAGCGGGGCAGACATCCCGCTTGCAAGTCCGCCCGATCTTGGATGAAGTCGGGATCATCGCGTGATCGCGTGGCTCGATAGATATTATTCCCTGGAGGTGCTACGGAATACCCATGCACGTTGAATCGATCAGTCGGGATATTTCATCTGTTGTTGACAGGCCTGATCTGAAGATTAGTCGTGCGTCAACACTCAGTCAACATGAACGCTTTTGATCAGAAGGACTTTTTCGGCTCCGCCATCGGCGGGACTGTGCCCCGCGGATGGATTGATGCGAGGTATGTATATGTTTTGGCAGCACTGTCTTCTTCTTTCTTTTTCTTTTGGTATTACTGGTGCTTGTCATGTATGAGAAGATATGCCATGCACCGCTGTTTTTGCAGACCTCGATGTCTTATCCTGATTGTAGTTGCTGTTATGGTCCCCCGCATGAAGATCCTGCGGGACATGCATGCATTGCATATTTCTTAGTCCTATCACAGCCTGCAGAGCAATATTATTCTTTTGCTTTGAATTACAATAGAGACACCTTGATTTATTATAATTCTACTAAATCTGTCAACCTGATCGGAACTGACAAAAATAATGACAGCACCCTCCGCGAGGTCCCCGACCACCAGGAGATCTTCCTCTCTCCCACTACGCTTTCGAATATGATTATCGAACTCAACGAGCAGGTCACGACCGAAGATGCCCTTTCAGCGCTGGGTAGCACAGCTACCCTCGACACCCCCGCCACCGATCCCCGTAGCGGTGTTCCTGCAACAACGGAAACGGTAGACAAGGCCGCTGCTCTGTATCATCTTCGCGACCTCTGCGACGACGGCGATGCCATGCAGATCATCAACGCACCACGTCCAGTCACCCTTGGCCGGTTCCCTTCCAATGGCTCCTCAGCAGTACCCGCCTATGCCGGGGTCGTCTCCTACACCAGCCCCAGACGCCAGAGCGGCGCTGGCCGCATTCCCGTCCACGGAGAAGGCGCCGCTGCCGGATCTAGCGCGATGGGACCGTTGACGAGCAAATTCACGTGCCATTTTCTGCTGGCGCGATTGAAAGAGAAAGCGACGGATGTGCTAGTATTTGTGAACGTGCCGCATGAGGAATTCGATAAGACGGGTGATCCCAGAGGGCTCTCGCGAGAGGAGGACCTGGCTAGTGGATTGGTGAATAAGATGATTGAGACGTTGGAAGTCAAGGACTGGAGTCTCTTTGGTTCCGCGTGAGAAGTGATCTACCGGATGCGGAAGAAAGATAGCATGATATGGATCCATCCGCGTTTCTATTCTAGGGATTTCATTTTTGGATCTGTCGGAAACTCATTGAAGTGACAGGACGGGAGATCTCCACGGCGGAAAATATATCCGCAAAAATTGTGGCTATGGATAGAAGGAATTATTATGTGGCAGAAGTATCCAAATGATCTGTGCAAGGTCAGAAATAGGAGAGGCGGATGGAATCTCCATATTCCCTATAGTCTAGATAGCATCAATAACTATCATCTAAGTATGTGATCGTACTCACTCTCTCCTTGCAACGACGAGCTCGAGGAAATCTAAGTAGTTAAAAAGCCTTTCTCCTGTTCTTTTCCCTGGTGAACAATCAGCCTCAAGTCTGAAGCTAGATTTCATACCAGAACAGCACCACACTTGTCATAAGTCTGTTGTCATCTTCTCCCATTATTCCGTGATGCGAGACCGGCCCAGAAGCAGGTAGTTAACTAGGTACCTAGGTACTTGTTACTACTACGTATTACCGTCTTCGATCTCGCAATGTCAAACTATGACCAGACCAGACCATAGTTATCCAGGAACATAACGAGCAATCAATCATCATCCGCAATCACGCATTCTCAATCCTTGATCTCTCGATCCGGCCAGCTCACTGTTTCCGGCCCAAGATGCCGGGGAACCAATCACTCATCCTCCGTGCGCCTCATGTCATGTGATACGAACCCGGAGCAAGTGTGGCTGATACCGGACACAACCAATCAGAACCGCATTACGCGGTCATCAACAAGGAAACGACGCCACATATCTTGGATATCATGACGACGTCATGGATCGAAATGAACCCAAAACAGCGAAAACATGACCGTTTAGTTCCGGTTTTCGAGTGTCAGCCTTTTCTAGTTTACTCTGTAGTGAAGTTGCTAGGAGAGAAAAAACCTTGGCTGGGCGTGATGGCTCTGGCGGTCTCGAACGTCAGCCAAGGATTATTGTTCTACCTTGAGTGATGTGATTTCTGTGGCTGAATCTGGATGCTCTCATACAACCCCACACTCTCATTCAGTGGAAGCTGTTTCCATGTTTGATGGCCTGTCGTTTGAGTATGTGGGGTATGGATGCACGGCCGGCGGCTTGGAGGAACGAGTAACGAGGAGAGGAATTCATGTGCCTGGGAACAGATGGGATGTATGTCTATCTGGAACCGATGGATGGGGTCAGGATCAGCGGTGCTGCTGCATGTCATTGACTGTACGAACTGGTCTGCCTAGGCCTCGTGAATGATTGTCCCCGTCGACGTAGGAGTGGGCGAAAAGTTGACTACTCCAGATGCAGACCAGGATTCGTGTAATATCATCATCTCCTGGCGAGTCGACGTCATGGATCGAGTGAATCGATTGAATCGAGGGAGTTCCCCTGGTGGAGTGTGTTGATTTCTTGGGTTATATAAACCTCCTCAGACCTCCGTGAAATTTCCATTCTCCAGAAAAGCAACAACCACAAGACTTCCACACAAAGAATATCCAAGACTACTTCCTCTTTTTTTCAAAAAACAACCACCGCAAACATGTCTGACACCGGCCGCAAGGACTTCACCCAGAGTATGTGGCCTTTTGCCCCAAGTCTTCAACAACAATAAGACCACTCCTTGAGATAATTGATTGAGTCTTTTGCTAACGACTTTTTGCAGAGGCTAAGGAGGAGATCACTCCTGACTCTTCCAAGTCCACCCAGGACAAGGTCAAGGAGACCATCACCGACACCACTGACCGCGTCGCCCGTGGCTTCCAGTCCGATGACAGCAAGTCCACCACCCAGTCGGCCTTTGACAAGACCCAGCGCACCCACGACAACGAGCAGCACGGCGGTGCGGCCTCTTCCATGTAAGTGCTACCATATCAGCAATTCACATCTCAAAAAGATGCTAACGGCCGACTGCAGTGGTGACAAGGTCAAGAACGCCCTCGGTGTTGGCAACTAAGCCTATGCGCTCAGTTCCCGTCTAGATGGAAGGCAACAATTGCCTGGTTGTCAGTCCTCCTTTTTCATGAGTCATGATACCACATCTGAGAACTCAGTTATTGCTATGTAACTATCACAAACCATAGTTTAATAATAACTCGAAATCTCCTCGAAACATCTCGTTTCTTTTCTTCGTAACAGGAATGCCACAGCTGTAGCTGTGTTTGTAGTAACTGTCTATCCCTCGACCAATCCCTCAAACATCCGATCTCGCCGCCGGATGAGTTGGTTGAGTTCGCGTTCCAGCCGTTTGTATTCCAATTTAGCCCCATCGACGTCGGGCGGAAGATAGTGGAATGCCTTAAGTCTCCCCTCGAGCGTACTGACAGTCTCTTTAAGTCGGAGAACGCACTGTTCTTCTTCCATCAACTGCTGGATAGTGGGACCTCTTGCATTCACAGTTCGTTCGAGACTGGCAATCCTGCTCTGATATTCTCCTGCCTTGGTGCCCAATATCTTCGTGCCCCTATTCCATTCTGCAGTTTGGGCAAGAATATCTGGCGGCGTCTCGTATGCTTCATTCGTCTTGAGCTCTTCGAGCTGTCTTCTTAAAGAATCCAACTCCTTCTCCAAGTAATTCTGAAGATCCTCAACTCTACGGACCTGCTCCGCAGCATCGAATTCCTCCGTTGTCAACTCGATGATCGCATGTGGCACGTCTTCCGCGCCCAGTGTTCCCAGCGCGACGGTCGTTTCTGCCAGATCGTCTAGACTCTTTGCACCCTTCTCATCCAAATAGTCCTCTATTTCATCCAGGATTTCCTTTTTCTGTGGCGGCTCTGCCTTCTCACGAGCCTTCAATCCTTGTAGAGCTTCTTCGCGCGCGCGATGGAACAGTGCTGCTTCTTCGTCTGCTGTGTCGTTGGCGGCTGCGAGTGCGAGCAGGGTCTTGAGTGTGTCTTCATTTCGTTCAAAGGGCGGTACGGGGTTCGGTGCGTATTGTCGGGCTAGCCATGAATTGATATATGCCCAGTCTTTGGCCTGGATAGCGGCCTGTCTGGCTTTGGAGGGCGAGATAAGCGGGGAGTCGAGAGGTGATGGGGGATCCATTGTGTGAGTGAGTGCGTTATTCTTCCATGAATTCTCAGTATATCCGATGGATATGGTATCTCAGGTATGAACGGTGAATAGTACAGGCGTGGATTATTACTCTTATTATTATTGTTGGTCTTTAGAAAGTAAGTAGTTCTCGTAGCAGATGGTCGAACTTGCTTTGGCCATAGGAAGGACGTTTATCCGACCGGATCGGCCCCCAGGAATATCAGCGGGCAAGTCGACTCCTCCGCGGAGGTGACCATGTAGATGATACAGGTAGGATTGCCGCTCCAGCCCACCATGACGAGCTACTTTTCGGCTTCGCCCGCCTTGTCGTCGTCGTCTCCTGTGCTCTCTCCTTCGAACGAGACTCTCTCACCGTCGATCGGCTCTGCGCAACGATCCAACGCCCTTTCCAACAGATTAACAAGTGTACTCTCCGCGTCTTATGCGGACTCCGATATACGAGATGCCCTCGAGACATTGGACCGCAGAGGTGTCCATAACACCGCAGATACCAGGAGGCAGCTGCGCTTGGATGTTCAGAAGGAGGTGATTGATTGTAATGGCGAGATTGTGAAGGATTTCGGCAAAGTCGCAGATGTGAGATAGTTCCACCCTACAAAAGAAAAAAAGAAGTGACGCTAATGGTGGGAGTAGCAATTGAAACGCATTGGAACAGTGATCACAAGCTTGAATCGAACATGCGAAGAGATGCGCAAGCATATCAACCAGGCAAAACAAGAGACGGCTCCGGTTCTAGAGGAAGCCTCCGCGTTGATGTCTCAGAAGCAAGATACCGAGACGAAACAACGCCTCCTTGATGCTTTCACCAAGCATTTTATAGTCCCGGATGAGGACCTCATTGTCTTGACCTCTGCTGAAGAGCCTGTCGATGATCACTTCTTCGACGTTCTTGCGCGCGTGAAGCGGGTGCATCATGATTGCGAGGTCTTGCTTGGTGGAGAGAACCAGCGATTGGGCCTGGAGATCATGGAGCAAAGCTCCAAACAACTCAATTCCGCTTACCAGAAGCTGTACAAGTGGATTCAAAAGGAGTTCAAGTCGTTGAATTTGGAAGATCCCCAGATCAACAGTTCGATTCGAAGGGCATCGCGTGTGTTGGCGGAGCGGCCCAGCCTGTTCCATAGCTGCCTGGACTTCTTTGCAGAGGCGAGAGAGTATATTCTGTCGGACTCTTTCCATTATGCTCTTACAAATGCAGTCTCCGCAGGGGAGGGAGAGCGTAATGTCAAGCCGATCGAGTTTTCTGCCCACGACCCGCTCAGGTATATCGGAGATATGCTTGCCTGGGTACACTCTGCTGCGGTTTCAGAGCGCGAGGCCTTGGAAGCACTCTTTGTTACTGACGGTGATGAAATAGCAAAGGGCATCAAGGCAGGAATAAGCAGCGAACCGTGGTCTCGCGTTGACGGAGAGGAAGACGTTGTGTTTGACGGTCAGAAGGCGCTCAATGGTCTCGTCGACCGTGACATTAACGGGGTATCAAGGTCTCTCCGTCAACGAGTTGAGCTGGTCATACAGGGCTGCGATGATCCCGTCACCACCTACAAGGTTGTTAATCTGCTGTCTTTCTACCGAATGACGTTCTCTCGGTTGATTGGAGCAGAGTCCAACCTCGCCAATGTGATCAGCTCACTGGAGACATACACATTCGGCCACTTCCAGACACTTCTTGGAGACCAGGTTGGGTTGGTATCCGGCGATCCAGCTGCCCTGACACCGCCGCCCGACTTGTCGGTGCCGCAATTCCTGTCCGATGCTCTTGACGTCTTGACACACTTAATGAAAGCATACGATGCTTCTTTGGAAGGCGTCGATTCGGAATCAACCTCGGACCAGGAAAATAAATTCACCCCGGTCCTCCATGTAGCCTTCGATCCCTTTCTCGACTTGGCAAAGTCGACCGCCAGTGATCTGTCCAACAAGACATCGAAGGCCATCTACCAGACTAATATACTCCTTGCTGCGCGGTCCACCATCCTACCATACCAATTCGCCTGCACCACGCATTTGGCTCCTATCTCTACATCTCTCTCGACTATCCGGATGGACCTTCTCCAAGCCCAGCACGATTTCTTCCTCGAAACATCCGGCCTGCAAGACCTCCTCACTGCGCTGGAGCCCTTTTCTCTACCTACCGATACCCAAGACTCCGAGAAACAACCACAACAACCACCCAGTCTCGCATCCGTCGCCTCACTACCGGCCTTCCAGCCTGACACCCTCTCCTTAACCAGTCAGCAACTCGACGACTTCCTCCCATCCGCCCTCATGGACGCTACCGATAACCTGAAGCGAGTCCGCAACCCGAACCTCGTCAAGAGCGTCACGGAAGAAGCAGTCGAGGCATTCTGCCGAGACTTCGAGTTCGTTGAAGGCATGATCATCGGCGCGGATGAGGCCAGAGGCATCACGAAGATCGACGCTGCGGGAAGTGAAATCGCTACTACTATTACTACTGCTGATGGCGATAAAGAGGGAGAAGAGAAGTGGAGTTTGAGAGCGTTGTTCCCGAGAACGACGGGAGAGATTAGAGTCTTGTTGAGTTAGTTAGCAGGGATAACTAGCAGAATATGCAAATAGTGAATGAGAAAGGCATTTACAGTGATTATGGTAATATTTGATTTCTGTCCCTGGAAATATCAAATGTTCAATCAGTAAGATACCGCTGATTATTATCTCTACTACTAACTATTATATCAAAGTATTCAATTGACCACTACTAGTAGTTAGCAACACAACAATAGACCCCTCCTGTACACTCAATACAACAGACACACAAAACTCAACTTTCACTTCATCCCATCTTCTTCTCCTCCCCTCCCCCAACAAACTCCACAACCAATCCATCCCAACTCCACATTTACAAGATTACAAGATAGATATACCCCGAGCTCTCGACCCAACCTATCTTCTTCCAAACATGAAGCTCAATTTGGTTATTACTAATCACTAATTGACCGCGTGGTCTAGTGGTTATGATTTGTCGTTCACAAAAGCTGAACATGTATTTGTCCCGACAAGGTCCCGCGTTCGAACCGCGGCGCGGTCAATTTTTTTGCTCGTCTCATCTTCATTCGAATCCTTACAGTGTGTCGTTTGTCGGTGGTGGAGGGTATTCTTTTTGTTGATGGGTGTTTATATGGGGGATTTCCTTTTGCCAGTAGGTTACGTACTTGCCTGATGGAGGGTGGATTATTAGGGAGATTTAACTAGGTAGGTATGAATTGGGTATTTGATATAGGAGACAAGGATGAGAAACTTGGTAAAATTTGTTTATTTGGTTGTCCCTTTTGGGATATCATGCGAGACCTCGTCGGATGACGATACCATATGGATCGCGATCGTTCTCGCTAACGTCGACTCTGACTTCTTGATCCTTCCAAGCTGCTTCCAGGCCATCTGCCGCACCTGTAGCACCTTGCTTTGTGATTTCTTCTAAAGTGGAAATTCCCTCTTTGCTGGAAGTTGCCCACTCTTCTCGCAGAGCTTCCTCGAGCTTCTTCCTCATTACTCCACGTATGTAGCCTCGTTCCGTGTTCGAGTGGAACAGTGCCACGACGGCGGACCCGCGCTCGATGGCAGCTAGCGCATCATGATGACTGAGTTCGCCTGTGAAGAGGAGATCAGGGGGCCCTGAGCTAGTAGCCTTCATGAGAACGCCGGCGCCCGAGCCAGGGCATACACCTACTGTGCGGATCTGTATACTGTCAAGAGATGCAGATTGAGGGATAGCCACGGAGAAGCCGGCGGGGTTACCGGTCCCGCGAGCAATGAGATCAATTATGGAACTCAAGGGCTGCGGCTTAGCGAAGGTGACAAGACGACCCATACCAGCAGACTCGAAGCCTTCCGGAACAGGACCCGCGGAGGGGTGGATAGTGCTGCGGGTATGGGGCGTCGCTGACGAGGCGGTGATAGATGAAGGGGGTTGGACGTATGTCGGTTGCGAATAGTTGCTAGAGGACGATGACAGATTTGTGACCGCCGTCGAGTTTTCTGGGGAAATGGCGCCAGTGACGAGATCGCAGAGCCAGTCTGCCATGCCACCCGGCACAGCATCGACTGCCGTGTGTGGACAATATACGCTTATTCCTTCCTGAGCTAGGCGAAGGAGCGATTGTTGCTGGGGGTCACTAAGCGTGATAGATTTGAGACCGCGGAAGATGATGGGATCTAGGAAAAGATATCATCAGTTTTGTTGAAAGATAAGACGGAGGTTGAGGTCTAGCAATAATACATACGGTATGCCACGATAACTGAATCCCTCCGCTTGATAGCCTCATCTGCGACTGCTTTTGTCAAATCGACAGTCAAAAGAACCGAATTCTTCTGTCTCCGGGCCGGATTGAATGGTGCTTCCAGTAGCACTGTGATCGTCTGTCAGCGTTGCGAACATTATGCTGGAATATCGAACAGGCAGCGCTCACGTCCAGTGTTATCCCAACTCTTGTCCGCCAGAGACTCTGGGTAGCTAATCCATAACATTTAGTATAGGAACTAGACAAGCCACGGTGTGAAATCCAACATACATCTTCCTCATAGAGCTCACCACAGCTCTCGTAAACGGCGAAGACGTAGCGGGACCGGGCAACGACATGGTGGAATATTGGCGCAGGAACCCCGTACGAAATAGACACCGCATAAAGATCCCAGCTTTATCAAGAGCAATTGACCTTCTCCTCCAATTCTTCTCTTTCTACCTGTCGTTTGTCTTAAGAAAACTGAAACCTACCTGCGAAAAGAGCGGGGGAGGTATCGGAATTTGTGGCGCTTCTGGAGCCATATCTAGCTTGAGCCACACCTGCTTTCTTTCTTAACTGACGCACCAGCCACGCCGGCAATCTGAGGTTCGATGATTAATTCCGTCACCGGTTTGGAAATCAATCTTTCCCCCAAGGTCTTTTTTGATTTCAACAAATCAACAAAGGAAACACCATAAAACCATTGCATTCATACTTGAAATATACCTTATCTTCCTACAATCGAATCGCATCCCATTACCGGGGCTGTTTCCTTTTCTCTTTTTCTTCCCTAGAATCCAAATCCTTCTAGAAGACCGTCTTCCAGAACCCCGGATCCTCTTCCTCTATCCCACTTCGACTTATTTGACGCCCTTCCCCTCCAACTCCACGCTTGATGTTCGCCCGCGCTTCCCTCGTGAGCAGAACCTGCCGGTACATTTTCCGCGCCAACAGCGTTGCTGTCCGTCCCGCTCGTCCTTTCTCGTCCCTGTCCTCGAGAGCCTTCGCGGCCGTCGACGCAGCAATGGCCGACACGGCGAACACGTCTGGTATCTCGGCGCAGTCGCTGAAGGAGACTTTGACGAAGCAGTTGGAAGCGCAGTATGTGGAGGTGGAGGATATGTCTGGTATGTCTGATTTGATGCGATGCGATGCGATGTGGTTTGGATTTGGATCTAGATAGGATGTAATGCTAATCGCTATCGTTTGTGGTACTGTATAGGTGGATGCGGCCAAGCCTTCCAGGCGATCATCGTCTCTCCGCAGTTCGAGAAGAAGAACATGTTGGCTCGTCACCGTCTGGTGAACTCGGTTCTCAAGTCTGAGATTGCGGCTATCCACGCGTGGACGCCAAAGTGCTATACTCCCGAGCAGTGGGCGCAGTTGCAGCAGGGACAGGCTTAGAAGTGGAAAAGAAAAGCTGCTGTGCGGAGATCTCTATGATGCGTGCTTGTCCAGATGAGATCTGCCATGTTTTAGATTGTCCGAGAGCTGAGACGGTTGTTGATTGGCCATCCGTTCTTCTTTTCTCTGGATATATATGTGTATTTTAGGCGTTTTGAGGCATTGATATCTACAGTGAATATATAGCCAACTTCCGGCTTCGATCAATCAAATCTATTGGATATAAAATGCTAAAGCACAATGGGATATATTGCGTGTGCTACATGTCCTGCACATGAACATCGTGATATACGTCAATGCTTAGCCCAGGACCTTCTCCGCGGTGGAAACTGTTGTATCGTCATTATCAGCATGCGCCCAACATCGCTAACTTGGGGTATGGACTCAATCTCGTACCATTGACACCGGTGTTGTCAGGTTCAACAAAGGCCTCCTTCACCTTTCCGTCCTCGATCTTCAGCGCGTAGCGCTTGCTGCGGGCGTTTCCGAAAATCGAGGCACTGTCAAAGGTAAGGTCGAGAGCCTCAGTGAACTTGCCGGTAGGGTCACCAAGGAATCGAATCTACATATCGCGTTAGGTCTTCGAGATCGATAGGAAGAATGGATTGGCGTCACTTACGCCGCTCTTGCCAGTCGGGTCGAGGGACGTTCCCCAGGCCTTAGTACTGTATGCCAGGCATTAGTCTCCATCTAATTCTGCCGGTGGAATCCTAGCTTTCAATCTACGTACACGAAAGGATCATTCACTGAGACAACAAACACCTTTCCGGCATCCTTGAGCTTGGGGTGGTTGATGTAGCCAGGGACGTGCGTAGCCGAGCAGGCGGGGCCTGAGAAGAGTAGAGAAATAATGATTAGCAACCATATTCACTGCAGTTCTCTCTCATATGAACCTTCCCTGGAAAGAGGACGTTTCCGATGCTCCCTGTCCGCACTCCGTTCTTCCGAGGGGTATTATAATCCAGATACATACTGAAAGCTGCAGGGGTGCCAACAATCACACCCTTTCCCTTGAGTTCCTTGGCCAGGTTGACCTTGTTACCGGGCGAGCCCTCGACCAGGACGTCAAGGTCAGGGAGCGCGTCTCCAACCTTGACGAAGGCCGGCCGGGTGTTATGGAACAATGCCCGCTGAGCATGGACGCGAGGAAGGGTGGTGGTAAGACGCTTAGCTGCGAACATGGTGGGCCAGAAAGAGCTTCAAATGAAAGAGATTCACAATAAAGCAGATACTAAGCGCAAAAGACAATGCAAACAGCGGTTGGAACCTTGTGTGGCCGATATCTGGATAGTTGATGGTTGACAGGAACTGACCCCCTGGGCGAGCGCGGTTTACTCTGCTCTGATGATTACATGTTACGCGGTGGAGCTTCGAGCCATATTTCGTCATTGTTTGGAGGCAGGCCCGAGCGTCCATTTCCAGAAGGTCTTTGGAAGAGAACGAGTTTCATCGCATCGCTTCGCATAACGCGATCTTATATAACACGCAGAGATTATGAGCGATGGATAATGAGTTCGAGTCTGCAGGTGTACTTTTTTATAAAGACCCGAATTCCACGGCGCGACGGGATAAGTTGCCACTTATGCCAATTGACTCCCGAAGGACAAGAAAGTCTCCTAAAGTAGGGGTCGGAAAAAAAAAAAAAAAAAAACAAAAAAAAACAAAGTTATATATGACGATGGCAATCGCGACAACAGCCATAGTACCATATGCAATTTGCTGCTAGGATACGTATACTCTGCCATATCTGACCACGTCGTGCAATAACGACCTGTCAGGTCTGGGGCGTGTTGTCGGGTGCCCAATCGCAAGAGCCCGAATTCTGAGGAGTTAGAACCATTACATGACATTGGGGCTTCAGTATTTCGATGACATCTCCGGCTGAATGCTGTCTGCATGAGTGGTCGTCGCATTTCTAACAGACATTGTACGCAAAGGTGAGTGCCGCGGCTATCGATCGGGGTGAGTCCGCGGAAAAGATTGAATGGAAACTTGCTGAGCTTACGTAGTCAACAATGTCAGCAACTCGTGAAGATGATGCCGGTCAGCAATAATCATACTCAAGACGTGGTTGAGGATTCTGATCTTGCTGCTGCCCATAGATTATCATGGCAATAATGCTTTGACCAACTCTCGCCGGCGCTGACTGCCCGTGATACGGGGCCAAGCAGCTTCGATAGAATCGATCTAATGACGGATGGTCCTTGCTCTAAAAATATTAGTGTAGAAACTGGGGTCATCATCGTTGTTATTATTTGCAATGTGCGATCACAAAGATGACTGAGAATATCTAATAGTCGCTGGAGGCTGTCGCGTAGCTGCATGCCAACAGCAGTTCCTGGCGTCTTGGTGAGCCACATCAGGCTCTTCCGAATTTAGCACGGGAAGTGAGCAAGTATGTATGGTAGTGTCTCTTTTTTTGTTCTTTTTCTTTTCTTTTCGGAGCAATATTAGTAAAAATAATAATAATTGACTCTGGTCGACTGCGGATAAGTGTCACCGTTCAAAGACGTCATCTTGTCAGGGCTTAGGGTCAGCGTCCCAGAGGGTCACCATCTGGGTCGCCGAGAAAGCCTCTTATCCACAACACACAAAAGTCGTCCATCCGCCGTGCCGACCGGCTCCAGTTCAGGCACTTCCCCATCCTTACGGGCTTGTACTAGCCACTAGAGCTTGGGGAGAAGGGTCGTCGCGAAGGAGAGCCTCTTTGGGGCATGGATTGGGTCACCGTTTGCTGCATCCACCCAGCCTCAAGGCTTGGGTGCGAGTTGTCTGTCTCTCTTGTCTCTCTCAAGAGGTTCCGCGTTCGTCTGGTAGTAGAGTATTAGCTTTTTGCGTAAGAACCAAACCACACACACCACGGAGGCAAACGAGTTGGCAGCCAGCTAGCTATCTAGCTTTCCGGCTTGTTTTCCAGCGAGACAAAAGCAGAGTCGATCGATTAGAGTAGATATCTGGCCTCTGGTCAACGCTGTGATTGATGGTGTGTCCGCTGTCCCGATCGATCTCAACGTGAGCTGTTGGCGGCGGAGATTCTGCGTTAGTTAACAGCAACTCTACCCACCTTTTCTCCTGCGCGAGATCGAGGACGGAAAGCAGACGGTAGATAGTATACGAGACGGAGCGTCGTTAGTTGATTCATTCAGACAAATCCCCCCAGAATCAGGTCGAGCAACTGGAGCAGATCGAAAGCCCGACGACAGGGCCAGTTTGGCGATCGACTTTTGGTCACGGCAAGCATCTCCCGCTCTCCCCCGACGACTAACTAATAACGAACGAAAGTCGACCATCGCAGCGCATCGCATGGCCAACCCTGCAGTTATCCTCTAGAGCCCATTTCCCCTCCTTCTTCATCCTCTCCACCCCCGACGGCTGCATTTGCGTGGTTTCATCTCGCTGCTCAACTGTCTCCGCTGTCATTCCAGTCGGCCTTGATTCTGCCGGTCTCGTCTTTGCCCTTCTGCTCCTTGCGTTGGAGACAGGGCTCTTTTGTGGCTAGTTCCCGTCCGCAATCCTGGTCTCTACTCAAATGGGAGTTGGGACGATCTGCGGAAGAATCCAGCATCTCCAGCTCAACTTCGAGTCCCACTGTCACAACCTCGTGCAGCTGCTATTGTCCTCGTCAATAGCGGGCGCTGCGTCTCCACAGCCCGGCTGAAGATTGAGCGTCTTCTTCTTTTTCGCTCTCTCCCGCTGGGACGTGTTGAACCCTCCTCCTTATCCGTTCCTATCGCGACACGTCTAGACCACCATGGACGGCGGCCAGAGCTCAGCCTCCAGCTCCGCTGGGAACTCCAGCGATTTTGTAAGTATAGCATCGCGATCAGATGGCTTTAATGATACAGGATGCTGATGGCACCCATCCAGGTACGGAAATTATACAAGTAGGTCTTGTTTCTAACTACTAGCACGCTCGATCGCCAACCGATCACTCTCCGCTCTGCATCGAACCCTATCTAATCAATGTGATGACAGGATGCTGGAGGATCCGTCTTACTCAGAAATCGTTCGCTGGGGAGACGAAGGCGACAGCTTTGTGGTGCTGGAGGTAACATACCCCGTGTTCGTTGTCGAGGATCGAGAACGATCCGGCTGACTTGGGCGCCAGTGCGAAAAATTCACCAAGACGATCCTACCCAAGCATTTCAAGCATAGCAACTTCGCCAGTTTCGTGCGTCAACTGAACAAGTATGACTTCCACAAGGTCCGACAAAACAACGAAGAAACGGGCCAGTCGCCGTATGGACAGAATGTCAGTGATCGATGACCCTACTGCCAAATGGACCGTCTTGAATTCGAGTGCGCTGACGCCCTGCAGGCTTGGGAATTCAAACACCCGGAGTTCAAAGCAAACAGCAAAGATTCGCTCGATAATATCCGACGAAAGGCACCCGCGCCCCGTAAGCCGGCTCAGATGAGCGAGGATTGCGTGCCGACTCAGCAGATCGACCTGATGAACCAACAGATCCTGGCGCAGCAACAGCAGATTCAGCACCTCTCGGACCGCTACGCGCAACTGACTGTCGACCATCAATTGATGTTACAGGAACTGATGCGCGTGCAGAAGACGGTTCTGAACCACGAAAATGTCATCCATCAGGTCATGAACTTCCTACTGTCTGTCGACGCCCGCCAGCGCCGCGACAGCAGAACAGCAGCGCCCTTCCACGCTCAAGCTCAGGATGGTTCGACCCTGAGCCCATCCCAGATAGGCGGCGCAGATGACCAGCCAGCCTCGCCTCTCCAGCATGCGTCGAAACTGCTGAGTGACATGAATGCAGAGATCCAGTTCAACTTGGCCGGTATGGATTCCGTCGATGCTCACAAGACCCCAGCAGTGGTAGCGACTCCGCCGCTGGAAAATGCCCCTCGCAATGGTGCTGTGCGGCCTCCAACATCTGCAGGTTCCAGCGCTACTATGGGCTTTGCAAAGATGAATGGGGAGCTCGAATCGGTCGTCTACCCGGTCGGCACTACGAACGGAATCGATCCAATGTACAGCGAACATGTCAACAATATCCCCTATCCTCTACCGTCGAAAGAACTCGACCCGTCAGATCCTCGTCGACAGTATGCCGATGGTCGCAAAAAGAGCACATACGTAGACCCCGGTTGGGTGCGCAGTCCACATATCTTGCTTGTTGAGGACGACGCTACCTGCCGTCAGATCGGTGGAAAATTCCTCTATTCGTTTTCTTGCGTCATTGACACTGCTGTAAGTTTGTCTCAAGCGTGTGGTTTTCCCGCAGTGCTGACAAGACTTTAGTTCGATGGACTTGAAGCCGTCAACAAAATCCAAGATGGTTCGAAATACGATCTCATCCTGATGGACATTATCATGCCTAACTTAGATGGCGTGTCTGCTTGCCATCTTATCCGCCAATTCGATCGAACACCCATTATTGCTATGACCTCTAATATCAGAAGTGACGATATCCAACTCTACTTCCAGCATGGTACAGTCTTTTCCTGGCCATCCCGGTCCATATGATGCTAATTGATGCCAGGTATGGATGATGTCCTCCCGAAACCGTTCACGCGCAAGAGTCTCCTGGATATGCTCGAGAAGCATCTGGTCCATCTCAAAACCCTGCCTCAGAGCATAGAGACTTCAGCTCCAGCAGCGGCAGTCCCGATGGCCGCGCCAGCCTCAACGGGTCCTTCCATAAAGGAGGACAGCTCTCCGGGACAATCACCAGCGGCGTCCATGAACAACTGGCAATCTCCTGGCCAATTCCAGGGCCTATCTCCCGTCCATCCAAATGTGCAACAAGTCCAAGGCCAGTATGTCCAGGCCGGGGCGGGCCCTCCTCCGTACGCCATTGATCAGAACGGTGTCCAATATACTGCTCCCGCACCATTGAACGCCGCGACCGCCCGACCACAGCATCGAAGACAGCTTTCCGAGATGTCAAGCGCCGCCGATGCCGCCAACTTCGCAAAGAGACAGCGTATCTATGCGCAAGCGCCGCAGATGGTCGGCCAAGTACCTGGACCACGTCCCGGATGAACGGATCAGAAATATTCACGTCTTGCGCCTTTGTGCCATCGCATGCTAGTTGTTTGTTCCTTCAGTGTGGGGCGTCTACTATATAATTGGCAGGAGGCTTGGCTTGCGCGGTATATATCTTTGGATTTTCGTCAGACCACGGCGTATACGGCGTTTTGATGACTCTCTACTTGTTCGGTAAAAAGTAAACTTTTGCACAACATCTAGCGGGGATTTTTATGTTGGCACTTCTTGAACCATCATGGGGATTTTTCTAAAAAAGAAATGGGGGGAACTTAATTGGCTCGCCTGTCTCAAAAACTACGGACTTGGGACAGGAATCTACTTGTGGCTAGTGAGATCATATTGGTTGTATCCATCACTAGGTCCCGCGTTGCGGATGACGTTCATATGGGCTGGCGATCTGCTGTTGTTGTGCTTCGATTGCAAGTGTGCTGATTGAGCTGTCTTTTGCTATACCGGTATTCCCCTGGGGCTCTTGCGATCCATTCTCTTTATGATCTGGAATGTACATGCTATGGTCTAGGATACTTTGTGGTTCTCCAGACCGGCAAGCTGGAATTCTGGTAGAGATTGAGAATCCTTCTAGTACTTTGTATTTAGTTCGTTATCTTCTCCTTTGGCCTCCGTTCTGAATCCAATGAAGCAAGGAGAACAGGAATCTTTCCCCCCCCCCTCTTTCTTCTTTGAACTAGCAGCCAACGTAAGCCTGGCACTGTCTTGAGTCTCGGGGGTCATCCCGGACGAACGGCAGTAAGGGTTGGAATCCATGTTGATAACATCGATCAGCCTGATTCAGGCTAATTGCTAAACGTAGAGAATGTCTGGTAGTCCCCCCTATGGGAATTAGTTCCTAAGCATCTCTTGTAAATGCCACGCAGAATCGCAGTGCGCCTGTCTTCCTGAACCCGGTGGTCATAGAACTAAATACCGGGTGATCCACGGGCCAACCCAGGTGGAAACGAACGATTCGGGATGCCGTCGCGCTGGGGTCCAAACATCCCGCCTATCCATTTCTCCAGGTTTTATCTTTAGGTCGCCTGGAGGTCTAGACCGGCGGGACCTGAACAAGGACAGACAACCTGGAAGTCGAGGACGGTCCAGGCCTTGGATGCAGATGATCTGGACTCTCTGCGGCTGGAGAGCCAACAGTGGCTGTGGTGGCTGTGGCGCTGTGGCCGTGCACGAGGGGTGTAAGAGCAAACACGGCAAACTTACTCGATCGGAGCGGGATGACTCCGATGGGCTTGGCGGAGTTTTTGTGCACTGCCCTTTCATATGGTACAGACTGTTGGATGTGCTTGCTGCTTGCTCCCCAAGTCAGTCGGCCAGGTCTCGTGTGAACGGCTATTCCACTTGTCCACTATTCACCCTCGATTCTCACTGGATTTGACGTGAGTCGACCCGGTCGATTCTGGGTGCAATATCGCTACCGCGGACCCCTCCTCGTTGACATCTCGCGCGCGAGTTCGGTGGAGCTATGGGCCCGAAACAGAAAGGAGGAGGCTCATCCAAGAGCAATTCGAGAAGTACTGGGGAGGAGGTGGAGGAATCGCTGCAGGCCGTTGTACGTTCTAGTTATCTCTTGATCTACGGATGACTCACTTGCAATGCGGGGCCGCTTTGGCTTTTTATTTATAAAGGACGAGTTGGTTAATCATATTGGAATGGCGACAGATCCTAGCCGATACGTTCGAAACGAGATTCCAGCCGTTCACATTGGACACTCCTAGGGTACGTCTTTGCTGCTATTTGGAAGGGTGCTGCTATAATCCGAGAGGAAGGAGAGATCGGTTGTGAATATGGAGTCATCCTGATAATTGAGAATCAGTGTCTGCTACCGCTCGCCAACACCCCGCTTATAGAGTACACTTTGGAGTTCCTCGCAAATGCTGGAGTCGAGGAGGTTTTCCTGTACGGAGGAGCGCATTCGGATAAGCTGGAGAAGTATCTCAAGTAGGTCGATCTGCAGGTTGGCGTGTGTCCATGTTGCACAGAGGCTGACGGCGCGCTTAGTGCTTCGAAATGGAGAGCTCCCTCTTCACCATTCAAGAAGTTGACCTTCCTCAAATCGACGTCAACGTCCGTCGGAGACGTTATGCGCGACCTGGACGGCAAGCATCTCATCACCGGTGATTTTATTGTTGTTAGCGGAGATGTTATCAGCAACCTTCCCATTGAAGGTGCATTGGCTAAACATCGGGCACGTCGTGAGGCGGACAAGAATGCTATCATGACTATGGTTCTTCGTGAAGCGGGCAGGAACCACAGGACCAAGGCTTCGACGATATCTCCTGTCTTCGTTATCGACCCGACAAAGGACCGGTGTCTGCATTACGAAGAGATCCAGCAACATTCAGAATCAGCCCCGTCGTACCTCACCATCGATTCGGAGATTCTGACGTCACATGCTGAAATTGATATCCGTCAGGACCTGATCGACTGCAGCATTGATATCTGCACGCCAGACGTTCTGAGCCTGTGGTCGGACAGTTTCGACTATCAGATGCCCCGAAAGCACTTCCTCTATGGTGTGCTGAAAGACTACGAGCTGAATGGAAAGACGATACACACCCACATTATCAAGGACCACTATGCAGCACGAGTACGGAACCTGAAGGCCTACGATGCTATCAGTAAGGATGTTGTTTCGAGATGGACATATCCGTTGTGCCCGGATACGAATCTCCTTCCGGGGCACACGTATGAGCTGAGAAGGGGGAACCTTTACCAGGAGCAAGGTGTCACGCTAGCCCGGTCCTGTGTGATCGGCCGTCGAACAGTCATCGGACAGGGTACCCGCATCGGAGACAGAACTTCTGTCAGTAACACGGTTCTGGGCAGGAATTGCAAGATTGGGAAGGATGTTATCCTCGACGGCGCGTATCTCTGGGACGGAGTTGTTGTTGGCGATGGCACAGAGATTCGCCAGGCTATTATAGCTGATGGAGCAACAGTGGGTAACAAGTGTAAGGTTGAGCAGGGCTCCTTGCTGTCATATGGGGTAAAGATTGCGGATGGCACTATTGTGCCTCAAGGAACACGGATCACGCGAGCGCAGAAGGCACCCGGAGCCTCGATTACGAATGATCCGAAGATTGTCGGCGACGGAGGAGAAGGCTACGAGTTTATTCATAGTGACGATGAAGATGACGAAGATGACGATGCTAGTGTGGCTTCGTCAGGACTCAGTATGAGAAATGCCTCTCTAGATATTCTGTTTTCGAAATTGCTAATGTTTTTCTACAGTCTACAATATGGCAAACCTTTCCTTGTCCCGAGAATCAATCTCGACGTTCTCTTCTGAGATGTCAGATTTCGTGGGCGCATCGCGGTCCGGCAGCTTTGGTACATCCTACTCGGACGAGGAGCGTGAAGATCACTTCCAGCATGATGCCTCTACCAGTGTCTACGATGGTCTGCGTGACGGCGTCACTGCAGATGTTGTACAGCTCGAGCTTGTCAGTCTGCGTATGAGTGCCAACGCATCTGAGCACCAGGTGCGACGAGCTGTGGTATCTGCTTTCATGAAGCGCATTCAACAGCTCATGGAAGAGGGCAAAGGTGCCGGTGACGCCGTCAAGGACGTTTTTACTAAGTACAAGGAGATTGTGGAACGCATAATCTTCGACAAGGACAGCGACAAGAAGCCGGATCAGGTCGACCTGCTCCTGCTGATCCAGCAGGACCTTGTGCACCGTAACCGCGGTGAAACGGTGCTTCTGTTCACCTCCAAAGAGCTATACGATCTCGAAATCGTGGAGGAAGAAGCCTTTGAAGAATGGTGGGAGGATGAACGCTCCCAAAGCAGCGAAGAGCTCCGGAAGGTTCGTGCGCAGACGCAGCAGTTTGTTGACTGGCTGGCGAACGCATCAGAGGACGAGAGCGACGAGGAAGAAGACGAGGACGAGGAAGAGAGTGATGAGGAATGATTGAGATGATCAAAAATAATGGAATATATTCAGGGATGCCTCATGTGTACGCAATATGTAGACCCGCGGAGATAGCATCTGCGGAATACTAGCCAAAATAAAAGCACATATACCCGTGTTAGAATGATAGACTCAATTGTTTTCCACGAGCAAATGGGTAGAGTTTCAAAAAGTTCTACGTCTACATTTAATGGAGTAATACAGATGTGTAGAAAAAATCCGAAACAAAACCAACACCCCCCAAAGTTATACTATAGAAGCCAAAAAGCCGAACGACAAGCCGAACAAAATACCGGATAAACATTTCTCAAAACCAAACACTAAAGAGTAACTAGGTTAAATCAGAGTTACACCATGCGAAAATCCCCCCGATCCCCATCTCCAATAGAAGTTGCTGACTGTTCGGGGAATATGCGTTCTCATGTTCGGATATCCCGAGCCAAGTGACGTGTTTCTTTCCCCCGGGCTGTCGGATCACGGCAAATACTATCGTCAGCATCGTCGTCCCCGAATCCCAGAGGGGACGGAAACGGGCGGAATGAAGATCAGGAGATGATGCTTTTGCTTTTTGTGGAGCTTGTAATCAAGAAAGATCGATGGTTTCTGTATGACTGGTTTGTTGTTTTGAGGGCTTTACTTGTCCCCATCTTTCATGCTTAATTTGATTGGATAGGTAAGTTATGTCATGAAAAGAAAATATTAAATAGGAAAGGTATATTCTAACTAGTTACCGTGGGAATGGATCTGGAGATAATCAAAGGAAACAGGGATATATAAAGCTGAGGATCTGGCAAGGGGTGTCTGGTAGATCTAGAATCTAACATGTACAACGATCGTATAGCGGTTTTACATCACTGAATATCATATTACCGGTCAAACGAAACCTCAGCTCTCTCTACCTACCCGATAGTCCTCTTCAAGTGAGAGGAACAAGAAAATCATCAATCATCACTACCGCCCATCATGCTAGGCAAAGTCGCGATCGAGGAGGCAATCAATCCTCCATCCGAACTGCACAAGCAAGCAGGGATGATCTCGCGTGACATCCATCCGGACCACGAAGACGAGTATCGAAAACAAGTAACCAGCATCGAGGACCGCGAGAGACGCGCTGCTCGAACCGGCGTCGGATACACGATCAATTCACACGTCTCGCCCGGCATCCAAGCCGAACGCGATCCAGCCGTCGCAGAGAAACTAGCCGTGGAAATCAACGATTGGATGTACAACCAGATCAAAGATCGGCGCGACACACAAGGAGCATTCGCAGCGCTATCGATGCATGATCCTGCGAATGCAGCAAAGGAGCTCCGTCGCTGCGTCACGCAGTACGGATTCCACGGGGCGTTGCTTAATAACTGGCAATTAGCAAATAACCCCGATGGAAGCATCAAGTTCCTCTTCTACGACCAGCCTGAATACGATATCTTCTGGGAAACACTCCAGGAGCTCGACGTACCTCTATACCTGCACCCAGCACCGCCCGCGGGACCTCTGCATGATATTCAATATGCCCAACGTCCGTATCTGATGGGGCCGCCGGCATCATTCAGTAACGATGTCAGTCTACATTTACTCGGTATGGTGAGCAATGGCGTCTTCGACCGCTTCCCCAAAGTTCAAGTAATCCTCGGCCATCTGGGGGAGCGAATCGTCTTCGACACATGGCGCATCAACCACTGGCTTGAAGACGTGAAGAAGCCGCGTGGTCTGAATAAGACCTGCAAGAAGACCATCAGACAGTACTTCCGGGATAACATCTGGGTGTCTACCTCGGGAAATTTCTCCACTACATCGCTACAGTATGTGATAAGTATCGTTGGTGCGGATAGGGTTCTTTTTGCGGTGGATTATCCACAGGAAGCGTATGAGGATGCGTGTGGGTGGTTTGATAATGCGGAGATTAATCTGAGTGATAAGTTGAAGATTGGGAAAGAGAATGCGAAGAGGCTTTTTAGGTTGGGGAAGTATAGGGATTCGGAATCAGGTTGTGATTTTTAATTAAGACACGTTTGATGGATGGGGATGTGTATGTACATACTAAGCATTGAGGGAGGTTTGGAACATGAGATGGGATCTTTAGATGGTATAGAAATAGAACTGCTTCTCAATTTAGAGGAATGAAGATATACGTAGAAACGGAGCTCTGTTATTGACTATATGGATATTACGACTGTTTCTTTTGCGCAGCAGCTTAAGAGGAAAGCTACCTTGCGCATTTTCGTTTGAATGTGATATATGGCGTGAAGCCATAGCTGAGATTTTTTCTATTCTTATGGTAAGAGCTATGGATGAGAATTGCGGAATCAGAGGCATCGATAACCATAGCCAGGCTTTCCCTGCAACCGCCTCCATATCTGATCATTTTAAGCCTGCTGGAGTTTGTCAAGGTGATACTCACCATTATCCGGGAAGAATAGACGGATACCCAGTCACGAGCTGATTCCTTTGCATGAGAGTCTGATGCCAATGTTTGATTCGCCAATGTGTTATGGAGGGATGGAATTTCTCATTAAATTTAATAGGTATACTGCGATTAGCAATTGAATAGTCGCCAACAAAGGAAGGTTATCTTCATATCTCTATCAGTCCCGACAAATAAATCTTTGGGGCACTACTATAGTAATGCATTACAGCTCCCCCGTCTCAATACTTTAGTCCTTGGTGATCGTGTCAAGGCCTAGTGCGATCCGACACTCCTCCAAACTATTCCTTTCCATTTCTTCATACAGCAGAAACTCGTCCGATACGGTCGTTCCTAAATTCCGTTCAAAATTCTCTCGATCCGGTTTCCCTTGCCGCATAGCTGTTTCCCTCGTGTCCTTCTTCAGGTTGGATGTAAATATTCCGGCAGCGGAGACTGGTAGGAAGTCCTCGTAAGTGATGGGATCAAAATCTAGGAGACGGTCTCTTATGAGTTCCGATACGCTCCTTGGGCTGCTATCTGCGTCTTTGGCATGACCTGATCGTTCCTCTCCTCTTGAGGTAAGTTTATATCGAACGAAAATAAGCCCCTCCGACCTGAGCTGAAGCCAGTTATCTGGGTAATTCTGGAACGAGCTTCTCAGGGCTCCATCAAAGCCATCTGAATCATTCTGTGCTTGCCGATACGCTTCAGAAAGAAGCTTGTCATAAAGCTCTCGTCCCTTGCGTGTGACTGCAGCTCCGCGCTGTTCAATCTCGCCGAATCTGGCAGTGTGACTCCCATCGATCCAGGAGCTCTGTTGGTCAGAATAGAAACGGACACGCTCTTCCAGAGCTTTGAAGCTAGTCTGCCGCAGAAGGATCTCACACGTTCGCGGTGGAGGACCCTCGATCCGCTCTTTACTAGGAATTCCCCTTTCCACCATGGTCTTTTGGACGAGATCGATGTCCAGAGTCCGTGGCGTCAGATGATTAATGTGTGCACTCGGAAAAGAAGCGATGTCTGCAACTATTGGATGTTCTGCTTTCAACCGGTTGTATTCATCAATAGTGACTGTTGCAGCGGAGTGCCATTTGAAGGTCTTCAGCGCCTCGGAGAGCAGTTCGTCTGTCTCAGCTGCTGCGAGCCCATGGTTCCTCTCTGCCGTTTCGATGAGTTCAAGCAGGCGATCTGTGAAGAGTTTCCGTCTTGATAAAATGCCCCCAACCAGATTTCTGATTTCCTCCGACAAAAGGTCTTGTCTAAGAAGAGTGGTAAAAACACGGAAGGGATGCTTGTTCAGAGCTGCAGTCTCCACTGGTCGAAAAGCAGTAGCATGGAGTGGAAATCCAACGACCGTAAGGTCATAATAACCCACAGGGTACATCCCAAAGATTGCAAAAAGACGTCTAATGGTGGTAAGCTCGTATGGCGTGCCTAATCGAATCGCTCCATGTCTCTCCACTCGATGTCTCGGTGGCAGCTCGTACGGGGCCTCCGCGAGCGACGAACTTGCTCCATTTAGATGTGCTAATCGGTCTGAAACGACATTATCGTCGACCTCGTTGACAATTTCGATCAAATCTGCGTAGAGAGGAACTTCCTGTTTGTACATGTCCGATAACGCGAGACAGAAACGAGCCCTGAGAGCATCGCGGTCCCAACTAGACGCCTGCGCATCTGCCATTATGTGTCAAAGCATGTTAGATCGTTGAATGAATGATGGCAAGTTTCTCACAAGCACCCGCTCATTTATATTCAAATGACAGCCCGAGAGTAGCCGTCCTGGTTATCCGATAAGGATGACATGGCGATGCACATCCCCGCTCGCTCCAATCGGATACAGGGATAAAACATGCAGTGTGTCATGCCTTCTTCCGAAAGTCCTGGGTGATCCGACGGATCAAAGAGATGGCGTCGGATTGTCTAATTTTAGGCGATACATTGTTACTCCGGCGGATGAAGATAGGAACGATCCGATGGAAGCAATCACCGGGCTAGCTAGTGTCAGTCGACACCTGCACGGCAGCCCTTCGGCATATTTCTTGAGGTTACAAGTTAATATATTCCTATCAGTGTTTGCCTATTGTCAGGATAGTTGACTTCCGTCTGAGCTTACTATCTGTATGCCTTGTCCCTCCAACGCTCCTTTACGTATGGTGGTGCGTATGCTCAACCAACCTCAGTCAACGACTATACAGGATGGCGTCATATTACAATGACAATAAATCCAAGCAACATGTATATTACCACCGATAGTATATGAAATAATTGTACAACCTAGAACTTCGTTCTATTTCTTCACTTCCCGATCTTCATGCCAATGCAAATCCTTCCCGACGAACCGCCATTTCCATGTACAGTAATTACTTTGTCCGAGCTGTTGTCCCAGATATAAAATGGTACCATGCTTGAGAACATCGACGCTAATATGGCAGCAAGGATGCCAAAAACAGTCACATAACCTGGCTCTTGGATCCAAGAGTTCGTGCAAAAGCTGAGAAGGAACCCGAATCTGGCTTCGACTAAGATAAGTATGTGCTAGTCTCCATAAAACAAGGTCGAGGACGTTACCTTCGAAAGCAGCCTGCATTACCACCGCCTCACCTGCAATAGGTCTGTAGGAGTCGAGAATGTGAACCAGACCGATATTGTTCGACTTCACTGCGGTGAAATTGACTGATTTGTCGTCGGTAGTATAATGTATGCGAATCGCACCTCTATGTCCGACCGATACCCGATGACATACCGCGAGAAGGAGCACCTTATGGCATGATTTATGGACTCGATATGATTAAGATCTACTTATGACCACTGTAGTGATTTCATTGTTTAATATTGAGAAACCAAGACGGTCTCAAGACAAGGGTGTTATCTCATAAGATATGAAACTAGAAAGGACATCACAAGAATGTTTAGAAGGCGTCTTGAAAGAAAGATGGAGATTCCAGATAGTTGACTGTCCTTTCTATGCGCACGTAGTTCATTGTTGGCTTTCTCTAGTATAGAACAATCCCCGTCAGGTAAAATTACCCCGCATAGATAGAGAGCCGAGGATTTGCAGGTAGTCGTGCCTGCAGCCTGCAGTCGCGTTCCACTCCTCTTCTGCATGTTTATCCATTTTAGGAATTGCTAAGTTGCTAATAAATACTCTGTAGATAAATACGTTACTCTGGTTGACCATCTGGGCATTCTAAGACTTTGATACTCATTGGGGCTGCTAAAGTTAGTTCAGGGTAAGGAATGGTGTTAGGGCCAACCCGTCTGAAGTCTGCTGGCGTTGACGGTACTTATACGCAGAGTCCCTTTGTATGCTTCTTTGAAACGAGTATTATAGCTAGTCCTGCTAGGCCATTCTTTCTTCGACTGCAATATGGGTTGTCCAGTAATAATATATAATATATGATATGAATATACGCAAATAAGGCTGACAGACGGTAACAATACAGTAACTAATAATACCACTCGGTCACCCGCGCCTGTCACGCTCTCTCTCCGCCACTGACATCTTCTTCCACAACCTTCAGCTTTCTGGCTGACAGAACTACTCTACTCTGCCATACCGATCTCATCCTCTTATGAGTGTACGTCCCCTCATATCTACTGTGAGCATCCTATCCTTCAAGTCAAGCCACTGTCTCTGTCCTGATGGTATTTATCTGAGTCGGTTTCTCTGCCTACTGACATCATCCAGCGACAGGCACCGGCTAACTAACCACTGGCTCTCTCCCGTACCCGGTGCACTTGTCCCACTATCGTCTAAGAGCCGTCGTTCTCTCACTTACCGCTCCACATCTCCTGCCTATCATCAGAAGGCGAACTCAGGCGGTAGAATTCCGGAATTCAGGAGTCACCATCGATGGTCGTTCCTCTCGTTCGCGACGCCCTTCGTTGCCCTCGTTCTTCTTAAGAGTATTTATCAGCCGTCTCGGCCCGCCTCCCGAAGTCTCCAGAAGACCTGACCTAATCTTACCAATCTCGATCCGCTTTAGGCCAAAGTTTGACGCAGTGCAGACCTTAGTTTAGAAGTGGCGGGACTTGCCTGGACGATCGATCACTTAGGTGCCTCCGCTATCGTGAACGTCAACCAACACCTATTCCCCTGATAGAAACGGCGAGTAGGAGCCTCCCCAGTGAGCTTTACTCGTCCTCCGGACCTCTTATTCCAGACCGGGATCATCCTTGGTGAGCTGTGACTTGTGTGTTGCTTGGGGGAAAGAAGGTCTCGACATCCGTCTCGAGGTCTTCCTTTTCCGATTCAGCACATATCGGCCATCTTGCCACGGTCCCCCAACAGCCGTCACCACGCCTCCCCAAACGAGGAAGAGGAAGGCGCTCGAGGCGGCGATCGAGGAGAACGAGGTCAGCGCCGCCGCCCCTACTGCGGAGGCATCACGAAACACTGCGGGGCAGCGGTCGTCTAGCAAGCTACGTCGCACAAGCAACGCGGAGGACAAGGATAAGGGATCGATTTCCACAGCGGGTTCAGGGGACAACTTCCCGGTCTCACTGAGGCAGAGGGTGTCGGATCTTGCCACGCCCGCAACCACCGCCGGCAGCATGGATTCGGACGATGATTTCATGAGCGATGCGTCGAGCCAGGGTTTCTTGGATACTCAGGGTAGCGATGATGAGAGTTTGGGTGATGGTAAGCTTGAGATCCCCCATTTAGTTCCGGTGGGGCTGCATGCCGGTTACAGAATACTTGCTGACGGCTGATTGCCTTTACAGATTTCGGAGACGACTTCGACGGAGGGTTTTCGAACGATAAGGACATTGTGAAGGAGTTAAAGAAGCCTTACGAGGTCGACTTCAGGGTTCTAAGTCCGGAAGATATCGAGGCGGAGCAGAATGTGCAGATCAACGAGGTTTCGGCCATACTAGGACTGCCTCCAGAGTCTTCTGCGATCCTGCTGCGATATGCCAGGTGGAACCGGGAGAAGTTGATAGAGAACTACATGGATCATCCGGAGGAGATCCTTGAGGAGGCAGGACTGGGCACAGTATCCGAGAGCACGCCTAAGGCGCAAGTCATCCCAGGCTTTATGTGCCAGATCTGTTGCGAGGACGGTGACGACCTTGAAACCTACGCGATGCGATGCGGGCATCGGTTCTGTGTCGACTGCTACCGGCAGTATCTAGCACAGAAGATCAAAGAGGAGGGCGAGGCTGCAAGGATTGAGTGTCCACAAGATAACTGCCATCGTATTGTGGATTCAAAGTCTTTGGGCTTTCTTGTTACAGATGATCTCAAGGATCGGTATGTTTTTTCTTCGCAACTATCGGACGATAATGATGTGACGCTAACTTCCTTATCACAGATACCAGACTCTGCTCACTCGAACATACGTCGATGACAAAGAGAACCTGAAATGGTGTCCTGCACCTAACTGCGAGTACGCGATTGATTGTCCTGTCAAGTCAAGAGATCTCAATAAGGTTGTCCCAACGGTACATTGTGCATGCAGGCATAGCTTCTGTTTCGGCTGCACTCTCAGTGATCACCAGCCGCCGCCTTGCTCTCTGGTCAAAATGTGGCTTAAGAAGTGCGAGGATGACTCAGAGACGGCAAACTGGATCTCAGCCAACACAAAAGAGTGCCCGAGATGCCACTCGACTATCGAGAAGAACGGGGGATGCAATCACATGACATGTCGAAAGTGTAAGCACGAGTTCTGTTGGATGTGCATGGGTCTCTGGTCCGAGCATGGAACCAGCTGGTACAATTGTAATCGGTATGAGGAGAAGTCCGGGTCCGAAGCTCGCGATGCGCAAGCCAGATCAAGACAATCCTTGGAGCGATACCTCCATTACTACAACCGATATGCGAATCACGAGCAATCCGCCAAGCTCGATAAGGATCTTTACCTCAAGACGGAGAAGAAGATGACGAGTCTACAGTCGCAGTCGGGAATGTCCTGGATCGAGGTACAGTTTCTGGACACAGCGTCGCAGGCGCTCCAGCAGTGCCGACAGACGCTGAAGTGGACGTATGCTTTTGCTTACTATCTTGCACGAAACAACCTCACGGAGATCTTCGAAGATAACCAGAAGGATCTGGAGCTGGCAGTCGAAAGTCTGAGTGAGATGTTCGAGAAGCCTGTTCCGGAGCTTGCCTCTTTGAAAGTCGATATTCTCGATAAGACGGCGTACTGCCAGAAGCGGAGAGTGATTCTCCTTAGTGATACTGCAGAGAACCTGAAGCATGGTAAGTGTTGTGCCCGTTTACTCATCTTGTCGCGCATGTGGCGAATGCTAACTTCTTTCCAGGCGAATGGACATTTAATGTGCCACTGTGACGGTACCGGGTTTTACAGTTCCCGTTGCCCAGGATACTCTGCAATGACATTTAAGACATGTCTGGTTTTTATCCGACCGTGTCACAATCAATATACTATGTGACACATTACAATGTCAGTCTTACTGACCGACGACGACGCCATGACTACACTGCAAATGATTGATCTTTGTACCAGCCTAGGCATAGCAAGGGCGTGACTCAGACTTGACGGCTGATCTACCAGCGAGGCCTGTGCATCATCAGCCTCCACTCTTGAGTATGTTCTCTCAGTTAACATGGTCCCGTCTACCAGCTCTCCTTTGTTTCTCCCGTGTCTTCATGCTTATAACTTTTTTCATTTCTACCTTTTTCCTTTTTTTCTGTGCATGTCCATACAGGGACCCATGTCTGTGACTACACCTACCGCCTACCACAGCTTATCCTATAGTATAAGTATGATATGGGTCATCTTCACGCCCTGTACTGTATCCAGGTCATTTATCGGGTTCGAATCGAGAGCATATTCAATCAGCGGAGTTTTCTTCTAGCAAGCTAAACCGTTTCTTCTTCTCTTTCTGACCGGACTGTACATGAATGGCCACATAGATAGCATAAGAAACCTAGATCATAATCTTGGCATGCGAACGGATATCTGCACTGTTGTCACTCTCGCCACCGTAGCTAATAATAACTGAAGTACTACATAGCCCCAAGTATGATAGGAATAATAACAATAATATCAGACTATCACTGCAGCAGTTTCAAAGTCAAACCTAACTCTAATCCCACTTCAGCAGAACGCCACATAAACCATGCATATTGCTAGCAGATTGTTATGCTCGGGACGGAAGCCCGAGACGGCCGGCATTTTGCCAGACTCGGAGGAAGTACGGGCCCAGTGAGGACAAGGCTCGGGTTCGCGCGGTTCTTTTTTTTTTATGGGTCTAGAAGGGAATCCATTTGGTAACCAGTGCATTCCTTGTTCCTTTTTCGCTTGTCTTTTCTTTTTTGTGGTACTTTGCTTATTGGGATGAATCATGATTTGTGTGTAAAGGTGTTTATTCATAGTTGTTTCTGCGTTTTTATATGATATTGAATTTTAAGTTCTCCTGAGGAAAGAAAGAAAAGAAGTTAGCTGAGAGAATGCCGAGAATGCACCAAACGCAAAACAAAAAAAAAAAAAAAAAACCTGGGGAGCGTCCGTGGAGCTTCCGTGGCTTGACTGATCTGATAAGAAAAGAAAGGGAAGGCTTCTAGCGCTTCCAATAGTCCAGTCTCCTGGCTTCTAGGTAAAACCCTGTTGTGTATAATCGAGTCCGCTTGTCCATCCGCGCAAAGGTACTGATGCGCCGCGAATATCGGCTTTTTCTCTCTGTGGATGACTTTCTCCGCGATCTCCGAAGAGCAACTACAACGCCTGTGACGGCAAGGTAGCCCCGTTTCTTTTCATTTTTTTTTTCTTGTCTGCATTGTTTGCTCAGATCATCTAGATCAAACACAAAGTATGTAGCTAAGACATGACATCCGCCAGAAAGATGCATGAAAGCCTGCACGACAAGTCTATAACGCACCTTTCATTACCATCCGCATTAGCCCGGACAGTGATAATGAATGAGATCTCGCAGGCAAGGGGAGATTCCTCCGTCATCGGACATCTGCGAGACAAGAAGCAGTGATCTGATGGGGTAGTTAGCTAGTCTGGGTTTAGGCGAACTGCTGCTCCGGGTCTCCGCAGAAACATGAATATGCCAGATGGCCGTCTAGCGTAGAAAAAAAGAAGAAGATGTCTCAACGGCAAAGGCTGTAGAACTACATCGTGCCATTGCGCATTCTCCTGGTGTATCTGAACCCAGAGCATCTCTTGGTTAGAAAGGGTCCGCGAGACAGATAGGAAGAGATCAGGTCTGAGCGTCTCGGCGTCTTTGCTGCCAGACCCCGTCATAATTTTCCCATAGGCCGCCCCAGCAGGTGCCGAGCACGCAGACAGAGGAATAATACTTCCGCCAGCAATTCCTCTCTTCTCATAGCTCCGGCGGTTGACTCACAATCTTCAGTCTATCCTCTCAACTCTCCCCTCCTTCCTTTTTATTCTTCCTGCTTGTCCTGTCCTTCCGTGCGGCGACATACGTGGACCCGGGAACTGCGCTCTTCTGCTCCTCAGCTCGACTCCGGTTGCGACCAGTATTCCCCTAGCGTTTCCTGTACAGCGCCGGCTGCGCCGTGAGCTATAGCAGCTCGAATGGCGTCTCCCGACAAGGTCCCGGGTGAAGAATATGAGTACGTCTGAACCGGATTGATGCGACTTGAGCTTCCGCCCGGTCCTTTTTTTCTCGCGGACGGCCTGAGCTCGGGGAACAAAAAGAAAAGTTGGCTAACACCGAGGCATGTTTATAGCTATGAAGCTCTCCCCGCACACTATGGCTTGGGTCACAACATGTTAGCTGGCGCTTTCGCCGGTATTGCAGTATGTCCATGATTTCGGCCGGTCTTGGAGAAACCGGTTGCTCGACAGACAGCTGACTAGAAGCGAAGGAACACTCTGTGATGTACCCGGTTGATTTGCTCAAGGTACGTTGAAAAGACCCTGTTTCTCCGACCATCAGGGAATATATATTCGCATGAAATGAGAAGAACTGCAGCTGATTGAGATCCTGTGTCAAAACGTAGACCCGGATGCAGATTATCAACCCCGGAGGCGCGAATCTGTACACAGGCTTGACGAATGCCGTGTCGACCATCTACCGCATCGAAGGCTGGCGCACCCTGTGGAAGGGTGTCTCGAGTGTGATTGTTGGTGCTGGTATGAAATGCGCGTGGAAAAAGACTGTCTGCGGCAGGATACTGATGTCTTGGATCAGGCCCGGCTCATGCCGTTTATTTCGGCACGTACGAACTTGTCAAGGAATTTGCGGGTGGAAATGTTGATGACGGACATCACCCGATGGCAGCAGGTGTGTTTTTACACTTAGTCCCTACTGGGAAAAGTTTGGATGGACGTGGCGGACACAATGGAAGGGACGATGCTGACAGGTGAACTCTTATACAGCCCTGAGCGGAGCTTCTGCGACCATCGCCAGTGATGCGCTCATGAATCCTTTTGACGGTTCGTATTGATACGGGTTTGATGGGAAAGTCTTGTTGCTAATCTCGAACAGTCATCAAACAGCGCATGCAGGTTCATGGATCCCAACACAAGACCATTATGCAGTGCGCAAAGTCGGTCTATCGCGCTGAAGGCCTCCAGGCCTTCTATGTCTCCTACCCTACGACACTCTGTATGACGATTCCTTTCACGGCTACTCAGTTCGTAGCGTACGAATCTATCTCGAAGTTCATGAATCCCAAGAAGGAGTACGACCCGTTTACCCACTGCATTGCGGGTGGTCTGGCTGGTGCTTTCGCAGCAGGAATTACTACGCCTCTTGACGTTGTCAAGACTCTCCTTCAGACTCGTGGTCTCGCGCAGGATCAGGAGATCCGTTCGGCCAAAGGCTTGCTCAATGCAGCCTCTATAATCAAGCGACAGTATGGTTGGAAGGGCTTCCTGCGCGGAATGCGTCCTCGTATTATCTCGACTATGCCCAGCACTGCCATTTGCTGGTATGTATTTCTTAATGCGGACATATTTCTGCTCCCTTGCTAACTCAACTGATAGGACTTCCTACGAGATGGCGAAGGCATACTTCAAGAAGCAGTTTGCTGACAGCTGAGAGAGCTTCTCCATATGCTTTCTTGTCACGTCCTCCTCCTACGAACCATCTTTTCTTGGTCTTGGAATACCTCATTCTAATGATAAAGGCCTGAAACTTCCATGTCTCAGGTGCATGGTACACGAGATGTTTTCTCTCTAGATTTTCTTCTGGGTCCATGGCGTCATGATGGTTTTTTTTCGTGTTTTCACACTCTGGCGTGATCGTTTTGAGATACCCGGTCACTAATGATCGTGGAAGCCTGACAGGGCCGTCGAAGCAGGAATCATCCCTGGCTTGTCTCATTTACTTCGCTTCTGGCTCTGTATACTTTTGAAATATTTTGGGGGCGGGTTTCGTTTCAGCTTTAGATTCCAAGGATCGTGTTGAGCGTCATCCGTCTCCGGGGGCCTTCTGCGGAGCGTCTGTCGATTCTGATATCGGCGTTCGAACGCATGGGATTCCCGGAGTACGGCGACTGTTCTCGAGGGGCTTTCAGCTCTTTCATGATTCCAATCATGTTTCCTTTCAACCAGATGTACTCATAGATGCCATAGCAATTGGCCCGGATACTCCCAAAAGAGCTGTCATGAAACCGGAACAAAACCACCTGGGGAAGAAAAATAAGACGTCTAATTCCACTCTGATCACCCACAAAGTAATTAACTATTTTTCACATCTTCAACGGACGTGCGCTTTATATACGACCAGGACAGGGCCACTATATGCATGCATCTACAAGGTGTTTCCTCTGGAGCACGGTGCTAGTAGCAGGTGCAGCAATAGACCTCAGGCAATGCCCTCTGCTGCCAGAATGTATTCTGTCACCAACAGTCTGTTCGGTTTCCCACAGACGACGGGGCAACGAAGCTTTACGAAAGGGACCAGCCGCAATAAGTAAAGCATGCGCTATCTCTCTCTCTCTTCACGTCACCAACTTCAGACTCCCCCGCAACGAGACGCCACGCCTGGCTGGGACCGTTATTCTTCTTCGTACTTGATGACCAGAGACTGAATATAATGTTCCTTTGTAGATATTTATCTACTCAGTGTGCCGAGTTCATTCGAATCTCATTCTGGCTCTCTCGCTGTTCTGTTTTGCCGCAAGCGGGACTCGCTCTTCCCCTCGACAGCCAACGACGTCACGGATCAACCGACAAGCGCCCGCTTTCTCCAACTCTCTGTTCAGCACCGTCCTTGAATCAACACCTTCGCCCTGTTAATTGGGAATCGAAGTTATACGATCGCATGGCGGATAGAGGCCTGCGATTCCGTTGCGTTCATGATGCGCTCAAAGCCCTCGTCTTCCATGCAGAAGACGTACGATGAGTGCTATCTGATCTGCTCCACCGCTGTCTACTTTGAAGGACAGGTGAGTTATCCCACGTTTTTAGTTCTTCTTCCTTGCTTTTTTTTTCATTTATTCGCTACTCCTTATCTTCATCATGAGGAACAAATGAAAGATTTTGTGACTGAGATTTTTTTTATGGGTCGTACCATAGAATAATGAAGCAGAGGCTCTACGATCATGGCGCTCCGCGCTCGAGACGATCTATTACCACAACGCATATCGAGTCCCTCATAACTACGTCCCCAAAACGGAGACAGAGAAAGCGCTGCAGGAGTCGATTCGTCAGCTGGAAATGCAATGTAAAGAACGGGTGCAGCTGCTAGAGGCGCTACAGCAGAGCAGAAAAGAGGCGGAGCAGGCCTCTGGTCAGGCTACTCCTAAGGGGAGACTAGAGAAAGGAAAAGGTCCGTCGACTGGATCGAGCGCGAACACTACCCCCGGCTGGATCGGGGATGGCACCATACCGGCTGTGGACTATATGGATTTGTCGAGACCTGTGCCGTTGCCACCGAGGCCGACGGCGGCTTCGAAGAAGAGTTCGGACTCTGTCTTTCAGAAGCGCAGTGATAAGAAAGGCTCTCCGGCCAGAGACATCTCGAATGCGATCTCTGCTCCGCCCGTATTACCAGTTCCAAAGGTCTCGCCCACGGTGACGCCTCGCGGGACCAGTCCGGAGAAGCGCAAAGGAATGCTCACGACATTGAGGACGAAGGATAACAAGAAGTCTTCGTCCAAGTCCAAAGGCTCTCCAGGGCGTAATGGAAATCCACCGGCTGCTTCCAAAGCTGCGGGGCTTGCTTGGGGCAGCCTCTCCCATACGTCTTCTTCAGAGCGGAATCCCAGTGCTGGGGAGGCAGCATTGACATCCTCCAGACTTAGCATGTCAAGCGACGGCGGCCTGAGGAGAGATCAGGATGTGAAAAGCACACCAAGCGACGAATCTCCCAGACCGAGCAGAGCGCATGATCTATCTGACTCCATTCCTAGCTTGAGTCGGCGAGAACCACAGCACGCAGAGCAATCACCAAGACGGACATCAGCTGCCACGCAGGCTGTGTACTCTTCAAGTGCTGGACGGTCTTTGCCGGAGACTCCTGGTCCTCCTTCTCCTGCAAGACTGCCCGACACAGCGTCTTCGCAAAAGCCGGTCATAAAGCCCAAACCCACAGCATTGAGGTCTTCGGTGGAAGCCAGCCGACCCCAGGCTTACAGAAAGCAAAGCTCGCAGTCACAACCGTCACTGTCGCCTGCTGAGGATCTGGCCGGGGTCAGAAATTCGCAGACCAAATCGGCTCCAGGAATTAAACCGAGCGACCAACCTTACATGTCGAACTTGTCAGGAAGTGGCGACGAAGGTATCCGGCGCTCTGCCAGGAAGACAGAGCTCAGCAGAGCCAATGCAGTCTCGCAGCCTCGGCGAAAGGTTCATTCGACTCCCCGGCAAAGGATCACCCCATCGTCGAGCGAGCACGAGTCATCTGATGGGAACCTGTCGGCTGACGAGGACACAAATATCATGAATATCATGAAACGCCTCCCGAAGGGAGTCGATCCCGCCACTGCGAGACAAATTCTCAACGATATTGTTGTTCGGGGTGATGAGGTCCACTGGGATGATGTCGCAGGGTTGGAGGTAGCGAAAAAGGCTCTCAAGGAGGCTGTGGTTTATCCATTCCTACGTCCGGACCTGTTCTCAGGGCTCCGTGAGCCTGCAAGAGGAGTGCTTCTATTTGGGCCTCCGGGGACGGGAAAGACAATGCTTGCGAGAGCAGTGGCTACAGAATCCAAGTCAACGTTCTTCTCCGTGTCGGCGTCTAGTCTAACGTCCAAGTGGCATGGTGAGAGCGAGAAGCTCGTGCGAGCGTTGTTTGGCCTTGCGAAAGCGCTGGCTCCGTCTATTATTTTTGTAGATGAGATCGACTCTTTGCTTTCGTCGCGCTCGTCTGGCACGGAAAACGAAGCTTCACGGAGGTCAAAGACGGAATTCCTCATCCAGTGGTCAGATCTGCAGCGTGCTGCAGTTGGGAGAGAAAGCAAAGATGGAGACGCCAGCAGAGTGCTCGTTCTGGCCGCCACGAACATGCCATGGGATATCGACGAGGCCGCTCGCCGGAGATTCGTCCGTAGACAGTACATTCCTCTTCCCGAGCACGACGTACGAGAACAGCAGATCCGCAAGTTGCTCAGCCATCAGAAGCATGAACTGTCGGACGCGGATATTGAAGTTCTCGTGCGCGTTACCGAAGGTGAGTTTATTATCTTGACGTATCATATGTGAAATTTCTCTAGTACTCACATCATATCCAGGCTTCTCGGGGTCGGACATTACTGCGCTGGCCAAAGACGCCGCCATGGGCCCTCTGCGCAACTTGGGAGAGGACCTTCTTCATACTCCTATGGAGCAGATCCGGCCCATCCGCTTCAGCGACTTCGAGGCCAGTCTATACTCCATCAGACCCAGTGTCAGTCGAGAGGGTCTTCAGGAGTACGAAAACTGGGCGAGACAGTTTGGTGAAAGGGGCGGTTAGATCTGGCATCTTTCTCCTGCTCTTGTATTACCTTACGTCGCATCTATGAGCGGTCTTTTTCTTCGTGTCATATTTCAATAACACATGACGGGCGGTCGAGTCGCTGTCTGATGAAAAGAAAACGGTTATGATTCGATACCTTAATAAGTCCTGGGGGGACGCCGGTCGGGTGTCTCTTTTCATCCAATTTCTTGGTGGTATACGTGGTCCTTACTTGAACACAATTTCGGGTGTATCATATCTATCAGTCTCTTTCTACATGTCAGGGAGTAGATTTATTGTTTGGTGTTTGGAGTTAGATAGGATAGGTTTTAGCGATTATTTCTGTCTTTTATCCTCCAACGGTCTATTAAGCTCTGAGTGAGTAGTAACTTAGTCTTTGTATGCAATTTTCTATAGAAAAGACAAAACGAGACGATGTATAAAAAATAATAATAGATAATGTACAGTACATGTTTCTCTTTCCACTCCATCACTCTATCGTACGAATCATTCATAGATCCGATCCTTTCTTTCTTTCTTTCTCTGGAGGAGTGAAGAGAACAGAATAGTTCGAGCAGGAGTAGGTAGTAGTAATATCACACGGGTAGACTTGAGGGGAAAAGAAGCAGAGAGAAAATAGATAGCCTGGTCTCCCATATTTCACAGAACAGAACAGAATTTGAAAACATCAATCTCAATCTCAATCAAATCACACCCGTTCAGTTCATGGTTTGATATTGGATTGAATTCGATTGAGTGTTTTTTTTTTTTTTTTTCAATTCAAATCAATTCAAACCCCAACCCTCTCCAAAATCAACCCCCTAATCCTACCCACATGATCCTTCCTCTCATCAACAACCCCAACCTGACCATCACCACTCGCAGCTCTCCTCCTCTCCTCTCTCCTCTTGACCTTCTCCTCCCTCTTCCTCGCCCTCTCCTCCTCTCTCTCCTCCCGACTCATCACCGCCGGTCGCTCTTCCACTGGCGTCCCGAACGGCGCCACGATCCGCTCCACAACATGTCTCACGCGCCGGCTCTTCGGAGCCCCGGATGAGAATTCAATCACGTCTCCTTCGCGGAGGGAGTTGCGCGGGTCGGAGACGAGATAGGTGGTTGTTTTCGGGTAGGTTTTGCGGATGAGCCGGTCGTAGGTCGTGTGGTGGTGGGCGACGCGGACGGTGCGGTTCATTAATCCGACGGATATCACGGTGCCGGTGCGGATGGTGTAGGGGTAGTTGCGGAGGGAGGGGGGAGGGGGGATGGTTGGTGATGGGGGTTGTTGAGAGGAAGAGGAAGAGGAAGGTGGTGGTTGTTGTTGGTGTTGGTGTTGGTCTGAAGATGGTGATGTGGTTGTTGTGGTTGAGGCATATCGGCGAGAAGTAGATAGAATGCTGCTTGGGCCTGCGTATCGAAGAATAGATAGCGAGGAAGAAGAAGAAGAAGAAGAGCGAAGGGGCATCGTGGCCCGGAGGAGAGTGCTAGGTTGCATTGTGTCGATTTCTCCCGCGGAGCGTTATAGCGAAGTTGGATTATGCGCGGGATCGGGATTGGAGTATTTCTCCCTTGCTCTTCGTGAGGTAAAAGTAATGCAATTGCAATCTGCAGCAAGACTATGCCGACACTCTGCTTGGTTTGCTGCTTCTCTGGCCCCGAAAATCTGCCGCGGAGGATTGTGTTGATCAAAGTCAACGACCAATGGACCCTGTCGTATAGATAGAATCTCACACACCAGTGCAGACCGATGTTGTACCACACTGGGAACAAGGGCACAACAAAATGTCGCGGTCGGTCCTTGGAGACTGGTAGGTAGGTTGGCGTCGATGGACTGGACTGGCGATCTCAGAATTTCTCGCCGGAGAAGTTGCAAGTTGCGTGTTTGCATTGTTTGTTCGCCGGGAACCCGACTGTCAGTAGGAGACTATGAGTATAGTTAAATACTCTTTTAACAATTACTGTACGACGAAACACATCCATTTCAAAGCATAAATATTTATTTGGCAGGAATTAGCTTGTTACCACCATCCGTGAGGACCACCTCTATCTGGTGAGCATCATAGTCCTGTCCTTTCGTTGCCAGTCATATCCCGAAATAATCCTAATATACACATAAAACAATAATCCCATCCATCCATCCGATTAATACCAACCACCTATTGCCAAACCTCATGTGAAATGCACTGCGGAGGCGCTTTTCTTTTTTTGATGGGAAACAACAAAAAAAAAAACATGTCATGATATTACGTCGGAGCTGTAGAGTAGAGACGGAACAAGGTAGGAAAAGCCAACGGTAGAACAACTCCACCCACGCCGTGTACGCGACCATACCAACACCGTTCTCGTGTATTCATTGAAGTTTGTACCTTTTCTAGACCATGCAAATTCACTACGCGTCTTGAGCCACAGAGGTTCCATTCGCCTGCGATTCGGATCCTGCGGGCAGCGCTACGGACGCCTTTCTCAGGTGAAACTTCTTCTCCGCCTGCGCGGAAATGCGAGTCAACTCAGCGACGAACGACTGGCCCCAGAAAGCGCTATCAGGTGTTAGTCTCGGTAGTAATCTCAGAAAAGGAAGAAGAACATCTTACCTGGTATATTTCGACACATACTTGTCGAGTTTCGAGAAGTTGAGCGCCTTCTGCTCGTCACTCATCGTGACCGCCTCCTGGTAGGCGCCGGCCAGTTCTTCCGTGTTCCAAGGATTGACAATGATGCTGCCGTTGAGACTCTGGGCGGCTCCTGCAAATTCCGAAAGAACCAAGACTCCGTGCTTCTTCTGCTGCGACGCAATGTACTCATATGCCACCAGGTTCATGCCGTCTCTGGTGGACGACACAATACAGGCGTCCGACACGGCATACAGCGCGAGCAGCTCGTCGAAGTTGACGGACTTGTGGAGGAAGTGGATGGGCATAAACTCAACCGTGCCTAGCATGGTCCCAGGATTAGTTCACGATCGTCGTCTTCGCGCAGGCCACTGAACTTACCGAACTTGCCGTTGATCCGGCCAACGAGTTCGTTGACCACCGCTCTCAGGTTCTGGTATTCCTCCACATCCTGACGACTAGGAACAGCCACCTGCACGAGGACCACCTTGCCCACCCATTCCGGGTGATCACTGAGAAACACCTCCAGAGCATGGAGTTTCTGCGGAACACCCTTGATGTAATCCAGACGATCCACACCCACCATCAGCTTCACCCCCTGGAATTTCTGTTCCAGCATGGCAATCCGCTTCTGCACCTTTTCCTTCTTCAAACCCTCCTTGAACTTATCCGGGTCGATACCGATCGGGAAAGCACCGCAGGCGATAATCTTCCCTTGGAATTCGATACCATTGGGCGTCGTAGTCAAACCCCTATCCACTTTCGTCAGCTTCTTCTGTTCTCACTTCTTTCCGATTTTTGTTCCAGAAATATCCTCACAGTAATCGCGAGCAGCTGCTCAGGAAATGTCGCGTGTAGTCGTAGGTATGGAAACCGATGAGGTCGCAGTGCAGGACACCGAGCAGCAGCTCGTTTCGCACGGGCAGAATCCGATAGATCTCGCTGGAGGGGAACGGAGTGTGCAAGAAGAAGCCGATCTTGACGTTCTCTTTGCTATTCCCGATCTCCTCGCGGAGCATCTCCGGCAGAAGCATCAGATGGTAATCATGCACCCAGATCAAGTCTCCGTCGCGAACTTCCGAGGCCACTGCCTTGGCGAACAACCGATTTGCTTCCTTGTAGGCCTCCCAGGCGGACTCGTCGAAGGTGATTTCACCGGGATGGTAGTGAAATAGCGGCCACAGGATCGAGTCTAGAATAAAGAAAAAAGGCAAGAAGTTGCAGCCAGTCAGCCCACCAGCAAACCAATCGCATATATATAGAAAGATGGAAATCTCTTTTGTGTTGTTCGAACAGAGAAGAAGGGCGCGCGGAGGAACTAACTAGAGAAACCATTGTAGTGCCGGTCGGCCAGTTCATCATCGATAAATACGGGGATGGCTCCGTACTCGTCCAGCAGACGCTTCTTCACATGGGGGATCTCCTCTTCGGGCACCTCCAGGCCAGGCCATCCGTACCATTGAAAGGTTGTCGATTTGGACAGTCCGCTCAGCCCACTCACCAGACCACCAGAGGACATGGAAAAGTCATATTTGCCGTCATCCGACCGCTTGATGGTGATGGGCAATCGATTGGAGACGAGCAGCAACCTCGCATCACTCTTTGTCGGACTCTCGAGCGAGGGCATGATGGCGGGTACGGCGTGTGGGGACGCTCAGCGAATTTAGTTATAGCGTCACCAAGTCCAACTGGAGGTAAGTAGAAGAGCCAGTTGCACGACCAGAGAGGACGGTCCCAGAAGGCGAAAGAGAGAGAGAAAAAGAAAAATTCACAAGAAGAGGATGGTGAACAACGCGATGGATCGATAGATTAAGGTCAGAATTAAAGTCGAGCAGTAATGACGCTATCGGAGGAGACCGTTTTGCCGCCAACACGGAAAAACAAGGACGTGGGCGCGCCAGAGTGGGATGTGGGCGGGGGGGAAGATGTGATGAGCTGGTCTGTGTGTCTTATTTAGCTGGAGCAGAAGGGCTAGAATGGAATGCAGAGGAATACGAACGATGAGCGTCACGTCCTGCTGTTGTCAGTTAACTCATTCCAAAAAGTTGCCTCCAAAACGTCGAAGGCTTACCGTTAGTTGGTATCGAATTCCAGCTTGGAAATTGCAGCAGCAAGAGAGGGCGGCGACAGGGCTGCGATGACCTCAGGTTCCGAGAGCGATAATAATAATAATAATAATTGATGAATATTCCTCCTCCGTCAGTCAGTCACTAGAGCAGAATGCTAGCAGCAACTAATTAATTAATTAAATAATTAATGAATACTGCTAGCAACTGACAATCCACCCGGAACAAAGAAAAGGCAGCGTGGATCACAACGGACGCTGGTTGGCTGGAAGCACGTGGCGGGAGCAGCAGCGACGACGGGCGAGTTCCTCAATAGCGACGGCATGGAATTGAGGAATTCACAGGATGGTTGATATCAAGATCGATCACTCCCTGGTGGAGGGGAAGTGGAGCAGCAGGTTATATACGGATGCTCAACCAGGTGGTGTGAGCTCGAGGGAGAGTTCCCAGCCAGTCAGTCAATCAGTCAGTCTGTCAGTCAGTCAGTGACCCTGGAGTCGATGATGATGTTACCCGAAACGAAATGAGGGGGAAAAAAGACAGAATGAACCTTGAAGTATTACGCCAAGCACGAGGGAAATAATAACCAGACTCAGATTATTATTAGTAGCGCGTGGTATCAAGGAATAATAATAATAATAATAATAACTAGGAATTAACTAGATGAGTCTTTTTCTTTTTTGGCTTTGGCTTTCTGATCCTTGTCCCACCTCGGAGTAGAAAGAGCGGGGATGGACGATACAATCTTACTCTAGAGTACAGTAGTGGTGACGACGCCTGGACGAGGCTCTCGATTATCGCTCTACTATCAGTACTTACTTGCTATAATCTCTACCCTATCGGATCCTATCCTATACTTACTGCATCGTACTTAAGAGTATTCAATGATATTGACTATATAGCATAGCTGACGTTTACTATCCTGAAAACAGACCATCTACCATGATACTCGACGACAACCTGACGTCGAACCCCAACCAAAGGAGGGGCAGCCCTAAGCCCTAAACTCAACCGCCTAAATGGGGTCACGGCAGTCTAGACCGCCCCGGGACTGCAGCGCATGCAAAGCAGATGCAACAGATGATATTAGCCAGTCATCCATCCCTCCCTTCACCACGTTCTAGATCGACAGGATACAGAGTATCATCATCTTTACTGCATCGGATCTCCGGCGGGCAAGAACGTCAAGAGAAACATGTGATTTCCCCAAAGGCAGGGTCTTAAATCAGGAATCGAAGAAAGGATATCAAAGAAAGAAAGGAGAGAGATCGGGCATCAGAGATGACGGATGGATGCCAGAACACGGCCTTTTGTGTCTTCTCTCTCTTTGTTCGGGTTATCAGCAAAGCAGGAAAAACCACGCAAGTGAGGGACCGGGTGGGCTACCACGTTTGCCCCGGGCGTATCTTCGTTAAGACCCTATCAGATATTCAATGCAGGGGAAATTGGTGAGCCGGTGCAGATTACTCCGTATGAACCTAGTAGTTAGTCCCGCTTACTGGCTAGTAGTAAACATGGAAGAACCAGAGGGGGAACGTGTTATCAATCTGCGGGGGAAAACACAGGTCATAATAAGAAGAAAGTTATCCGCACCACTGGGGTAAAAAAGGGTAATAATAATATGTACTTATCGGGTATCACGCTATATAGTACTTTCACAATAGACTTTCCTATTCAGTTCCATTCCAGGCAAAAAAAAAAGGATAATCTTAATATTAATAATATCACGCAATCCGTATCACAGTCATATTCATACTAGTCTTCAATGTAGCATGATCATACGCACAGACAGCCTTCAAAGAGCCGGCCGGCCATTATTGCTCAGACTCCATCCCCCCGACTCCGCATGATGCTCGACTTTACCCTCATTCTCCAGTTTCAGCAGAATCTGCTGCACCCCATGCGACGCCGGCACATGCAGGCTTTCCGGGACATCCCGATAGATCACCCTGACCAACTCGAGCGGAGTCCACGACGCTTGAGATGTGCTCGACTCCGTCGCATCCGCCTCCACGGACCCGGTCCGGAGCACCCGCAGGACTTCCTCCTCGCGCTGCTGTCGATGTCGGATGTAGTCGGTGATCTTGGTGCTGGCCTTTTCGATCACGGCACCGTGTCCAGGGTACGCCCGTCCCGAGACACGGTTCTGCATCTTGTGTAAACTGGCAAGATAGACCTTTAGGTCCTCAAAGACCGCAGTGCCATGGCCCAGAACATCTAGAACACACATGTGTTAGAAACTCCCAATTGAAACCAATGATATACTAGGAGTGATGAAATCCACCCACTATCTCCACTAAAGATGGCATCCTCCTCTTCCAGGATAAACGCCATATGATCCACCGTATGTCCTGGAGTATGAAAAGCTCTCACAGTCGCTCCCTCGACCTGGAAGACCTGACCGTCTTCGATGTCGGTCTGTCCTTCGTCCGGCTGGTGCTTGTACACCGTGGCTTGTGGACAGATCTTCAGAAGATCCGGAATACCCTTGACATGATCATGATGCCAATGCGTGATGAGGGCCTTTTGCACCGTCGCCTTCTCCTCCAGCAGGACGGATTGTAGCGAATTCGCCCAACTAGGGAATCCCTGGCCTGTGTCGATTAGCAGTCGCTGAGGGCCACGGCCAACAAGGTACGTGTTTGTGCCTGGTTCAATATTAGCCTTGTCCTCGTCCTGCTTGTCTTTTCGCAGAAGACAGAAGCATGGTTCCACATATTATTATTACCTTGTAATGTGAACTTGTATCCAGCGAATTATTAGCGTATATTCCCCCCAAAACAAATCCAATCTCGTAGATAAAAGACACTCACCTTCCCCGGATTCCCACCCAAGATCCTCACCACAGAGGCACTCAGCCTTTCCACCTCTGGCAGCGCAACCAGCTGCGTCGCCATGGTAATGACAATCTAGGTGGACCTCTCCCCTAGGAATTCCTACGAGAGTGCGTCACTCGGTTCCTAGATGCTCATCCCGCTCAAGTCTCTGGCTCTGCTATATCGATGGAAATATTAATAAGAGCAGTAGTGGATGGTATGGAGAGTGGTATATCTACTCCGTTACTCGCAATCTCGTCAACGTGGGGTCGGATTGCGGAGATAAGTCCAAAGTCAAGCTGATCCTTACTAAGTAACTAGCTAACAGGCTAACTAACTAAGTCAGTTAACGAAGTTAATAATAATAGTAGTAATAATAATTTATCTTGGACTGACTGCAACCTCGGCAGATCGAACTTTGTTTCTGCGAATAGGAAGCATGATTATGTCATTTACTCTTGCTCCCATCCACCAGCTACAACTGAGTACATCTACATACATACAACTCGAATATGGATTAATACCAGATTCAAGACCCAGTTACAAGCGCTACGCAACCCAGATTACGCCTACACAAGACGGGACAGGATGAACAGATGAAAAGTTTGCATGTATGCAGTCCCTAACACATAACAGTAGGAGAATAATATAAATATGACAGACTATATCCATGATTCCATTCCCAACGCGGAACAGACAAATGAGGCCAGTGCGCACCCAAGAGAACAAGTCAACAAAAATTTGACGCTTTGCTGCCGGACCCCCAACTGCGCATGACCTGCGCCTTTCTCTCGCTCCCTTAGCACTTCTGCACGGGAGGACCAGCGATGCCGATTTCCCCCATGCCATGAATGTATACTTTTTCATCGATAGTACCCGCCTCCATAATAAAACAGAAGTTTTCTAGAAAAAAACTCTCTGCATTGACATCAAAAACGTAGTAATACATTTCGGATCACCCGGCCAGAACTGATTTAGTTCTGCTCCTTGGACTTGCGGGCCATGGTGTTGAGGGCAGATCCGTCGCGGAACCACTCGAGCTGGGACTCGTTGAAGGTGTGGTTGAGCTTGATGTCGAAGGTCTTGCCATCCTTGGGGTGGACGCGCAGAGTGACGGGCTTGCCAACCTCGAGCTCGGTGCAGAGCAGGTCAACACGGTCCTCGGGCTTGATCTTCTCGTAGTCGGCGGGGTCGGCGAAGGTCAGAGGAAGCATACCCTGCTTCTTCAGGTTGGTCTCGTGGATACGGGCGAAGGAACGGGTGATGATAGCGAGACCACCGAGGTGACGGGGCTCCAGAGCGGCGTGCTCACGGGAGGATCCCTCACCGTAGTTCCAGTCACCAATAACAACCCACTTGATGCCACGGGCCTTGTAGTCACGGGCAGTGGCGGGGACAGGAGCGTATTCACCAGTGATGGCGTTCTTGACCTTGTTGGCCTCACCGTTCTCCTCGTTGATGGCACCGATAAGCATGTTGTTGGAGATGTTGTCCAAGTGTCCACGGTACTTCAACCAGGGACCGGCCATGGAGATGTGGTCGGTGGTAGTCTTGCCCTTGCACTTGATCAGGATGGGGAGGTCGGTGGCGTCCTTGCCGTCCCAAGGCTGGAAGGGAGTCAGGATCTGGAGACGGTCACTCTCGGGAGAAACAGCGACCTGGATAGACTCGCGCTCGGCGGGAGGAGCCTGGTAGGTGTCACGGCCGGGGTCGTATCCGTTGGCGGGGAGACCCTCACCAGTGGGGGGAGCGAGCAGGAACTCGTTGCCATCCTTGTCCTTCAGCTTGTCGGTAAGAGGGTTGAACTTGAGGGTACCGGCAATGGTCATGGCGACGACCAGGTCGGGAGAGGCGACGAAAGCGTGGGTAGCAGGGTTGGCGTCGTTACGGCCAGTGAAGTTACGGTTGTAGGAGGAGATGATGGAGTTGGGCTCGCCCTTCTTCACGTCCTTACGGTCCCACTGTCCAATGCAAGGACCGCAGGCGTTGGCGAGGATAACACCACCGAACTCCTCGAGAGTCTGAAGCTGGCCATCACGCTCAATGGTGGCACGGATCTGCTCGGAACCGGGGGTAACGGTGAACAGAGCCTTGGCCTTGATACCGTGGTTAAGGGCGTCACGAGCGATGGAGGCGGCACGGGACATGTCCTCGTAGGAGGAGTTGGTGCAAGAACCGATCAGACCGACCTTGAGCTCCTCAGGCCACTTGTTGGTCTCAACGGCCTCCTTGAACTTGGAGATGGGAGTGGCAAGGTCAGGAGTGAAGGGACCGTTGATGTGAGGCTCGAGCTCGGAAAGGTTGATCTCAATCAGCTGGTCGTACTCGGAACCCTCATCCTCACGGAGTTCCTTGGCGTACTCGCGGGAGAAGTCACCAATGTGCCTGCGCTTGGTGGCGTTGAGGTAGTCGTACATGCGGTCGTTGAAGGGGAAGAGAGAGGTGGTGGCACCGATTTCAGCACCCATGTTACAGATGGTACCCATACCAGTGCAAGACAGGGACTCAACACCAGGACCGTGGTACTCGATGATGGCACCAGTACCACCCTTGACAGTGAGGAGACCAGCGACCTTCAGGATGATATCTGCGGATCTCAAGTCAGAAATGCTAGCAAGCCACTGGGAGAAAGTATCGATAACTTACCCTTAGGAGAAGTCCAGCCGGACATCTTGCCGGTAAGCTTGACACCAATGACCTTGGGGGCCTTCAGCTCCCAGGGAAGACCAGCCATGACATCGACAGCGTCAGCACCACCAACACCGATGGCGGCCATACCGAGACCACCGGCGTTAGGAGTGTGAGAGTCGGTACCGATCATCAGACCACCGGGGAAAGCGTAGTTCTCGAGGATGATCTGGTGGATGATACCAGAGCCGGGCTTCCAGAAACCGATGTTGTACTTGGCACAAGAAGAAGACAGGAAGTTGTAGACCTCCTTGTTGATCTCGTTGGCACGAGCAAGATCCTTGTCACCACCAACCTGGGCCTCAATCAAGTGGTCACAGTGGACGGTGGTGGGGGTAGCCACGGAGGGCATGCCTGCAGACATGAACTGCAGGATAGCCATCTGGGCAGTGGCATCCTGACAGGCGACACGGTCAGGACGGAGCTTGAGGTAGGACTTTCCACGCTCGATCTCCTGTCCGTGAGGGTCGTCAAGGTGAGAGTACAGGATCTTCTCAGCGTAGGTCAGAGGACGGTTGAGACGACGGCGGACAATGTCCAGGTTCTCAGACATCTTCCTACAGAGCACAATGGCATGTTAGCATTCCCGAGATCCTCGGCGCGAACGGGCGCAACTGCAACCCAACGGCAGTCGCCCACAACCAGCCAGTGGCATCTTGTAGGCGGCCATCGATAATAACAAAGGACAATCATACTTGTAGTTGATGTAGTTACCCTGTAATAACCATATTAGCCGTCATCCTGCGTTATCACGGAGCAGCCCGTCCAGCCGGAGCTAGCCGAGGTAGGAACAAAAAATATTCACCACTCACCTTCTCCCAATTCGTCATCTCGACCTTCTTGTCGAGGGGAGAGTCGGCGACGGTGGCCAGGCTCCGAGACCCGAACATCTGCGATAGATATTGTCAGTGATCGCTCGTAAGTTGCATTTCTGCGGCCATCCCGATGGATCGCAGTTCGTAATGCAGCGGATGAGGTTGGCTTACAAGACGGGACTTGGGGCCCTGTGAGAGAAGTGTGTCAGCATGATGTCCATTATTATCGAGGTAGCAGCGTCTCCTGCTGGCATTACAGGACGCTGCTACAGCGTCGCAGGAGTTCTCAATTCTCTCCCTCGCGCGACAGTCCCTTGGGGGAAGAAAGGAAGAAACTTACCAGCGCACCCACGCGGGCAAGCCTAGTGGAGATCATGATGGAAGCTCTCTAGGCACAAGACACAGAGCTCTAAGGACACATTCAAGGAGACGAAGCCCAAACAGCCAGCTCCAAGATATATGGGATGGGAGCAGGGAAGAAAGAGGAGTGGAGTGGTAGGGAAAGGGAGAAAGGTAGAGAAGTCAAGGTGACGACGGGGGGAATAAAAGAAGCTTGATGTTTTGAGGTGGGAAGATTCCGCCCACCGTCCGTTACAGCCGCTGTACGAGAACCGGAGGACAGACCGCAAGCGCCTGCTGCAGGATGACGGTATTGAACGGTACGGCACCCGTACGGCTGCAGGCTGTTTCGGCACCGTTTCCAGCGCGTTTCCAGCCTGAGGCATGCGACCGGACACAAGGAAGGACGGCCCGGGCAACCAACCGCGGCCCGTACAAAAAAAATCCAGCTGGCCAGTTCTCCGCCAGAGAGACCCATCTCACCGTAAGGCTGCTCGACGATTCGAAAAGCCGACACTGCCACTGGCTGGATGTCTTGTTTGGCCGTACTGCGAGTAATGCTGGTTACAATGGCCGTACGACAAGACGGAGGGGAGGTCCAGCTCATCATGACGCTCGTAATAATCTTGGGTTTACGTTCGTCCGTCTGTGTGGTCACTCTGTGGCAAGCCCAGGCATGTGAGCCCTGCGGTCCAATCAGATCGCCCCTGATTACCGCACTGCCGATCAGATAATTTACCTACCACGGCAGCTTCGAAGCACTTGGTTCAGTATTATGTACAGTATATATTGATGAGAACATTGTTCACGCTCTCAATTCGGTTGGTTACGAATTAAATGTAATATCTAAGTGGCAGTAATATCCCTCTCTGACTGCTTTTTTTTTTCTTCTCGAAGAATTCCAAATGCCCAGGGTGATTTTCTCTTCCCCACAGAGACACGGCCATGAGGGATAACCGGAAACGTCATAGATTACCATACAGCGCTGGTGGTACGGATCGGTACCGTATCGACCCACCTCCCTGCAACCAGTCCGAGCCAGAGCCGAGGCCCGCCGACGGTCGCCAGCCTCTCCCCAGCTGCCAATAACCAAAGAGGCATAAAAATTTGACCGACAGCTAAAATCATTGAATTAGGTCGCGAGCACGCAGACCCGCAACCCGCAGGGTCCAGAAATCGAACTATCCTTCCGCTTATCGGTAAAATTATTTGCGACACTGCGATAGAGTGCATCGTGCTGGATATCGATCCCAGACATCCAAAATGGGCGCGGTAAGAAGGATCAAGACGAAGCGGATGACGAGGTATGTCGCTAGAGCCACACATGCAGAGTGCTATGAATAGAATCGAAGTTCTAACGATCACTCGTCTACAGGGGCTATGACCAGGTCCGCGCAGACCTTGACTCGTCCAAGCACCTCCGACAATACAAGGCCACGAAAGATGCGGAAGATCTACCTGGTCTAGGAAAGCACTACTGTGTTGAGTGCGCCAAATGGTTTGAGAGCGAATACAATCTCAAGGCGCATACGAAAGGCAAAAACCACAAGAGAAGGTCAGTCTGGTTGATGGATTCGATATCTTTTGCGACAAAGACTGACTTCCCGTCTACTGCAGGGTGCGAATTCTGCGCGAGGAAACATATACCCAGAAGGATGCTGAAGCAGCCGTGGGATTGGGAGTTGATAATGGCATTCGTTCCCAGGGACTAGCATCGTCCATGGACATGGACGATTCCAACCAGAGCTGAAGCACAATAACATGGTGAAGGAGCATATCCGTCGTGGTCCATTATCACGGGCCCTCAAAAAAAAATAGTTTTCAACGGGGATGATCGCCAAAATTAGACGCAACAATCTTCCGAGCCCAACTCCCAAGCCATAGTCTATTCTCGGCGACGGCACATCAGACCCTATTGGGAAGGACACGATTGGCCATACTCAGAAAAGGGATTACGGATGGAAGAAAACTGAGGTTACCCGCTGTAACTACCGATTTCAGGCGCATTGTGCAGGGGAAGAAAGGTGCATTCTCCTGTGTATCTTCCGAGAATCGCCATAATCGAGTTCCGCAGGGCCGATCCGAAGCGGATGAATGGGTTCCGGTCCACGGATAAACGGCCAAAGTGCCGCTTTCGGAGAAAGGCTTTGCATCCTAGTGCCTGATAGTCGATACCCATAATAATAATTTCACAAAGACTTTTTTTACCCTCTTGGACTCCACTATTGTTTTTTATTCCTATATTATTGATACAGGGTCATGCGCCTCTCCTAGCGGCTCCTTATTGAAGGCTTTCATAAGCCACTCGTACGTTGCCCACTGTACAATGATGTAAGCAAATTGCACTCTCCTCGATTGGATGTCTACATACCTGTACTGCGTTTACTATGAACGCTCGCAGACTGCATACTCCGAGACCACGATAAAAGGTCTTGAGCCCTTCTGTCTGATATGCTCGTTTCGCAATCTCGAAAGATGTCAATATCCGCCTGTCCCTTGCGGTAGACTCCAGAAGCGGTCGGGTGTCCGAAGGTACCGCCGCGTGAAAGTGACCACCTGTCTGAGCTTGTAGCTTTGTCTTGACAACATCGAGTGGGAACACAGAGGCCCATGTTATGATACCGGCTATACCGCCGCAGAGTAGGACTTTCATTGCGGTCTGAGACGCGCTCTCATTTTCGGTTGTCATATAGCGTTTCGAGAGCTCATAGGACCAGAAACTGCATCACGGCGTCAGCACAAAGATGCGGATTGAAATGATGGCCATTCTCTCAGCGAGGCAGCCGTACTAGAACCCATAGCCCACAGAGTCCCTGACACATGTGATTACGCCTCCAAAATAGAGCCCTTTCAACCCATGTCTCTTATATAGATCTCTGAAAACTGTCCAGGACGAGACATCCGATCGTGAATTAAGCTGTGCTCGACATTTGACCAGCTCCGTCGGAGAGGAAACAATCCAGCTAGCGATGCCGCCCGCAGCACCAGCAATCCAGATTTTATGTAACGAAGTACCTGTTGGGTTTGTCGGATCCGTCACGGAGGGGTCCAGGGCCATCAATGTCCGGTTATACGCGACGAAGAGCAAGGCATTGAGAGCTCCATATCCTAGTATGGGAGCAGCGGCGCCTGTAAAACAGTCAAGTATGAATTACTGATCGATTCTCCCGTAATATTATTCCCAGAACTTACCTCGTACAAGAGAACCAGTATTCTCGAATTGCTTGCGGAGAGACCGTGGAGTTGCTGCAGCTCCCTCGGTCTGGCCTGCTTGCAATCGAACTTTGACCAGATCCAAAGGGTTGCCGATGATAATCCCAATGGCTCCGCTCAGGTAGCCAGCCCAGAAATCGGATGACATAGACTGCAGTATCCTGCCTGGTAGTGGTCAATAATAGTATCCTTCATGGTGTAGATACCCTCGGAGCTCAATGATAAGTGTTGGCGGGGCGCTCCGGCGGCCCGCTGTTATCAGTCATGTGACGTCGCGGCATTTTGGTGATTAGGCTGCCAACACTGATACGCGCCGTCCACCGTATACGACGCGTCTGAGCCGTCAAGAGTTGCAGAGTAACAACCCAAGCAAGTCCAACCACTACAGAACGACCAAGGTAGCGCAGGTGTCGTGGAGGAGACTTGGTGAACTTGGATACTTTTACTCTTGGGCTCTCTTTTTTTGATCAGATGTAATTGTCCTCCGGTCTCCAAACATGTGTACTGCTTTATCCTGACAATGCAGCAGGCATCGACCGCGGATCGCCACAGCAGAGGCTGGCGGAGCGACACCACAGAAAGCCACGCGTTTATACGGTGCCTCGAATCAGTCGATTGATCGCCTTACCAAACCTTTCAGATGTCCGGGTTCAGCGACGCCTACGAGAGCATCTGATAAGCCTACCCGCAAGAGACGCAAGGTCAACTACGCCGATGCAGATGGAAGTGTGGAAGATGGGAACAACAAGCCATGGACAAACGAAGAGCGTCTAGCGCTTGCTAACCGTGATGTAAATCGATACGGAGTTTTCAAAGTGAAGGATAAAGATACGATTTTTAAGCAACGGTTTTCTGTTCCCTTGAAAAACAAAGCAGCGGGCGGATACGATGCTTCCAGACCGGCACCTAGTCTAGGGATGAGACGAAGTACTGGCTTTATCGTGAAGCCTCTACATGATCCCAGCGGGGAATTTGCAATAGTTCTCTATGACCCAACAGTTGATGATGTGGAGGAGAATCCTGAATCGAAGGAGAAGGAGGATGGGCCAAAAGAGGACGAGAAACCGAAGCTGGACGAGCCGCTCGTACATAAGAGTCTGGCGGACATTCTTGGACTTAAAAAGAAGGTCGAAACTCGTCCTAAGGTTCCCGTCGTTATCGATCCGCGGTTGGCGAAGGTCCTTCGTCCCCATCAGGTGGAGGGTGTAAAGGTATGGCGTTTCTCATCATTTGGTCGGTTCCTGCCCTAATAACATGCACTAGTTCCTTTTCCGTGCCACGACTGGAATGATCGACAAGAATGCACATGGGTGCATTATGGCGGACGAGATGGGACTGGGCAAGACCCTTCAATGTATTACCCTGATGTGGACGCTTCTCAAACAGTCCCCGGAAGCCGGCAAAACGACAATCCAAAAGTGTGTGATTACTTGCCCGTCAAGTCTTGTAACAAACTGGGCGAACGAGCTGGTCAAATGGCTGGGCAAAGACGCGATCATCCCATTCGCCGTTGATGGCAAGGCCACGAAAGCAGAGCTCGCATCGCAAATGAGGCAGTGGGCTATTGCCTCCGGACGCTCAATAGTGAGGCCAGTTCTCATAGTGTCCTACGAGACGCTACGACTGAATGTCGACGAGCTCAGAGATGCCCCGATTGGTTTGTTGTTGTGTGATGAAGGGCATCGGCTGAAGAACAAGGACAGTCTGACTTGGACAGCACTGAATAGTCTCAATGTCACTCGCCGTGTTATCCTTTCTGGAACGCCCATTCAGAACGACCTTTCAGAGTATTTCTCGCTTCTGCATTTTGCAAATCCAAACTTGCTTGGATCACAAAATGAATTCCGCAAGAGGTTCGAAATACCTATTCTTAAAGGAAGAGATGCTGCGGGTTCCGAGGAAGATCGCAAGAAAGGAGATGAACGCCTGGGGGAATTAACAAACATTGTCAACAAGTTCATCATACGCCGCACCAATGACATTCTCTCGAAGTACTTGCCGGTCAAGTACGAGCACGTCGTCTTCTGCAATCTTGGAAAATTCCAGCTTGATCTCTATAATCATTTCTTGCAGAGTCCAGATATCAAATCCCTACTGAGAGGAAAAGGGAGTCAGCCCTTGAAGGCTATTGGCATTTTGAAGAAACTCTGCAACCATCCAGACCTTCTTGACCTCTCAAAGGATCTACCCGGATGTGAGCAGTTCTTCCCGGATGACTACGTCCCTCTGGAAGCTAGGGGCCGCGACAGAGATATCAAGTCTTGGTATTCAGGCAAGATGATGGTTCTCGATCGCATGTTGGCACGTATCCGCCAAGACACCAATGACAAAATCGTCCTGATCAGTAATTACACTCAGACGCTCGATCTTTTCGAGAAGCTCTGCCGCGCTCGAACATATGGTTGCCTGCGGCTCGACGGCACCATGAATGTGAAGAAGCGGCAGAAGCTGGTCGACAAGTTCAATGACCCTGATGGTGAAGAATTCGTCTTCCTGCTCAGTAGCAAGGCCGGTGGATGTGGTCTGAATCTGATAGGTGCAAACCGTCTTGTGCTTTTCGACCCAGACTGGAACCCCGCTGCTGATCAGCAGGCGCTGGCTCGAGTCTGGCGTGACGGACAAAAGAAAGACTGTTTTGTCTACCGTTTCATTGCCACTGGATCAATCGAGGAGAAGATCTTCCAGCGTCAATCTCACAAGCAGTCGCTATCCAGCTGCGTCGTCGATTCCGCCGAAGACGTCGAGCGACACTTCTCTCTGGATTCACTTAGAGAACTATTTCAATTCAAACCAGATACGCGGAGTGACACCCATGACACGTTCAAATGCAAGAGGTGCAGGCCAGAAGGGGGTCAGTATATTAAGGCACCAGCCATGCTCTACGGTGACACCAGTTCTTGGAATCATTTCGTAAACGATGGCGAGAAGGGGGCATTGGGCAAGATACAAGACTTGCTTCTGAGACAGGAAACTACAGAGAACGACGTCTCAGCCGTATTCCAGTATATCAGCCACTGACGGTATTCATATGACGGAATGATTCATGGGAGTAAAGGTTTACACTTGGTCAATATGCAGAGTTTTGATAGATACGATAGATATATTCAATATAATAAAGACTTGGGAACTCATCTGTAGCTTAAATCTGGTAGTTGTGCTGGAGGATCTGCTTGCCGCGTTACTAGGGATACCGTATTGTACAGTACGTGGAGCCGTGACAATACGTCACCTCAGCTAGAGCAAAGAGACGCATCCCACTGACAGCGCATGCTTGTAAGAGCCTCCCCCGCGTTATCTACTTGCAGGGAAAGTCTGACTTGCTGGTTTTTTCTAATTCTTCTCCGAAAGGAGCTTCGAGACTGACTGTTAGCTCTCCCCCGAACTTTCGTTGGCCATCGCTGCCGTGTCGAACGCGCCTATTCCATTGAATACATCGGGCATCAACGACCATGGCTACCGCCTAAAGACGAGACGAGTGCAGTCATCGCGATCGGAGTTTAGCATCTGATCTGAGGCAATGGATCAGTTCGTTCAGCGCTTGTTGAACGACAAGCTATACGATAAGAGGAAACAAGGAGCTCTGGAGTACGCCGCATTTTGTTCTCCACCCTAGTGCAGCAGCTTTGAGACCTATCACTTACGTTATACATCCTTATTCAGGCTCGAGAGGATCGTTCGCGAAGCTGCGATAAAAGAAGACCATGAGAGAATCCAGAAGATCATCGACCAGCTCTGCCACGACTATGCCTACGCCGTACACCAACCTCATGCCCGAAACGGCGGTCTGATCGGACTGGCCGCGGCCTCGATAGCATTGGGATCAGTGAGTGGATTGGATAATATACCGGGTCCTTATAGGGACATGAGACTGAGCTGTGCCATGCTAGGAAGGAGTAGCTCCTTATCTTCAAGAGATAGTGCCGCCTGTTCTGGCCTGTTTCACGGACCAGGATGCGCGCGTCAGGTACTATGCATGCGAAAGCATGTATAATATTGCGAAGGTGGCTAAGGGAGAGATTCTACTCTTCTTCAATGAGATTTTTGATGCGCTGTGCAAGGTGAGGATCTCGACGGGTCGTCTGTCTGCATACCGTTATACTCATGCGCTCGAGTGCTGCAGTTAGCTTCAGATTCGGAATTGTCCGTCAAGAATGGAGCAGAGCTTCTTGATCGCCTCGTAAAGGATATCGTGGCAGAATCCGCTGCTTCTTACGTTTCTGTCCTAAATATTCCCGAGAAGAGTCTGCAGGATCCAGATGCAAGCTTGGAATCAGACGAACTATCGGCGGACCTGCCCACTGCTTTCTCCCTGGCTAAGTTCATACCACTCCTGAAGGAACGAATATATGTCATCAACCCTTTTACCCGCATGTTTCTTGTCTCATGGTTGACGCTGCTGGACACGATACCAGACTTGGAGCTGGTTAGCTACCTGCCCGCCTTCCTTGGCGGACTGATCAAGTTTCTAGGTGATCCGAACAAAGACGTCCATGTTGCTACCCAAAATCTTCTGGAGAGGTTCCTATCAGAGATCAAGCGCATCGCTCGTATTAAAAAGGGGATCGAAGAGAGTCGAAAGGGTCAAGAGAGCCAACACAATGCATCAGCTACAAGTGACAGCGCCAGCATAGCACCTGATCAAGACCCTGACGCCGATAAGAGTGACAATGCCATTGTAGACTCTGACTCTGAAATCGACGATCACAACACAACTACCGATGGGGATTGGATTCCAGGACAAGACGCAAACATTGAGTACCCTAAGATCCTGGAGATCCTGGTAGGATATGTCGACACGTCATTCGGTAAGTTCTATCAGGATTCACGTTGTTGTTGAATCTCCGCTGATATGTATATGGATATAGATGAAGAGATGCAATTGACTGCGCTTCGCTGGATAGATAGCTTCTTTGAAATCAGTCCCGAAGATATTCTGCAGTTCGTCCCGAGGCTTTTGACGCAGGTCCTCCCTGCTATGTCCAGCGGCTCAGACCAGGTGCGGCAGGCGGCGAACAGGGTCAACACATCCCTCATGGAGTATATTCTCTCTCTCCCTGATGAGGCCTCCCCTGAAGGCACTGGCCGGCAAGGCCCGACCTCCAAGGCACCTCCTCCAGTTGCTAAAGACGGTGGTGAGAAGAGATCGGGCACACCAAGCGGGCGACCATCTTCTGAGACAATCAGCATCGAAACAAAGGCTCAAGAATCGGGACCGGAGACGAAAACTGAAGCGACGCCGCAAATCAGTCCTGCAGAAACTCCCCTTCCCCCGTCGGATCTCGATTACGCTGCGGCTGTGAATTCGCTGACCCTGCAATTCCTGAACGAGAACGAAGCCACTAGAGTCGCTGCTTTGTCATGGCTCATCATGCTACATCGGAAAGCGCCGCGAAAAGTTGTAGCCTTCAACGATGGGACGTTTCCGGCTCTGCTCAAGACGCTGTCTGATCCTGCAGAAGCAGTGGTCACAAAGGATCTACAGCTCCTCTCTCAGATATCGAGAAACAGCGAAGACGGATACTTTACATCATTCATGGTGAATCTTCTTCAACTCTTTTCGACAGATAGGAGGCTGCTAGAGAATCGTGGAAATCTGATAATTCGCCAACTTTGCATGAACTTAAGTCCGGAGCGAATATACCGGACTTTGGCTGACTGTCTTGAAAAGGAAGAGGCATGTATCGATCTCTTTCTAGTAATCCATTTTCTAACGATATCAGGATATCGAATTTGCCAGTATCATGGTTCAGAATCTGAACAACAACCTCATCACGGCACCTGAACTTACAGAGCTTAGGAAAAGATTGAGGAACCTGGAGTCCAGAGTATGCTTGCTAAAGACACGTGTCTTCAGAATTGTCATACTAACCGAGACCACAGGAGGGCCAGATGTTTTTCGTTGCCTTATTCCGATCCTGGTGTCACAATGCGGTGTCGACATTCTCTCTGTGTCTTCTTGCACAAGCCTACGAACAGGCATATAATCTCCTTCAAGTCTTGTTAGTAGTTTCCGAGTGTGGATTGGATACATGCTTACTATTCTCTAGCGCGGAGCTCGAAATGACTGTCAACATACTAATCCAAATCGATAAACTGGTCCAACTGCTGGAGTCGCCAGTCTTCACCTGTGAGTACTCCTTTTTCTTTTCTTGTATGTCCATGAAAAGCAAACTAATTCGTCACAGACCTTCGCCTTCAGCTCCTGGAGCCTGAAAAGTACCCATATTTATACAAGTGTCTGTATGGAGTTCTCATGCTGCTGCCGCAAAGTTCGGCTTTCGCAGCTCTGAAGAACCGCCTGAACAGTGTGAGCAACATTGGGCTGCTCCATGCTGGACCCCGAGCGTACGTCAACCCTGCGATTAAGGCCCCATCCAGTTCTTCCCCGTCCCCCTTCAATAATCCTTTGAGAAACCATTACCGTCGGCGAAGCACGGAAGCTTACGTTGTACCTGCGGGACCCAACAGTCCTGTGAATAACGCCTATGACCGTCCCACCGGGAGTAGGTTGAAAGGCCGCGAAGAGAATGCTATTCGCTGGGTTGAACTACTAGACAAATTCAAAAATGTCCAGGAGAAAGCCAGGCGTTCCCGGATGTCACGACGACACATTGATCATGGCGGCACCCAACTGGACTTTCAAAACCCGTCACTGGCAGCTGCACTGTCTGCGGCTGCCGCTTCAGAGCATGGCCGTGGGAACTACAAGGAAAAGACTCTTCCGGACGCCCCTCGTGGAGTAGGCAGCGGGCTGGGTATAACCGGTGACGGTCGTCGCGTAAGCTCTCCGGACAGCGCGACAGGCCATAAAGGAACGTCGACACCTGCGGCTGGCCATAAGAGCAGGTCCAGCCTTTCCAACCTGGGACGACTTGGGATTGGAGCCAGGAAGTCTAAACGCTGAAGGATCTGGACTCCCGCCTGTCCAACTTCCTGCCTTAGCGACCTGTTTTATTCGCATATTGATCTTTCTCCGATTCATGACGTGAAATGACTTGACGAGCTGTAATTGACCCGCCACGGAATGGTGGCAAAGCATCTCCGTTCGTTGCCTTGCCGCTTCTCTGCCAGTGTTTCGTCTTTCGCTGCCCTTCTCGGTACCCAATTTCTGGTTTTATATTCCTTTACTGTCCATGATTTATCTCCCAGAAAGTTCCCAGGCGTGCTCGACAACTTCCTGTTTCTGCCAACTTGCTGGTTTGCGGCGTTGTACATTTGATATCCCATCCATTAGCATGTGCCAGGAGAAAATCATAGGAAACAATGTACAAATTATCGATAGCGGAAACCCACTATAGAAGAGATACCTTGCCGCCCAGCGGGACGTCCGACAACGGATTGGACCGATGTCTTATGCATATCGTCATTTAAGCCATTATCTACATAATCTTAGGGAAGACTCCGAACGCGCGCCACACGGAAGTCGAAGCTATTATCTCTACGCAGCTATCTATGTCTTTCCCATCCGAAAGGGGCAAGTATTCCCCCGCAAGATCGAGTGAGGGCGAGATCTGTCAGCGCTAAGCAATTATTATAGTGGTGGACTTGGAGCATATCGAGAGCTTCGGCGGTCTCTTATCAATCCGTTATCGATGACTGCGGGGTATCTGAGATTATCAACCGTCTGTTAGTTAACTTGATACTGCTAGCTAGTCAAGATCTTCATCTGTCATTTCTATCCTTTAGCGTACGTGAGGAAACTGTACAACCTCGCTGTCATTGGCTTGTGATGCCGAGGATATCGAGACGGATATACTTCTGATCCTCTCATTGGTTTGTTTCTTCTTCGCATCTGTGGTATTCATTTATTCTCCGGTCCAGTGCAGTGGGAGACCCCAACGGATCAGACAAATGCTAACTAGCCATCAGAACAGTCTGCAGACGAAAATCAACAAAAGCTCACACAAGAAGTGAAAAGAAAAGAAACTAGATATTCACAGAATACAAAACACACAATGACAACCGATTCGAAGGCGCGCTGCCTTCTCGTCGGCGGCGGCGGAGTGGGCACAATGGCCGCATACAACCTCGAAGCTGGCGGTAAGGCGACAGTGACGGCAGTGCTGCGGTCGAATTTCACAGCAGTCGAACGAGATGGGTTCAATATCGATTCGATTGATCACGGAAAGATAGAAGGCTGGAGACCGACGGAGAGTATGTACAGTACATCCTTTTCCTCTGTTTGCCTCGCGTTACCTCTCTTGTATTAACTATAACATCTATATTCTTTACGTTGAAAAAGCTAACGCAAAAAACACCAGTTCGAACCACAATCCCCGATATCAAAACAGATAAAGACAGTAATAATAAACCATACGACTTCATCATCGTAACGACCAAAAACACACCCGATATCCCACCATCCCTACCATCTCTTCTCGCCCCGGCCGTAACGCCAGGACACACAAGCATCATGCTTCTCCAAAACGGGCTGAATATCGAAAAGCCCTTCTTCGCCGCTTTCCCAGATCACCCTATCCTATCAGGCGTGTCTCTCATTGGAGCAACTGAAACATCACCAGGGAAAGTCCTCCATGATGATCGAGATCGTATGATCGTCGGGGCGTTTCCTCGTGCTACCTCCTCTCCAGACCCCTCCCCGAAAGACCACACATCCGCCTCTCACTTCGTCGACATCTACTCCGCCTCAGGCAAAGTCGTCTGCAACCTCACCACGAACGTAGGTCTAGTCCGCTGGCGCAAACTCGTCTACAACGCAAGCTACAACTCCATCTGCGCCATCACAGGCCTGGATACGACCCGGATGCGGTTCGCAGGCGAGCCTCTTCGTCAACTCATCCGGCCAGCGATGTGGGAGATCATAGCGACGGCTCGAGCGGCGGGGTATCCGCTCCCGGAGGAAGAAGAGCTCGTGGAAATGATGGTGGATGTTGATCCGTGGACGTTCTTTAAGCCGAGTATGTTGCAGGATGTGGAGAAGGTGTGTATTCTATCCTATTTTATTTTGTTTTATTTTCTTGTGCATATATATATATATATACTAGCTCTATCTTCTCCGCCGAGGACAATGTATTAACACTACTTACATACGGTATATTGAATGCTGACCGATGATATAGAATAACTTCACCGAATTCGAAAACATCGTTGGCGAACCCGTCCGCGAGGCACAGCGTCTAGGCGTCCCCACGCCAACGTTACAGGTCATATACGCCCTTTTGCAGACGATGCAGTGGAAAACGAAGGAGAGTAGAGGTCTATTTACCGTCCCGTCGGAACGGCCGGTGGGGTTTGTTCTTTCTAAATGAGTATTATGTTTTGCTTAAAATAGATGGTGGTTAGGTATCGTAACTATACAGTATTATTTATATTATGACCTTTTTATCTTGCTTTAGATGGGGATAGAAGCTAGAAATCGTATATATCTGGGACTTTGTTTTCAAGTCCGAATAATGATGTATATTTAGTTCCTTCTATTTGTTTACCATGACACAGATCAGACTATGGTCCCTGAGTTCGAAGCCGATAGTTTATCAATAGCCTTGTCTTGTGCTATAAAAGCGGGTGTCTTATAGCCGTTTTCTTTTTCTTCCCAACCATGGGAGATCGTGAGACTTGGGTTCAATGCACGCATGGTTATTTGTTATCGCAGGTTCCTCAGGGATAATGGCGTACTCTTGATACTGCTACTGATACTGATAGTACTGCTGCTCCGCGTGAGCTTCGCAATACCAGGATCGACTTTTTATGGGGAAAGAATCTATAACATATTTCTCGTTAACCGGGACGCCCAGAGGCGCCTATTCCCTATATTTCAAAGTATGTACCAAGATAGGAGGTGATGGTGTTTGTGACGGTGCAGAGCTGGACCGCCATAGGTCAATGTGCAAAATGGAGGCATGGCACGTAGAAAGAGAAGCATGTACAGGGTAAATGGCAACGAAAGAAGGTTATGCAAAAAGAAATACACACGAAAGGGACGAAATAAGTCGAAGCAAAGTCAACCAAAAAGAACGAGAGCTCCCCTATCACGCCGAGAAAAGCACAGTAACCCATGCAACCGGGAATGATGACAAAGTCATGCTTCCATCCAAAAAAAAAAGATCTGACTCCAAGGCTCGTATGGACTCCAGATAGCTTTTTATTTGCAATCTTTCTTTTTTCCATCTACCGTTCTCAACCGGCCCTTGCCGGGAATCGAATAAACCAACAGTTCGCAGTCGTTAAGTTCAAATCACCGCTCGAAAGGACGTTAAAGCGGAGAGGGGGTCGAAAATGAAATCAGGAGTGTCATTCTGTTGTCTGTACAGCACTCTGTCGTCATCACCGCCATCGGGAGTCCACGCTGTTGCCCCAGCCAGGTGGTTTCCAGTGGCTGCCAGTGGAACTCTTAGAAACGGTACCTGTGGATGTCGGGGAGCCCGCGTTGTTGTAGACGTATTCACCATCGACGTACTGTACGCCCGAGTGGAAGGTGCTCCGGTGCTTGCGGCGCGTGTACCGCTGCTCGAGACGGTAAAGCTCGATCTCTAGAGTCGAACGTCAGCAATGTCCTACATAGCATTCATACCACGAAGTTGATGCAGGAAAAGAAGCCAAGGAGTAACAACTGCTACCCCAAGATGCTGATAAAGTGGAAGAAGATCAGTCCGCGACTGCCGTTCACAGCGCGGGCCAGAACAGGCTACTTACTTGACTGTAGCTTCTCGATGAACCCCATTGTGTCTGTGTGGTAGTATGCAATATATACCCAGTCTAATGCAAATCACCGCTCTGATTTTCTATGTTTCGCAGTAAAAAAAAAAGGCGTTTTCGGATGCTCGAACGATATAGCCAGGAAGGAACCCGTCGCTGACGTTGGCACACCAACTCCTGCCAGTAAGTCCGGTATCGTAGTTTATAGAAAAATCGGTACGCTCTGTACACGGGAGTAGAATTTCAAAGACAGGATTTCCGCTCAGCAGCTCCTGTTGAATATAGAAGTAATTGATTGCGATTGCCGTCCCCTTCCGGGCCGTGGTTCGGTGAGATTCCGTGACGCTGAACTGGTAGATATCCGGATGTCTACAGTTGGATCACCGTTGCTGCGATTGTCTGGCTGTCCAATCAGTAACGGTGGCGGGGGATCGACTGTCGGAATCCGCGGAAGCGGTATGCTGTCGCTTCTGAGGATGTCAGTGGTTGATCCTCTCGCGTGGACAGCGGCTGACAAAGGCAGAGAGATGGGCAGACGTCAAGAAGAAGGTAGCATTCTTTTTAAAGGAGAACGAGGGCTGGGGGATAATAAAGGGTCGATCTGGACGATGAGGCACGGCTGGGGGAACGTACCACAACGCCTTAAAACCCAATAATACGACCAGGGTGCGCAAGTGCCGGACAAAACTTATTTATCGTAGGATAGAGATCGCGTGTCTTGTCTGTCGTGTTCCAATTGGGAGTCTGGAATGAAGGAATGGACCCCAGGTATGGGATTGTGATCGTTAAACGAGTGTGATAGAGAGGAATACTGGGGAAGAAAGAATGACTGCGATGGGATAACAGCGCCTCCCCGTGCCGTCTGGACAGAAGCTATCTATGCAGACCACGATCACCACTGTCGAACGCTCACAGAAAAGCACAACAGCATCCAGGGGGGCAGAAGAACGAATTCCCTAGTGTGGGGGACTGGAGAACAGTCACGCTAAAAGACGGACTTGAAGCTGCCGCCAGGAACGCTCGTGTCTGTGCGGTTTTCCGTGCTTGTTCTTGCTGGAGTTTCAGGGGGTTTTGCCCGCTAAGAAGGCCCTAAGATGCTGTGGCTACGGCTCCGGCCGCCCAGGGGCTCGTTCGCTGCGTACCCGGTACCTGGTGCTCCAATAGAAATCCCATACAAACACAAGTCGCAGTGACTTGTCGCCGTTGACTCGCCAACGCTCGTGGCGTCGTAGCCTGCGCGAACTCAATTCTCAGCCCGTTCGCGTGCTCGACGCTTGGAAGCATAACTTACTCCATCGCGGTTTCAGATGGATGAGGGGTTGTGGTCGATAAGCTACGGTGGTCTCCCAGACGGTAGACCTGCCATTCGCAAGTAGTATGTAGTGTACTCCGTAGTAACTACGTAGTAGTATGTACAGTAAGTACATGTATATCGGCGCTGACAGCTCTTTTCTTAAATACAGTGAGAATTTATAATAATGCCAGACTGCCAGGTCCTCCAAACCGTTCTGCTGCGCAGACTGTCACGAAATGGCGAGAATATAGCATAGCACACGCAAGCGGCAGGCCTGGGATGTGCGATGCGCCAACACAAAGCTCTCTGTCCCTGTCGGTCATGTCGATTGATCGCAGTTCCGGCTACTCGGGAGCCTGGGTCCGTTCTTCCAATTCCAGCGAAGTGGTCAGAGCCCACTCGATAGCGCCGTCGGTCGAACGCCTCACGAACTTGGGATCAGCTACGACTTAGGTTTGGGCTCGTTATTCGAGCTCGAGCTGGTGTCCTCTTCATCCTCCAGTTCAACACTCTGTTCCAGATCCGCATCCTGTGCAAGGGAAAGTTCTTGGGCTACAGGGCGATATCAACTCGTCAGCATTAGACCCCATGGACCAAGCAATGAACAAGACGGGAGCAAGAGGACGTCTACTCACCCTGCCATAATTCCGCGTAGATACCTTCCTTATCGAGCAGCTCTCGGTGCGTACCAGTCTCAGCGACATGGCCATCTTTGAGCACCAGGATCTGATCGCTGTCGTAGATCGTCCGCAGTCGGTGCGCAATAAACACACTCGTACGAGCCTTCTCTTTCAGGATCTCATTGATATTCTGCAGGAGCGCCTGCTCCGTGTATGTGTCGAGGGCAGATGTCTAGAGGAATCTGTCAGCAAGTCCCCTTTTTGCATGAACTCAGAAAATAGATAGGGGAACTAACCGCTTCGTCAAAGAACAGCAACGGGGGATCCTTCAAGATGAGCCGGGAGATGGCCAATCGCTGCTTCTCGCCGCCAGAGATCATCATGCCTCGCTCGCCGACTGGCGTCTTGTATTTTTCCGGCATGGTCTCGATCAGGCCGTGGATGTGTGCCTTCTGGGCTGCCTGCCGCACTTCCTCGTCCGACGCATCCATTCGGCCATACCGGATGTTATGCTCGATCGTGTCATTGAACAGAGGCGTATCCTGGGGCACAACGCCAATCGATTTGCGCAGACTATCCAGTGTCACGTCACGGATATCCTGGCCATCGACGAGGATGCGTCCCGACTGTGTGTCGTAGAACCGGAATAGCAATCGTAGAATCGTCGACTTGCCGCAACCGCTTGGTCCAACAATGGCGAACTTCTGGCCTGCGGGGATCGTGAAGCTGGCATTCTTGAGGATAGGCCTCTCGGGGTGGTAGCCGAATGTGACATTCTCAAACCTGATCTCGCCTCCCCGGGACAGGTCGAGAACCTTAGCATTCGGGCGCTCCTCAATCTTGACGTTGACCTTCTGCAGATTGAACAAGGTCTCCATGTCCAAGAGAGATTGTCTCAGTTCTCGATAGACTGAACCCAGGAAATTGAGAGGCACAGACAGCTGAAAGACAAGTTGGTTGACCATCACCAGGTCACCCACCGTCAACGTGCCCTGGGCAACTCCGTTGGCAGCCAGGTACATCATACCGGCAAGTGCGCTGGAGAAGATCATGTTCTGGCCGGAGTTCAAGAACGCCAGGGAGGTGGTGACCTTGATGGAGGCATCTTCGTAGGCTTTCAGCGCCCTGTCGTATCGAGCCACTTCGTACTTTTCATTGTTGAAATACTTCACCGCTTCGTAGTTGATAAGAGAATCCACGGCTACTGTAGCGCCCCTGTTGTCAGCAGCATTGGCCTGCTTACGGAACTTGGTTCGCCAGGCAGTCGTCGTGATGGTGAAAGCCGTGTATGCGACCATGGTCAGAGCTGTGATAGCAGCAAACTGCATCCCGTATTGATATGTCTGCCTCCGTCAGTATATCCGTTTCCGAATCGAGGGCAACTCTTCATACCAGAATACCGCAAACCAAAGATATCTCAAGAGCGGTAGGAAACACATGGAACACCATCGACGTCAGCAAGAAACTGATACCCTTTGTTCCGCGATCGATCGCTCTTGTGAGACCACCAGTCTGGCGACTCAGATGGAAATTAAGATCCAACCGCAGAAGATGGTCAAAAACGTTGCGGGCAACTTTCCGGATAGCTTGCTGGGCCACTCGGGCAAAAACCGCGTTCCGAAGCTCCTGAAAGAGTGAGGCTCCTATCCTGGTGGTACCATCTGCGAAGCAGTCAGATGAGGATCCATAAAGGGCATGATAATATAGACCATACATGCTATAATCATAGATCCCGCAACCGTGTAAGCCGTGCCGCCAACAGCCGCAAAGTCAACGTTCATCGAGTCCACTATGCTCTTGAAGTAGAAGGGGACTTCGACGTTCAGGATCTAGGCACTTGATGAGCAGGTTGTCGTAGAATGGTCTCCTCGAATGAGCTCACCTTGCCCCCAACCAACAATGATAGGGCCGTTCCAACACGTAATTTGGTTCCCCAGTCATCCTGAACAGCCGTTAGTATATAGAGACCACCGTGAAAGAGAGAAATGGTGCCCACCTTCGGCCAGAGGTATTTTACCATCTCTTTCATAATCGCCCAATCTGCTTTCCTCTGCTCCTTGTTTCCAACAGTCTTCTCGCTTAATAAACCTCCATTGGCAGAGTCCTTTGTATCTGTGGTCTGCTGCTTCTTCCTCGCCTCCTCTTTCAGCTGCTTGGAAGCCGCCGGAGTGACCACGTCCACCGGCTTGCGCGGAGACGGGGTCTCCCCGGTTGTCTGCTTCCTCAATTGGTTTCCATTTGTCGTGAATATCCGTAGCTGATTTCCGGTGCAGAGGCGTGTTGGCGACGGAAGTATGATCGTAGAGCGGGGATCGGCCAGTCGCCGCGGCGCCCGCAAAAAGGGCGACTGCGCCGCTCTGAGCAGCATGGCACCCTGTAAGATGTTCTTTCGAGTTCTCTGTATTCTTCTCTCAATGATCGGTATCAGGGGGGCTCATGTCGAGAGGCCTCTCGTGTCTGTCAGAAAATCGCCCGCTTTGCGGCGCTCCGGGTTCGGAGGAATGGGATATCGCGCACAGCGTATGGTACTGGATGTCTCCGGTCAGTCTCTGTCTGCACAACGCCAGCAGCCAGGAAGAGGGAACGTACGGTATCCTCCGCCTCTCGTCCCCAGTGCGAAACAGGCACAATTGGATTATTTGAGGACCAGCAGAGGAGATCGCAAAAGGTACTCACGCTGTCGTGATCGATCCCCACCTGCAGCTTGTTTGCGCCGTTTGTCTGCTGCCGAGCTGCTCCGCGGAAAGCAACTGGAACTAATTGTTTTAGTGTTGATCGAGCGAACATCGACTGACGTAAAGGCATATCTTTCTTGCCTTTCCTTCTCACTCTCCTGCTGCTTCCCATGAACTCAACGCCATGAGTCAGGCTCTAGGGAGAGGCTTCCGGGGGCTGTCCGGGGTCCCCGTCTTCTCACGAGCGCGACAGGGCGTCGTCGTGCACCGCGGACAATCCTCGAGATATGTCCAAATTCGCGCCGCGCCTTCAGGACAGCCAGGCACAATAAACGGGGCTCATCTCCCCGTTTCTGGAGTCTCTACGACAGCCGAATCCCCTGGTGCGTGTCGCGCGGATCAATGGAGTGGTTCAGATGCTAACGGTACGGGACAACAGATGCGCGATTCGATGTCGTTGGCGCGCCATACTCGCTGCTCTCAGTTTCGCTTTCCGCTTCGCAGAATCTTTACACACGGCGTGGAACTTTGGTTGGTTTGAGTGGAAAGGCGGAGAACGTATGTGGTACCTTTTTTTTTTGCAGGGGATGCATCGATTGATCATATTAGGTGGTTTCTACTCTCAGCATCCTTGAGCCCTTCCGAAGAGCGGTTGTTGGGATTCCTTTTCTATACCAGAAGGTTAGTACCTGGATATATGCCTGGATGGGAGAGTGAGTTAACCCGTGCGCAGGTCTCTTCTACGAGTCCGGTCACTGCGCTCATTTCCGTCAGATCGCCCGTCACCTCGTTTGCTGTTGTTCAGCTCAATGGGACCGTGGACTGGATGGTCGCTCAGAGACGGGCCCTTCTCGCCTGGACGGGCCATAATCTCCTCATTCGTCCCACTGTGAACACCAACTTGGTTAGTCGACTTCTATACTTCGTCAATGGCGACCTGTGCTGACTTGTTGCGAAGAGCGTCACTCACTGGGGAAGCTCCGAGGTGACTGGAAGAGGTCTTCTGGCGCTGGTGGGTAACGGACAGATATACTCTGTTGAATTGAAGCCCGGTGAGCAGTACATTGCTCATCCTAGGTATGTGCCTGCTTTGCATTGTATCTTCCGGTGCGGATTCTAAGTAGAAAACAGCAATGTCATCGCATACACCATGACTTCCCACCCACCACTCCCATACCGCTTCAAATCCACGACTCTCAAGCTCCAGATCCCCGGTCTCAGCCATGTGCCCAGACTCTTCCGCAGATCAAAGTTCATCAACGACATGGCTCACTCGGATACGTGGAAGACAACGATGAAGATCTACCACAATCTGCGGACCTGGGCCCGGAGGACGATTTGGGGCGACAGGGTATGTCTTTTGCTGCCGTCTTGTCTTTTCGCGTGGCTAACTTCGCATCCAGCTTTTCCTTCAATTCGAGGGCCCTACCACCATCCTTGTCCAGTCACGCGGCCCCCGCGTCAGTGACGTCCTGACAACTCGTGAAGTCAACGAGATCGCAGACTCGCCAGCTGGTGCGACCCACGATGCCGTTAAGCTCCTCGAGCAGAAGCAGCAGCCGACGAGCAAGAACGAGCCCAAAAGCGAGGCCGAGAAAGCTGTCGACGGAGGTGCATCAGATCCAGAAGTCCCAAAGCGCTCTGCTGAGCAGCTGGTACAGGAGGTGGAAGGAACCAGACAGAGCTTCGCGAGGGTCACTCGTGATGGGAAGGTCGAGTTCCAGAAGCCGGGTGGAGGCAACTAGACCGGTGTTGACTGTACTGTACTGGTTTAGACGCATGGGATGGTGAAGCCCTATGCATAGAGTGACCTTGATGTCTTTTCTGTTCGGCTTTGTTCTGGTCTCTTTGTATCATAATGCATAGTTACGTGCATACCACCTAGCTCTATGATTTCAATACACGGGTCTGTTTGATTACACACATTGGCTTTGTTCAGGCATATTCCGCGGGGTAAATGTAGACACAGTAAATCGGTCGCCTGCTTGTCTTGCAACGAGTGACTGTTTTTAGGTATGCATGACTTGGAGACGTCAAATGGGCCAGGTCTGCGACTTAGGCAGGAATGCGAGTTGCCAATATATATATGTGAATGAAAAGCAGCCACTGTATTCGCAACACACAAAGACTCCAATCCAGAAAACAGACACAAGAAACAACAGAAACCTACAAACCAAACAAAGAAAGCGTATCTCACACAGAATAAAGACCAAGCCACCCATCCCCGCATATTATCACTGCATCACAATCGACCAAGTACTACTACTACCACATTTACAGTCAAAAACCAACCGAAAATACAATAGTTTCAAAAATTAATGTAAGGATTACCTTTCATCAAGTTCCAAGACACTATGGCCGAGTGGTCTAAGGCGACAGATTAGAAATCTGTTCTCTTCGGAGGCGTCGGTTCAAATCCGACTGGTGTCGAATTTCCTTTTTGCCGGGTTCAAGTTCTTGAACTATTTTTTCTTGAGACGATCGAAAAGCAACAATACTTAAGTTTACTAGTTAATTTGATACAAGAGAGATATTTTTATTTACAAAAGATACGGTAGAAAAAGGATTCGAGTATGTATATGTTAGACAAAGACACAATGTACCCTGTAATAACGAGCGAGTTACCATAGTAACTTGCTCCCAAAAACCGAGTAATAATTAGCGAGAAATACGAGAACCAGACGGTTCGCACTCTAAAATGGAAGGGATTAAGATACATGTATAATGTAAAAGCGGGTGAGGAGTGAGAAGGAAAGAAAAAAAAATAAAAGAAAAAAAAATGTCAGCGACAGGATTCGACTGTGTGGGCGAATCTATCGCGTATTAAGCTTAACTACCTTGTTGTTTAGGGGGTTTGTAGATATTATTGCTCTCCTCAAGATACTGTAGTTAGGTGGTTAATCATGCGCTGAAAGCATCACACAATAGTACAAACACAAGACAAGACAGGACAAAAAAGACAGAAAGACAAAAGTGATGGTTTAGATATGGTCCAGACACGGCTCTTAGGCCCGCTTCTTAGCCGGCGGGGAGTTTTTAGAGTATCTCCAGTGAGTGGGTCGTCGGCTACAGGATCAATATTCGGCTTTCAAGAGCGAGCTGTGCTGTACCTGAACCTGATAGTCAATATGATGGTGATCCATATTTTTATGGTATATTACTGCGATCGCCTATCAGGAACCATAGCTGTTATCTAGTCAGAGTCTACCAACGATTCCCATGTCTAATTAATTAATTAATTAATTAATTAATTGGTTGGTGAAATAAAATATCAACGATAACTAAAAAGCTGATCGACGCCGACCTCGCGCTTCGGCATTACGCCTCGATACTTAAGTCCGAGCCCTGCAAGAAAAATGAGCGACGCTGGCTCGGGTCTAAGTAGAGAAGCGAATCTTTTATATCAAGTCGATCCCCTCCTCATTATTCTCTACCCGGCGCAGATCAAACAAGCATAATTGGCGCGAGGACGAAGCACGGCGCATCGCAACCTCGTAAGACCGAAGCGCTCTGCCTTCTATCCGAGCTAGTTGATATCTCCGAGCAGCTTTCCTCGCCCGGCTTTCCCCCAATTCTCTGGGGGGCTTCAGCCGTATTATTTAAATCACAAGTTACGGGGACCTTGTCCATCGATTTCGCAGACTCCAGTACCAAAGATGGGGGAGGGACATAACGGCCTGGCCTTGCCAGAAATCGGGACCATAAACACAGAAATCCCTAGCGACAATTCAACAATGACCGCATCCAGTATCCAACTGGACCGCGATCCAGAGAAGACACAGCCCGTGGAGAAACAAACCGCGGGACAGTTCGTACAGGAGAGCCATGATGCAGAGAAAGCAGAGCAGGTCACCCAGACTGCGGCGCCAGAACCAGCACCGCCAAGTATGCCCCCAGATGGAGGATGGCAGGCATGGCTGGTTGTAATGGGAGCTTTCTGCAGTCTGTTTGTCAGTTTCGGTTGGATTAACTGTGAGTTACTACCCGGGGGAATGGATCATATCTACTTAGAAGCCCTAGCATGCTAACCAAGAACCAATGCAGGCATCGGTGTCTTCCAGGATTACTACCAGACTCATCAGTTGAAGAACATGTCTCCCAGCACAGTGGCATGGGTTCCATCACTGGAGACATTCGTCATGTTCGTCGGAGGTCCTATCTTCGGAAAGCTCTTCGACAACTACGGTCCGCGATGGCTATTGCTTATCGGAACCTTCTTCCACGTCTTTGGTCTGATGATGACCTCTCTCTCCACTAAATACTACCAATTCATCCTCGCGCAAGGAATCTGCAGTCCCCTCGGAGCCAGCGCTGTCTTCTACGCCTCCATGACCTCCGCCGTCACCTGGTTCCACCACCGTCGTGCCCTGGCTCTGGGAATCACAGTGAGTGGATCGAGCTTAGGAGGAGTCATCTTCCCCATCATGGTCGACCATCTCGTGCAAGAAGTCGGTTTTGCCTGGGCGATGCGTATCTGCGCTTTCATGATCCTCGGCCTGCTCGTCATCTCCAACCTTACGGTCAAGTCGAGATTGAAGCACACCGTGAAGCCCTTCCACCCCATGGAGTTCCTCAAGCCACTGAAGGAACTGAAATTCATCCTGACGGTGACGGGAGCGTTTTTCTTCTTCTGGGGCATGTTCTTGCCTTTCACCTTTGTCATCCTCCAGGCCGAGAGATACGGCATGTCCACCAACATGGGAGCGTATTTGATCCCTATCCTGAACGCTGCAAGGTACATACATCATCACCCCTTATCCCCCGCCTCAGAATCACAGATCAAGATAACCACTAACACAAAAACCAACTAGTATCCTCGGCCGTACTCTCCCAGGCTACCTCGGTGACCGCCTCGGCCGCTTCAACACCATGATCTTCATGACCTACTTCTCCGCCATCGTCGTTCTCGCAATCTGGCTCCCCTCCCGCAGCAACGCCCCCGCCATCGTCTTCAGCGCCCTCTACGGTTTCGGTTCCGGCGCCTTCGTCTCCCTCGGCCCCGCTGTCATCGCTCAGATCTCTGACGTGCGCGAAATCGGTATCCGCAACGGTACCTTCTTCGCTATCATCTCCATTGCTGCCCTAACGGGAAATCCGATCGGAGGAGCTCTCGCTCCCAATGTCGTCTCGGGTAGTTTTACGAAACTTCAAATCTTCTGTGGTGTGGTGCAGATGGCGGGAGCGACGTTTTTTGTTGTGGCGAGGGTTTATATTGGTGGGTTTAAGCCGAATAAGAAGCTTTAAGCTTGCAAAAAAAGAAAAAAAAAAACAAGCACCAACAACAATAAAAGGACAAAAAGGGAAGAGAAAAGACGAACATGGCGGAAAAGAGACGTGGTGGTTTTTTTTATTTTTATTATTATTCCTTACTAACTAACTAACTAGAGTAACCGACCAACCACCATGTAATTAGACATGCATATAGATGTGTAGATGGATATAGTTAACGCATAATGTGAAATACATAATAGAATCGAAGAAACGAAACAATTAAGTTACTTCAGAGCTTACTTAATTCAATACTTAAAAAACTATTTCTATGATTTGTAGGTATCCAGTGTTAACTAACTGCTTTGTACATAAGTCGAAGTAAATACCCGTCTCCTTGCTAAGGCTTTCACTCCCCCCTGAGACCAGGATGTCACGTGTATGTATACTCTTTCAACTTGCTTCAGTATATGTCACGGGTTATCCTTTCGTTGGTCCATAACAGCTATAAAGCCGATCCCATGTAGCCTCGTGCCTCGTGTTGAATTTGATTAATCTGAATCCAGTTCTGGCACTGGGAATCGGGTGCATGTATAAGTGATATAGTGTAAACAGAATGCCAAATCTAATAGAAACAGACATAGAAACTTGAAATTTAGATAATTACTGCTACAAAGCAAGACTCCCATTAAATATGCACGGATATGGTATTGACGAAGCGAAAAAAAAGTAATATGATATCACAAACAAGCCAACGCCAAAAGACGCCTCGCTGGTATGCGGGGTTGAAGAAAGCAAAGCTCTGAAATGGGGTATTTCCAGCGCCAGAACAAGAAAAAGAAACATAGTCTTCGCTAAGGGCGAAGATAGAACAGTGGAGAAAGCAAAACAAAAATCCTAAAGATACTTCTCCCAAAAATGCTGCCCAAACTCCCAAGAAGATGGAAATTCTACCAAAACCGGTATGTAAATGAGATCTGAAACATAATGCTCACGCCACAATTCCGCTCCTCATATTTTGGACCGTTCTCAAGCCCACTCCCTTCATTTTGCTGAGCTCCGTCAAGCTCTTCACCTGGGCCTGTCCATCACTCGCTTCGTAGTCATCCTGGTCCAGTTCATGGTCCATTTCGCAGAGGCAGTCGACGATGGCTTCGGCCTTCTTGATCCCGACGCCCTTGAGAAGCTTGATCTGGCTGACATCGCGAGAGTTGATGATCGACAGAAGATGAGCCGTGCGTGGGGAGTTAGCAAACTCCTCCAGAACAGCAGCCTCGGACTCATCGTGCTCTTTCACCACTGGAGACTTCGTCTTGGCCCTCTTCTGCTTGGGTTTGTGTCGAAACCCGCCAGCTAGGTCGTACTCCTCATCACTAAACTCTTCATTGTGTTCTGAGTCTTGATACTCGCCATCCACCTCAGCTGGGCGTTTTGGGCGCGTGGGTTTCTCATTCTTCTTCAGGGAAAGCATGCTTCCTAGTTCACGTCGTGCTGCTGATGTAGCTTCCTCAGCTGCGACAGTCGCGTGTTGCATCTGGACCTTCATGTCAAGCTTTTCTTGCAGCGTTGAGATCTTTCCTAGCAGTTTTGCATTATGCGGGAAGAAAGGCAATGCAAGTTGGTACATCTTCAAGGCTGAGGAGTCCTCGCCTCGTGCATGGTGCTGTTTTGCCATTAGAAGGTAGGACAGCCCTTCAGCTCGCGCATCCTCTCTGCCTTCAATGCGCTGCTCGAGAAGTTCCAAGCGACGCTGCACTGCTTCGCTGATATCGTTCGCCTGAGTCTTCTGCTTGGCGGTCTCATCCAGGGCCTTCGCAGCTAATATCTCCTCGACCTTCTTCTGGACCATCTCTTCAATCTTGGCTGCGGAGATTTCTGCCCCCGAACTGCGAGAAGACTCCGATAATTCCGGCTGTCGAAGCCCCTTTGCAGTTCTAGGCCTCGGAGATCTGAAAGTATCCGACTTCCGCTTCAGAGGCGATGATCGTTTGGTAATCTCTGGCTTCTTGATCTGCGAGGCCTGTTTCTGCTGGGGCTTATCGGAATACACAAAGAATGCCTTTGCAGGCTTGCTATCAGCCGGCTTTTCATCTGTCGCTGCGGCAGGCGCACCAATGTTCGCATTTACTGACGCTGCCAGCGGCCGCAGAGGCTGTCGCTGCATGGAACCTGCAACAGAAGACCGTACTGTAGGCCTTGGTGGGCCCTTGAACATAGGCTCGTTTTCGACCTCTCGCACCTCGACTTTCTTCGTACGGTTCGCAAAATTCAGGGAACTGACTGTATCCAAGTGATATGAGCGCACAGGTGCAAGGTTTAGGATCATTACTGTCAGTCCGTTATTCTGTCCCAGCGACAAGATCCTTGTCATCTTCGACTCTCTGTACGGGATCCTCGGCTGCTTCTTGCTGATGGCTTCCACGCACTGAGCCAGGACAAACAGACTCTTGTTTATGCTGGCCGATTCGACCATGCGCTCCTTGTCATTGCCTGTTCGACGATTATCCTCCGAACCCGCAAGGTCGATCGCAGATGCGGTACTAATGCGGGTCTTATCGCCCGTTGTTACGGCCACCTTCACGCACAGAATTGCATGCGATCGAGATGAATGTGCATTCAACTGTGCCTGGCTTAGCCCCGTCCAAGAGTAGACGCGAAAGTCGAGCTTACCTTCGTCGCGGAAGTGGATCTGTTCATGTTGGCCTGATCGTACAAACTCTCGAATTCTTTCAAACTCGGACAGGGCCGCTCCGTCAGCCCAACAACGACCGTCTTTCCTCCATTATCTCTCAAGGGCAGTCCGGAAGCGGTCCTCTTCTCTGGTGGCTCAAATAAGTCGAATACTTTGTCATTGTAGATTTCGTAATAGCTCATGGAAACGTCGACCTTTGTTTGTCCTTCACTATCCTTGTCGAGCTTCCGACTGCGTCTGTAGATGGCGCTCAGGAGACGAGGGATGACGCCTCTATCCGCAAGGCTTTTACCGCCCCGCATGGTGTGCGTTTTCCCTGTTCCCGTAACACCATATGCGAATATCGTGACATCGAAACCGGTAAAAAGGTGCTTTACAGTGGGTGCGACTGCGCTGTTCGTCAGTATGGCGTGTAGTATCGAACGACAGGTCCTATGGCTGACCTTCTGCATCGAACAGCTCCTGCTGTGTCGCACTCGCATCGTACACTGCATTGAACTGGAACGAGAACTCCTCTCCCTCGTTTTTCGGATTAGGTATCCGCACGATTGTATCCCGGTCCCTGAGTGCCGCCAAAGCGTCCTTCTTGCCTTTAGCTGCACCGGATTTTGCCGTGGTGTCGGAAGAAGGCAACGATGCTGTCGAATTAGGAGACGGACCAGTGCGAACAATCACGTCCAGCTCTCGCTCTGATTTGAGCAGGGGTCGAACCCGCGCAACCACGCGGACGCTCATTTTCGAAGATATCTATGGACTATGGTGCGGAATCTTCCCGGTGCCAGGGGTTGTTGACTCTAGCTGCTGCAACGACGTCCACCCGCTCTAACGTTTTGCGAACCTTCCAATTGTAATCGCCTGTCCTTTTGCTTGGAAAAGTGGTCTAGATAACCATAGGAAAGTCGTCACCAAGGAAAACTAGACAATGAGCGAAAGGGTCAATTCCAGACGACCCGCAAAAAGTGCCCCTCGAATGGTGCGACTGGAACGCGGACCTTTCCCCAAGAAAAGCAACCGAAGAAGGGGGCCGTAAGAAAGAAGAGAGAAAAAAAAAACGGCCGAAGAACAGACGACCGAAGCAGAACAGACTCAACGGAAAACGAGAACTGGGAAGAGGCGCTGGATGTTGGCGTTTGTCACTTCGAAAACGGTCTTTTGCACGGAGCAGGGGTTTGCCGTTTGGTGTGCTGGAGGGCAGAACCAGGTGGTTGGCAGGGCAACGCCTGATCGTGTCTGGGGTATTTTCTCCACCTGCCGCAACTCAATGGAACTGCGCTTAACGTCGTCTCAAGAAGGGCTATCTAGAAAGCAATGAACTGGATAGCAAGATTGCAGAGTATAATGTTCGACCATGGTAAACTCCAGTCGAATAAACGTGCTGTTTTTTAGGACGCAGATGGTCAAGCGTGCATTGCTGCGAGTACCTGGGCCGCAACTGAACAGATGAATAGACGGGGACAGCAAAAAGAATCTGCTGAAAGGATCTAAGACGCCAGAAAAAGCTGCATGATATGTTATGTGGCTAATGGAGGTGCTCCAGTGCAGCCTTGTTATTTTTGCTGTATGTAGGCAACACCTCAACATCGCGTCTCTTGACGTCCAGCGTCGTCATTGAGATAGGGAAGACGGAATCATGTACAGATTATCTAATACTGTTCTTGGAACAAGATACAATATGCAAGGAGCTTGAGAGATATGAGAAGCAATTATTATCAGACAGGCGTGCTTCAACCTCAAAAAGAACCCAGATAGGTAAGTATACAATATTACCTATCTGGGAAAGACAAAGAGTTCACACCAAAGAACCACTTGGATATCGGTCGTTCGTGTACTATTACACTCTTTGAAGAGTTTTACTCTGCTTTACTGGGTAGGGTAACGCTCCCAGTCCGGTTACTTTCTGGCTTGAGCGTTCCTAGTTCAGTAAGTTGTTGAAAATGATGGATTATCCCTCGATGGGATTTGAAGAGCGCAGAAGCCAGCGGCGCCTGCTCAGTCATACTCGAATAAAGGGCCCTGGGTGACTGATTTCCAATAGATTGTTAGTTCCCGAGTCTCGTTTATCAACGCGTTCTATCAGTGGCATATCCCCAATTGTGGGTGATGATTGAGTGTAGTTTCGATGCCGGTCATGATGGCCTGACTCTGTCCGGAGTTCTCTGGAATGAGAGATAGAGATAAATCAACAAGAAGATATGCTGCAGTCATACATTCGTTTCCAAGGGTAGGTAGATATAGCATATCGCACCGTGATATCGGGTACCAACAAGCTTCAAGCTTCTCATTACAAGCCAGACTCGCTAGTAGAACATCAACCATGTTGTATGAGATATACGCCATCTACGATACACTATATGAAGTTGGACTAATTCTTTAAATCCAAAGCAAAAGATAGGCTCTTGAACCAGAATACTCGAGGACCGACTTTGAACTGCGGGCCGTAAGTAGTTATTCGACGGATGAAGTCATAGCCCATGTCAGAACAGCGCTCTGCGCTTACGGGTCTGACGGGGATCAGGGCTTTTGCAATATCGCTCTGAATTTCGAAGACAGCGCACGAATGCCACTCTCAAGTCGGATCCTGTTCCTCTGTGTCTGAGAGGTCGTGGTTTAACGGTGTTGACGGTCTCCTGAGGCATGGCAAGTCTACCGCCCGCGGGGCTCTGATTGGCCAACAGTAGCCGCAAAGGCCACCGTACACCACCCAGCTCGAGAGCCTGGAATTTGGCAGTCTCTCCGCTCGTCTTCTGCCTCGACATCCGGAAAGACACGTTGGCCGGTCCTGCGCGCGTGCTTTGCGTGCTATATCCCTTCCATTTCACTTTGGATGTCGATTGCGGGCACAATCTTCCCTGTGAGCACCGAATCTGGAGCACCTGACTCGGCTGTGAGTGTACTGACACCGAAGCATAGTGATCTTAACTGCTCCGCACCTTCGAATCGACAGGGTACACAGATCGCAGGATATACGAAAGGATTTAGCGACTTTGTCAACATAGGAAATAATATATACGGGCTCGATGGCGTCACCGCAAGGGGGATATCCTCCCCAGGAAGGATACGGTCAACCTGGCTATGGCTCCCCAGGCTCGCCCTCTCAACAGCCCGGGGTACCAGTGACAGGCCCCGCGTCTCACCCTAATGTTGGAGGGAAAAAGAAGCGTGCCTATGCTGGCGAAGCATTCGAGTTCGGTTTTGGTGCCAACGCAGCTTTGGGCGGACAACAACAAGGCGGTGGTGCGTATGGTTATATGCCGCAACCGCAACCGCAACAAGCAGCAGGCTATCCACCAGCTACATATGGCGCGGATCCGAACCAGGTAGCCGCTGCAGGATACGGCCAGCCAGCTGCTGCTGTCGGCGGATATCAGCCTCCAGTGGCCGGTTATACTGCTCCTGCTCCCGGGGTTGACCAGATGACCCAGCAGTTTGGCCAGATGGGCATGGGTACTCCGCAGCAGATCCCGCAACAGGCTCAGGCGCCGCGAGCTGTTCCTCTGAACCAGCTTTATCCTACTGATCTCCTTACCCAACCGTTCAATGTTGCGGAACTCGATTACCCCCCGCCACCGATAATCTTGCCGCCAAATGTAAGTGATCCGCGTCACTGCTGTTACTCGTGTCCAAGTGCTGATCCTGACAGACGAGCGTATACCCTTCTCCTGATGCTAATTGCCCCCCTAAATACGTGCGCTCAACGTTGAATGCGGTGCCCACCACCTATTCCCTTCTCAAAAAGTCGAAATTGCCCTTCGCTCTCGTCATTCAACCATATGCGGCTTTGCACGATGCGGAGGATACTGTGCCAGTCATTCCAGATCAGGTCATTTCACGATGTAGACGTTGCAGGTCTTACATCAATCCCTTCGTCATATTTCTCGATCATGGCCACCGCTGGCGCTGCAACATGTGCAACCTTACCAACGACGTACCTCAAGCGTTTGACTGGGACACCACTCTCCAGAAGCCAGCGGATAGGTCTTTGAGACCTGAGCTGAACCATGCCGTCGTTGAATTTGTGGCGCCGCAGGAGTACATGGTCCGCCCCCCGCAGCCTCTGGTCTATCTTTTCTTGATCGATGTGAGCTACGCTTCAGTCACGAATGGTCTCCTGGCTACCAGCGCTCGTTGCATCAGAGAGAGCCTTGATCGCATACCCAACGCCGACCGGCGGACGCGACTAGGTTTCATTGCTGTAGATTCCAGCCTGCACTATTTCACCATTCCACGAGATGGATCGGAAAATAACGATCCCAAGATGCTGGTTGTTAGTGATCTGGAGGAGCCCTTCCTGCCCATTCCAGGAGACCTCCTGGTTACCCTTACTGAATGTCGGGAGAACATCGAGTCCTTCCTTGATAAGCTGCAAGACATGTTCCAAAACACGCAGAACAATGGATCTGCCATGGGCTCCGCCCTTCGTGCTGGTTACAAGTTGATAGCACCAGTCGGAGGAAAGATGACTGTCTTGTCCTCTTCTCTACCCAATGTTGGTCACGGTGCTTTGACCATGCGAGAGGACAAGAAAGTTCTAGGCACCAGCAAAGAGAGCAGTCTCCTCCAGACCGCAAACAGTTTCTATAAGAGCTTCGCCGTCGAGTGCTCGAAGGCTCAAGTTTCCGTTGATATGTTCCTGTTCTCCTCCCAGTACCAGGATGTTGCATCTCTCAGTAATCTTCCTCGGTACACCGGTGGTCAGACCTATTTCTACCCGGGCTGGAATGCTGCTCGGACAGAGGATGCCATCAAATTCGCTCGGGAATTCTCAGACTATCTCTCCTCTGAGATCGGTCTGGAAGCAGTTCTGCGCGTGCGAGCGACTACTGGTCTGCGCATGAGCACATTCTACGGAAACTTCTTCAACCGCAGCTCCGATCTCTGTGCATTCCCAGCATTCCCACGTGATCAAGCCTATGTTGTCGAGGTCGCCATCGACGAGACTGTCACTAAGTCGGTGGTCTGCATGCAGACCGCTGTGCTGCACACTACCTGCAATGGCGAGCGAAGAATTCGAGTCTTGACATTGGCTCTTCCGACAACACAGACGCTGGCTGATGTATACGCATCCGCTGATCAACAGGCTATTATGACCTACTTCAGTCATAAAGCTGTTGAGCGGACGCTCGGAAATGGCCTGGAATCGGCTCGCGAAGCCCTACAGAACAAGGCTGTTGAGCTTCTGTCGACATACCGGAAGGAGCTTGCTGGTGGCAGTGTCAGCGGTGGCGGTCTCCAGTTCCCTGCTAACCTGAGGGCTCTGCCTGTGCTCTTCCTGGCCCTAACGAAGAATGTACGATTGTCCCGCATTTGCCCCGAAATCTACCGTGTTTACTGACATCTGTACAGCTGGGTCTACGGAAATCTGCTCAGATTCCGACGGATATGAGGTCTGCAGCCCTGTGTCTGCTCTCGACTCTCCCTCTCCCCCTTTTGATCCAGTACATCTATCCGAAGATGTACTCCCTGCATGACATGCCTGATGATGCAGGGTTGCCGGACGAGAAGACCGGCCAGATTATCCTGCCACCGCCAGTTAATCTGTCATCGGAACGACTTGTCCCGTACGGTCTCTACCTTATTGACGATGGCCAGACACAGTTCCTCTGGGTCGGACGGGATGCTGTCCCTCAGTTGGTCCTGGATGTCTTCGGCTTGCCGGACAAGTCCCAGCTTCGCGTTGGAAAGCAGTTCCTGCCTGAGCTGGATAATGACTTCAGCGAACGAGTCCGGGCTGTCATCCAGAAGAGCCGCGACCACCGGGCCAAGGGCGTCGGCAGCATCGTATTCCCACAGTTGTATGTTGTCAAGGAGGACGGTGAACCAGGGCTGCGGCTATGGGCTCAGACGATGCTGGTCGAGGACCGGGCCGACCAAAGCGTCAGTCTGCCGCAGTGGATGGGCTCGTTGCGGGAGAAGGTATGACCACCCATAAGTTAAAACAACCACCCGACGTCCGTATGGACTGACGCGGTCTTTGACTACCTACAGGTTGTTCAGTAGTAATGATAGTTTGAAAGTTATTGGTAGACCCATGAAATGCAGCATTATATCAATGCAAATTATTATCTTCTGGGATAACACTCCTCGTTTCGTTGGGCCATTGTTCTTATGTATGTACTCTGTGGAGATGGCATCGATTTCGTTTCTTGTTCTCTCTCCTAGTTCCTGGCTATGTGCCATATCTAGCAACACTGCAGAGGCAGTCTGTATGTCCTTTCCCGCGTGTATTACTACTTTAGATGATGCTGGGGCTTTGCAGGGCCAGGACCTTGTACAGACATCACCGAAACTTTACCGTGAATTTCTCCCTGGACTCTTGTCCTTGACGAATAGGAACCATCCCTGGAATATTCGCTTGCCTCGATTTTTTTCTTTTTCTTTTGGTGAATTGGTGCAGGAGATTTTTTGTTTCCAGGGCCCTCGAGATCCTCCACTACGCGTCCGTTTGGTGGCTCAGTCGAAACACCTTCGTACGACGGTGTGCTCGGAGGGTGGAGGTGGCTGCCGATGAGACGCTGGTCGGGCACGCCCGACGTTACTATTATTTATACCCCGCGGTTAGAGCACCGTGAATATCACGAACGGGTTTCGAGATGGTCGACGATCCTCGAGCGCAGGGCGCTTGCGGAGCAGGATGCGAACTGCTGTGCGTGACCGGCTGTTACAGAAAAATGTGTTTCCCTCGTGGACCTGGACGACTGGAACTCCATCCCCGCCACTAGCGTTTGAGAAAAAAACTTGAGACTGCAAATGGTGGACCACGACTGCTGGGCATCACTGGCCTGTCCAGCACTGATGAAGGGCCGATCCGCCCTACGGAGTCGCAGTAGGGGCCTTAAGACAGGAAATATCGAGAGTAGACTCTGGTGTTATTATTCATTATCGCTTGATTCCGTCCTGAGACTGTCGTGCCGGCCCCTCTGGGCGTCCCAAGGTTTCGACTCAACAGGAAACGCTCGAGACGGACCGCCTCGCCTGTCTCCTTGGTTGAAGTTAAGCAAGTTAAGGGCCGGTGCCAATAAGAAATCCTCCTGGGAACGCTCGCTGTCGCTCTCCCGTCCGGTACCTCTTATCCAGTGCCGGTGCTGCCATCTCATTCGCTTTGGCTGCTCTTCAGGCTCCAGAATCCCATTTCTTTCGGTTGTGTAGGCCAGCAAGCGTGCGCTCTGCTCTCATCCTTATCTTTCTGCTGCGGTCGGTGATATCAGATCGTTCGAAAGAAGTACCATAGAGTAAGACAGACTCGTGCGACAGACCATCGCCCCAGTCTGTGCTTCTTTATTATTTTTATCATCGTCTAACTATCAAGCTGCCGCTGCAGAGTTGCTCTCCTCACGTTCTCCTCCCCGTCTCTGCCCCACCTTGCCAGCCGTTCCACAGCTGGTAAATCCAGATCATCCCGCAACGTCTCTTCTCGGAGCTAGGGGTAAACAGTTCATTACTTATCCGAAGATTTTCCTCGAGCGTGTCGTCCCTTCAAATCACAAGAGCTGGTTGTGCTGTCTCCCGGTGTCCCTGAACGAGAAAGGACGTTGTGATCGCGGGGCGTTTCAGTCTGCCGCAATTGATACCCGACAAGCAGCGCTTGAGGTATGGAGAACTGTCAATGGCCTTTGGGTCACAGACAAGAACCTGACGAGAGGAAACGAGCCTCCTTTCGCCTGACGATGACGATGTACTCTAGCTAACCAAAGGTGGTTCTGTCACAGGGATATTCACGGCGTCTCGGTGAAAGAGCGACCTCCTTTCCCTCTATACAGCTGTTCCTCACGCACTTTTTCAACCCGACCCTCGAAACCTTCTACCGTCTCAAGAACAGCCTTTTCTCTCGATATAGAATAATTTAACTGTGGAATACTTCAGAAATCTCGTCGACATCGCTTCGAGGAATATTGAATGTTTGTTCTCCAGTTTTGAGTTGACAGCTATCGTGGGCACAGCTGACGGTGGAGGGAGATATAGAAGGAAACACAGCGTGTGATATTGTACTCGAAGGACGACTTCTGCGCATAACCCTGCGCATACAAAAATATACAGAAAAGTAGGTGCTGGTCTCTTTGCTATTCTTTGTTTTAATCATCGCCATGCACTCTGCGTCACACCACCCATGCCAAATTATCACCTCTATGCTCCTCTTTCGCCTGTATAACTCCATCGACTGTTTTGTGTCCATCACGAGTTTTCCACCGTGAATTATCTTAGCAGTTGAGAAGAAAGCAAGGTATCAAGGGTTGGCTCTCAACAGTGGGAAATGTCTGGTGAAGGTCTGGAAAGTAGCTCACTGTTACCGTCTGATCTCACTGGGTTCCGGAGTGAACTGTCAATGCATAGACCATTCGGTCCAATGTGTTACTCTTCAAGCTACTTTCTGACTAACCCAGCCTCTTCTCCCTCCACTTGGCTTTAGCTCCCATTGAGATAGCATTTGTTCCTCAGATATCCTCGTGCTGACAGGATCAAAGTTTATAGCCAAGATGGTGCACGGTTCGGGATCTCGAAAGATCTCTTTCAATGTCTCCGACCAGTATGACATCCAGGATGTCATCGGAGAGGGTGCTTACGGTGTTGTCTGGTAAGTCTGTCTACCAAGGACGAGTGACCTGTGTTCTGACTAGCAACAGCTCCGCTCTGCACAAGCCTTCGGGCCAGAAGGTCGCTATCAAGAAGATCACTCCCTTCGACCATTCCATGTTCTGTCTACGTACGCTACGAGAGATGAAGTTGCTGAGATACTTCAACCATGAAAATATCATTTCTATTCTCGATATCCAGAAGCCTCGCAGCTATGAGAGCTTCACAGAGGTGTACCTCATCCAGGTAAGGATGCTTCCAGATTTATTGATCTGGCAGGACTAATATGTCTTGCAGGAGTTGATGGAGACCGACATGCACCGTGTCATCCGTACTCAGGATCTTTCCGACGATCACTGCCAGTATTTCATTTACCAGACTCTTCGCGCCCTGAAGGCGATGCACTCAGCGAACGTTCTTCATCGTGACCTGAAGCCATCAAATCTTCTCCTGAATGCGAACTGCGACTTGAAAGTCTGCGACTTCGGTCTTGCCCGTTCTGCTGCATCCTCAGATGACAACTCCGGCTTCATGACGGAGTATGTCGCTACGCGTTGGTACCGTGCACCTGAGATCATGTTGACCTTCAAGGAATACACCAAGGCCATTGATGTTTGGAGTGTGGGATGTATCTTGGCTGAGATGCTGAGCGGAAAGCCTCTGTTCCCGGGCAAGGACTGTAAGTTACCTTGCATTTCTTTCTGATGGAAGATAGCTTCTGACCAGTTACCAGACCACCACCAATTAACCCTTATCCTGGATGTTCTGGGAACCCCGACAATGGAGGATTACTACGGTATCAAGTCTCGTCGTGCACGGGAGTACATCCGTTCGCTACCTTTCAAGAAGAAGATTCCATTCAAAGCTCTTTTCCCAAAGAGCAACGATCTCGCCCTTGATCTCCTCGAGAAACTGCTTGCCTTCAACCCTGTAAAACGCATCACGGTCGAAGAAGCGCTACGCCACCCTTACCTGGAGCCTTACCATGATCCGGATGACGAGCCCACTGCTGACCCTATTCCCGAGGAGTTCTTTGATTTCGACAAGAACAAAGATTCCCTTAGCAAGGAGCAGTTGAAGGGTGAGTCTTGGTCATTCCTGCTTCCTGTCAATTTTGCTAACGCTCTTCTACGCAGCCCTCATCTACGAGGAGATCATGAGGTAGGAAATTGCCTCTCCGGGAATTCATAGAACGGATTGGCGTTTTATACTTTAGCATGCCTAACGAAGTACATAGCAACAAGAGAGAACAGGCACAGAGAGCAGGAACAGCTTTTGATGAATCTGAATGGGACCTTCCCATTCCCAACCTCCCTCACTAGCCAGCCTCGTACCATCATCATCAGCAATGAAGGAAGAACTTGGCTGGAATGTCTTTGTCCGTGCCAACTGAAGCAATCGTCTACTTGTAGTCTCAGAATAATCATGTCATCAATGAACGGTCAAATATATTGCTGCTATGATATGTATTGTAATACAGAGTGATCTTCTGTTGCTTGATTCGCTTGGCTGCACGAACCACATTGCGACCATCGTCCGTGTAGTCTCCAATAAACGGTCGCAAAGTTTTCAGAATACTCAGTGTCTGCGATGACTTAATGGTGAGAATATTTCCGTGGCTTTTTGATGACATTTTCGTCACTCTCATATGCCATCCAGGCCACAAAACTATTGCCCTTTTTATATACCCGATTGATCCCGCGCCTTGGAGGGCCTACATCATTTCTAGGCTTCCAGCCTTCCCTTGCTTTATTGCGACAATTCTCGGCTTTGTATGAGTATGTGCTTGGTTGTTAAATACTTGACTATACTTCTTGATGTAGAAGATTGAAAAAAGCATTTAATCAACAAATGAAGAGTAAAATAACCTTTTTATGATTCCAATCGCTCTATATTATTAGGTATCACGGTCATTTATCTCCAGAAACGGCTCTTGCCTCTGAACCCTGATCGGAGATAGAAGACTTAGTTCATCTAATCGGCCAAGTCGACAGTGAGATGTCTGAAATCGACCACCAAGTCCCCTCCCTTGTCTGACGGTCGAGCAACATACGTGCCAACCCAGCATTCCTTATTGCCCTCATCTTCGAAAGCCCAGGTGACCTCTCTGATAGGGACGCGCTGGATGCCCTCGACAAGATAGATCCAGAGACTACCATCCTGCTGCCTCACCATCTCCACAGTAGCTGCTGGGCCACCAGATGGGACTGGCAGCAAGCTCCAATCCGCCCATCGATCCTTGACAACCGTGCTGATGTTGGGTTTCTCATCGACGAATTCAATCCCCGTCTTAATCCATTTCTGATCATCGCCATGACCTTTGATGACGAGAATGAGACCCCCTTGGTCATATTGTTGTGTCCAATTGGCGGTAAGGGCTACGCGCGCCCTTTTGAACGACGACAGTCGGGCGGATTTGTAGAGAATCGGCGCATTGAAGCGGTTCGTTGACGGTGGCTTCGACCAGACATCGGTAGATGGTGAAGCTTTCAATGTGAATTCCACGGGTATGTCGCCGTCACCCGGAACTTTTTCGGATGTGTTGGCGAAAGTAAAACCGACCATGGTTTAATAACCGTACCGCGGACTGGGCGCAACAAAGTTGAATAACACCGTGTATGGCGAGATATGTAAGAATAAAGTAAGTGTATAATAACTAATTAACAGTCTCAGAGGATAATAATCTGCAAAGGGATTATAGTATAGGCTGAGATAAACCACATCCTTTAAGGTCTAATTTGATGGGGGCAGTTTTTTGCTGTTTTCTTTATCTATACGTCACTATCACGTACATATAGCCTATATCCAAAATGCTCATTTTCGATGAGAGGATGATTCTAGATCAATGTGGGGTAGTGAAGGGAAGGGAAGCGGAGACGGCCGGGAAGCCTGTTCAGTAATTACTGAATCCTACTCTAGTTGTACTTGTACTGTACAATAATGATAACGAAAGCCACGGCAGAGGCGTACAATAAGTTGCGTACGGACTGGCTGCCCATCGTGTTCAAGCGTTGCGGTGTTCCCGGAGCATTCCCGTGTTTGATAAGATGGTGCGGGGTTAAAGGTTAGGCCCCCGTGTTTGGAAGCAGATGGTCTGACAGTTACTAATAACAATAGGAATTATAATGAGAATAAGAATAAGCATTAATAGTTACCCCTCGCCTGAGACATCAAGCTGTTGGAGAAGGATTCATAGTATGTATGGGCGGAGTCTTGGCGTTGATCACACGGCTGACATAATCGATCATCGCCAGCATCAGAGCTGTTGAGGATCGACAGACTGCATGCTGATGTCGTGAAGGCAGTGAGAAAAGAGCGGCTGATTTTGCAGCCCTCAACACTCCTAATCCATGAATCGAATCGCGATTCGTGATGTCCGCTCGACTCCTCCACCCTGACGAGTTCGAGCTTGCAGCTCGCTCGTCTGTTGATTCCCAAGAGACCTTCAACCTTGACGAAGCGGACTTCGAGTCTCAGTCTTATTCCAAGTCATACAGCTTTAGGCGTAAACCTGCATTTCTATCTCGCTTGCTATCCTTCACGTTTTCCGGATACCGTCGCATCAGAGATTCGGGAGCGCCTCTACCCTCGCCACGAAGGCCCGTTACGTGCTATCGCCGCCTGCTAGCCCGCCGTTCATGTTTCCTTCTGCACGCGTTCACCGGCATTATTCTTGCCCTTGTGATTCTGACATCGATATTCCGACCTTCCTATACACGATTACCAGCACACTATGAAGCTCTTCGAAAATCTGTATCAGAGTCGAATGCGCCGGGCAGGGGAAATCCACGGAATGAGAAGGTGTTCATTGCGGCTAGCATCTATGACAAGGGAGGTGACCTCGCACGGGGCCAGTGGGGCAAGGGGATACTCGACTTAATCGACCTTCTTGGAGAAGACAATGTTTTCCTAAGCATATACGAAAATGACAGTGGGGAGGAGGGACAGGCTGCCCTCCAGGAGCTCCAGGAAAAGGTTCGCTCAAAGAAGTCTATTGTCTTTGAAGAACATCTGAACCTGTCGGAGATCCCACACGTCACGCTTCCAGATGGATCCCAGCGCATCAAGCGCATTGCTTATCTAGCTGAGGTTCGAAACCGAGCACTGCGCCCTCTGGATCAACACCCGGAGATCGAATACGATAGACTTCTATATTTGAACGATGTCGTGTTCGATCCTGTCGATGTCCTGCAACTTCTCTTCTCTACCAACGCTGCACAAGATGGAGTCGCTCAGTATCGGGCTGCCTGCTCCGTTGATTTCATCAATCCGTTCAAATTCTACGATACCTACGCAACTCGGGACCTACAAGGATATAGCATGGGAGTGCCTTTCTTCCCATGGTTTACGAGCGCTGGGTCAGGTCAGAGCAGACGGGATGTACTTGCTGGCAAGGATACTGTGCGTGTGCGGAGTTGTTGGGGTGGAATTGTGGCCTTCGATGCAAAGTACTTCCAGGGTCATAATCCAGTGCGTTTCCGTGCAGAGAAGGATCTTTTCTGGGATGCGTCAGAATGCTGCCTTATCCATGCAGACATTCAAGATCCTGCGCCTGATATCGAAGCAATCCCGGATACTGGGATATATATGAACCCCTATGTCCGAGTTGCTTATGATAGCGGGACTCTTTCTTGGCTAAGAACAACGCGCCGTTTCGAGCGGCTCTACTCCCTGATCCATTGGATCGTTAACCATATCGCTGGCTTACCTCGCTTCAACCCTCGTCGGGGCGAAAGGCCTGGCACGGAAGTCGACGAAAAAGTTTGGGTTGCTGACGACAAGCTGGAGGGGGGAGGTTCTTTTGTGACCGTCAAGCGACTTGCAGATCCGGGTGGCTTCTGCGGGCGTCGGGGACTTCAGGTCGTTGTGGAAGATCGCAAAAAAGGGCAAGGTCCCTGGGAGACGCTCCCTGTTCCATCTGTTTGAGATTTGGTCTAGACACGCGGGTGTATATAAGGGTGGGTTAATAGATAGGCGCTGATCTAGGATTACGGAGTTTGTCATCATGATATTGCTAGTTAATGGGATAACTGTCATGTATCATCTTACCTTATATTGTTACAATGAATGCGCATATTCCTCTTAACCCCAGGTTTCTACGAGACTTGGTTCTGTCTTTCCGTCCTTCGCCTTAAAGCGGATCTGGTTATCTCCTTACGTTGAAGTTGGACTCATTTTATAATTGGAGGCCTCCCGGAGATCAGTCCAATTCGGTCCAGTCTTTTTGAGTTGCATGTGCTGAAAGGTATGTATAGCTCTGACCGTTGCTGCAATACCCATATCCCATACTTCTGCTCCCTTCCGTTTAGAGCTCTAGCCTGATTGGAAGGGTATATATCACCATGTCCTAGTTCTTATTCTCGAATTGATGGCCTATTCCCAGAAGGGTACATCAAAGATACTGGTGACCCCCAGCCCCTTTCAGAGCTCTTCACTTACCTGCCGCTGGACCTTTATGTTATATTTGTCTGACTGTTCTTTTGGGGGAGTCACCCGATTAAGAACAATAGGTGGCTGGGGTTCCCTCCAACATCATTCACGTATACTGTCACATGTTTTCCTTCTTTGCCTCCACCTATTAAGGGTTTTATTCTCCTAAGAAATACTTCTTCTCCTTTTCCTAACTCCCTGCTTCTTCATCTTGTTTCTCTAATAGAAATCGTGGTTGATAAGCTCTCAAGTTGCTGCGTTTGTGAAGGGTGTCTGATACACCTTAACCGCCATCATGATGGGACCTGTTGATCGCACAACTGAAATAGTCCAGGATGTCCTGTCTTTCTTTGCCGAAAACTCCAAGCATACGCTTGCTGACAGCAGACATGCTCCAAAGAATGCCAGACAGATGCTCAGTGCTAAGAGACCTTCGGTTTGTGCTTCCTTGTCTCCTTCCCGCACGCATAACGGCTTCTGGGTGCTCCTCAGGACGACAACCAGCCGCATGACTTTCATTGTTGGTACGCAGAAACTGAAAGCCGCTTCTTTCAACAGAGGTTTCCGGAAGAGCTGCGTCTCGGCGCTGAGAAGGGGACTCACCCAGAGACCCGCCTGCATGACCTTCACACCAACACCAACACCGTTGCTGCACCTCCCTTCAGAAGGAGTCCTCTTTCCTCAGGTAAACAAAACAACCTGAGAACAACAACCTCTGCAACTGCAAAGACCACCATGGCTCCTCCTGCGGATATCGATGATACCGCTGCCTTCATGGCTGCGGTTCGTAGCCGTCGTCAGCAAGCCTTGAGCTCCCAGTCCGACAGCATCGCGTCGTCCACCGCGGAGGTTGACCACGTTGAGACTCTCGTCGAAGCTCCTATCATCCCTGAACCTTCTCCTTCCAAGCAGAAGAAGGAAAACGGTATGTATGAGATGATTTGTCGCAGAGATCCTAGCCGTTAGAGACGGACGTATAACTAACAGGATTCTAGTCGAGCACGCAAAGGCGATCGCTCCCGAAGCTCCTGTTATGCCTCTCAAGGAGGAGAAACAATCTGCATCTTTTTCCCCGTCTGTTGGCCTTGAGGCTTCCAAGTGGGCTAACCCTAGATTCGTGTCCCCTACTCGTGCTCAGAGGACATTGAGGGACCGTGAAGCTTCTATCAGTGTTGTGACGCCCCAGGCTCGTACCCCTGAAGCTGTAACTCTCACCAAGGAGCCTGAAATCGTTGAGACTCCGGAGGTCCCTAAGCCGTCTATCACTGAAGAAGAGGACCGAGAGCATCTTACTCACTTCAAAACCTGGGGTGCCCCAATGGCTCGTGACAAGCCTGGTATGATTTCCCCTTCCGCTACTGGTGCTGAGTGTTGAATGAAGTCTGCTAATTTGGATGTCAACCATTAGCTGCCCAGGTTCGTCTCATCATACTGAGCAACCTTCCTTCGACCTACAATGCCCCTGCCAAAGTTTTGACTCTCATTCACGGCGGAGCTATCGAGAGCGTCCGTCTCTCCGCTGGTGGTTGTGCTTACATCTTGTTCTGCGATGCCACTGCCTGCAAGGCTTACTACGACCAGTATCCAAACGGTATCCCAGTCGGTCCTGGCGGACGCCAGACGATCTTTGTGGATATTGGAAAAGAGGTTGACGTCGTCAGTTCGCAGCTGACTATTGCGCTCTCAACTGGAGCCACCCGCGTTATTCGGTGCGCTGGCGTTGACATGAATGTCTCCATGAGTACTCTCTACGAGATGGCGTCTGCAAATAATCGCAAGGTAGAGAAGATCATTGATTCTTACGTCTCCGGAGAAGTATATTTCCCGCAGAATAACGTATTAGCGTGAAGAAGCTAACTTTACCATCTCAGTCTCGCCTCGTGATCTTTCGTTTCTGCTCCATCGAAGATGCAATTAGGTTCAAGTCCGCCCTCGTCCGCGACGACGATTGGGAACACTGTAACGTCCAGTACGGCGAGGATCCGTAAGTATTTCATATCTGCTAAAGTTTTTATCTCTCTCTGACTTCGATGTACCGTACCAGATGTGAGCTGGCCACTGGTCTTCACTTTGACTAGGGTGCACTAGCATCCTTCGTCATTGTGGTGGACCCCGCAGTATCTGATGTTCATGCGGTCATCCTTCAAAAAACAAAAAAAAAGAGATAAGAGAAAATGGGTGTTTATTTTCTTGAATTCGACAATTGATACTCCCAAGGCACTTGGTTGAGCAAAATAGTGTATTTTAGCAATGGCAACCATCGAACACCATAATGGAATCGACATCAGGCCAGCCAAAGTGTGCCTATTTCCTCGTGAGACTAGACCGTAGACAAAAGGCTGTATTCGCATAGAACTGAGTGAGATACACCTACGTTGTTTGTAGTAGTTAGTAGTAGTATTTATTATTAACGTCCGTCGGAAGGCTTCGCCTGTGGTCCTGGTGGCCTCCCATGGGGTATTTGGGACGTGCTAAGCCATGGAATTATTACTATACAGTGTATGTATGACCTTAGAAAGCAATTCAAGTCGTCGTTTAACTCGTCATTTGGAATAGAGGATGGAGGCGTGTTTCGACATGACGGCCCTTCTACATGCTATAAATACATATATATATATATATATATATATATATATATATATCTATTTTTGCAGTTTATCCTATCGATAAATATTACAACCTCCCCTACAGCATTATTCGCTTTTCAAACTTCTCCTTAGATATAGTTATTTTGTCAGTTAGGGTTTACTGCTCCTACCCTATAGTATACAAACCGGGTACTTAGCAGCTGCAACGGAAAGCTACCTAGATAGATAGATCCCACTTGTAACTATAGGGTTAAAGCAGACGGAGATGGGAACCATGGAATGAATGGTTAAGACTATGTTCAGTTCAGCTGCAATGTCAGGGAGCATATATAGGTGATAAATAGATTTCGAATACCTTTAATTTCTCTAAGCGATCAATAGTTATTTTATTCCCGTTTTAAATGCTTCTTTAGAACCTTAGTTCTAGATCTTCACGTATATGATGTTAGGGATGGTTAAGAGTTCTTGCTACAATATGGACTTCTTACGCTGTGTCTGAGATCTAATCACTGAAATGAAATGATATGCACATGCAGAACATTTATTCGTCAGTAGTTCTATTCTATGAAGCAAATTCTACGCATAAAAGAATATCGATTTGTCAGAATATTTCATTCATTTTTAGTCTATTAGAATTATGATCGTTTTACCCATCTCGGGTTCTACTTTTCCATATTCACCCCCTTTTTTTTCTGGTCCCCTTTTTCTGTTCTTGCTCTCTCGTCAAAAGTACTTTGCATATTCACATACGGACATGGTACCAACTGATAGCATAGTCGAGCTAAGACCTACCGGTCGGATATCATGATGCGTGAACCCGCAACACCTTGAAACAAAGGATGGACGAGCTAAGTTTTGAGTCTGAAGAGAAAGGGGATGGGGATGGGGACGGGTGCGCGCACATGGCTCGGTGGATCAAATAAAAAAAAAGACTGGAAAATAGGTCTGTATGGTAGACTAATGAATAATGCGGAGTTCTGCAGACCAGACCTAATTCGGAGAGATGATCAGGGACTTCCTTGATACTTGGTTGAGTACTTTTGTCGATATTAGTCCTAGTTAGCCTTGGTCCTGGATAGGAGAAGAAAAGATGTTTTGATGATAAGAGTAATGTAGGTTTTAGTCATAGGCCGGGGGATTTCTTCTCGCTTTGTTCTCTGCTGTATGTTAGCTCATATATTCATGGTCCATGTTCGCGATCATTGCAACTATGTGTTACACAGACATGAAAATTGGGAGCAAGGAAAATCTCAAAATTAAGAATAAGACGTGGAGCTGGAGGGGGGTTCAGAAAGGTCGCAAACTTGAAGGTAACGGCGATCGACAAGCCGCGAACTGCAGAGCTCCTTTTCTGGAAAAGGAGGCTGGGAGGTGGCATTTCTAGAAGACCATGAGACGAGGGGTTTGTAGGGATTGTTGGTTGATTCCGGTATGCTGAAGAATCTCATTATCTAAGGTCGGAGAAGGCGGGGGTAGTAGACACCGTACATGGAGGTACGGCAGGGTTGAAGGGGAGGGGTTGGCCGAGGACCATTAAAGGGTTTGTATTGAATGTATGGTAGGTGACATTGGGCAGGGATCAGAGAAACAAAGACGATGGAGGTGCACAGATAGCGTCATGTCATGCGCAATGCAGGAATTATTCCGACACTCTAGTGTTGGAGGGGCATAACTGCAGGTGCTCAGTATAGGATCAGCTTGGGAGAGTTACGAGGAAGAAGAGAGCATGCCGTACTGGCTTGTCCTCTTTTTCGGTATTTTGCTTTGATACACTTACCTAACAGCGTAGTATAACTATGCCAGCGGTTATGGATGGATGAATAAACTGAAATGCGAGCTCTTCATGGATGCATAATGTGAAGAATATTTGCAGACTATATCCAATGGCGTGGAATGGTAGGATATGATATCTCTGCGGCAAGGCTCTGCTGGCTAACCACATAGGCATGGATATCCAGACATAGTTGATCCAGACATAATACTTGCGGTGGCAGTCAATAGCTATTAGAATTTCTGTGCCACCCGCTTACTCGGTGATGATCATTCTGTTTCCGTACACGGTCGGTGAGACATATTCTCTGTGTCCCCCTTGAAGAGGGATCTGACTGGGCGGCACAGCGCCTTTCTTGCGGCGCAGTTCGTCTAGAATCTGGATGGCACCAACGAAATCGTCAGAGACCAAGGGTGCCGTAGCCGCTGGACTATCTTAGACCATGGGCCGACCCGTACCAGATGAATTCTGAGATCTGGCCAATCGTTCGGTCGTGATATGTGCCGCTTGCTGCTTCTGCCACAACGACGGCGCCCAAAGCGACAATAATTGCTACTACCCGGGGCCGATAGTACTAAGTAGTACTAGTACATTATTGGTGACGAAAGTTCATCAGTCATAACGAAGCCCTTGCCGCTCATAGGACAGGGCATACTGACTCGTCGAAAAGCTGTTCTTTCATCAGGAGCGCCAGTCAACCTAGCTACATGTGAGCAACGAGTCCAGTGTAGGTAGACTCCCCACCGGTAGACTACGACAACAATAATAGTCTTGTACATACATACCAATGATACCATAGACCACCTAAATTGGAAACTAGTAATTGTCTTAAGCGGGCCGAAAAACCACAGCCGGTGCAGGGGCTGCCAACAGTGGCGCGGTTAGAATGATCTTCTGCACACGACAGAAGATCAACTGGACACATGCTCTCCACGTTGGAAAACCGGAGTCGCAATAATAATAATATCCGAGATTATCTATACTGGGTCCGAAGTTTACCTCAATTGGCGCCGATCTGGTCTCCCCAGCCTCAGCACTGATCGATCGGTGGCTTTTCCATCCGGGATCCGGATCCGCCCGACGATGGCGGTGATCGAGAGAAGCATCTCGCGGAGAGTTATGCCCAGTCTAGTGCACAGATTGCGACATGCAGCACATGTTGCAGAGAAAGAAAAAGACCGATAGACGCGCTCAGACGCACTCCGTACGGAGTACTCCGTACAGCAGTCTGACAATCCTTGATACCAAGACCCAGTTTTCTTCTACAGACACTTCGGCAGCATCTCTCTTCGCAGTACCCACAGTAACGCAGTGTGGTGTCTAAGTATGTGGATCATCAAACGTATATTTTCAAATGACAACCGATTTCACTACTTCGTCGCCATTTTCAAGGTTAACGACACGGGATCCAAAGCGTGAAGCATACTGGTTATCGGGATTTGACCGCCATAACAGCTGCTGATAGACACATGGAAGTACGTACGCATGTACCGAAAGGGAAAACGCTCAGAGCATCGTGGTGCGGCGTTCCCTGGCACTTGATTCCCAGAGAATTGGATCGAACCCGAGGGCAAGGCGCCTGGGACAACATAGGATGATCATTGACAAGAGAATCGTAGCGGCCTTGAATATTCGACGACAGGGATCAGGGCAACAGTGGGACAGTGTGAGGTCTTCTGAGACAGTAGAGTGTGCTCTTGCACAATTAAATTCCACGTAGGATTGAATATCCCTGTCCCGGTTAGCACGAGAGCGCTTAAGGACCGGTAGCTCTGTGTGGCGTCAAGGTGATCATCCCTGCTGCTGCATGATGGTATCTCAACTGGAAGTACGAAGCCAACTCCTCACTGGAGCTCTGTTGATAGATTCTATTGTCGCTCGTGGACCTAGGTTGTTCGACTAGCTGGCAGAGTAGACGATGCCAAAGGATTCGCATAACTGGCTGTTCTAGGGCAGTAGAGAATGGAATACACAAAGTATTATGGCATGCTGATGCTCCATAACTAGAAGTTTGAAAAATGCCATCTGATTTCGCGACTTACGTCTTTTGAGAGACGAGAAGACAGATGTACAGTTACACGTACAAGATGTTTCAGAGAGCTTTCTGGGTTTGCTTGCACAATCACCTGACGGCAACGACCTGCGGCTTCCTTGCCCCAGGCTGTCACGATCCCTGGGCAATAGCAGCAGCATTGGAAAAGACACTTGTTGACAGTGAAGACTACACAACTCAGAGAGTTGCTTTTTACAGATGTACAACACGACTCTGAGGCTAAAAAGATAGGCAAAGAGATACAATTAGTTACTCTCGAGGTATGTCATCTCAAATTGATGAACTCGTTTGGTCTGGAGCTGGGTTGTGCCTGTATCACAATGGCCCTAGCTGCATTGTCAACGGAGACTTTCTAATTCCCAGATCAGAGCATTCTTCTCTCTGGATTCTAGATTGGAAACCGATCAGCCATCGATGAAGGAGGGCCCGAGACACAATGCTGAAGGACAGGGGAGTCTGTATTATTGCATGATCCTAAGCCACAGATCTCCCACCAGGAACACTGCTGACCGAATTTGTCATTAGAATTCGATAACTAGGCATCCTTAGCTATAGAACTTCAACAGCACTATTTACTCGCTTGTGGATACTGGATACGTCGACTCAGCCACTTCCGACAACCGAAGCGAACACCGGACAATGAGCGATACTTATCCTTCAGGTATCGTCTGAGACGTGGGATGTGACTGAAAGATGAGAACACAACCCACCCCAGTCGAATGTCGCACAGACACTGCGAAGCCTCTACTTAGTGGCCCCCGTCCTGGGCGGATTGCCCTCAGGACTTGCCGTAGCCAACGCTCTCCGCAACCGCGTATGGAGCTTCTAAGCGATCAACCCGCAAGCCCGTGACTTCAAGACTGCCGCCGAGATCGACAGTTCATCACCAAGATAGTGCTACTCTACTGATTAATTTTCTCGCCATCGAAAGGTCCGGTTTCCGTGTCTGGCAAAGATGCCACGGCATTAGCAACGATTCTCGTCTATCGTGGATTAGGGATCTCAAGCTCTCAGCTCTATCCACGTCTCGTATTCTCGGTGTCTCATTCCAGAGAGACGTCATGCCATCTCCACGGACAATCAAGCAAACAGAAGTGTACGATGGCCATGCTGAGTGACGATGAAAAGTGCAGGGCCCTGTATGTGAGATCATCACTGGATCTGCCCAATACGACACCATAATCTGTAGATTGCCAGAGTCTCCGTGATGCTCGAGACCCCTTTGAGGCTCTCCTCTCGGCCACGTCTCCACCTGCGGAGTTGCAGACTGGGAAAGTGGGTGGAAAGGCTAGGGCAAGCTATGGAAACCTGGAAGTCTTTCACTTCATCTCATCTGACTGCATGCGACTGCTATTATTATTCCTCGGTTGTCCGATCCAGGGTCCAGCCCAACGCGAGGGTGGCCCCTCTCTGCAACCTGGGGCCGAATCTGCGATCACTCCACGTCCCTAACCCAGAGGCCGATATGATATGAAGCAGCAACCGGCTCCAGCAGGATGCATAGATGCGTTGGCATGACCTTCAGGCTTGTCGCGCGGCAGACGATGGTGCGATGACTCCGCGTCCTCGTCAGAAAAAGATGACCTTCCTGAGTTTCTACTGCGGTGCAACGGGACCGACCCAACTTCAACGCTTCTCCTATTCGCTTCACGGTCCCGACAGTCTGGTTCAGATGCGAAGCCCCTTCAAGGATAGAAGATGCAACACCCAATCCTCACTTCACGCAGGTGTTGGTTCGACCCTCCATTGACACTAAGGAGCGCCGCTGCTCTCACAACCGCCGGACATTAGAGCGAGGGGAAGAGCAACCGAAAAAGTCCCACGCTTGCACATCAGGTTCGTCACTCTGTCGGCCTTTGTCACATCCACCCATGCTGGAGATTGTAATCTGAGAATGTCGAGAAACCCTGTCTGTTTTTCGATCGTGCGCGTTGCAGTCTGTGCTTGCGTAGTTTGTGGCCTGGTCACATCGAGCATCCTTTTTTCCCTCCTGTCAGACATGGGGAAGCGAGTCTGATTTTCGAGGCGCTGCGGCAACAAAAAGAAAGTTCCCCATCCCCAAGACAGGAGCGGATCCACTAGGCAGTGACATGGCTGTTCGTGGGGGGTGTTCTGAATATGCCCGCGAAAATGCCAAGGTCCAATCTGGCTGGGGAGCTGCGCTTGTCGACTGTGTCTTGCAGTCGACAGATGGCCTATCAGCGCTTAGTGACTGCGGTTGGGTGTTGGAAGGGCTCTGCAAACAATGTGATACGCAGAAATCATCCTTTCTGCAGTGATAATCCCTCCTTTGCTAGGGCGATGATACGGCTGCGGTAGTATCAAACCCAGAAGACGAGGAATAATAGCACATTCAGGACGGCCTTCCATGTCTCTTGAAATTGCGCCTTGCAGCTAAACCATCCTAGGTTTGAGGGAAATTACTGGCATAATTATTGCACTAGTCTATACGGAAATTGGCAACCGCTTCTGAGAAACAAAAGGTCGAATATGACCGTACTAGCCGGTGAAATAAGGGAGGGTTTGTTTTGTCCCATACTGCATGATGGTATCACCGACTAGCTAGTGTAGGGCCCGTTCGCGGGTGGTATTGTGTCATCCTCATCCAAGCAGCAGCGTATGGAGATGGTCCTGGCTTGTTCAGCTTGTTACTATTGCCGCGGAACTTTATCAGGCGCTATACCTGTGCAGCCACGAGGCACCAGAGAAAGCACAGAGGCCTTCTTCGGGTCTTTTGTAACACTAATTAGAGCAGATCATCTGCTAAGTCTCGAGTCACGAGAAGCTACCGTCCGTTGATTGTTCAGGCAAAGAAATAAGCAGATTTCCTCGCGAGCTTTCTCACATTCATATCGGAAGCTGGTCAACAAAACCATCCAGTTGCAAAAGTACCTGGATGATCGTTTGATATTCTTTACTGCTCGTCACAAAAGCTATCTCACACAGCGTCCACGAGCTCTCCTGGAGGTCTTACTGCCAGCGCAAATCTGCCACTCCGCGTCGGTCAACGATATTTCTGTACATTCACCAGAATCGAGTCGAGTGGTCGAGAGCAGACCGGGAGAACGCCGTGATACTTTGGAACGAAGGGCTCTCCTGAGCATATTTCTCCTCTGAAAGGACACCAGTGGTCTATCATCCGGAATATCAATTACTGTTGCCCCCCGTACCTTGACTCGAGACGAGCCTTGTACCCGACGATCTGCCTGCTCTTACAACTGTGGCACATAAGGCAGTTACATTCGACGCATTATCAGTGGTCCCCAGTTCAGAGCTGCTCTGGTATCCCTTACAACAATTATATCAGAGGCCATCGGCCTTCAGCCTGGAGGCCTCATAGACCTTCGAGAGCACGAACAGCGCGTATATCAACGCCATACACCTGTTCGTGACACTTGAACCCACAGCCGGACTTCGTTTCGTTTGAATTTTCATCTCTTGCTCTTTTTGAGTGGCAGATTCTTCTATTCGACCATCGCCAGTTCGTGGCTTATCAGCATCCCGCAGAGAACTACTAGACCGATCTCTGTTGTTCACTGTTGGGAGTCACCGTGCTCTCTGCCACCAGTTTCGTTTCCATGGCTCAGACAATGATGCAAGAGCTAGCTATACGCCCCCGTCAGCATCCAAGCCGGATATCGATCGATGCTCTTTTGAACCCTCAAGACGAAGAACGTGTCCCGCAAGAATATCCACGGGAACTGCAATACTACCAGAATCCCATTGCACTTCATTACTCCTCACAATCCGTGGGGTTCTCTGAACATATGGGCTTCGTCGGACCCCCACGATCAGCACACTCCTCTCCAGGTCCCTACAGACGCGAGCGGTACGACTCGGTATCGAGTAGCGCGTCCAATGTATCCGAACGTCGTCGTCCTCCTCGACCGAAGTACGAGGAAGAGGAGATGTATTTCATCTGGTATCACCGCGTCGATCTCTCTCAAGACTGGAAGGAAGTACGGGAAAGTTTCAACAGGCAATTTCCCAACCGACAACGACGTGGCTTCCAAGGGATCCAGTGCAAATTTTACCGTTTCATCAAAGAAAAGAAATGCCCAACTTTAAGAGAGCAAAGACGCATGCGCGATGGAGAGTTCATCGCTCGTAACGGTTCAGGGCTGTCGGATTGTTCGCCCCGTTTCGGCGTCAGAGAGTGGCTCCCAGGCGTATGGTATCCGTGGATGAATACTAAATTATGACATTGATAATCCCTATGCCTGGAGAAAATGTACCAGCTTTCCACGCTTGGTACTTTCTCACTTTTGATTATTTTCACATGGGGAATGTGCTACATTCCCTACCAGCGATAACTTCTCATGACAGTCTACGACAGCAGTGCAGTCATTTCATATTCCCCCCGACACAATTCTATGGCGGTGTTCTTGCGCTCTTTGCTTTGGACCTTGATTCCTGGCGTCTTTTATTTCGGGCATATATATTATATACATCTATTTGCAAAATGTCTGTCTTCAAAGTTCGGGAGTCTCGAACTTCACCCTAACCCTATCAAACCTGATATGAGTCACTGACTGTAATCTATTATCTCTATATCTCTTTTTGTTTTATTTTCACTTCTCTCTTTCTTCCACCTCGTGCCTCATATTTATCACTTACAGAAGGATATCATCACTTGGATCATTAGTTAGCACATCATGGAAATAGTCTTCCTCCAGCATACGTGGCAGATAATCAAAGCATTATGGCTTCTTCCCTCATCTAACATACCAGACTTTCTTGTTCGTCCAAGTAGGTTAGCCGTAGAGAAAATATCTGTTCTACAACCCTGCAGTGCTGCCTAAGGCCTCAAGGCTGCCCTGGACGTGGGGTCCTTCCAAGACTCCGCGTATATCCGGCAGGTATCTAAGATGTATTTTAGAACTGTTGAGAACGTGACCAATCTGTCTGTCTTCTTTACATTTTTCTACTTTACAATTGGGAATCGTTGTGTTATTACTGTACAGTAGGCGATACGAAGTGGGAATCCATCGGAGCTCAACTAGAAGGTATTTATTATTTCCATGAGCTCGAAACACCAAACTCATAGCTGCATTCAAGCCGACGCGTCAAAATGCCATGCCATAATAGATATCAAATGCCAGAAACCTAGCCAATGCATCAAAACACGAAGAGTAGCGTGCGAATATGCGATGAGAGAAAAAAGAAGGAGAAGACGAAGAAGAGGTGGGTGAGAAGGGAAGACGGAAATGAATGATTGAGTTGCCATAGGACATTCATTCTCTATCATCATCACCAGTCATCTTCGTTCTCGTCCTCGGAATCGAGCCCATGGTGGAATCGCTGGCCGAATCGAGCCACGAGTTCGCCTTCACTGTCGTAGTCGTCCATGTCGTAGCCTTCGTCATCGGAATTGGCACGGTTGCGGTATCGGCTGTATATAGCAGAGGGATTGTCGTATTCGTCGGCTGAAGACAGCTCTTCGTCTGGGTAGTCGTTGGCGGGGTTATCCTCGGCTGTGGTTACGAGTCACGTTAGCAAGCCTGACTAATAAATGTATTATTATGATATGACGAGGGAAATATGCTTACCGTTCGAGTCGGCGTCTTCGCTATCCCATTTTTCTTCCTCTTCTTCATCCACCACGAATGGCTCCCAGTATTCTTCATCTTCCTGGGAGATGACCACAACACCAATGTCTTTTCGCGTGGTATCGATGTCAAGAAGAGGATCCGTAAGCAACCCATTGGCTGGTAGTGGCCGACGAACATAGACATCATAGACATAATCACCGTCACTGTCTTCCTCTTCCTGGTGAGTTTCAACTTTCGTGGAGTCGGGTGCTCCCTCCTGCTCGGTCGTCTTCGCTGCACTCTCCACTATTGGAGTTCCTTGGCGCTGTCTGTTCGGAGTCCTAGGTTGGTATTTCAGGGCAGGTTTTGGAAGCACGTTCCGGGGAACAGGTGCAGGAACCTCCTTTGGCTCTGCAGGCTGCGTCTCCATCTGGGTTTCCAGGTCTCGAGCTATTTGATGAAACTGGCGGGCAAGCCCTTCTGACTCATCATCAACGTCAATATCCGGAGGAGTATGAACATCTTTATCATAATTCTCCGTGATATGCGTTTTCGCCGCAGAGATAGCGGCTTTCTGCTGCTCCCTCCAGAGTCTCTCTGCTCGGTTCACGACCGGACGCTTTCTAAGCGTAGGAGCGACCTCGGGAGCTTTATCAACGTCTGCGACTATGGGCTTCTCCAAAACATTCGCATCGCCTATAGCGTCTCCCGTACGTGCAATGGTCTCAAGCATAGCAGTCCTCTTCGGTTCCGGTTTACGCGCAAGCTTCTCTACCAGAATCGCTCGCGAAGGTCTCTTCTGCACACCTGCATGACCAGCCCTTAGTGGACTCGCTGGTGTGGCAGGTCGCGCAATATGGAACTTTCTCAGAGACGAAGTTCTTCTGTGCAAGGAATGAGGGCTATTTCCTGTACTGGGTCCGGAAGACACCGCACCCGCTGGCGTAGCTGGTCTAGAAACCTCAGCAGACGTAGCCGACTCATGTCCAGGAGTCGAGTTCAATGCCTCCCTGATCTGATCTTGAGCCTGTTTTTCAGCTGCTGCAAGCCGTTTCTTTTCTCGGAGCTCAGCCCCAGGCGACGTAGCGCGGACCAGAGGGATCACTCCACCGCCCAAAGTTCCACGAGCGCCATTCGAAATAGGCGGAAATTGAATGTTGCTCACAGACCTTGGGCTACGGATCCCCCGTCTGGCAGGAGAGATCGCCGCCTGGGGAGGTCCAACGGGTACTTGGCTAGCATCGCCACTGATTCGTACTCTCTGAAATACGAAATCTGTAAAGCGTCTCTTCTTCTGATGTAAGTCAGATTGAATATCTGTGATGATCGTTAGTGTGAGTCAGATATTGATTTTGGAAATTGAGACTGCGTCGTATGGTTCTTACATCCTCACGGCCCATTCCACAAGAGAGGGCGGGAGGAAGACAACAACGACTAGTCACAAATAAACATCTCAAGATACTGGTGAGAAGGACATACATAAAGTCTCCACCGGCTCTTCCTCTCTACGACGCTTGATGTTGATGTGTTCTGGAGGCAGTGTCATGATGTCGAGCGCAACGCCACCGAGCAACGAAGGGAATGAACAGACAGAGAGATGTGTAGAGTCTCGAGCTCTGCTTTTGCAACAACTCGCGATGTCCCCTCCGCCACATCGGGACTAGCGGCGCGCTTCGACCACGGCAGCGTATAGTCACGTGACAGATCGCGATCTGACTGATAAATGAATCGAAGAGATTAACATAGATCGATACTCAAAGATGATTCCCAAGACATTTATTATTACTATTACTGTACAGTGGAGTTGGGACATGTGCATTAGACCCCATCGTCTGTGGCATCCAGACTCAAACTGCATCATTCTCGTGTAGAGCGACAGTAGAAGCGCATCATTGTATTGCTATCCAAGATTGCTTCTTCGCTATTCCATTCCCTCTTCCAGCTCTTTTTTATTTCCCTTTATTTTCTCATTACCTCCGTGCAGCTCCCTTCCCGATGAGGTCTGGCCCAGAGTGGAGCATTTGGCTCAACAATCAATGTAATAAAGACGGCATCATGAACGGAAAGCAGAAAGGAACACGACAGGAAGGAACAGAGCCAACCAGTCTAGGGTATAGCCGACCTGTTGCGTCTTCGTAACCAACTGGATCGAAAGCTGTGCACAGCTTGTAGAAGGAGAAAACTTCGTAGCCAGCTAGCAATACAATATGATTAGGGGGGAAATTTTATTAAAACGGATTAGGCACGTTACCGCTGGATGTGTGAAGGTGTTTGGACAAGCAAAAAGAGAAAACACTTAATTGAAGCCAGTACAAGAAACGAATAAGTAAAGAAAAAACAGCGAAGGGTCAAGAATCAGAAGATGCCGATTGAAGTGAACAGAGAATGGCTTCATTTGGCCCCAATCTCCTCTTCAGCCCAGCCGGGCAGAGAGGATTCATTCTGGATAGCCAGACCAAAGCCATTGTGGTTCAGACCGCCAAGGGCGGAGCTGAAACTGGAAAAGCTACCCTGGGGTTGATGAGCAACACCGGAACGACCTTGGGTGGTTTGACCCACGGAAGGGCCGAACGCGTCAGGAGAAAAAGAAGGCAAGCTGACAGCCCGCGAATGTTGTGCGCGTGGCACGCTCAAGCTGCTACCCGTAGAGGTGTGGTGACCACCACTAGAGGGACCGCCGGAGACATTCAAGAAGCCACTGTTGGAAGGCTTGTGCTGATGCAAGGGGCTGTCAAGTCCGCCATTGGTAAGATCATTGGTGCCGGCACCATTGTAAAGCGCCGCTTGCTGGTTGGCAAGGGCTTGTTGTTGCTGTTGCTGTAAGGTGGCCAGGGTAATCGGATCACTAAGACGATTCTCCTGTTCCTGGGCCTGCTGCGCCGAAACCTGATTCAAATACATCGTCAAAGGGTTGCTGTTTCCCGCGTTCAGAATGCTGGATGGCGTCGAGACTGTCTGAAGGGGATGACGGGACTGGCCGTTCTGAGAGTGCGAGCCTGTCGAACCAGGAGCAGGCGAAAGAGCGGGCCTAGTCGGGCTCGACTGAGATCCTGACCGACTCAAATTCTGCTGGAAACCATTCAGAGCGGGAGATGGAGACTGGGGTCCTTCCAGTCCAGAGCCGTTACGGTTCTGCTGGTTGCTATTGACCTGACGGGGAGGATTGCCACAACGGTCCTTGCCAAAGTTGATCTTGAACCGCTTGTATTCCTCCCGGCTTCGCATACCCTCAATGGCCTTGATGGCGTTTGCAATGTTGGTGAAATTGACGAAGGCACAGCTCTTCTCTCTGAGAGTGTTGACTAGTTCGATTTCTCCGTACTCAGAAAAGTCCTGACGGAGGCGCTCTTCAGTCCACGTCTCGTCCAGATTACCAATGTATACATTGCGTGACGCGCCACCGCTAACAGCAAGGGCAATCGCAGGAGGCAAAGCGCCAGAGTGTTTACCCCAGCCAATCTTTAGCCTTCGGTTGTGGATCATCAGTCCCTGCAGGTTGCTCAGAGCGTAAAAAGAGGCCGCGGACGTTGGGTCAATGAAGGTGACGAAGCAGATGTGCTTGTCTGGGATGTAACGGATGTGATGAAGAAGACCTCCACGAACAACATTGCAGATCTCCTCGACGGTAGTTTCAGGATGGATGTTGCCAAGGTAGATGGTTCGGTTTCCAAGGTTGTTGACACCTCCAGCGGTAGTTGCAACAGCAGCGGCAGCCACTGACTGCTGAGCCAAGGCATTGGAGATCAAGTCACGATCGGCGCTGTTAAGGATATGGGCGTAGCCGGGCGCAATTCCCAAGTACTGGGCGGCGTTCTGCTGCTGAGTCTTGGAAACGTATGCGCAGCGGTCCTTACCGTAGAAGACACGTTTCGGGGCCTGCCACTTAGGCTCCTGAGGCAGTTGAGAGACTGCCTTGATCGCGTTGCTGATGGACAAGAAGTGAATAAAACCAATGGCCTTCTCCTTCACAATCTTCACAGTATCAATGGGCCCAAATTTGCCGAGATCTTCCCGCAGTTCCTCCTCCGTGATATCTTCCGGTAGGTTTCCGAGATAAACGTTTCGTGAAGCTCCCGACTGCTGCACAGCCAGAGCCACAGAGGTTGGAACTTGAGAGGGCTTTCCCCATCCGATCTTGATGTCATTGCCCTTGATGGCCAACTTTTTCAAGATGGCATCCGAATGGAAATGGGTCGCTGAACTGCCATCCAAAAAGGAAATAAAAGCACAGTTCTTGTCAGGAAGCAGGCGGACAGACTCGATCTGTCCACTGCGCACATGGTTAAGGATCTCCTCTGCAGATGTCTCCGGAGGGATGTTGCCAAGGTACACAGTGCGGCTTGTTCCTGACATGATTCCCGGGGCGATTCCGACCGAGGCGGCTGGACCACCAAATGCAGCATTACCCATGCCGGGGAAACCACCAATTGGAGAATGGGGTCCACCCAGCAATTGGGAACCGCCGAAGCCTTCGGTCGACATCAGGGACGAATAAAGTCCTGGCGAGAGAGCGCCCTGCTGGGCCTGGGTCGGGCTACCGAGCTGGTTCTGGTGGTTCTGGCCGGGAGCCGAAGGGTTGCCCTGGGAAAAACCGCCAAAGTTCGTGAATTGCGGTGAGGCAAAGGCCGAAGGAGTCCCTGGCTGGAAGGGACTGCCTAGAAGCAGCTGCGATGGCAGAAGAGGTGTGAAGTTCATGTCGAAAGGCGCTCCGGATGCCGACAAGTCGTTGGCGTTGTGGCCGTTCGATCCTGTATTAATCGAAGGGATGTTCGCACGGCGAGTAACGCGGTCCCCGAAACCCTGACCACTGAAATTGTTGGAATTGTATGCACTGTGGGAGAAACCGGTGTGATCAGCGTTAATAGCGGATAGCTTGGACACCTGTGGGATCAGACGAGAACTATTAGGGATGGTCGAAGCATCCGAGGTTTGCATGGCGAGGAGATGGGACGGCAGGACAAGGTCGTCCCCAACGGCGGAGGAGAGTACAGCCGTTTTGACGATGGAGAGGTCCGGTAGCTGGTATCACCGGACACAATGCACGAAGGAATGGACGCTGATGCCGTTGGAACGAAAAGCGAGATCCCGACCACCAGGCGTGGGGAAGAACAACCAAGAAGGCCCGTAAGATATCTACCGAATGGTCCCTGCGGTCAATGGAATGTACATTCACAATAGTATCGAGAAGACCACTTACCTGAACAAAACCTGAACCTGAGAATGTCGCTACAGTTGTTCCGGCCCGGAGCAACCAACGGCAGAACAAGAAAAAAAAAACAAAGAAGTAGAAGTGAAGTCAACCCGTCAAATCTGCTGCACCCTAAAAAGAAAGGCTTGAATCCGTCACTCTTTTCAGAGGAAACCAGAGACAGTACCTGATTAGAAGCAGTGCACAAAGAATGGGATGAAAGAATTGACTATGAACAGGCCAGGCAGGATTAAGTGGGCTGTAAAGGGATAAGCCGAAACAATAGAGTGAAGGGCCCGGGCGAAAAAGGGGGTTTGAAGGAAAATTGATAACGAACGAGCGAGCGAGCGGGGGGTTTCGAAGGAATTATAAAGAAAAGATAGATCGAGTGTAAAGAACGTGGAGAAGTAAGGAATGGAGGAAGGTATGCAAGAAGCAACAATAATGTTCCCAAAACGAGGAGGGAACAGAAGAGGGCGAAAAAGAGGAGGTAGAGTGTAAGGGAGAAAAGCCGAGAGGCAGTTCAGGACACGACTCAAAACGGAAGAGGGCGAGGTTTGGATGGACCTCTTCTCTCCGATTGTTTTGGCAGACTGAAGCTCGACTTGTCGGGTACCGGGGATTGGGAAGACGGGGCTGGGGAGCACGGCGGTACCGTGGTACGTACCCTGATTCTCGCAAATAGACTGGATGAAACCGCGGCTTGAGTTCGAGAGGGAAAAAAAGAATAACAATGCAGATTGGAAGCGGCGTACAGGGATTGGAGGGAACCAGACGGGTTCCTGAACGGTTGGTGGTGTTTCTCTGGGGCCGCGAAGGGAGAAGAGGCTGTCGAGGAGCCTCTCACAACTTCCGAAGGGCTTTCCACGCTCTCTGAAGGACTGTTCAGGACATCGCGAGAAGCCCCCGACATGGCAGGGAACAAGCCCAACCAGACCCAAGACTAGAGACACTGGCTACCAGCACGCGATGCCCCTTCAGTCTAGTGGCGCCCGGACCCAGTGGCTCTCCTAGGTCTGGCATTCCTGTTGCGAAGAGCCCGAACCATTTAGTCGCTGCTCCATTTTCTTGGCATTGTTCAAGGGAGGATCTCAATAGTTGCGAGATAATAATGCTGCGCGCCTCTTTTCCATGGCTGCTGCAGGTACGAGGCATTGGGTTCCGGCATACAGCTTATTTCGCGCAGACTGCAACTCTCGGTGCATGATGGACGGCAGTAACCGTTGTAACAGGGTAGTCTCGTGTGTGCAGTTAAAGGAATAACGGAGCCGGGTTGTGCCAAATGGCGCCGATCGACCCTTCGTGGAGCTGACTCCTCCTGAGCCCTTCCAATTCAGGACATATTATTACTAGGTGCGCTACGGCTAGGAGGGGCCGTAGCAAATAATCATTGAGCGTAGTGACCAAGCTGGCTGCTCTGACTAAGCTGGCTGCTGGCGCTGACGCGCTGGCGCGCTGGCAAAGCCTGGCAGATAGGTTGATTGCTTAATCAGGTAATTTGTCAGGTTCTTTTAATGTAGTAACTGTGGATGATGAATATTGTAAAGAACTACCTAATGGATGAAGCCAGCTAGTAATTGCTAGATAGTATAAGAAGCCGAAGTTAATATAGGATAGGTAGGCAGAAGGGGGATAGGTAGGAGAGATTTAGCTAATATAATCGATATTTCAAACAGACTAATAAGAAGCCAGTATTTAGATAGAAGAAAATTCTTTAAAAGCGAGCTTTAATAGATAAAAAAAGCAAGGGGTAAGGACTGTAAAGGGTGTAAATTAATTAATATAGACGCGAAACTGTATAGGAGATTAAGAGGAGTTATTTTGATTTCTAAAAACAGTAGGCGGTAAAGGTCATGTGCTCTTTCCTTCAAAAATTTCCTCTTAGGGAAGACATCACGTGATGAAGGACCAATCAGAGCGAGGGAAAAAAGTGGAAAAAAAGTGGAGCACTTTTGCAGCCAGTATATTGAAACATTTCGCTAGCGCTCAATGATTATTACTCGTACCATCGACTTTTAATCCGCCGTTGGCCAGGGACTGCGCCGTCCACGTAGTGAGGTCCATAGGGCAGGGAAGGCTGGGGTTCAAGAACCTCGCAGAGAGAAATAATAATGACTGTCGGAATCAGGATTATCAGACAGACATGCTCCTCGTGGCGTCTGGACGAACCCGCGTCCATTCTGTCCTTACTGGTTCGATCTCATGGGATTCCTGAATCATCTTGAACCGACGTTCAGGCCGCCGGCCGCCGAAATCCTTGAGCGTGCAATGGGAAGATCGCCGGGATGCAGATGATCTCCACGCGGTACCTGGGTTCTTCATGTTCATCAGTCGCATCAGCGCTCTTCATCATAACTGGTGACTCGTGAGATGGTTCAGCAACCTCCTTCTAGAAGCTCTCTGGACGAAACTGCAGAGCCCCTGACTAGCATCATTAGCCGCTCTCGTTCCGTGTGACCACCCGACTTTGCAGTCGTGGGCCACAGTTTCTCTTCAACGATTTGCTACATGATGAGGTCCCCACCTTTCAACCGTGGTCTTAAAAGACTTCAGTTTGTTCAAGAGACCTGGTTCTTTGCCTCTACAGCAATGAGGAACAATTATTGCAGTTGTGGTGTCGAATATCAGGTCCAGTAACTGTGTTGGCTGCTCGGTTATGAGAGTTTGAATGATTCTAGATGAACGCGTTGGCAGGCTGTCATATCTGCCGCAGGCTCATAGGACGGCGCATGACGCATGAATAGGCTCCCACCACAGGAAGCTGACGTAAGACCAGACGCCAAAGTAGTTAACTAGGTTTCTGTGATTGATATCTCTCTCCAGAACTTTGGAAAAGCTCCGCATTGTATTTCCCGAATTGTATCCGCAGCAGACATTGCGGGGTCGAGGAGCTCATGATTTCCATACGGTGGATTCGCGAAACCTAGAACAGATGACAATCTGCACTGCAGGAAGGCCAACTGGAAAATGAGGTTGTTGATGCATCACAAGAGGCGACAGTCGGTATCCTAGGACACCAGCCATGATCTGACAGGTTGCCATCCTGGAATTCCATGTGGCAGCATTTAGCGCATCAGAAGATGTCCCATGCTTAATAGTTTAGGTGACATCAGATTTCGGGATGACAGGGCCTGGATTGGAATTCCTCATATTAGGCTCTTGAACACTAAAACCGGTCAAATAATTCTTTGGTGAGCTCCAGACGCATCCCTGGACACTTGAAGAACGCTTGCCTTCAATTGGTTCATTTACAAAGGTCGGTCGCGTGGGAGACCTTTGGAATGAAACCGCGGTGCTAAGGCATCTCACTGAAATTAGCCAAGCGTCTGAGAGATGGAGAATCCCTGTTCTGAAGGCACTTTGGGTAGATAGTGATGATACTGGTGAGAAAGGAGTAAACGACCAGTGATGGATCGAGAAGAGCCACATGAGGATCTATGACAACACATCCCCGTCTGGATATAAAGCTTGACTCTGGATTCTGAAATGCAGCCGGCCCTAAAGCTAAGCTGAGATGTTTCAGCTGTAAGATGAGGGAGACGCTTTTACCCTCGCGGAAACACCTGACTTTCAAGGAAGGACCGGGTGGGCTGACACCTAAGGCATGAAATAGGTAAATACTATCTTGGGAAATAAGAAATTGTCTCACTGTCCAGCCTTGTTTTGCTTATTATCATCATAGCATTCACCGACTGAGTTGTACATCATACCCATCAGCAATGAGGCAACTGGGTTAACTGCTCGAGCTTTCGTGCATATGAAGCAGGTCTTGCTGAGCGTCTTCTTCAACTATATTTCTTTGATGAGTAGACCTCCTAGATGTATATTATTCGTCTACCTGACTTGATTCCTTTAAAAGGAGGACTGACTCATAAAGTAACTTCTACGCCTTTCGTGTTCGTAATTCGACATTTTACAATAATGGATATTGTTTCTTCAGTGGGTTACATAGTTCTCATACGGTGATTACACCTATAGCTATCCTATATCGACTGGCAAATGGGCATCTTTCCAAGTAGTATATGAGGAACCAAGATCTCTTTTCTGTTTCCTCATACGACGGAAATGCGCCTAACGTTCTAATCTGGTCTTATCTAGGGAGCAGGGTGGATATTGACAATATTCAAAGCGTCAAGGGGAGTATCGCTTCTGGCCGTCGGGTACTATCATCCCGCAGGTGCTAAGTGGTGTAGGTATAGAAGCTTGATAGATGGATAGGATTCCTTGATCAACCTCGCGAAAGAAACCATCATAACGATACTAAGTCTATTGTGCTGATCCCAATTGAAGCAAGTCTAATAATGAATGTTCACAAGAATGCCCAACAACCTTTTTTTCCCCTGTCCTACATTCGCCATTTGCATATCTTCACTCCACTGTCACTGACGAGCACCCCGGTATAAGAAATTGAGAAGTGGAAATAGAAAGACGCTTATAATAACACCAAAAAATCGTAGGTTACTGAACGGAAGCTCTCCAGCATGACACTATTACTCCATTGCTTCAAATATTGAACCAGCAGATCCCAGCCACAGTACGCTCCGCTGCACGCAACGTAGCAGACTCTATTTCGCTGTAGCATCGATGTTGCACAGCGCGGAAGTAACCGACGAGACAGAATGAGTAGGCTTCTTCGCCTCGCTTTCCCCCCAGGTGCCACCGCTGGCTGGGAAGAGAGAGCCGCTGTCGCTCGACACGATCGTGACCACCTCGACACTTGAGGGTGCGTGCATGTGCGGCACAACCAATCCAACACCTTTCGTAGCGCCGGAGCTTCCCGAGAAAGAAGGGTTGTGTCGAGGAGGCAGAGGGCGGTTGCTGAAGTCAAACATCAGACTCACGTATTCCGAGCTGCTATTGTAGGACGAAGTAGCCGTGGAGGGAGTGTGGGTCAACGACGGGGACCCCGTTGCTCCGGAGGTTAAGATAGAGAGGCTACTAGAGCTGCGATGGCTCATACCCGGGCGACGAGCTGCTGGAGTAGCTTCATCATTGCCAAGGAACTGAGATAAGAAGTTCCATGCTTCGGAGGATGCCAGTGAGGCGGCACTGCCATGGCGTCTGTGTATCACAGGCTTCCATTCGGTCGGGTCAAGATCTGACTTGGCATCGTGAAGCTCTGCAGGTATCCGGGCGGTAGGAAAGGAGCTGGCGGGAAGTCTGGTCGGCGTCAAGGGGGCCACGATAGATCGCGGGGACATTGGCGGGGAGGAAGGAGGTGACGTTGATGGCGACATTGATGCGCTTACTGCAAAGGATGCAGAAAGGGGCTTGCACGAATCCTTACGGCGGCAGCTGTAGAATTACAGTAAAGACAGTTAGCAAGAAATAGTGAGGAGGAAAGGGAAGGGGGAAGGGCAAGACGATAAGGGAAGGGCGTTGACGGATGTCTAGTACCTTTCGCTACAATATAGGATAGAGTTGTTGGGAACGGTTATCTGTCTCTCGCACGTCGCGCTGGAAACAATTGTCAGCCGGATCAGGAAATAAAGCACATGGCCTTGGTCAATTCAAGGGACAAAGAATGTAGGAGGCAAAATTAGAAGAGTGGCCAGAGATAAGACAGAGAATAAAGGGCGCAGTCATAACATTGACAGCCACCCCGGTCATCAGCGGCTGACAGAGACCCGAAACAATGCCCTGCGGTCGTCTCTTGCAAAGCGCCAACAGCTAATATCAAATCAAAATTATCAAACAGACCTACCAGTACTGAAGGAAGCTGGCCGCCATGTCGGGCTTCTCCTCGTCGTCCTTAGTAGATCGAGTCGTGGGTCCCGATCCAGCGCCCAACTTGGAAATGGAATAGTGCGCTGTGGGCGTATTTCGACTCAATCCCGGCCGCGATGGCCTCAGGCCAGATGCTTTTTGGGCATTAGAGGAGGATGGAGTGCGACGGTGGTGAGAAGAAGAGTGACTGGTATGGGAGTTTGTCATGGATGGCGGTGTGTCTTTTTGTATCGATTATATACGGGTCCTAGTCTGGCTGCTCCACCAAATTTCTGGCCTTCTACGACCAGGGATGTCCGTGGATCAGCGGCAATTTCTGCCCTGTCAAATTCGCAATGGAAGGCTGCAGGGGAGCCACAGTCCAATAACTCGATTGTCCGTCGATACCGCCGTTGAAAGACCGGATTGACGGCTGGTCAATGCAGGGCCCGATCGTCGGAACTAGATCTACTACTGTAAATCGCGCGGATCCTGGAAGACTAGAAGATCATAAATAAATATGGAATGGAAAAAAAATCTGCACTGCGGTGGAACAAGCTGTTAGATAGAGCGCAAGATTCAGTCAGAGTCATCCTTGGTGGGGGAGGTTAACATGGGATAAACACATCCGGCGGCTATATCGATGACTCTGACTGGGGGGAGATAAGGGCGGAGACACATACCAATCAATCTGGTGGCCAGAGCGGTGAAGCATGGGAATTTCTTCCAGCAACGAAGGGCGATAAGACAGTTTTCCAGGAAGAAAGAATGGGAGAGGAACAAGAGTCCAAGTGCACGGATAATATATAATAGATCACAACAAGTGAGGAGCAGCAAAGGTACCCGAACGAGTAACGAGTAGGTGACGGCGGAGCACGTCAGGATGTTCTCGAACTCCGGTCGATGCGAAGGTCTGGACTTCCCGGCGGGCACGCACCAGGCAGCTGCGTGTGGCGCGTGCGTGGCTTTCCTGTGGCTAGTGTGCCTGGACGGGCGCCTGACAGCCTTGCTCGCTCGTGATTGCCTGAGGCTGCCGAAAGCGGCAGAGTCGAGAACTCCGGATGGCCCGTTACAGAGCCCACTCGACACGCAACGCTCCCGATATGGTGACGCGAAGACAGGCAGAGACTCTGTACGCGAGGGCAGACCTGTCCTCTCGCCGGAACAGATCTTCCTCCCCAGACACTGTGAGTGTGGCCTCGATCTTCGGTTCCGCCGCCTCCTAACTCAGCAGCGTGGAGACCTGTTAGAGGCGGGCTGGTCCACACAACGATGTCTATCTATACTTAGATATGCGCAATTCCCCGTTGGAAATCGAGATGCGGTCCGATCTCCCGCTTTCTTCTTATCCGCAGAACATGAAACGAGTCAGCCTTGTCTGTAACCGAGAGAAAATGCGATAATAATAACTGAAGAAGCTCTAGGAGTTGATGGACTGCTACATTGTGCCATTATCGCTTTCTCTTTATTTATTATTACTGCGGATGGCGTGGTCGGCATGCATCTTTCAAGTTCCTCGTTTTCCCGATCAATCCATCCGTCCGTTTCTCTGAGCAAATTCCAATCACCTCATCACGTTCTCGCCCAACTGTGGGGAGAATAGCATGACAGGTCACCCTCGCAGGCCAGGACCTTTTTTTTTTTAAAAACTTGCTCCTACGGCGATACTTCTCCAGTAGTAATGCGACAAGACAATATAGTCGTTTCGAAAGATCGTCAGGGACCGGTCTAGAGTATCGACAATTGTTGCGGTCAGCCGTAGCGCCAATAATAGTCTGTGGTTTGCGGCAAGCTACATGCAGATGGCTAAAACATGCTCACTGTCTATCGAAGCCTGCGAATCTCCAGCCCACCTTGAGGGAGCACGTAATGCCGACGCACGACCAAGAAAATGCCGGGTCCTTGCGGTAGATAGTATCTTCCCCAGGGCGCTTAGGAGACCGTCAGTTTCAATTACTGGAGAACGTGAAAGGCAGTTACATATTAATTATCGGACAGAGTCGGAGTGTGATTGCTTTCATCCCTTCCCAAATTCCGTCCAAATTGTAATCGCCAAATGAACATACAGCCTGGGATGATATCAATGGCATCATGCTCAGTCGGTAGACCTACCGAGAGTCCATTCAAATCTCAACCTTGAATGATACCATTTCCGCGATTTCTGCCGCCATGAGTAGAAATGATGTTGATCCAATAGAAGCCCTCCAGATGTGAGAATTGACGGTACATACTACAACATCAGGCCTCGACGAATGACGACATCGATTCCTCTTGGAACATGTCGAAATTCTCCCTTCCGTCATGGTCCTCTTTGTTCCTTGCGTGTTCAAATCTTATACCTTGGTCGCTATCGAATAAGAGATCTGAAGGTGTCTCCTACGTGTCCTCATAACGCCATAGATCCCACAGTCAGTTACACAGTATGAGTAACTCTGGGGAAATCTGCGGCAAAGCTGGGGTTCTTCGGGACACATCCGTCACTGCCGGGTCTCACCATCTGTGGATCCCAGCATAACGGAACACGCACTGCATGCGGGGCGAGATTTATGAGAAAAGAGGCACAAGACATTGATAGTTATCATCCGACAATTATTAACCAATTTCTCGCTTTACGACTGCCTTCTTGCCCCTTGGCATACTCTCAAAAATCTGACAACAACCCTATCACTTTACGTACAATAAATACCAGGATTAGATAGGATGGAGCAGGGAGGCTTCCGAGAAACAGATACTGGCCAATATTCCCTGTCGTTGGGGGAAAATTGCTAATAAACTCCTGCAGTCATGCGGTCTGGGTATTCAGGGTCCATTTTCTTGAGCACCTTGGGGATACTAGTATTCTGGATCACATTGCCTCAAGCAGAGAATTCGAAGCCAATAATGTTCCCTCGTGGAGTTCTTCTTACTAGTGTGATCTAAGACGCCTTGAGGCTTGGCTTAGTTAACATCTGTGGTCGATGTTATGACCAGAGCAAGGGACCTTGTGTCCAGTGGGGTCATTAACTGCAAGGACCTACATACCTTGAGGGCTTTTTAGAGAATATTCCACAAGAGAATATCAGACGATTTCTTCATCGATCCCGGGACCCAGTTCGGTGTGGGTAAGGCCTAGTTACATTCCACATATTTATCAGCAATTTCTGCCTCTCTGTTGTCCATATAATCACATCCTTCTGGAAGAACAGTCTCACCGTAAATGCATCACCCGCTGTCTTCCGATTTTACCCGTTACCACTGAAGATATATACTAATGTCTTCAGATTCGACCTTCACTCAATTGACATGCTTTTATCTCATATACAATCACGTGGATGTGTAGAAATAACACTTGTAGACTTGGTATAATAGCTAATAAATTAGCAGATACAAGCCTGGCAAGAATACAGACTTTCGGGCAAATTCCTCACCAAGTATATATCGAAATAGATCCAAAACCGTAATGAAAGTATACGTAGCCTGTGCCATACCCTTTCTTCTGCAGAACCTATCTATCTATGTGTTTGATCTGCTCATAGAATAGTTATTTCATGTTCAATCTCTTAAAAGTTGTCTCTTAAATGGCAAATTGGCTCTTCCAAGACAGGTTATATTGTGTCCGGCTCCCGCACACACGACGCGACTCAGCCCCGCGTTCCCGGTTTCCGCTGATTAAGCGACCAGCGCTTGGTTGCCATGCGCAACCGCAGTAGGATGACATCGTTTGTGCAAAACCAATCCCCACGATTTTGCGGTGCACGAACGAGTCCTTATTGCGGTCGGAAAGAGACACAAACCGCAGTCTACGACATATATAAGAATAACAGCCATACCTACTGGTGCTAATTGATCGTCGCTAGCTTGTCAACGATGCCTCCAACTCGCCGTCGAGGCGGCAACGCCGCAGCCCGATCTCAACAATCGACGCTGGCCTTCGGCATCCAGTCGAGGGTGACGAAACCGACATCGGCTCCGTCGACGACAAAAAAGGCCAAGGATATCGAGAAGGTGCATGATGTCGATACCTCTGATCCTGATCAGGTACCCGTTGCTCCTCCGGAAGGCTCTTCTCAACCGCACATCGCAGAGATCGTCGTGAGGGAGCAGGCAAAGGCGGAAGTCCAACAGCCGTTGTCGGAAGAGGATAAAAGAGCATTGAAGGTCACTGACGCGGACCTGAAGCGGTATTGGCGCAGTGAAGAGGCGAAGAGGAAGGCTCCGCGAGGTACGTTTACGTTGAAGCCTTTATTTGGATACTTGTCATTTTCAAGCTAGTATCCGTTTTTTTTGCTATTACAGATGCTAATAGCTTTATTTCCGTGTGTAGTTCATCAGGAGGGATTGAGCTTGAATGAGAAGATCCTGCGACACTTCGACCTTTCCAGTCAGTACGGGGTAAGATTATCCATATGCATCCTTCTTCCATCTAGGAGCTACTTCTAATTCTGCTCTTGTTAGCCTTGCATCGGTATCGCACGACTAAAGCGCTGGCGTCGGGCTCATATGCTTAACTTGAATCCACCTATCGAGGTCCTTGCTGTGCTGCTCAAGAATGAGGACGATCTGAAACAACGAGCATACATTGACGAGCTTCTCTCATGACCTTTACTCCAGCTCTGACGGCTTCCAAATAAACGGTTCCGATTATAATGCACTCCAACTCTCTGCGGGGAGATTGATGTCTGCAAGGATCGATTGTATGATTATTGACATTGGGGGTGAGGATGGAGTTAATGGCGTTTATGTTGTACATACCCTGGAGATCTAGTAATGGACTTTGAGCTGTTTCCTTTGCAAAAATCTGCTGGAGAATATGCTTTTCATTACTATAAACATGACTGGCTTTAGAGAAATGATTACTTCTACCTAGCCAGATTCTAACATGGTGCTGCTCAATATACGCAACTGCGTCTCGGCGAAAGATCTAATCACGTCGAAGCAACACGCCAGCAATGAACTAGTAGGGTCGTTCATTCAGGCGTCAAGAGAGAGGGTAATCTCATCGCAATGAGAGCCGATCGGGTTCGTCCCACATGGGATAAGAAGTCATAGTTAGTGGAACCTGGTGGGTAACGCAAGAAGAAAACAGTGTCACGCACAAGGCCCATCTCTCTACTTCTATTTCAACCTCATTTCTTCTCTCTCCGTGGAAGACAGCCGATTATCGGTTACTTTCTTGTCATCTTCTACGATACGGCCAGTTGTCTAAAAGTTCAGTGGAAGTCAATAATTGGACATCCGCTGTTGGGAAGATGGCGTTGGCGTATATACCTTGGCTTTTGGCCCTGGTACTGTACGAATACTTCTTCCTACGTTTAACGCAGCCAAATGAGGCACTAACTACTGTTTCTGGCAGCTTATGTATAGTAGGATTTCCTGCTAATTAACTATTATCTATTCTGTAGCGGAGTCAGCAGCCACATAGTACTTAAGCTTGAGCTACTTACCAGAATTGATATGGAAGATGACCCCCGTCTCATACGCCTTATGGATAAGGCCGTTCTTTCGTCGGCTGCGTCTCTGAGGGCTTCTTCTCCTTTCAACATTTGAACTGGGAGATGAAGATGGAGCTTCGTGTTTCTATTACTGACGATTGGTTGTTTCACTGAAGAGAAAAAGGTTGAAACTTATGCATACGTAAATGCAGATTCCTTCGACCAAGTGGTCCGCTTTTTTGAACTCGCATTCCCGAGACTTGTACATTATAGAAACCGATTTAATGAATCGAAGACTGATTACAGCAAGAGAACTCTCCAGGAGTCCTGTAATCCACAATCAGGTAACATATGTCAAGGTCGTGATGTCTAAATTGCAGTACGAGAGGAAATCTAGACTGAACTAGGACTGTATGACTTGAAGATTCTACATACCACTCAGCAGTTCCTGCAGAGATCCAGATAAAGACATGAGAGATCTGAAATCATCACGTTGTGGTCCGAGAGCCGAAATTCCGAGAGATGCATTATGTCGATTAAGATACTTTGATCAAGTATAAGCAGGAGTTTTCGAGACGACATAAATATAGTGTTCATACGACTTCAGTCCCAGGGCTATGTCTGGAGTAATAAGTACCTAGGCAACTAATACATGATTCCAGCTAGACATTACGCTCTCTTATCACGTAAAAGTGCACCGTCGACCTCCTCAATCGCGGAAACGATCAGAAACGGTGAAACAATGCCTCCACGTCAATCCCACCCTCGGCCATATAGTTTTAGTGTTTACGGAACGTCTACGATAAGGAATAGTGTATAACTATATACAATGGACATTTATTACGTAGATATCCGAAGTCACGAAGGCCTTTCAGCCTCTCCACATACTCTTTCGGTGTCAGAATTGATGACTTGAGGTGGTCAAAACAGAGTACCTCCAACAGTCTGTGGACCGTTAGCTTGACTCGGTCATCAACAAAAAGGTAATATCTCACCGGCTTTCAGCAGTTCAAGAACGAATGTGGCTGACAGCGGGATCTCCAAGCCACACCGCGGCACATCCCGCTGTCAACTGTAGATATGGTAGTTACTACTTAGCGCTTGTAATCAGCCCTCAGTTGAACGTCGGCTCTGAACGCCAATAAGTGAAGAAAATGGAAGTATCCCATTCATAGACCATTCATTCCTACATATGTCACTACATGGTACCGGGAATTGGAGGAACTTGTGTGAATAGACCCGTTCAACCCCGCAATAGCTGCTTGTGCCGGAATGAATACATAAACCATGATTGTCAGACGTAGAATCGTTCTTTCTCTGCAAAGCAGCTGGCCATTGATGTCCGCACCTGCAGTTTGTATTCATATCCTGCGGATACTTTGTTCCCGAGTTCTCAAGGACGGTGTGCTACAGAGCGCCTGGCTGATAGCCTTACTTACGGGCTGAACCTTCCTCGTGGATTCGATCTAGCATGGTGATCTCCATAGCAAAGCCGTAATGTTAAATAGAGTAGTCAATCTTCCTTACTCGAGAATCTCTTCAAGTTCTTTATGGCACACAAACATCCACAGAGAGAGCAACAGCAACAGCAGAAATAACATGTTGTTCCTTTTATTCATTTTTACTGGGTCGGCGGCCCCCACGCCGACGGCCCACAATGCCACGGCGACACGCTCAAAATCGGCTACCTCCGAATCCGTGTCCGCCTCGGCGGGCGGTGCGTCATTCCAGTACTGGGGGTAAGTACTCTTCCTTCCCTAACTTATGGGCATTGATAAATATTTATTAATATATGATTAGCTCTGCGTCTCTGTACACGAGGCACGTATTCGCCTCTGCTGGGGCGATCATCGTCCTAGCGATCGGCCTCGCCGTAGCATGGCGATTGTATGTACTTGATTCTTCACTTCTCCAGTATTGGTACTGATTGATTGTTTCTAGGGCGGGCTTGCCCCCAATCAGCCAGTGGAACTTGTGGTACTTAATTGCCCTTCGATGTTGGTGACACAAAATTTAAATACTTTGGGTACGCTCCCCTCCCTGATAGACACACACGCACAGATATACCCGTATAGAGAACGAGAAAGAGAAAGAGAAAGAAACCACTAACAGTAACAGGAAAACATATTGCTCTTTCTTCTCCTAGCCACTCCATCGGGCGCTATGCCTACAGCGCCAAAGTGTCCACCTCTGCGTCTCCAGGAGACGCGACGATTTCATATTTTTGGGTAAGTTACTCTTCCTTCCTTCCCTAGATTATAAGCATTAATAAATATTAACTAATATATAATCAGGCCGACAAACAAATCTGTCGCTCATATCTTCGCATTCGCGGCAAGCCTAGTAATAATGTTAGTAGGCGCAGCAGTGGCGTTCCGAATGTATGTACTCCGTACTTGATTCTTCACTTCTCAAGTACCGGTACTGATTGATTGTTTCTAGGATGCGCTTGCCCCTAATCAGCTATGAGAACGTGTGGTACTTAATTGCCCTAAGCTGCTTTATATATCCAGTACTAGTACTAACTAGGGTTTCTTAGGGCGAGTGTGCGGAGCGTCGGTCGTTGTTGTCGTGGTTGTCTTTGTCGTTGGCGGGGCGGGGGGGCGGGGGGGAAGAAGGAGGAGACGGGGGGGGACAATCCGGGGACGGGGGGGGCAGAATCCGGGGGAGCCGACGGGGGGGCCGGCGGGGGGGGGGGGATAATGGGGGGGACGAGGATGGGGGGGCGCAATAGGGGGTAGTAGTTAGGTATTATTAATATTATTTATCGGAAGTCGACTAGACGACTCGACCAAAAAGGAGAACTCCTCAGAGGTCTGGTCCTAGCTGGATCTAACACATTATTCAATTCGCATGTTTTATTGCACCTATAGTCTTTTCTCCAAGTTGATAGAACAGTAATCATAAGCCATAATATCCCAGGCCCTCTGGTTTCTCTCAAGATCAAGAATCTCCGTAGTATCACGTTGATTTCTTCTTCGCTGACAGCAGATACAGCCTTCTCTGCAATGCATAAATAGCCCAGGTTTCCTCGACGATTCTCTCTCCCGGTAACAACACCCACAATCATATGCACAACAGCCACCTATGGCTTTACACGCGCGCTGAACTTCTTCTTGTGTATATGACACGTACCCATTCTGGTATAAATCAAATTCTCGGATGTAAGAGCCTTTGGGTTTGTTAAATAGATGCGAATGGTACTTTTGATTTAGAAACCACCATCTTTTGTTATAACTCGCCATCTTCGCTTTATGGCCCTCCAGTTCATTTTTCTCTTCTTCTGTTAGGTCCCCATTGAATTTTTGCCTTTTTTCGAGTTCGAGCCTCTTTTGGTCGGTTCCAATCTCATATTGAATCATGGCCATCCTTGCAATTTCATTATCCAATTGCCGATTAATCCACTTCTTTTGCGGGCCTTTGGACCGATAGAAGATCTCGAATATCTTGGCTGTATTTTGTACCTTTACGGCGCTCTCGACACAGCCATGATCAAGGAGGTATTGTTCGATTCTTGCAAACATTTCGCGCGACGTCGGAGACGGTCACGATAGGTAGGCTATACGTGGGATACGAGGGGTCAAGGTATCTGCAAGGACGGCAATCGTTCGCAGCGGGCAATACGGAAGATTAGAGGCAACCGAAATCTGTATTGAAGAATGAAAACAAAGAACCCACAATGAGGAATTCTTTGGAGGATGAGACAAGTGCGGGAAGAAGTGGAAGAAAGGGAAGAATAAATATTCGGTGCAGGCAGCAGTTCTCGTCACATATGTGGCCTAATCCGACTTGAAAATTGGAATTTCGTTGACGACACGATGATTTCTGTGGTCTTGATGTAAGTATTTTTCAGTATATGCCATAGACATCCAGGTCAACGCGTCATAGCAGACATATTGTCTATGTGATATCTTGTCCGTTCAGGCGCGTATATAAGAATTTGCACACTAAAGGTATCCATTAAGATCCATTCTCTATCTCTCTTGCAAGTCCTGGTAAATTCATATGGGGAAGAAGGAAGGGTCTACTTCTAAGTAGCTGCATCTAATTGTTCAATAGTGTGTATGTATGCAGGAAATATATCCATGTACCTCATAGATTACTACGAATAGGGCTGATATGCGGGTTGGTGCCTTAGAACGCAGGCAGTCGAGCGTGGCTCAGCCACTAGTGGCGCAGCTAACCGCCGCCACAGAAGACTTGAAGCAAAAGGAAAAAACGATACAAATGAGACAAACCCAGGAATAAATGCAAACATATCAAACATAAGGAAACAGCACAGATTGAGCAAGTACACAGTAATAGTAGTGCTGATGACGTCCTGGGTTGTGAAAGTCATATTAACATCAGCCCTAAGATCATTCGACAGGCAATATTCAGTGTCTTACCTTACCTCAATGGGCCGAAGCTCCGTTGCCAACGCTACGCTGGACAGTCTAAAAAAGAGGGGTTAAGGTTTTCCATCCTTTCCCGGGATCGGATACAGTAGTCCCATGTGACCTATATCTTGCCAGTTTAGTCCCCCAGACACTAGAACTGCATACTAATCATACTAATCATACTGTACAGAAATGTGGAGAACAAGAAAAGAAGTTGTTCGCGGATGACCATACTGCTAAATCTGCTATGGAGGCGTAGGACTTCTTGCGTTCCTTTGCCTTGGTCTCGGTTCGTCTGAACCACCTGATTCCAGACCCTCAGAAAGCTCTCGAAAAGAGGAAGCAACTATGCCTTATGCCGTGACCTATTGCCATTAAATGCAGGTACAGAGACTCCTGTGAGTCGTGACTCTCTCTAATCATAGCCCACGAGAACATTTGGGAAAACCCCGGGGGAAAAAGATTGATGAGTGGCTGGTCGTTTGTCATAAGCCGAGGAAGTCAGACTGCTGACGGCCAGTGAGATGGATGATCTTGATTCGTTGGTCCCTGTGCTCATTCCATCATTGATCTATTCCATCACTAGATCCAGCGGCATCCAGAGCGTGCGCACAGCGGTGTTTTCTTGCATTCTGTGAGATTAATGACGAGGAAATATTTATCGTCAGAAATTTCTTGAGCTCAACTACTAAAACATGAGGAATCCGTGAGCTTTGCCGATTGTGCTGTGATACTCCAGTCAGCGATGCATCATTATATGGCGCTGATTTGACGCCCGGTCATCCGTCGGACAACGCTCCTAAAGAGACTAATGCCCGCCTGGGATTCGCCTTTTACCCCGGATCTTCCAGCAGCCGCTTCGACAACGACAATGGTCTCGATGCTGGTAGAATCCTCTAAGCACGATGCTTAATTGGGCTGATCTGTCCCCGCCTTTATTCTCTTTTTGCACCTCCTACTTTTTGGCCACCAATGAATCTCCGACGGTGCTGCAAGTCAAGTGAGCGCCGACGCCACTTCTAAATGATGGCCTCGCAACCTTTTACGGAACATAACCATGTTGCGCGGGGTTCCTGTTGGTTGTCTTCCAGCTCCATAACATGGTCTCCAATCACCTGTGGGGACCCGGATCTGGGGGTTGTGATCTGCTGCATTGTTTCCTTTTGTTGCAGCTATCCCCGGTCCATACTCCGAGGTATACTACTACTAGAACGGCTTAACTCTCTGGCTATATCTGCGGCTCGAGGTGCAATTTTCGGCCACTGCCCTATGTATCTGTCCGTTACGACTTGTGGAATCCACCTGGTCATCATGGACTGTGCAAGGGAGTAGCGCGCCAACGCCTAGGGACTGGATAAAGCTAGCAGCCGACTCAATTGGATTGGTTGATCAGAGACATTGTCACCCTCGAGCATCTTGGCATGGATCCTACCAGTCTACGGTCTGACGTACCGCGGCTCTAGCCAACTTGGATTCGTGAGTTTTGGCCTCTATAATGCATGTGACGCTAGTTCAGCACAGTTCTGGAAGTCTCTGATCGGCAGTTGGGTATTCAGCTCGCTCTTATAAAGAGTTTGATATCCCCAGTTGTACAGTTATCCGACGCTGACCACTCGTTACTTCATCAACCGAGTCTGTCGTTTCAAGAGCAACCGGTGTACCCGTCGTCCGTTCCATATTATCATAGACAATTGGCAAGTCAAGAGGAAAATGCAGTTCTCCTATACCTTCATTGCTCTCGTGGCCGCCGGTCTCGCCAGTGCTCAGTTACCCAACGTGCCGTCCTGCTCCGTAAGACAGCCACCCACCATAACCCTGTTCCGTATCTAACAATCTGTTCAGCTCAATTGTTTTGTGACGGCTCTCACTACCGATGGCTGCTCAGGCCTGACTGATTTCAATTGCCACTGCCAAAAGACGCAGCTTGTCAGTCAGATCACGCCCTGTGTCCAGAAGGCTTGTGACGTCGCCGACCAGTCCTGTACGTTATGTACCCTAGTCAGCTCTATAACTAATGCTAACAGTGAAGGATAGCTGTGTCTAGTGTTGTGGTCTCTCAGTGCTCTGCTGCTGGTCATCCTGTCTCAATTCCTAACCCTGGTGCGGCGTCTTCGACCGGGACTGCCACCACCACTACTACTGCGGCTGCAACAACCACCTCGGCTGCCTCTCCTACTAGCAGCTCCTCCAGCTCTAGCAGCAGCAGCAGCAGCTCGAGTGCTGCTACCACTTCCACCGCCACTGTCACCCCTACGCCTTCGTCTTCTGGCTCATTTGCGACCACGTCCACCCCAGTAGGCTCTTCCATCTCATCAGCTAGTGGGATTGGAGCAACTACTTCTGCTGGCGCCTCTACTTCTGCTGGCTCATCCACTGCTTCTGCCTCTGCATCACAGTACACCGGCGCTGCTTCTAATGTCAAAGGCAACATGGCCGGTGCCGCTGCTGTTGCTGCTGTTGCGGCTTACATCTTGTAGTTCTAGTCCTGATGTGACTATACAGGTTGCTGAACGGCTGTTTCTACCTTGCGATAGGTGACGTGTCTTTGATCTCGGAATCACGAAGATGAGGCACTCTCGTGGCAAGTTAAAGTCTTTTCGCTCAACCTGTTAAATAGCACAATTAGTTTCCATTTCTGGATGTAAAAAAAATTTGTTGACTTCATGTGTCTGTCTGTCTATGTCCTCCTCACTGTATCGCTCCTTTCAGCTATGGTGTAAGTTACATTTGTACTGTACATACCAACCGTGACATACTGTGAGGAAACAATTTATGCTAATGTAATAACCCTCCAGGCGTGATCCATTGAGCTTTCCATTATAATGTCGGTAATCTTAGCCAAGGCACTTGATCGTACCAATTCGTTTTCTAGCCACTACATGTACCACTTTCGAAAGTCTAAACAAGTATAAACACAACGCAGTGACATTAAGCATGAGTCACGAAGAGAGAGAGGGAACATGCCAAGCCAAACTGCGCTGAATGAGATCCAATACCGAAATAGGTCACATTTACTCTCCATCATACCCAAGTCTAGGCTGACGTTTTGAAACCCGACAAGACAATTTTAGCGACGGTCTATCTAGTTACTCGCTTGTCAGTGAAAGCCTCGAGTTGCTAGTGCGCGCGCGACATTTTTAGTTGAGAGAAAGCGGACACTAATCTCTTTACGTTCCCCGACTCTTTCAAGGCAACAATGTCTCCTTTAGTGGAATATTTGCCGTCGTCCACTAGATTAGGATACTTAAACACCAGATGGCCCTGTCATAAGCACTGTTCAATACGGAGTCGCGGATCTGTACAAGATGGGGATCCCTGAGGCACTTCAGCCCCAGGTGTTGTTGCCGCAGCATCCTTCCGTCCTTGTCAGCCATTTTCACTCGCTTGTCAACGACAATCCTTCTTTGGCGAATATCAATGCGATCAATGACAGTCTTCTTAATCTGATACATAGAGAAGCAATTTCCCCTTCCGCATACCGTGTTTGGCTTCCGATTGCTTTGCGACATTCATCACACTTCCTGCCTGCGGCACTGCGTGACACCGTTTCTGCAGGCGTGCGCAAATCTGCGATTCGCGTCCTCCGCAGTCTGTTTCATAACCCACGCTGGAAAGTCCAAGGTTGGGACCATCTTGGTGGAGCTGCGGGAATTAGAGATGTCCTCGACACACTTCCAATTGCCGAAGTGAAGCAATTTGTCGGAGTAATCGCCGGTTACAGCTATTGTTCCAGCAGGGAGCAGGCTGCAGCATGTTTCGAGGAGTTGTTAGCTTTGGTGGAGAGATCCGAGGATTCGAGTCGCAGATCGCTATCTAAATATATGCGACCATTGCGTGCACATTGCAGTCGTCAAAATGTGATTGAGCTATTGGCGTCATCGCCACCAGATCTTGGGCACTTCTTGATTCGCCTTGCCCCGTTGCATACGGATATCCTCCGACAGGCGGTGACTGGGACAATCCATATGCCTCTAGAGGTGCGCTTGGAGATTATAATTGTGTGCAACGATGTCCTGATGGGCTCAAAGAACGACTATGTGCCGAGATACGCCACAGGCAAAGAGTTTCAGTCAGACTTCTCACCGGGGTTTGCATTTAGTATGGACCTCTTGCACGTGTTGGTAACTGAATCTGAGATAAAGGCAAGAATCAGCGCACATCAGATTCATAAGTGGATTCAATCTACATTGCGTCTTGCCATTGTCAGAAAGCTGCCGCTTGAACACGTCCTGATATTTGTGAGAGGAAGTTTACCACTATATCGTTCCAAATGCCCCGATTGGCTTATCAACGATATCCCACGAGAGATCATTCGATGGTGGTCTATTGCAAAGGTGGGGAGCTCTGGAGACTCCGGGTCTAATTCGATCATGGAAAAGGTCCAGCGGAGACACGAACCACGACCGACGGTAGCTCACCAAGAGATACTAAAAAAGTTAGTGGTCGAAGAAGTGTTGCAGCAAAAAGACGACAAGCTTGACGTGCAGCGGCGCCGGTATGACTTTACGAGAACAGTGGTTGGCCTTCTCTCACTAGTGGGTAGAGAATGCAGGATTGAGCTTCTTTGGTTGATTTGCAAGCATTCTCCCTTTCTCAATTTCGATATAAGGACAGTAACCCCTTCAGAACGAGAAGTGCAGCTCGTGCCGGTCTGGGATTATGCTGTTCTACAGAAGCTGCCACCTGGAGATGCGAAGTACTTGTTCAGTCGATCCCTGAGTATCTACCACTGCGATGAGTTTCTACCCAGTCCTGGTGAGGTGGGACGAGAGCCATGGTCTCTATCATGGAAAGAGCAATGCTTTCTCTGGGCAGACGCAGAGATAGCAACCGCTCAAACAATTGATGATCTTGTGATGACCCAGAAATTGATCAACGAGATGAAACAGAAATCAATGCGTCAAAGGGATCACTCAGAACGGCTGGTATGGGCGGAAACAGCGATACAGGTTGCCGCCAGGACGAAGTCCTTGGAGATTTTCTGCGACATTGTTGACTGGAGCAAGCGCTTTCTACGAGACCCGCTCGTGTTTCCCGGCATTATGAATCAAATTCTCTCCAATGGTGGCCGCATTCTCTCCTGTCAGAACGATAAGAAAACCATGAAGGTAGAATCAAAAGCCGACCTTGTGGTCCTTGCACAAAAAGCAAACGGACTTCTAATGGATTTACTCAAGACAATATTGCTCTGGCTTCGGGAGCCTGGGGTTCGGCCAAACATGAGAGCAATGAAAACGGTAAGTAACAAAGTGTTCACCCTCTTATCCAGCACTGTCAACGGTCGCATGGAAGCAGTGAGACAATACACAAAAGGCGATCTCGCCACCGAGTCTGGGTCGGTGGATATATTGCTCGGGTCACTAGTACCAATCGTCATCGATTACGAGCGTGAAGGCAATTCAGAAGAATACATGGATGTCCTTTGGAGTGGCACGGAAGGAGTGCTGAGAAATGTCGAATGCCCAGAGAGCCCAAGTTCCGCAGAACTTGCATTTATGGATCGAATCGCACGCAAAAGAGATGAATTTTGGCAGCAGAAACGGGTTAATCGCAACCCAGATATTCTTACTTTGGACCAGGGGTTGCCTAAAGGCCTTGCAGTTCAAAATTTAGTTCCTGGTACTACATGGCTTTCCCACATCCTGGAACGTCAAAACGAAGCACCTTATGTGTCTTCTAGGGCCAACGAGGTTATTTTCGCACCGGTGGATATCCTCATGGCTGTACCACCAGACGGCGCTAGACCTGATGGAAAGTTCGTGGATCGGCTTGCAGTTTTGATCCGCGCTTACATGGGACGTGGTAAGAAGCTAGAGAAGGAGAAGCGTATTATGAAAATCTGGGAGTACTATTCCACGATCCTTCAATCGCGTCTACTGAACCTCAGACTGTTCCAAAATTGGTTGGCCGACCTAGCTCGGAACTCCGGTATGGAAGGGGCAGCCAACAGAATCCAACCAGACATATCTTTAACATTGAGTATACCTGCCGTATCGGAAATGTTAGTCGAATGGGATCCCTTAGGGGGACTACAGGACGATAGCGAGATGTTAACTGGAGAGAATGAGAGCCGTTCACCGCATTCTGGCACCATCCTGAACTCCAGAACTTCATATTTCTTTACCTCCGGCAAGCTGAGACTTGGGCCGGAAGCTAAAAAGGAAAACCTGCTTTCAATCTGGAAACTGAGGCGCCAATCCCTGAAAGAGGTGCCTACAGAGTGCTCTACAGCCACTCGTGAAGCTGTTATACTTTCTGCTCTCCTCTTTCTGGACACCTTCGCCAAGAATGGTAGGATCCTGAGAACAAAGTTCCCAGATGAAGAATATCCCCGCTATCCGGCTACTTATCTGGCCGGCGAATTCATCACACGATTGAATGATACAAAAACAAGAGATTCAATGCAGCATGCAATAAGTGCGTTGAAAGAATTCCGTCAGGACGTCCCGAGTACTCTATTGAGAGACCTTATTTGGTCCTTCATGGACGCATTGAAGGCAGATCCAGATGCACCGCTATATCCAGATCTTGTGTGGTGCATGTTCCAACTGCTCAAGGTGCTTCTGTCCACTAACCAGCCTCAAGTCATCGTCGATGTGGTTCTAAGGATATGGAAAGACTTCCCAAACGAATCGTCCTATCATCGCGCGGTGAGTCTTGTCAAGGTTGGCAACGTTATGACTCCAAGCCAGGCTAGAGCGTTCGTGCTTGACTTTTCTGCTTATGTATGTGATGCTTTAAAACAGCAACAGCAGCCGGGAAATGACAAATGCAAGCCTTTGATCAAAGTCACAACTGTCAAAATGCTTGCACAATCGCTTGCCGAGGCGCGGTTTCTCCCTCAAGCGATGTGTTTACAAATCCTTCGTGACATCTACAATATGAGTCGGCATATTGACATCCGCGTTGCTCTGTTGAATTCGATACTGGAAATTGTTAGTCGTAACAACGACGCCGAATCGTATATGCTTTTCTCTTCCATGGTCCTATCCGCGGCAGGGCCTAATGAGGAAGTCACTACTACCGAGGAAGATTGGCAAGTTGCAGAGCTTGGAGGTCCACTGCCTTTCATCGCTGCAGAATCCGATCGTCCAATCCTGCAAATAGTGGTCCAGGAAGCCTCCAGAAAGCTCCCTGAAAGATTGAGATCAGATTATGTTCACAAGGTCCTATTACCATTGCTGCAGGAATCTACCCGCCAGCATGTCCGATGGATGACATGCTTTCTCCGGAAGCTCGACCTTTCCCTCTCTGAAGTGGGCCTTTCAAACGAAGAAGTAGGCCCCTTTTCGCGGAGACTGGTGAATGAGATCTTTTCGAAGTGGTGGAGATATCTTCCCGCTGCGTATATGAAAACACAACAACGCAGTTTGGCACTCAGCTATCAACAACGCTATACATCTTTTAACCAGATAGCCGAAAGACTTGCCACCACCAGGCACCCTTCAAGGCAGAGTTCTAGTGCAAGAGGTGAGTGGGAGGACTTTTTCAGAGCCCACAGAGACCAATCTCCTCTTTCTCAATTAACCGGGCTCTTGACGATCGACTCGGATGCCCCGGGCGGTATAACCATTGAAAGCATCATCCAAGAGTACATTTCACGTGCAGAAATCATGATCAAACACCCAATCCGGTACGACACGACATTGGAGAAACAAGTCCTCCACTCAAGATTACCACTAGAGATATTACATGATCTGAGAAGAAAGAGATCCAGTCATTGGGACGCAGACCTTGTCCGCCAGGAAGAGCTTTATATTCGCATCACGGGGCTCATGGAGAAGATAATCCAACTAATTGACAGGCTCCGAACAGATGGGTGGGCATCGAATCTCAGCAGCTATGCCGTACCGCTTCCAACTCCTCTCCAATGCGAGATTGTTTTGCTGCCCTCTCCTCGGTACAACCCAGTGTCGCCTGCAGGGGTGTTGGACGAGTTTGCCGCTGAAATCACAGGCCTGATCCGCAAATATGAAAGTGACCCAGCCTTGCTTACGGAATTCGATTCCCTCAAGAGCGTGATAGGCGAGGTTCTGGAAGAAGACGCAGTAGCGTGTGCACTGTTCATTGGAAAGATTGACTCGCAGGAACACGCACAAGGCTTTGTGGAGATGTGGTTCAGGGTCAAACTAGCACAGACTTTATTGGCGAACATGACTCTGAGGGCTATCCAGTCCAATGAGAATGTCAAAGATATGGTCAGAACATGGAAAACAAGCGGCCACGAGTTGATACGGCAAGTGGGATGGGTTGTTGATAGCAGTCTGAATTAGGGTGATATGATGGATGGAATAATAATCGGAACTATCTACTATCTACGTGTCTACGGAGTACTCCGTATCATGTGTTAACACTTAACAGACGATGTACCCGGGTATTTTCTTCGATGCCGCTGCCAACTGACCTGGTGTCATTTTCCAGGATTATTAGATGACGACGTAGTAGTTTCATAAGCTAGGGCATGTACCATGAAGCTGAGCGTCACCTTATTATTATTTTGCGACTGTCTGATTTTCCAATAATAATTGTCCGTACCGGAGTGTCCGATGTTCTAGAAAACTTTGACTGAACTGAATTACACGTGCTCCCTATCGTGGCCCGTTCTTTCCAGGGGTTTCGTGTATAATTATTACGCTTCGGGCCCTTCCAGCCCTCCAGTAATAGCTAGTATGTCTTTAGCGTTCTCCAGTTCCGATCCGATGCGCACCGGTCGAAATAGCGACATGTTGATTCCCGGTGACTATTGTCTCTTAAAAGAACGATCGGCACTCTGATGGAACATCATGACAGTCTAAGCTTTCCAAGCCTGGCGGAAATCCGTCGGCGGTTGTAGATCATTGCTTCTCGGATGATTCGTACAAGCAATGATTGGTTTTCCGTACTACTCGGGTTGGCCCGCTAAGTAGTTAGCACTATCTACTACTAACTTATAGAGTAGTACCGTAAGTAAGCCACCAAGATGAACTTGAACTTCGGGATCTTGCCAAGAACGTGATTTTAGGCCGATTATCGCAGGCTCTCCTTCATTTTCGAAAAAGGCCTAACAAATGGCAATAAAGCATTCTTTTCTGCCCTTGGACACGTTTCTTAGACAAAGACCATATACAGCAGGACGTTATGAGAATAGCTCTTCCAGATTTGATCATGCATCGCTTGAGATGGATGGTCCGATGTATTCCTTCTATCGCGCGATTCCTTTATCAAAGGAGAAGGTGACATTCAAGTATACTGTAACTTGCTCGTGCGGTGCCAAACTAGCGCAGAAACTAATTACGTGCAGAAACTAATCAGGTACTGGCAAAAAGCACGACATTAGCCTTCGTGATACGGGGTAGCTATATTTCTCACCTTAGACCCCGGCATGTCCTGCATGAATCGCAATTGATAACGAGATAGGAGCAGGATATCACGAATCTTCTTATCTATCTGGCCTGCGCTCAGTGGATTCAATAGAAGAATATAAAAGGGGACCGGATTGCCTCCTCTGGTTGTTGCTCTGTCTGTCATCTTTCGACTGAACTAGGTGATCGGTCAGTTTGTGTCAAGTCTCTGTTCAAGAATTGCTTTCTTTCTTTCTTCCAAGCTATCCATCTTGTTGTTGTTGAACAGAATGGTTAATGCCGCTCTTCTTGCAGCTCTGACTGCCTACTCGGTAGCTGTTGCTGCTGCTCCAACCACACCTCAGGTGAAGGGATTCTCCATCAGCCAAGTTGCTGTTCCTAAGAGTGCCTACCGTCATCCTGCTGCCCAGCTGGCCAAGGCTTATGGAAAATACCATGCAACTGTTCCTACGCAGGTCGCTGCAGCAGCTGCTTCCACTGGCTCTGTCACCACGAATCCCACGTCTGATGACGAGGAGTATATCACTCAGGTGACTGTCGGGGAGGATACCCTGAGTCTGGATTTCGATACTGGCTCAGCAGATCTGTGAGTATTTCTGTTCAATTTCCCCTCGCATATAGATATACGTATCTAGATGAGACCAGTAAGTACTGACAAAGTTTCCAAGGTGGGTATTCTCCTCGCAGACCCCTGCGTCTGAACGTAGCGGTCACGACTACTACACACCCGGATCATCCGCTCAAAAACTCAGCGGTGCCACTTGGGACATTTCTTATGGAGACGGCAGCTCTGCCAGCGGCGATGTCTATCTGGATAAAGTGACGGTTGGCGGTGTCTCATACGCCAGCCAAGCAGTCGAGTCGGCTGAAAAAGTTAGCAGCGAATTCACCGAAGATACTGCAAGTGATGGTCTCCTGGGCCTCGCCTTCAGCAGCATCAACACCGTGCAGCCAACTCCTCAGAACACCTTCTTTGACAATGTTAAGAGCTCCCTGAGCCAGCCTCTCTTTGCGGCTGCTCTGAAGCATAACGCACCGGGTGTCTACGACTTTGGATTCACCGATTCGTCCAAGTACACTGGTTCCATCACTTACACCGATGTCGACAACTCCCAGGGCTTCTGGGGCTTTACAGTTGATAGCTACTCTATCGGCTCGGACTCGACCAGTGACTCTATTAGTGGTATTGCTGGTACGTTCCCAGACAATATTTTCTGCACCGGCGCTGCTTGGTAAACTAGCGAGCTAACCGAAAACTAGACACTGGTACTACTCTCCTTCTCCTTGACGACAGCATTGTCGAAGCCTACTACGAGCAGGTCGACGGAGCTACTTACGACGACAGCCAGGGTGGCTACGTCTTCCCATCTTCTACCACTCCCCCTGACTTTTCTGTCACCATTGGTGATTACACCGCCACGGTCCCCGGTGAATATATCAGCTTCGAATCTGTTGGCAACGGCCAGACATACGGTGGTATCCAGTCCAACTCTGGCATTGGGTTCTCCATCTTCGGCGATGTCTTTCTCAAGAGCCAGTATGTTGTCTTCGATGCTTCTGGACCCCAGCTTGGTTTTGCTCCCCAGGCGTAAATGTTCGAGATGGTGGCTTGGACTAGCTTGATGTGTGTGGACGGCTCTGTTAACTTTCCGGATCACGAACTGAATGATGTATATATGTGCGAGATAGCGTAGTTTTAGGTATTATGTGGAAATGTATATACGTGTGATGATGCAAAGAGATACTGCTTCAGATGGATTGATAAAAAGACTAATATGAATAGCCGATTGTAGCACTATTGCGGTATCTCATATCTCAATACACCATTTTAAGAATATCCAATATGATTCTGTTTGATCCTAGATTGCGGGCTTTCTTCCAAGTATCGGTAAAGACCCATTAGAAGCTTCAGTAACCCCCTTCGGCCATCGGGGTCCAAAATATTGAACTTCTTAGACCTATAGAACGGCAAGTCTTCCGTAACTGCTTGGCGTCGGTATAAACTCCGCAAGTACGCTGAGGATACCTTGACTCTAGAAAGATACATATCCATGTCATCAAGACATATGACGAAGCCATCATATTGATCAAGCGAGGCATCTTCAGAATATGCCATGACAGCCTGGAAAATAGCGTGTGGTACTTCGTATCGAGCCAACCCGATGCGGCCGGGTTTCTTTATCAGCTATTAGATATTATCAGCCTCGAGAACACAAAATAATATCAAATCTTATCTTACCGAGAGCATTGCCAATGGGACACTGACAGAGTGAGCGGTTGTATCAAACCGAACCACGGAAGCTAGTCCCATTAATTTCCCACGAATTTTCAATTGGGGAATCTCAAATGGAATCCTATGTCTGAACGTCGTACTCCTGTATTTTCGTCAACTAAAGCCCCTTAAAGGCAGAGTGACAGATAACAGAATATTTGACCTACAAATTCGTCCCTGCTGTTGTCAAACGCATGATCGCCCAGACAGCACATTTAAGAATATTTCCTCCTTGGAAAGTATCCACCGGTTTATCTCTCTTAGAATAACCCGACAATGTTTGAAAGAAGCCCAAAAGTGATCTGTAGTATGGTGATTCCCGTATCTCTCTTGTATCACCATCTATTGCTTGTTCCCGACTGAGGCGACAGAAGACGCTAGCAATATCTTCAAATTCTATCATGTGAGATTCCCATTGAAGGACAGACATTAGCTTTGTAGTTTATCGTATCTCATTCTGAGGGATATATAGATATATATATATATATGAATAAGTGGAGTTCAATAAGAGGAAAAAGATGAATATAAAAAATGCTTTCTTCAGAAACAGTCAAAATGACGGAAGTGATGAAGATATATCCAGGAAAAGCAGCTTCTTAAATAACTGGCAGAATGTGAAATAAAGATTTTGAGTTATTAACCCAAAGCTGCCTCGCCCATTCACGACCTAAATGAAAGAGGAGAGTAGATTACAAAGGGAGAAGTTAATTTCAACCCACTTTCACTTTATCAACTGATGAATCTATCATAGGAATAAGCGTCAGAATCTTGTCCTATCCGAAATTACAGATATGCAGCTACACCTGTTACAAACAGCCGTACCATGGCTCAGCTCCAGGAGACGGGCATCAGGATAGTAACGGTGTCTCAGGCAGCAGCGGTGGAAACTTCCGGCTGTTCAGCAGGTTCTGTACTCATCAGTAGTAGTTAGATTTCGGTCACTCCAATACTAAGTATTTTACCTTGAACCCATGTTCTGCCCAGGTACTCGCTTCCCTGGTCTTTGACTTCCACAATATATCAAACCTGGGATCAAATCGGTGATCTTCCTTTTTTGTTGAATAGTCTACTGATTTATAATAACATGTTAATCGTTTCGACTTGAGGTCTTATCGTCTATTCTCCCCCATATTTCTTTATTTCCGTAGATCTATCGGTAGTTGATAGTTCAATATCATTTTCAGGTCTGGGATCAAGGTCACAGTATATCCGGTGTTTTCTTTTGCTCTAATCTTAAAGAGGGAATAATTTATGCTGATTTGCCTGATACCCGGCTGGATTAGTGTTTGGTTGGAGATCCGGAGAGCGCACAGCTACCAGGCGTTTATTTGCCTTTCTGCCTTGGTCAAGGTCCAGGCCTTCTGCTATTCTTGGATGATATGTGCTTGTTTCACAGTCCCTGGTTTTGGTCCTTGTCACTCGGTCCTAGCCGAAGGCAACCGAACCCGCCGTCCAGCTGTAATGATAGTTCGCGCCTCTCTGCCTACGAAGAATACGATACTACTAAGTATAAATCGTGCCAAATCAGATATAATCTCGCTGGGATACTAATATTATTTAGAAGCTCTGACGCTGGGACTTCCAGCAACCGTCCAGCAATTTCATTCAGAAGTTGAACAGCAGACGTTCACATGAGATATACACACTGCCATAACACCATCACCTATCCTAGTTACCTTCGCTTGTCCTCTCAAAAGGTTACTAAATATCATATACTACAGCAGCCTTCTCGATGGATTCAACTGTTCCGCTTGGTACAGGGGGTATCTCAGTGCAAGAACCACATTCGTCTGCACCTATTACCATCCTCCTACAGAAGGCCAAGCTTTGGAATGATTGAAGACGTCACAATCGAGGATTTGTTAGGACCAGAATACGTGCCTGTGGATGGGGATCGAGGTAACACACGTCTTACTGATATTTATTTTGTCGTGCCTGCGCCCGTTCATTTCAGTACTTTCGCAGCAGGAGCACTCCGCACTTTCCCAGCGCCTACGGGAAATCCCTTCGCAGCCTATAAACCTAGAAAACGATGAGTTGAGGGTCCACGGACGATCATGGACCAAAGAGTACATGGATGCTCTTAGAGTAGCCCACCTCGATAACCTACCTCTGGACCGCTTCTTTCCTCCAGATTATATACCCGGAGACACTGATCCTGGTACGTTGAAGCAAATTAATAATTGATTCAGGGCTTCTTATTGATGATTTCAAGTTTTCTCTTCACTTGCAGCTGAAGTCACGCAGCTTAAGGAAGATGATATCCGCTCTTTCTCGCTGGAAAAGTGCTCAATATCTGCGGTCGGGTTCATAAATTTCTTTAATCATTTGGCTGAATTAGTGACAACGGGAGAAGCGATTCTACCGGAGTGGCTGCACAGCGACTCTAGCAGTGAAGTTCTTCCCACATCAGATGAAAAAGATGGAGCAGAATACACTGCTCGATCATGTCTTATATCGCTTCTAGTGGGAATCGTGGCAAAACCGTCTCTCGGAGAAATTGTGCCAGGATGGGAATTCATTGTGTCCGTACCGAAATGCATCTTCTGCCTATAAGTACCTGTGAGACTAACTTCTTGAAGTAGTAGCGGAAGGAAGAAGTCATGCAAAATCTGGCTGGGAAATAGCGGCAAAGTCAAAGCTCCGAACGACGAACCCATCACATTGAGGACCTGGGACTCTGTTACAAGGGAAAATATGATATCGCAGATTCCGTTGGTTTCCCTCGAGGTGTGTACAGTCCATATCTGATACCCTGAACGGATGGTTTCCTGACACTGTAAAGGCAAAGGCGCGACGCCCTGGGGACCCCGATCCATTTAACTGGGACACCTTTGCGCAGGAGGTCGCAAAACTCCTCGGTCAAGCAATGGCATCATGCAAGGAAATGCATGGCGGCTGGAAAGACCAGGATGCGTGGCTTATATCAATCCACGGCACCGAGGTTCGTCTCGTTACGGCGCGCTTCAAGGAAGGGTATCTCCGTCAAGTGAACAGCTCAATGGTCGCACGGACTGAGTATCTTGTCGTTTTCCGCTCTCGTCCTTTTGATCTTATACTGGACGAGGGTCGTGTACAAGCAGTCAAGGCAATAGTTGCCCTGTTGCGCTGGATCAAGTCCGGTAGCTCTCTGCAGTCAACCATGCACGGGGTGCTTAATGCTGCGAGGTCCGGGGCGTAAGCATTCAGTACATGGTCTAGTCTGCCATTGTTGATTGTGAGTGGAAGTCTTTCCTGCTTTATGTCATTCATTTTTGCTTTTCCTTTCCTTGTGAGAATTTTTTATTTATTCATCTTTGAATTTTCAATTTGGCATTGATCTGGCAAGTATTGATTTCTCGATTGTACTTCCTTGTGTCAGCGCACAAAGCGTACATCCAGACGACGATCTGTCAGTCATCCGTTTGCAGGGGGTTCTTTGACATCCTAATTATACGACAGAACCTAAGACCTAGATCCGTTATATGCTATAGGAGATAAATATTGGTTCATCCACCCCCACCCCGCAAAACTGGAGTCAAGCAAGTAATTCAAGCAATCTATCAATTAGCTAGGTGGTTCAAATCAGACTGTGCTTTGGGATTCTACACTTTGGCTGGCTTTGCGTGGGTGTAGAATCGTACTTTGTCATGTTAAATAGCAACATGCTTCTTTAAGATCATGGAGTGAACTACAGTGTATATTTTCAGCGGTGAAGTATTCAAACCCCTTTTTTTCATGGGCGGATTTCATCTATATCATTAATTCTTGTCATGAATATAAGAATGATGTGTGTCTTATATAACGTATGGATATCATGGGTAAGATGCTTCGTGAGGAAATCATTCGACTTCCGAATATCTCGAATATGTCCGTCGACATAGTCATACAGTGAGTAGCATCTAGACTAGAATTCCCTAATGACTTCAATCCGTGACGAGTAATTCATTATAACGAACTACAAACCCAAATTCAGACTCTCCCAGTCCCATATGCGACCTAAATCGCCAAAATCAAAATTCACCAAATCGCCAAAGTCCGCCATGTCGGGAGTCGGCATTTGATCGATATCAAAATATGGGAATTCTCCGACAGGATCCCCTGCATCTTCACCGCTGGATGAAGTCATGCTGAGATTAGGTGGACTTTGGAGAGACTTTATTTGGGATTTGGAATCAGTGGTGGATGAAGATCGAAAGGTTTTTTCCTCATGAGATGATAGAGGAAGTTTCATGACTAGCCTGCGAAGGACCACGTTGCAAGTCGAAGCTAATTTCGTGAACCGCGCGAGCCACTCCATCATGTTGATAGCTGAGCCTATAGATTCGATCACTTTGTCTCGATGGAATAGAGATCGGCTTTTGTCATGTATGATGGCGGAACAGAGGAAAGCTGCTGCATCGAAAATCATGAAGACGACAAAATGGAAGTTTGGTGTATCGGGGAATATACACTTAAATAGGCCCTCTGAAGCGTCCATTAGTTTGAGGGAATAGGAGATGGCTCTTTCCTGGGTATTTCTCTCGTCAGGAGAAGCGGACTTCAAGTTCTTTGTAAGGGACCATTTTATAGGCGTAAGCATGATCATGTAACCTGAAATATGTAGGTGGTAGCGCTGAAGAGCAACATAGGGATGTTCCTCATCAAAGCGCTTATCCGGAGCCGCGATGTCGAAAGCAGGCGGGAAGGAGGAGAACCACTTTTCAGTCTCATACTGGATAGCATCTGCGTGAGATGAAGAAAGGGTACCACCTGCAAGGCCAGGCATTTTGCATAGAGCTTGACCCAGTTGGCATTCCAGCACAATATGTGCTATCGGGGAGGGCAGATCAGAGTCGGCACCAGAAGTCTCTAATCGCATGCTGGGTATTTCAATGGAGCAGCAATTGCTATTCATGATGAGCGGTCGCGATAGTAAAGTCGACATTTGCCTTGAGGAATCGTAAGCAATCAGAACAAAGCGCAAAGACTAGAATCCGTACCAATCCCAAGAATATAAAAGACACCAAACTCGCCGTCTCATTTCGCGTTCAAACTCTGTCATTGGTACTTTTGATGAGCTTTTATGCAGACCTTAAGACGAGGTTAGTATCCCAGAACTATCCCAAATATCATAAAAAACCAGCTCAGAACCCTTCATACCTATTTCCTGGGCTTCATGGATAGCTGCAGCCAAAGTATGCCACGATTCAATGAACATAGCATCATTTTTGTACCAAAATGCCGTAAGAAACAACTGTTGCACCTGCGTCAAGCCCCCTTTGCCGGTAGGGATACTATGACTTAATTGTCGCGCGACGCGATGATAGCGCTCGCTGATGGTTTGAACCCTCTCACCCAGCTCCAGTTCTAGTCTTTTCCTCTCTTCTGTCTTCAAGAATTGAAGAGAACACGCACACACGCGCAGCACAAGACATGTGAATTCTGGAGAAACGCTTCCGCCGCTGGTTCGGACTTCCCACCAACGAGAATATCCATCTGAAAATGTTGGCGGATACAGACAGTAATAATGGTAATTTGCATCGTTTAGAAAGTTCTGTACCAGCGTGTCTTTAACAGTTTAGTCAGAAATCCTCCATATCTATAACCGTAGTTCCGTGATCTCATACCTATATACGGTTTCGGAGGCAGAGTACGCAAAGCACTCTCCATCTCAGCAGATAGAGCATCATGCCAGTCATCTGAAGTCGAACTGGTCTGTTGAATGTCAGTAACATCTCTATCCCTGTTTCAAGGAGAACATACATCAGCATACATCCCCGCTACATGCAAGCTCTGCGAGTCAGGTAGATATCCCAGAACTCTGAGATCTCCTTCTCCTGCGACTGCCGATATCCCAGGAGAATCGGCCTGGGCCGAATCCTCATCCACATCTTGCCGATTTCTAGACGGACTATATATACGCATCAGTGAATATACGTATTACTTAGCAATTTATCATACATGATATACTAACCTCTCGCGATCACCCACTCCATAAGAAACCCTGCCCGTTTTCTTCGGGACGAATCGACAGAGATGAGAGATCCGTCTCATCCGGCAGTGATTGCAGGGCCATTCGCGACTACACTGTGAGAACCATCAGATCCTAAATTTCTTATAGAATATCCATCCATACGAGAAGAAAATGAAAAAGGAAAATGAAATATACGCTACGTTACCTTTTGCTTTCTCCGCTGACATTCCGTGCATGCTGCAGGACGAATGGCTTTTGCGGTACGGCTTGTTCGCTTTTCCATTCTAGGCTGTTATCATGGATGAAAGAGGTCTGGGAAAACAAACATACGAGACCATATCCCAAAAAAGAATAAATTCATGTATAAATGAGATGATGTTGAAGAGGGAAATGATTCGACATTGCGAGCTGCACGTGATAGGATACTGTCACGTGATGTTACGGAAAAGCAGCTCCGGATGATTTCCATTTCTGGATTCTTAGACTGCGAGTGGTAGATACAGTGTGGAGGAACACATGGAACGATTAGTTTTAAATCTACTGCAACTTCTGGAGATCTAATGAATATGATGAAATGAGATTAGTTGGGGCAAATATGTGAAGATCTAGGATTACAGAAGCAAAGATTCTGAGAAAGTATATAAAAAGGAGATAATCTCTAGATTGCTTAGAGAACTAATTAACACTAAAATTTACCAGCTATTTATATCTAACAATTCTATCTAAATGCCTTAGCTATTCTGAGCTAAACTAAATATCTAATTAAACTAATCTATAATTCTTCTCCTATCTTTATTAATTTTATATAGATTAATATAGATAGTATCTTATTATAGCTGCTATTTAATTTATATAGATAATATAATAGTAAAATTTAGTAAGTTTATAGCTTACCCTTTATAAGAGCTATAAGATTTAATATACCCCTTTAAGCTATAAATAATTTTCTAAAATAGAAGTATTAAAATTATATAAGATCTCCTAAAAATAATAGTATTAAATTATTCCTTAGCTTAATACTTATTATTACTAAATATTCTCTAGTATAATATTTAGTACTTTAATAAATGTTTTAAACTTAATCTAATTAAGTGCTTTAATAAATCTATTAGCAATCTAGTCTTTAATATTAATATATATAAGCTTAAACTGCCTATTAAATATAGCTTTATATATCTAGTAGTGCTTAACATTAATATATTTAATTTAGGCATAAAACTAGAAGTTATAAGCTAGTTTTATAGCAAATTAACTATTTATATAGATTCTTATTAGCTTTATATTAATAAATTTAAGGTCTATAAGTAAATAAAATAGCTAAATAGCTTTTTTTATAATAGTAATAATAATATTATATTTTACTTTATATATTAATAAGCTTATTATAGCTTAAAGCTTAAATACTTATATAATTAGAATATTAGTAAATATATAGACTAATTTAGTTATAGACCTCTTAGTATTAAGGTCTCTAATATAATCTATATCTATATATTTAAAGATCTTGCCTAGCCTTTTAAGGGGATTATTTAAATTATCTCCCTATATAGTAATAATATAGTTAAGCTAATAGTAAACCTAGAGTTCTAAAGCTAGAGATAACTCTAGAGGGGAAGAAGTTATCCTTCTATTCCTAAGAACTGCTCTTACTAAATATATAAGGATAACTAAGTATCTGCTATCTTATGCTGACTAATATGCTAAGCCTAGGTATAGATTTATATTAAGGTACCCTCTTTCTTTTAAAGCAGATATCTTTACTTTGCTTACTATATCTCTACTAATATATATTATATATCTATTATTACTTAATCTAGCGCTATCTTAACTTTAAGTAAAAGTATAATATTTAATATAAATAAAAAGGTAAATATTAATATTACTTACTCTATTTTATTTACTATAGATAGTAAACTATATATTTATATCTAGATATTAAGAATATATCTCTAATACTATACTTTTACTACCTTAATATTATTAATAATATTTAGAAGCTCTGCTAACTATCCTATAGGAATAAATATTAATACTAGTATTTAAAATAAGGTTAGATAAGTATACTATTAAAGCAGTTTATATTTTATATTATTATTCCTATTAGTATCTGTATATTATTTAAAGCTATTAATACTCTCTAGGTATTTGCTATTATTTAAATACTCCTAGTATTACTTACTATTACTATTCTTATCTTAATATTACTTATTATTACTATTCTTATTATTCTGCTTTTTAATATTTTCTATATTCTTATTACTCTTAGTATTATTATTTTTAATATTAATAATCCCTTATAATAATAGCTATATATATTTAGTCTATAGTATTAGCTACTCTTAGCTCTTTTTTTATTTTTATATCTTAGGCAGTATATTAATATAGATATTATAGTTCTTTATCTTTTATTTTAGCTTATACTACTATAAATCTCTTTAATAGGCAATATATAGTCTATTTAATACTACTATTAGAGGTATATATATTAATACTAGAATATCTATATATATAAACTAGGGAATAAATATAGAACTAAATAAGAAGATAAAGTTTTAAGCTATATATTATTCTAAGCTTAATAGCTAAGTTCTTATATATTAATATAATAATCTATAGAGAGTATAATATATACTATAAACTAAAAAAAAGATTATATTATTTCCTATTAATTAGACTATTAAATTAGCTAAGATTCTAATATAATATATATATCCTTAGGCTATAAAGTTATATAGCTATTTAGTAGCGCGCTTAGCTAGTAATATAGTTTTAATAATAATATAGACCTATATATTATATAGCTTAATATATTCTAATAAATAGCTATAAGTAATTAAGTCCTAAAGTATATTTACTAGTTTCTATATATTAAATATATCTATATCTAAGTGCTCTAGTATAGGGTTTAGCTCTTTACCTAGCCTATTACTATATTACTAGACCTTTAAAATAATAATACTCTTTATTATAGAGGAGTAAAATAATATTAGTATTAAATAGAATAATATATTTATATTAATAAAATAATATTAGTATTAAATAGAGTAATATAGTTATATTAATAAAATAATACTAGTATTAAGTAAAGTAATATAGTAGGTAAATTTTAAATAATAATATATTATATATTATAGTATTAATACAGTAATATAATTATATATATTAATTATATAATAAAATATATAAGAACTAAATATCTACTAGAGAGACTAAATATAATATTTTTAAAGGGACTATTCTTTAAGCAATATATTTAAATAATACTTAGGTTATTATTAAAAGGTTATTTAAGTCTCTATTTATACTTATTTAAGCTATTAATTATAACTTACTATTGCTTATTTCCTATATTATTTCCTTAATATAATTAGGCCTAAATATTTATTATATTCTTTTACTAGGTTTAATACCTTACTAAGATCTTCTAGATAATACTAAATATTATACTAAGGTTTATATTTAATCTATTAAACAAGGTATTTAATAATATTTTTACTATAGATCTTTTTAATATAATAATCTAGTAATATATTAATTTTATAATGCCTTATACTATTATTATTTATATTAACCCTTATTAAAGAGATATTATTTATTAGGATAAAATATTTAAACAGATTATTAGTATAATATAGCTCTAGATAAGTAACTAAGAATATATTATAGTATTACTAGTGCGCAGAGATATTTAATTAATAGGCTAATTATTTAATCTTATACTTTATTATTAGTAGTCTTATATATTAAGCAAATAGCTTCTATTTAAGGATTGCTATATTAAATACTTTATATCCTCTATATAGATAAAGTAAAACTTTATCTCCTAGTATAAAGTAAATGGCTTTATAATATTTATTATATATCTTCTTTATATTTATAGCCGCGAGCTAAATAGTATTATATGCTTTAAAATATATTATAAAGTCCTATATCTTCTAAATTTAGCTATATAGATTAGTAGTATTTCTAAGCATAATATTATATATAAGCTTATATAATATTTTTAAGGTAGTTACTAATAGGCTAGTATTAAATATAGCTTATATTAGCAATAATATTTTAGGCTAATAGCTTATATTATTAAGTGCGGCTATATAATAATAGAGTATTATCTTAGCTATTTAGTTAATCCTTTTAAACTATTTATTAGTCTAAGAATAATAGGCGGTTAAATAAAGCAGTCTTATATTTAATCCTTTAAAAAATCCTAACTATAGTTTTAATAAGAATTTAAAATTATAGTTAGATAAGATTACTAATAATATACCCTAGTCTCTTAGAGTTAATTATTTAAAGAATATTATAGCCTATTCTTTAGCTATCTATAAGTCTCTGCCTGTAATAAATATAACCTATTTAATAAACTTATATATTACTATAAAGACCTAATTAAACTACTTAATATCTAGTAGACCTATAATAAAGTCTATAGTAATTATATAGAATAATATATTAAAAGTTAGAATTAGTTAGTAATTACTATATAGGGCATAATATTATATTCTATTTAACTAGTATCTATAATAATATATAATATATGCCTTAACTTATCTTATTAGTCTATAAATAATAAAGTAATAAAGTACTACTATTATTTAATACTATCTTAAATATTAAGATATAGGCTTAAGGAGCAGGTTAAAATAAATAGAATAAAGTAGTTAATATTAGGACTAGCTATAAGATCTCTATCTAGCTAATTTAAACTAGAACGAGCTATTATAAGCAGGCTTAGTAAATAAGATATAGCTTAAGAAGCTTAAATTTAAATTAAGCTATATGCTAAAGATATCTTTATAAGATTATATAACTTCTTATATAATCTCTTATACTAGCATTATAATAATATTCTCTTTCTTAAGATTAAGCTTTATTAAGATTATTCTTAGGCTTTAGCTTATTTAAATAGTAGTAATAGAAGTTTATAATAATTTTTTAAATATATTATAGGTAATATATAGGCTCTTTAGTTAAATTATTATAACCTAACTATTTAATAATATATTATAGTTAAAGGCCTTTATATTTATAGTATTTCTATTAGGAGTCTAGGATATTTTTAATAACTTATTTTTTAAGGCTATTAATTTTAATAGGCAATAATAAAGGTTATTTTTATCTAGATATAGAGTCTTTAGCAATAAGGTAAAGTAAGCTAATATTAAATATAGAATAGATATATATTAAGACAGGCAGATTAAGCTAATAGGTATATAGGCTAATAATCTTAATAATATAAAATAGGCTAAGATTCTTTTAATTAAGTTTCTTTTAAAGATGCTAAATATAAATATTCTAGGTATTTAATTAAATAGACTATCTTATATAATAGCAGTAAGTTAAGATTTAGTAATAATTAGTTTATTCTTT